TTTATAGTTCTTAACTGCTTCTGAGGCTGTTTCTGACTTTAACTATAGTTTTTTGACTGGTGACCTGCTTTGCTGCAGCTAAAGTACAAGTAGTCTTGTTTACACTGTTTAAGTTCCTCCTTAGACACTTGAGTCTGTTAAGTCTGATGCTGTGCTATATCCAGCTCCATTGGTTTTAGTCTGTAAGAATCTTCGTATTCTAAGCTTCTAGATTGTACCAACCTTCCGTTGTTGGCTCGGTAACCTGTTTAGCTATTTTATTAAGATATAGACCCGCTGGTTCATCAATCTTCTTATCATTTTATGTTATATTTATATAACTTATTATTAATCTTAACTATTGTTTTAATTATTTTTAATAATATATTTAATTATTCTTACCAGATGAGTTTCTCTTGAATCTTTATCTTGAGTCCTTCTTCAAATCATGCAATATAAGTATTATCATTCTAATCTAAGTAATTAATGACTTGCAAAAACTCTGAAGCATACTTAAATATTAATCTAGTCTACTTAAATCATTATAACTTTTACTCAGTATTCTGTGCTGTATTAATATCTTTAAATATTTATTTAAGATACTGTTTAAATCTGGTGTAACTAGCAAAGATTTACTTTATATTATTATTCTGATTATTTACCAATTTTTCTTGATACTCGCAGATATATGATTTAAATTAATTAAATACTAATCCGGTCAGGTAGATAGATGTAAAAAAGATCTTGTTAATCTTGTTCTTGAGCCTTTCTCTGTTTATGCTGAGATATAAGTCTAACTGGGTCAAGAAAGCCCTGAGCTTCGCTCGATTGCTGTTGAATGGCTCTAGTGATCGGACCTTAACAGATTTGACTGCTAAGCAACCTTTGAGTAACTGGTTTTATCATTCTAGAACAGTGATACTTTCTTATAACTAACCAACCATACTTATCAATTCTTATATCGTCGGGCCCTGTTGCTGTGAGGCGCGCGATGAGTTTAATATAATCAATATAATGAATAATTATTACTGGGTAATACTCGTACTGACTGGTGCTCAATGTATCAAACCCTAGGATCGCTTCTCCCTGTTCCTATTAACTTAGCTCCCGTTCCAATACGTACCTTCGAACTAAATCAAGGTAAGTCAGACTGATGACTATCTAAGAGGTGACTTATAATCTGTTAAAATATAAAGCTGAAGAAAATGAGTGATATTATGTCAAACCCCAGGATCGCTTCCCTGTTCCTGTTAGCTTAGCTTCACTGGTATATGTACCGTCGAACTGAATCGAGGATGTATCAGACTAATGACTATCTAGGAATGACTGGTCTTGAACAAGAGAAGAGAAGTAAGGCCGAATAGTGCCGCGCAGCTATCCATAAGTAAGTACAGATGAGTGTTGTTATTAAGCTTCTAATCTTATGGTTACTTAAAGACGATTGTATTGAGCACGAATAACAGAACTAGCTAAGTACATAAAAGAGTGTCCTTATATATCCGTTCCCCTAATTTCATCGTCATGATATGTTATACCACTGGTATGTTATCTCATGTCACTGCCATGTCCTGGTCGTAGCGCTGACATGTCGTAGCTTGTCGGTGACATGCTCATCGTGGTCACGTGATGTGTAACCGTCTTGGGCGTCGTGGTGGTAATTCCTAATAACAATTCGGTCTCACCCGAGCGCTGCCCTTATCGGTGCCTTCTGCCTGGCGAGTCCGCCTTACTAGTCGTTCAGCTAGCAGGGGTCTGTAACATATTAGTATGATTAGCTAGGAGGCTTCTGTCTACGCGGGATGAAAAGGATAATAATATGATGGTTAATATGATGAGGCACGTGACGCGCTTGCTTACTGACCAACTGGCTGTCTGGGCATATTACAAGTTAGTTCCAGATATCTCGGGGTAGTGCTTTGGGCAGTCTGTCAGGTTATCTCTACAGTGTTTGGGGTGGTTTATAATATATATAGATAAATAGCTGAATTTTATCTTGTATACTTGTTTCACAAGAAAAGAAATTTGTAGTTCATATGATTAAGTACTATCTTCATAGACTTACTGCATAATTCTTTTGTCTTTAGCTCTTTAGCGGTTAACAGCTGACTCTACATCAAGGTATATGTAAGGCGACATGGGGTTTTCTCAGGTTTTGTATTTTTCCCCAACAAAACAAGATTAAGATATAGTCTACCACTCAGTCATAATGACTGACATACATGACCTCAAAATCCAAAGACATCATGATCTTTTTCACCACTCTTTTTTTTTATTCAATTCAGTGGGCTGCTACAGCCACACTGGCTTGCCTGTCACACCATATGTAAGCTTTTTCTGTCTATCATGTAGAGTTATCACCACTTAGAAAATAGTCCCCGCCATAGCTATCATGAAGGCCATTAACGTGCGCAGAACGCCATTTCAGAGTGCCATTCTAGAGACCCTTCGAAGGTGATTCGTTAGGGCTATGGGAGACCCTTTAGCGTTTAGGTAGGCGTAGGTAAATTAGCTCACTAGAACTAATAGATCTGGGGAAGAAAAGCTATATACAGAGAAATCCAGGACCTATACCATGCGCATAGCTCTGCTCTGGGCTGTCAAGCACGGGGTGTTCCCATTCTTTCTAGGTCTTTCCAGTGCTTTTTCGGAAGCCTTCCGTAGTAGGGTAGGAACCAGCTATGGCTCTTGTAGGTTCGTAGGAGGGCGTGGTGCGTAGGTCATAGATGTTGTGGTGAGTTGGTGCTAGCACGTGATAATGCCACGTGATTGGCTGAATCCTCACTCGGACTAGCACCTTCCTGGTTTGCTTCTCCCTACAACACCAAGCCACGAGACTGGTATGCCGCATTTAAATTTCCTGAAACACGATATATCTCATTCTGAAGAAAGGATTCGTACATACGACCACAGGGTGTGGAAAACAGGGCTTCCCGTCCGCTCAGCCGTACTTAAGCCACACGCCGGGAGGTTAGTAGTTGGGTGGGTGACCACCAGCGAATCCCTTCTGTTGTATGTTTTTGTTTTCTATTGTTTTTTCTTCTTCATCTGCACATCTCTTGCTGGTGCGGTTACTTTGTGATACATATTTTATTCTACTCAATTGGCCTAGAGATCCCCTTGAACGAGAGGAACCTACAGCTGACAGCGATGCAGCGTCGTAATTGGGATCCTGACCGAATCTGACTGCCTGCGGAGGACTCCGGACACCGTCCTTCGTGTTCTGCTGATTCTCCACCCGTGCAAAAACCCTGGTTGCATTCAATCTATTCCGTCCGCTAGTCCGTCGGCCTGGTCTCGCTAGTCCCGGTCCCATTCCCAGCGCCGCCCGCTGATAGGATGCCATGGTTCTCGCTCTTGCCCGCCGGTGTAACCCTCCACCAACAACCGATGGGTTTTCTTTCTTACTCCAGACAGACCCCAGACTGCAGACTCAGCAGTCTCCTTGCCCTGCAACCAGCCACCGTCGGCTCATTGCATGTCCCCTTCCCTCTCCGGTCATCCGTAAGCTCTAGTGGAAGTTTGATCCCCACGATGGAATTATCCCCGGGGAATGCCCCTTAGCATACCGGTCACCTGACAGGCCCTGGTTTGCCACCCGAGCCAGAGTTCCGACCCAAGGCCGCAGTGGTCGCCAGTCCCTGAATAAATGAGTCGGGGACAGCTGACACTGACAGATTCACCGATGAGGAGGCCAAGCTTCGTGCTTGGGAAACAAGCAACGGGCCAAGAAAGGGTGGACTGGACTCGGAGCCACTTGGGCGGCCGTGCCGTTGGACGGGCTGATAAGCCCTCATCCACCCTCCGGCTTTCCGGTTAGTCCGTACCACACTTTGAGGGGTTCTGTTTCGCTTTTCCCTTCGCTATGGTCCAATCGGTGAAGTGCGAAGACTCCTTCACGCTACAATAATAAGCGACGCTTCCGTGCAGTTCGGGTCGAGCCAATCAGCCGGCGTGATGCCTCCTAGTCAGCCATCTTCCCGGCGCCATTGTGTAAGGGAAATTGGTCCGTGAAATTGCACGCCTCGGATGATTGGGGGTAACGGGAAACGCTAGTGCTGAGGTCGCATGGTTGCTGTTCCAATGTCTCGGTTCTCCGTCGGTCATAATCCCATTCTCTTCCTGCTTATCTCCCCGTCCAACATTTCTCGCCAGCCCTGGACCGCCGTGCACGAATCACAGCCGAGCACCCACACACACCAGCTGGGTCAACCCCCAGTAGTCCCGGTAACAATGCAATATGGATGGTGGAAGGACTCAGTAGTGGTGCTCCAGATCCTACCCGACAATCGAATGATCGGACAGCATGTGTCGTTACGTTATGGGTGCGATAACGTGCTTTCCCCTAGGCTTCCCGTCATATCAGCATCATCCCAGCATTGCAGCAAGCCAGCAACATCCGACTCCAACCGCAGAGTGCCTGAGACCCCAGTCCAGTCTGCAGTCGCCTAGCAAACGAGGATGCCGGCGGTGGAGCCGTTTGGTTCGTGGCAAGCCGTTCGTCGTCCTGCTTGATGCTATCTAGCGCGTCGCCATCTCGACCAGCTAACCCGGACGCCACCCCCCTTCTGGGCTTCGACAGAGGCTCCAGAAAACGCCATTGCACCAATGAGGTACCTGGCTAGTGGTTCTGACCCTCTCCCCGGTGGAGTGGGCACCGAAGAAGTCGTTTAAAGTTCGAATGGGCAGTGGCAATCTGAATTGCATCCACCGTGCTCGATGCTGGTTTATTAAATTGAATCGATAATGGGGACGCCGGATCAGCTCATATTAAGCCGCGATAACGTAGGGAACCCACTCGCCTGGTCTATTCCTATTCGCTCTTTCAAGACGTTATCTCTAGCCAGGCTTACCTAGGAGGCAAGCTCGCCCCGTCGCGTGCTTGCTGGCTCGAGCTGTCGCATTATTCTTAAACTACGCCGATCCCCATTCCCCAGTTCTAGATCTTTGTACCTCCAGTTCATCCTCCTTTCGTCCTCTCCTGGTGACCGTGTTCGTTCTCCTGCTGAGTTTCTATCCCCACCATGGCTAGCGAGATCGAGCCTGCGGAGGTCCCTCCCGCCATGGGAGTCCTTCCTTCCTACACTGAGGCCAACGAGCACTACCCCCGGCGAATGGTCCCGCGTGCTGATGGTGCCCTCGCTCGCCTCGACCCCAGCGTCACGCTGGAGGAATACATGTACTGGGCCGGCATTGAGCGTGAGTTAGAAGAAGAGGACAACCGGCAGTATGTTGAGGAACGCGGACCCCTCACCGTCGGCAAGGTCATCAAAGGCCGCTTCTCCAAGGGTGTTCATCACGAGAATGAGAAGAAGAGGCAGAGAGAGAACGAGGCCCTGGAACTGTCGGGAAATGAAAAGTCGCCCGAGGGCAAAGAAGGCATGATCACATCCACCCCCTCGGACCCGTCCCTAGCCGTGTCTGATGAGGAATGGAGAACGGCGGCCCGGGCCCTGCGGACGGCCAGTTGGGGAACCGTCTTTTATCTGATCACCACCGACGTGTTGGGTTGGGCAAATGCCCCGTAAGTGGGCTCCTCCGATCTCTCGGGCGCATCACCAGACTAACCGAGTGCTTGTGGTCTAGATTCGTCTTCGCGAGTGTGGGTTACGGTCCCGCCGTGGCCTTGTTCATTGTTTTCGGTTGCTTTGCTGGCTTCAGTGGCTGGATTTTGTGGAAGGTGTTCCTGGAACTCGATTCGACCCGTTACCCCTTGATTAACTTTGGTGACACCTATTATCGGGTCTTCGGTCCCTGGGCCCGCCATCTGGTGAACATCGGACAGTCGTTGCAGCTGCTCATGTCCGTCTCTGTGCTCATTCTCGGCAACGGCCAGACGCTGTCTCAGCTGGCCAACAACAAGCTTTGCTTTGTGGTATGCATGGTGGTCATGATGATCATCGGTATGGTCTTCGGCAGCATCCGGTCCCTGCAGCGTCTCGGATGGTTGACCAACGCCGCGGTCTGGATGAACATTGCGGATTTCATCATGATGTGGGTGGCTCGATCCATTCTTCCCTCGGGCATATGAGTGCTAATGGTGGTATAGCATGGTTGCCGCCGGTGGCCACTATGGCATCGACTACCAGGCCGCGACTTCGTCCACCCTGATCAAGGTCATCGAGCCCATCAAGGTATTCGCCGGACCCCCACCCGACAAGTACCAGATGCAGGCCACTGGCTTTGCGGGCCAGTTCACCGGTGTCGACCAGATGGTTTGTAAGTGGTTCTCGTGCTTCCTTTGTCTCTGTTGACAAACCCGGTCGTCTGACTTGTACCACAGACAGTTATGGCGGTGCCATTCTCTTCGTCTCCTTCCTAGCCGAGATGCGTCGTCCATGGGATTTCTGGAAGGGATTGCTCTGCGCTCAGCTGTTTATTTGCATTGTCTACATCTTCTTCGGTGCCTTCGTAGGTTGCTCCGATTGACTCTTTCTTCCCACCATCACTCACAATGCCACAGGTCTACAGTTTCTACGGGCAATACTCTATCTCCAACATCTACAACCTCGTTGAGCCGAAGGGGTTGCAAATGGCCGTCAATATCGTCTATTTCTTAACGTGTATTATCGCCTGCAGTATGTGTTCACTCTGGTTCATCTCCACGCGCACCCACTAACCCTGGCGCAGTCCTCTACTTCAACATTGGCATGAAATCCGTCTACCAGCAGGTCTTCATGGAGCTTCTTCACTTCCCTGATATCTCCACCTTCCGTGGTCGCATGCTCTGGTACGGCCTTGGCCCCATATATTGGGCCATCGCCTTCGTCATCGCCGGTGCCGTCCCCAACCTTAGTGGTATCTCCAGTATGGTCGGTGCCGCCCTCATTCTCAACTTCACCTACACTCTTCCGGGTATCCTCTATGTCGGATTCCGCAGCCAGAAGGATGCTGCTCTTCCGGGCGAGGGATACAATCCCGCCACTGGTGTGACTACTCGCCACGACAGCGGCTGGAAGCGCTATGCCCGTGGATTTAAGAAGAGCTTGTACATCAACCTGTTCTGTATCTTCTACTTCTGTGGTGGTCTGGCCTGCTCTGGTATGGGTATGTGGGCTGCCATCACAAGTTTGATCCAGATCTTCGCTCCGGGCGGCACAGTTGCCACCTCGTTCGGGTGTGCTGCCCCAGTCTAGGTCTGTGCCTTGGGACAGGTGACAGATAGTGTGTCTCATCTCTGTATATGTCTGAAATGGTGTCATGTATGACTCGACATGACTTTATATAATAATAATGCTCTCATTTCTGCGTCTTTGGATAACTGTATCATCGTAGCACAATGTATCTGGGGGTACGTGACACCGATAAAGCCGGCAGTCAAATCGACATAGGATATATTAGGGAGCTCACTGTCTTTTACTTTAATCCAAATTCAAATGTTTGTCATCCAGCGCATCCGTTGTCTGGGTTCGCGGTGAGCTGGGTGGGAAAGTCGCACGTGGCATCTCCACAGTGGATATCTTGCTAGTAGCATCTCTTTAAAACTTACTTTCTCGGCTATATACTTAAGTACTGTGTGTGGGAGATACGAGCCAAACAAAAAGGTGGAGTAATATATTAAAATTGTCAAGAGACCGTATCCGCCAACAGCAAAAGCAGCCATCAACATATATATTCCCAACCACATGGTCAATTTCCGCATCCATACATTCCAACTCCCTGCAACCACAGATATCTATACCACAATAATACCATAAACATAAAACCAAAAGTCAACTCCCGAAACTGGATACCATGACATGTAGGTGGGTGAGAAAACCCCCCCCCCCTCCGGGTGGCTTCAGATTCTGACGGAAGATGTAACCCGGTGCATACTACCCGGGTGATGTAGTCAAATAAACCGCGATAATCTTATCCAAGGCAAGATGGCCGAGTTGGTCCAAGGCGTCAGGTTAAGGCCCACCTTAATAATCCAGCTTCATAAGCTTCCTGATCATCGTTTGATGGCGTGGGTTCGAATCCCACTCTTGTCATTTGTTTTATATTTTTTTTTGGGGGGGGAGGTGATGGTGGACCCACCTTTTCTTCATCTTTCGTTCGTTCTGTTTATTGCATGCATTCCATTCCATTCCATTCCAGTATGGATGGGATCATGCCTGTTTTATTTCCCCTTCCCCTTCTTTTACTACTGTGTAGTGGAGTCCACCGTTGATTTCCATTTTATGGAAAGTTTCATGCATTTTACTCTACGCTTTATGCAATCTTTCATCACTTTCATGTTTCCACCCAACATCACTGACAAACGACCCATATATCCAACCCCAGAATAAACCCCACCAGACCCTAGAAAACAATAGAAATCAAATACCCTACCACGGTAATATGTGATGTGTAAATCGCTCTGACCAGAAGCAAACAGCATATGAGAATCTACTTTATGAGTCCTATTCCTCTTAATCTCCTCACACATTCATATACGATCGAAACTTCGACTTAAAAATGAAAACAAACTAGCCCAACAAAACAGGATACCTATAGGGATACTCTACTTATGAGACCAAACCATATCATGATATGCACTCACTCACTCACTCATCTAGATACTTTCTCATCTATACCAGAATCACACGTAACCCCACCACCAACGCCAAACCACCCCCCTCTCCATCCATCTAAACAACAACACACCCCAAAGAAAGTCACCTCTCCGCCTTAGGCGGATACTCCTTCCCCTCACGCACCACCTTAGGAGCACATGTGCACCATTCACTTTCCGGGATGGAGTCCAGGACAGATGGAATATGGCTTCCGCAGCCCCACCAGGAGGTTTTGTCTGTTTTCGTTAACATTCATATTGATTTTATAGGGATATGTCATGGTGTTTTTGTGATAGATAGGTAGGTAGGTAGGGATGGGATGGTGGGGTAATGAGGGGTACGGTAGAGTATGGTAAGATAGGATAACGTACTGCAAGTTGAACAAGTTGCTTTCATGCACATTTTGCCTGATTTTCAAGACTCGGGTTAAGGTGAGAAAAATGTAAGCTGTTTGTAAATGGAGGGTTTGATCTGAGGAGAATGTAGATGTGAGTTGAAGATGAGGAGGGTGGGAGAAGCGGAGGGGAGGGAAAAAGAGTGGATTTATAGCCCGCTTAGTCAGTGGAGTTCGCCGATCGGGGTCGTGGGGGATGAGGATGATCCCCGAATCCCGAGGATACTTTTTTTTTTTACCTTTTTACTTTTCTGTCTTAGGACGGGCGTTGGGGTGAATATGGGGAAGTATTCGTATAGTTTGGTGTTTATGTAGTATGTAGGGCTAGTGCTGTCATGGGAGGGGGACCTTGGGGAATTGATCGTTTCAGTCGGGATGTGGCTCATTGTGATTGTGGAGAAACGGGTTACTCTATTCTAGTGAAATCATATTCATGGTATCATCTATCATCAAATATAAGAATTACAACTTCCCCTTCATCTCCCCCGCACAGCACGCGACCGGCTCAGGATGCAGCGTCGACTTGTTAAACGACTGCGACGAAGGTGGCACGTCCAGGGCGGGATTCTTGGTGAAAAATCCATCCGGCTTTAGCATGACGCTGACGCGTTCGACGGGCATAACGGGGAAGTCTTCGATGCGGGGGTTGTGGGTTAGGCCGAAGGCTGTTTTGGTTAGTATTTTCTCTTGGGGTGTGACTGGAGTAGGAAAGACTTACTATGCCACAGGACGAGATCCTCGTTCTCGACCGGATCCTCTCTTTGCACCCATTTCTCCACACCCTCGCTTTGCTTGCTCTGGTTGGTGAATTCACCCGCAGCATACAGCTCGTCGTCCTGATACTTGGTGATCCAGATCGGCTTGGTGGCGAAGCCGGCGCGCTTGGAGCCGTATGACTTCGGACTGGCGAGCATCATCTGAGCGGGGGAGGTCTGGAGCTTGTATGCCACGGGTTTGTAGGTGATCGGGTTGATGTGGGCGTCGTTACGGATTTTGAACACGCGGTGGCGACTGACGTCGGTGTTTGCGGTGCCGCTTGTCCGGAGGACCGTCTGCTCGGTCGTGTATCCTACCAGGTAGGGGTTGTTCTCGTCCTCTGGCAATGGTACGCTGTCCTCGTAGTACACGGTGTTTTTGAAACCGTCCAAGGCGGGATCCATCCGGAAAGAGAACATGTGTTGGTGGAAGGGTGCCATGACGCCGGGACCGACGTTGGTGCCCCAGGGGACTGTGGTGCCGAATTTCTCGTTGTCGAATGGGACGGTGGAGAGAATGCCGGTGGCTCGGACCTCCAGCTCGATGTTGGCGGCTTGATCAAAGATAAAGGCAAAGATGTATTCGTAGTTGGCGACGGTGCAGATCATCTGCACGACGAGTTGGCGGTTGCGGACCACAGTGGCGGCGTTGTTGCGGTAGTTGGTGTGCTTGTGCTGGAGGCCGTTGTCTTGCTCGTGGAGACAGATGATGTTTTGGAGCAACACGGGGGTTCCCTTTGAATCAGCCCGGTAGCCATCGAAGTACTTGATGTGGCCGAGACAGTCGCAGCCGAGTGAGAGCTGGTTGGCTGTGATGCCGAAGCCAACGTCTCCCACATCAAAGGCTTGTTTGCGGTGATAGGGAGCACGGGGGTCTAAGTAGGATCGGGTCAGTTGAAAGGTCTAGGATGGGTTAGTGAAGGGATCAGCATACCGCCGTATGGCACTGTCATCTCCGACACGGACAACCTGTAGAACACATTGCGTCCATCATAAGTAAGGTTGTAGATAACGAGGCCCTCACGGCTGTTGAATCCAACGCGGAACCGCCACTTCTGCCACTCCACAACATTCCCTTGAACGCCGAAAGACGGGCCTTCCGGCTGCTGGACGATATACGGCTTGAGGTCTGTGCGTAAAGGCTCCTGAAGCAGGTCGTGCGCGTACTGGACGGTTTCCACCGGCTTCCACGGTTGGGTTTCCGTGGTTTGCGCATCGGCCCCACCCGGAAGGTAATCGATACGGACCAATTCGCGTTTAATGATGTCGAAGACCGGGGAGAACTTGCAAGGGACGGAGTAGTGGTTGTTCTGGGGATGGTCGGTGGCAATAATGTACATGTAACACTGGAACAATCGACGCGCCTCGTTGGGATCATCGGTACCGTAGATCCAGGGATCATTGCAGATGGTGACACCAGGAGGCAGCTGCAATTTGGCCACCTCCGCCTGGATTGCGGGATGGCTGAGACACAGTTCCTCGACCTCAGCGAGTTCGTCCATATCCGCGGGACCCTGGTGTGGTCAGAGCTGTACAGAGGTTATACAAGCGGAACACAAGTCGTACCTGGATGTGCTTGGGCAATTGCTTGGCCGAGAGGATCGATCGTGTGCCTGCGTTCAACAATGCCTTGAAAAAAGCCCCGGTGTCCTTCCGATGGAAGAGAACCTGGAGCAATCGAGCGGGCTTTGGGGGCAGGGGCTTGCCGAGCCTCTCTGCCTCAATGTACGGGACCACATCACTCTTGATCGGTTCCTGAATATCAATCTTCTTGTACCGGAGAGGGATCCCGGGGAAGGCGGCCTCCAGGATCTTGGTGGCCAGGACGATTTCCGCCGGGGTGATGGGGTCGAAGGGATGCGGCGTGGCTGCCATTGTGTCTGCCCGTCTATATCTGGGGAGTGACCGAGCGACAGGGTTCTTTGTGAAGAAAAAGAGGATGAGAAGACGGTGGCAGCGAGGCGGGACATGTACCTTTATAAAGGGAGCCGGGGGGATTCCCCGAGAGACCTGCTCTCCGCATCGGGCCTGGCCTGGGTCCGCCCCGCCCGCCTATTGGTCCGCGTTGCCGAACCGGCGTATCTTTTGCTGGAATAGGACTAGCTCAGGCGTCTTATCAGACATGCTTATCTCAGCGCACCACCAATCAGAAGGGAGATCCGGATGATGTTTGATTAGCTTGATCTCGTCAAGTTTGCCATCTCCTTAGTTAATAGTTAGATACATTCAGGCAATCTCCGCCTAGGCCACCATAAAAGCCGCAACCGCCAGAATCAAGCCTACCACCGCCGCCGTTGCCACAGATGCCCCCATTTGGTCCGACGCGGTGATCTCTCGAAGCTGACTTGGGTCTTTGGACTGGTCGGAGGTCTCGGTCCCGGCAGCCCCGTCTCCCTTGCTCGAAGCCCCTGTATCGTAGCTGAGCGGACCTGTATTGGACTGGACGAGATTGGCCTGGACGGCTTCTAGGGCGGCCATCTGCTGTCCCACTCCGATGGTGCCATCATAAGTCCCTGTGGTCCATTGCATCCCGCAGTATGTGCCCGTCTTGCCTCCCACACACTGCGCCGCAGCTGCCTTTGCGGTTGGTCGCAGGCGCGCCATGATGGTGTCGTAGGTGAACGGTGCCAAACGCGCAGTGTCAGCCATCCAGCGTACCAGGTAAGCCTTGAACGAGAATTGGTCGGTTTGACAGGTGCTGACGGTTTCGCAAGCGGCCTCGTAGAAAACATCCTTGGATGCTTCGTTTGTGGACAGGAACGTGCTCTGCGCCTGGAGAAGACCGTTGATGCGCTCTTGCCAGTGACTACCACCGTTTGTCTGCCTCCAGTCAGTTTGGCATCCTATGCAGACCAGGCAAGTCTCTTACGTAGTTCCACATGTGGGCAGCACCCAGCAAGTACACCCCGTTGTTGTAGGTCCACTCGATATGGTTGAGGTCAGTGCAGTTGTTCTCTTCACTTGTCCCGTCGTAGACATGATAGTCAGGCCCGATGAGCCCGATGCCAGTCACCCAGTCCCACACCTTGTCGGCCCAGTCCGCGTACGTCGCATTTCCAGTATACCGGGCGAGTCTGGCCGCGAGGTTGAAGAAACACCCATTGGAGATGGAGTTGCGATAGGTGTAGCCGCTGTTGAACGTGAAAATCTGCCATTTCAACCCCCCACCGCACTTCTTGGTATCCCATCGCTGCGCCTGTTCGTTGAACACGGCCTGGACAAGAGACAACCACGACGGCTGATCGTCTGGGGGATTGGGAAAGTCCCTTTCCGCAGCGCGCATGGCAGCAAAGGCCCAGAAGGATTGGTCGTCATTGCCCTCGGTGCGGGTCTGGTTGGCCGGCATGAAGTCTCGGTTGAGTCCGACCTGGTGTAGAATCGCCTCGGCAGTTAGGTTGTTGTAGGCGGTGTCTCCTGTGTACGCCCAGTAGTTGACCAAGGTGCCAAAGAAGGCGCCGGCCTCCCACCAGTAGTAGGGGTCTGGGAGATTGCCAGGGACATCGCCGGTGTTGTTTCCCGTGTAGAAGCTGACTAGGTCCCAGGCCAGTTCGCGTGCGACGCTTTTGATGCTGTCTAGGTAGCCCAGGAGTTAGCATTGAACTGGGGTTTATTGTTGTGGTAAGCATCGCGTCTCACCAGGGTTTTGAAGATCGAGGTCGATCGCCTGGGCCTGGAAGCAAGGGAGCGCCCAGACGATGCATGAGAGGAGGAATCCCCAGAGGTGAAGCTTTGGAACACTCATGTTTACACAGTGGTCATCAAAGTGCGTGCTAAACAGGTGGTGAGGGAGAGTGAGGAAATTTGCACTCAAGAACGACAAAAAGTAAACATTGCTTAGAGGGGTGCACAGTGAATTTAGGAAGATGGATTGCTCGGCGTGGGAATAACACGAAACTGCATCTGCAAGGGTCTTCTGCACGCTGTCGCAAGGATCCTATTATTGGCAGTTATTAGGCGGCGCCATCCACTGGCCTTTAGGTGCCGGGCTCAGTGTGATTTATTGTGTCCTTTTTCATATCAGACTACCAGTGTGGATTGATTTTAAAGGGATTCACTAGGTGTGAGGTTGGGTGACGGTAGGGCGTCCTTAAGCATTGGCCTACTTAGACTGTGAGAAACTAATTTAATCCCCTGCTACCCCAGTATTGAGGTTTCCCCAGGAATGATTACTCACGAACTAACTAGTGCAGCGATGGGATGATGCCAAGCTGGCAGGCATACTGCTTGGTAGCCATTTGCCAAGAACTGCAGCTATATACAGAGGTTACAAAACAACCGCGATTGATCGATCCAATCCAAGTATCACGATCAACACCCAATATATCCATGCAATAAAGCATGCTCTTCAGCTTGGATTGTCCTATGTTGCATTATTTCCTCTTTGGATACCCTAACCCGGAGAGTGCCAAAGTTGGGGCAAGGACTGTGATGACTGGTCTCTTGGTATGCCTTCCAGGAATGTGTAAATGACCATTGCTCCAAATGTCCATTTTCTCGATCCATTGAGTCATCTTATCAGGTGGAGATGAGGGTTATCTCTATCAGTCGTAAGTATTCCATCTCTGCTCAGGCCGATAACGGGCGGGGCTGCTGACTCAGCAGGAACGGGTGGGGCTTTTCTCCTCTCGCTTTCTTTCCTTGACGATGAATTGTGCTCCTCCTGCAATACAGGCAGACCAGGGTTGCAGGTGCTATTGATCCCAAAGCACCCCGTGATGGCATGACTGGCATGACTGGCACCAACCACTCCCCCGAGAGCCCTGCGTCTGGCAGAATGAACCATTCCCAACGTCCCAAGCGGACCAGCAATGCGTACGGCCGATCCCCACTGCCTCTTATCTATCGCCCACTGACCTGGCCAGCTGTCAACGCTGTCGCTCCCGCAAGGTCAAGTGCTCGGGCACTCATCCCTGCGACAAGTGCTGCCAGCGTCGCGAGCACTGCGTCTTTGAAGATGACCGGAAGATTGTGGTCTCCGAAGAGTGGGTTTCCCGCCCTGGTCCTGCACCACGGGATCGGATGTTGACTCAACCAGGCTATTCTTATCCCTTAAGCGCAAGGTCGAGGCCCTGGAGGGAACCGGCTCCTCCCCCGCAGTTAAGAGACGCCGGGCCTTGACGGCGGACAGTGCCGATGAGTCCAGCTACGGTAGGACCCCTCGTGTGCCACATCGCTGCATCGCCTTATCTAATCGGCCAGACCAAGCCTCGGAGTTGCCCCGAGAGGCAACCCTCGACCCAACCGAGAGCAATCGATATGATGACCGATTCGCTTCCAATCCCTTGGTTTCTCCATCCACGTATCTCAAACACACCGGACGACGACAGCGAATATGGCGTAGGTTATCTGCCATGACTCAATAGCAACCTGCTGACTGCCGCAGTGTTTCTGGGACCGACATCGACCTGGTCCTTCAGCCGGAGGGTCCTCAACATTGTCCAGGCACATATATCGCCGGAGAGCTCACGCTCGATTCCTCTTGCTGTAGATGGTGACGCTTACCAAATACAGTGGCGTCATGCCAGCTCCGAGGAACCACCTGACATTAGCGGACTGCCATCGCTGGAGCATGCGCTCTACATGGTGAGCACCGTGCAATTCCATTTCAGTCAGTTATACCGACTGTTCGACGAGGACGAGTTCATCCGCCATCTCCATGAATTTTATGACGATGCGGCAGCCAAGGTGCAGGAATCTCGCCTGTGGTACGTGCAGTTCCTCGTCATCCTGGCATTTGGGGAGGCCTTCTTGGACCCGGTGCGGGACCACGCAAACACGACCAGCTGGACCAAATATTTCTCGAGAGCCATGTCGCTGCTTCCGGATATCACCGGGCTATGGCAGGAGCCTACACTAGCCATTGAGGTGCTGGCCCTCATTGCACTGTATTTTCACTCGGTGGACATGCGAGATACGGCCTATTGCTATGTGAGTATCAATTCAGCATCACGACATAGCTAACTAAGTAGATCGGCCATTCAATGCGCATGGCACTAGTCGAAGGTTTCCACCGTGCACTGCCAGTGGATCAATTAGGACGGAGATTGGTCGACCGGTGCAACAACATCTGGTGGACTGTGTATATTCTCGATCGCAAGTTCTCGTCGCTGATAGGATCCCCAAACTCGGTTCGCGATGACGAGATTACCACACTGCTGTGGGACCCGCGCACTTGTTCTCGAAATGAGGCGGCGTTGAGCCTCCACGTAAAAATCACGCAGGTCATCTCCCGCGTTCTCAACAGTAAGCTCCGCCCTATCTTGACTGTAAGCATTCGCTCTTGGCGCAACTGACCCCTGGCAGCGGTATACAGTGCCGATGGCACGCTCGGTGGGGTCTTTCTTCGCAAAGTGCGATCCGTTCTGCAAGAGATGACGACTCTCTCACGCGAGCTGGATGATGTCTTTTCGCACCGCTTTGCGAACTCTGTCGATGCTCTTTCAGGGGTGACCACTCGTCTGACCCTCTCCTGCCATCTGGTATGCAACCCATTATCAGATGCTATGCGGTACTGATGGCCATAGTGCATTATTGTCACCACGAGACCTCTCGTTTTGAGCCTGTTATGGGAGCGCCTGAGTTGCTTTGAGGCAGGCACAGAGCTCCGCACGCTATCCCCGCCTGTCCAAGCATTACTCCAGGCGTGCATCGACTCCGCCGTGAAATCCCTAAAAATATTGACCGCACTGCGCGATCAAACCCTCCTCGGTCAGTCCCACTCCCTAGCATCACTCCCACCAACACTCACACACCATCAGAAACCTTTCTCCCCTTCGACCTAGAAAACCTCTTCTCCTCCTTCTTCGTCCTCTCCCTCATCTCCGCCATCCTTCCCGACGCCCTCACAGACCCCAGCTACCACGACATGGGCTACACCCTCCTGAATGCCATGATAGACCGCGGGAACCGAGTCGCGCAGCTCCGCAAGTCCGAGATCGAGCTATTGGAAGAACTCATCCAACCCTTAATCCAGCGCCAGAGCCGATCCACCGAAGCCGGAAATTACGCACGACCGCAACTAGCGACGCCCACCAGCCAGGAACGCCTTTCCGAACAAGTACACCAATCGGTGTCGGGGTTACATGGGGAAATAGGGGCTTCGGCCCTTCCGCCCCCACACGAGATCTCGGAGCAGGATGACGACCTGCCAGTTGATTGGCGGGGATTCGGGCTCTCGTTGGATTGCATGCTTTCTGCAGCGGACCAACTCAGCACGAATAATCTGGTGCTGGATGCGGAACGCGACGGGCTGCAGACGGATCTGTGGTTGTGGGAGAGTTGACCAACACTACTACAGAGTATAAAATTGATTAAATCCTGAGAAATCGGAAATAACGGGTGATGACGATATGAATTTTATGCAGTGCTGTACACCTTACCAGTACATACATCAATCCTATTCTTCAAATCTTCCACGTATCTACTCTGAATCCTATCCCCAGTAAACACTCCATATCTCGCACCAATAAAACCCCAACATAAAATTACCCAGCAGAACTCCCACACCACCTCATGCACGCTCAACCACCCAAAAACAAGCACAACAAACCCAACCAACCCGACAAAAGTAATCCCGGTTAGGCACCCAGCCAGCCAGCCAGCCCCTAAACCCATCCACCGCATCACATCACATCTCATCACAACACTAAATCCCCAAACCCAATTCCCCGTGCTTATCCAAAACCTAACAAGATCCTACCATGTAATCTGTGGAATTCCGACGGATAGAAATAAACTAATCTTTCCACTAGTTGAACTTAGCTTAGGGTTCGTTATACATAACTATTATCCATCTAATCCATTATTCTACCAATCTATCTAGTATTCATCCATCAATCAGGGTATCTAATTCATATACTACGATGAACTAGGTACTTGATGTGATGAATACATGATTACTTATGGAGAAGTATATGCCCACCATTTGTTTCCCTTGAAATGATCATCAGAATAAGATAGGGATAAAAAGCGATAGGTCAACTTGATTTACCGAATAGGTATAATACAAGCAACTGCCAAGTAGGTGGTATGCATGTATGTTTGATTATTCTGTGGGTAGGGAGTGGCCAATCGGGTTGAAAGGTGCATGGATGATATTACTTACTATGTAGCAAATGCAGAGACCGAGCAGGCAGTAATTGTTGAATGGGATCCACTCGGGTATGAAGTACGGGTGTTTAGGTTAAGACGCATTCATGGAATGCAGATGTGGATGGGTATGGTGATTTGAACATGTTTGCTGCATTCATATCAGACCTTGTATAATTGGAGTTGGGATGTGAGTACGCTGTGGTCAGTAAACAGGAGTACAGATGTTTGTCATGTACTCCGTACGCAAGTGGCACCATGATCACTTTGGAATACGGAATAGACTGGTGGAAAATTCCTTGTCGACAAGTACCCCTCGGCAGATCCGACGGGAAGTACGTAGAAAGGCTCTACGTACTTACCTCGGAAGCAAAGCCATCTCTTAATACTGCCCCTTCCGACCAGGCTAGACTCGCACAGATACTAATTAGTCGCGTTGCATGGTCGCCGCCATTTCTGGACACCTCCGCAGCCAAGAGAGACTATTTAACCCTCGTACCGTCGCATACGTAGGCTTTGGCTGGGCAGTTGTCAACCACGAGAGTTTGCCGTATCCATGGACGGACGAGCGGCAAGAAATAAGGTGATTGAATGAACCGTGGACTCGTAAGCAGCATGATGGGCCGCCAGCCAAAGGCTGAAGGGGAGGTCTAGGGCAGGGCTATTCTTAACCCTTTGGCTGTGGCCGAAGCATACGTAAGTGAGGCCCCACCCGAGCCAAACACCGACCGGTCCGGTGGCGCCCGAATCTGTCATGGTGATATTGGTGGCGAATTGGCGATTTCCAGGGGATCTGAATGCCGGAACCGATGGGTGGAAAACAATGGATATGTCAGGTACCGACTGCAATGTGATTCTGGTGGCAGATGCTGTGTCACTTGGGGTTGCCTCGATCGGCCGCTCCTGGCACACGTGGTGGTGGGTGGTGGTGACGGATCACACCCGCCAGAGAAAGGAGTTGCACGGCTAAGCCACGCTAGTCGATGCTTAACTCCGCCGGCTCCAACGCTATGCTGGAGTTTTTATCTCTCTGCCTGGACTGGACGGGCCGCCGGCTGGAGTCCGTCGCGAAATCACACGCATTTGAGTTTTCCTTCTTTTTTTCTATTTTCCGGTTGCTTGTACTGTGTAGACGGCCTGACCCACCCACACACACACCACCCATCGTGGCGTCAGGCACAACCAGCAACAACAGGAACCGGAATGCTGCCATTCGTCCAAGCAACCCAAGGAACCAGACCAGACCACATGGCGCCCTCTTGAATGGCCGTGACTGAACCAGTGGTTGACGACGCAAGGGGGCCGGCTTTCGTAGGGGCCGAGCTGGCTGGATGGCATGCCAGAGCCGTGCCTGGATGGTGGAGCCCATCAACAAAACACAACAACAACATTGGCTGGCGCCATCTACAAAAAGCCCCCGCGCCAACAAAGTCCATCGCGCCGTCGGTGCCTGTTCGTTTGCCATGGCTGTCCTGCGTTTCAGACCACCGCCGCCCTCCGTTTCACTGCCCTAAACGGGGCTATCGAGTTGGCCTCCTTAGTCGCCCAGTCGAGGCGCACCGCTGCACAGGTGCTGGGACTAGCCCGGTGCACTCGTCAATTTTCCCACCATGGCGGCGCCTGCCCTGATCCAATGCTGACGATTCCTTTTGCGCTGCCCGTCTCCACTCCGTCTGTTCGAGGCCACCATCACCCCGGAGCCAGCAGGGGCCGGCGAAGACCAGTCCGTCTATATACCTACCAGTCGCCCCGGCATTACCATCGTTCATAGCACCCTCCTTATTGCATCGCTTGCTTCTCCAGTCACTCCTTTGGACCCTGGTTTTGGTGTAAAGAACCACCTCACGAAATCCAACCCCTCCTTTTGGAACCCCCTAGCGGATGCAGATTCACTGATTGACTCACTGGTCTGTCATCTCCAATTCCACAATGCAGTGGAAGTCGCTCCTTCTTTGCGTCGCCATCGCCGAGTCGGCCTTGGCTCGCTCCCACGGCCATGAACGCCGTCAACATGGTCACGGTCACGGTCACGCCCAGGAGGCTCATGTGGCCGCCCGTGACGTCGAGGTCGAGGTCCACACCGTCACCGCCGTCGAGCACGTTACCCTGACCACCACCATCTATGGTGCCGCCACTGAAACCACCGAGGCCGTCACCTCCTACGAGGAGGTCACCAGCACCAGCACCCCTGCGGCAGCTACCACCACCGCTGACGCGGGCGCTTTCGTGGAAATCGACACCAACGAGGACCTGGCCATCAGCGCCAGCCTGGGCATCTCTCTCTCCCTCGGTCTCGGCGAGCACACCAGCACCAGCACTCATACCCACACCCATACTAGCACTAGCACTCACACCAGCACCCACACTAGCACTCATATCGCGGCCTCCTCCACCGCAGCCAGCTCCACTGCGGGAAGCGAGGCCTGGACTTCGACTCCCACCAACGGCGTCTACTCGACCGAGGGCTTTGGCGGTCGCACCAACAGCAGCAGCAGCGGAATTACCTACAGCGGTAACGTCGGTGACCCGTGGGGCAGCAACATCATCGAAGTGAGCGCCTCCGATGCCTGGCAATACAAGTACGTCATCCAGGTCAAGGGCAGTAACACGAACGACTGGTTCGTGAGCTTCTGGAACAAGATCGGCCCCGATGGAAAGATGGACGGATGGTACGGACACTCCGCGCTGAACTTCACCCTTGCCAAGGGTGCGACCAAGTATGTCGCCTTCGATGAGAACTCCCAGGGTGGATGGGGTGCTGCAGAGGGTGACAGTCTGCCCACGGATGACTATGGTGGTTACTCCTGCACCTGGGGCGAGTTCGACTTTGGAGACACCGACAATGACGCCTGGTCTGGATGGGATGTCAGTGCCATCCAGGCCCAGAACGCCGACCAGACCGTCCAGGGTATGAGAATCTGCCAGCACGCCGATAAGGAGTGCTCGTACATCACCACGGATGCCGGCACTGTGTACAACGCATACACCAGCTCGGAGGCGTCGGTTGATGGCATTGGTGGAACCGTGTCGTCGGGCGCGGTGAGATTGACCGTCGAGGTTGATTATAGCTAGAGGGCGTGCTGATGTATATACCACTTGCTTTGTTTTCTCGCTGTATATAAGTCGGATGTTGAATCCGTGACAATATACATACTTGTGTGTCGCCGATCTCCGAGCGTACTGTGGATGTGTAGTCTTTCGCGATTGAGCGGTTGTAGGGAAGTTATATGCTGCCGTGATTTCGATCTTCGCGGATGTCTCACATTAAAACCGGGGCAGTGGGTGGCGCTGATCCCGGTGGAGCAATTTTATTGCTAGAAGCTATCTATCGGGATTGGTGGTGTCTTGCATGTCTTAGATGGGAGATGAGCGAGGCGGCTCGCCGGCTGCATCTTGCCGGAAAACTCGGAACGCTTCCGTCGGTGGCTCCAGACGGACTCCACCTTTTTCTCACCACCATCCGATTCATTCCACCTTGTTTATACCGTGTTAGCAAGATGCTTTCTCGATGACAACAGAAGCGCCCTCCGAGATAGTCTTCAAGGCTACTGGATCAGACCATCTTCGCCCACCCAATCCCATATTGTTGTCGTGGAATACCAGTCGGCTGTGGTTCCGATATGACGGGCTCAACTTGTGAGTTTGGTGAGGCGTTCGGTGATTACCAACGTGATCAAGCGGTTAATCTAATCAACCTGTTGTTATAGTTATTGTCGTTCAGATGACTCTGTCTACAGATTGCGATTCTCGTTCGGTTCAATGTGTTTCAAACTGTGTTGTTTGTTCGGCATCGACTGGAAAGGCAGCTCGGTACGATCGAATTCTAGTGCTCGAGAAGGGCAGGATCGTCGCCTGGAATCTGCTGTTTGAGGAGGTGGCCCATTAATATTCGTTTGGTGACTTTGGAGGACAATTCAGAAGTCTGTCACTCCAACCACCAAGTGAAGGGATCTTCTCCTGACTTACTAACTGGGGATGAAAGGTACGCGACTGCTAGCTGCGCATTATCGGAAGCTTGATAAATTTGACGATATGATGACCTCGAATGATGGTTGTCTGTAAGCGAGAGGAATGGGATTGATCGAGCAAGATGAGGTGATGAGGTGAGGACGAAACCGAGACCGCCGGCAAGCCAAGCGTGAGTGTGACCATATCACCTGACCACGGGAATATTTCCCTCAACATCACCACCACAACTCTAGTTTCTAATTTTACTGTCCTGGTATTGTGGAGCATCCATGGCCGACAATGGTGGTCACCTAGAGGCATGGGAAGAACACGGGCCCCCTGGCGGCTTCTCCGAGGGATCGCCCCGATGCTACCTTAAAAGCAAGTACAAGATCGACATGTCACTGGTCGTTGATTTGCTGCCTGCTGCTCCATCCATGCCGAGGCCGCTGACGCAGAGCCGCGGTGGCTTCGTGCTGCATCTGTTCGTAACACCGCTTTCCTTCGTTGATCATATCAATTTAGACGGTGTGTCTTTAGTGAGGCATTCAGCCCCCGATTTTCCACCTTCTGTTATATGCAACCTTGATTGTTCGGCTGAGCCAAAATGGTCTACTGTGGCAAACCAAGCACTGCCTGCGACCGCTGTCGGCCCCGGCGTTTAAAGGTACGTGACATCGTTTAGTTCTCGTCTTGCCGGCATTAGACACCTGGTCCGAGGGTTTCTGCGAGTCAGCAGAAAAAGATACCCGTGAAGTAACACATTAGATCGTATAGTGCGATCGATCAACTCCCTCGTGCTCCCAGTGCATGCGGGCCCGAGTCCCATGTCCAGGCTACCGGGACACCTTAGACCTGAACTTCCGTGACCAGAGTGACGATGTTATTCGCAAAGCAAAACAGCAGAGTCACAGGAGATCAGTCGTGACAGCAAAATCCAATCAGCAAGTCGTTAGGAGTGCTCCGTTGCTGAGTTTCGGATTACGTCCGCCGCCGGATGAGCTGGCCAAAGGCTACTTTTTCACCAACTTCGGTGGGTGCCACATGCCATACCTGCTGATGAAGTCGAAGCATTCTTTGGAGTGCAGCATCAATGCGGGCCTGACAGCAGTGGGACTCGCAGCCCTGTCCAATCTCCACATGTCGCCCCGGTTGATGCTGGCTGCACGACGGCATTATGCCACAGCTCTATCGCAGACCAATCACGCGCTCGGAGACGCCTCTTCATTCCGCAAGGATGAGACCTTGGCAGGTGTGGCCCTGCTTAGTACGTTCGAAGTAGGTTTCTTCTGCTTTAATGGTCCTCCACTTACGAGGCTGACTCTCTCAAGCTGGTCACTTGTGGCGATGGCTCGTTCATCGATCGCTGGGCGAAGCACATGGATGGCGCAGCAAAGTTGATTGAATGCCGAGGTACGAGGCAGTTGAAAAGCGCAGAGGGACTGCATCTATTCACAGTGCTGCGTAGTCAGATCGTAAGTCTTGTTGTTTGTTATAATCTTCATGTCATAGGAAAATAGCGTTAAGGCTAATTTTGGACCTTGTCCAGGTGATCAGCAGAGTCTACGAAGGAAGATATACGTCTTCCATTCTAACGCACCTGACTGAAGAGGCCCAGAAGTACCGGAGTCCCAATTTCCAGGTTCTAGACCAACTTGGTCTCGCAATTATACGGGTCTGCAACTTCTGCGCAGCCGTCAGAGATGGAACCATCACTCAGCCAGGCGAGATTATCCGCTCAGCCCTTGGTCACAATGCAGACCTCGTGTCGATCTTACTCTCAGTCCCGGACTCGTGGACATATAGCACCGCAGAGCTCCCGGAGTTCAAACAAGAGCGGACAATGCACGCCGTCTGGGGTGACAAATTCCACCTCTATCGCAACTTGACCGTCAGTACCGCGTGGAATAATTATCGTTCCGCCCGACTGATTCTCCATGAGCTTATAATCAGCACAGTCGAAGCCTGCTCGTCGAACATTATCGATGAACAGACCCGAGAAATCCTTTTGAATCAAAGCCAGAAAACGTCTCGTCAAATTGTCCAGGATATCTGTGCCAGTGTGCCCTATCATTTTGGGACAACTGCTGGGGAAACCACCCCAACAATGTCAGGCGGTATTACTATAGTGTGGCCGTTATTGGTCACTGCTAATTCTAGGTTCGCATCACCTGAGCTTCGAGAATGGGTGATGAGCTGCTTGGACCGAATTGGTCATTACTTGGGAATCAATCAGGCGTTGGCTTCCGCCCGGTTGCTCCGGGATGGGATGGAAACGCGATCGTGGGTGTCGTCGGAATATGACCGTTCGTCTCGAGCTCCGTCGTTATGGTGTGTCTTAAACGGTGGCAAATCTAGTTGGGGGTGAAAAGGGGCCATGACGAGACCCATAAGATGAAAGGAAGTTTTCAGCCAGACATTCAGAGAAGAGTGCAATGTCATCATGAATATATATATTCACCACCCACTGCCAATTACTTCTCCCTCGCGGTCCAACATCCTATCTTTCTTGGATGATATTAGACAAACCATTGTTATTACTTGAGACATCATATCGAGTAAAATTTAATCCATCACTCTGCGGTGATCATAATAGCAAGAAAACTTTGCCAATAAATAACACGCCCCCCTGCCGTGGAATTTTTTGCTCTTGTTCTTTATTTTTAGATTAAGTAGCAAACACACGGCCCGTTCTTCAATAAGCAGGTCCCATAGCTCAGTTGGTTAGAGCGTAACGCTAATAACGTTAAAGTCGAGGGTTCGAGCCCCTCTGGGACCATCTTTTTGCCTTTTCGTTTTTTGACCACGGAATGATTGATTATTCAATGCCAGACGACAGACATCATCTACTTGAAAAGAAGCCATGTTCAGAAACCCAGCGCAAGTTCTGTGCATTTCATTAGACAAACGTCCACTGAGTTGGCACAAACCCAATCAACACACAGTTCCTCATAACCACAAACGTAATCTCAAATCCATTCATCCATCCATCCCGTGACAACAATCTCCCACTCGATCCATCAAAAAAGCACCACCACCGTAACAACTAACAAGCAACCTAACATCCCCAACCAACATTAGCACTCCACCTTACTCCGAACTACACAGACAAACAATAGTCCGTGGCTCCAAGAAGTCCCTAGCTACAGGGGCACCGCAAGGCCCTCTCGTCCAGACCGCGGACCCCGCTAGAGCCAGCTCCCCGTGCCGCTCAGAATCGACCAAAAATGGCATCGTGTGCACAAGTCCCGTCGTCCCTGAGCAACAGGGGGAGCGTTCTCCTAGCGGGATCCGCGGCCTGGGCGTCAGGGCCTTGGGGTGCCCCACTGGCGAGGCACTAGAATCTCAAGTCACGTTAATTTGGCATAGCATGCTCATAACTCTCATAGATTGGGAGGGGGAAATTAACGTTACCGAATAGATATATATGTGTATGTGTCTGGGGCCCGGGTATTCAGACAGCCCAGCCGAGATCCAAAGCATCGATGACGGATCGCACAGGTTCAATCTTCATATTGCTGTCGATGTAGACGGCTCCGATGAGGGCTTCGACGGTGCTGGCCATGACGTTCTTGGAGACGGTTCTGCCCTGGGCGGGATTGACCATTACGAAGCGGTCGAGGGCTTTTTCGAACCCGGTGGCGGCCAGGTTGGGGTTGCTGGCGTTTGAGATGATGGTTTCGTTGATTTCCTCTGGAGAAGATGGTGAGGAGCCGTATATGGCTGGGACGTAGAATCCGGCGGCGTGGAGGGCTTCGAATAGAAGGGCCTAGTTGGTGAAGGTGTATCCGATGATGCGCTGGAGGGCGTCAACCCTCTCTGCCCGAACCGAAGATGAGGACATGGTGGGTAGAAGAGGTGGTTGATAGGAATACGGAGGGTTATTGATGGGGTATGATTATGGAAAGGGATAGAAAATAGACTTGGTGAGAGGAGTAAGAGATGTAGGGAGGAGGGGAAATTTAAGTGCGAGGTTGATGGTCATCTTTACCCCTCCTCATGCTGCATCATGTGATGGTCTGCAGATCCGAGCCAATAAGCACCATTTAGATCAGTTGGAATGGAAAAGGTCTCCAGGATGTGCCACAGCCTCCACACGCATCCATGACCCCTACCATATGCCCTTCCAGAGGCTTCCAGGACGCCATATAGGTGATATTGGCCCATTTGAGTGGAATGCAAGGGATAGTCTCGCATATCTCCGCCCGCTCTACCTCCAACTCAATATCTAGACCCAACACGTGACTAAGCCCCGATTGGATACGGCGAAGCAGCGAGAATTCCGAAAGATAGTAACCTAGAACCCCCTTGCACCTCTGACCTTGAGGACAGAGCTAGGCTGTTTTTTATTTCTAGCACCACATAAACCCTTGACAGATATTATCCAGCACATACGACCACAGGGTGTGGAAAACAGGGCTTCCCGTCCGCTCAGCCGTACTTAAGCCACACGCCGGGAGGTTAGTAGTTGGGTGGGTGACCACCAGCGAATCCCTTCTGTTGTATGTTTTTCTTTTCTATCATTTTTTCATTTTTGCTTTCATCACTCATCTAAAAGTTGATGGAAGCTGCGATATAGCCAATCCTAATCCAAATCATACCGGACTGATTAATCCCATGGAACCTCTACCAAGGAACCTCGGGATCCCACCATCCCCGCCCATCTCGGCTGGTCCATTTCAGCACTACCTGCAGGTCTTTGCAGAGATGGAATACGGCCTCGTATAGAAAGAGATTCAAAGCCAGGGAGTGACGTCTACCATTCAGCACCCCGACAATGCCTTCCCAGCCCCCCTCCCGTGGCGAAAGGCCGTTCACTCACTATAAAGATAACAAACATCCAACCCTTCTCTCCTTGTATTATCTATTCCCTATAGCACCACACCTATCACAATTATCTACCTCGTATACTATCTCAAAGAAAATGTCCTACCCTATCACTCCCGCATTCATCACGCGAACCGTCGGCTGGGATCCGGCCCGCGCCCATCCAGCCATGCAATGGATGGAGAAATGCACGCACGCCTGGGACACTCGGCAAAGCTGGTCGGAGTCGTACACCCATTGGGTCACGGACGATTTCACCTTCATCAAGGCCAATGGCGAGCGGGCTACGGGGGGCGAACCGGCCTGGGAGTGCATGAAAGCTGAATACGGCATGTTTAAGGCCTCACACCATGAGCCCCGCTGGGTGTGCGTGGTTGAGGTTGACGATGGAAGGGACTTCGTTGGCGAGGGGACGCTGTTTATTGATTTGCCGGCGGAAGGAAAGGAGCCAAAAGCAGCTCGGGATTTGGATGGTCGGGCGTGGGATTTAGGTGTTGAGAGCATGTTTAGGTTTCATTTCGTGAGGTATCAAGGGGCAGTGAATGATGGGTTACGGATCAAGAAGTTTCAGATGTATAATGATGGTGGACTGGTGTTGGCGGAGATGATGCGAAGGGGGATTGTGACGACGTAGCAATGGATTCAAGTGAGAAGATAATTTGGAGCTAGCTGCTTTGAGAATATGGAGCTGAGACTTGTGTTGCTATTCTGATACTCCTCATAATGAGCCGTTGTGGCAGGGTCTAGGGCTCAACCGGAGATGGTCACGTCTGCAGCACTGGCAGTGATGGACCACCTTCACATTCTCCAGGACCCCCTCCCACGCTTATCTGTAATCCCCCATTGGAATCGGCGTATTCGCCTATCCAGCGTTGGAAAATCCTCGTCTTCTAAAACAGCAACGCACGATGAGCCAGAGGCTGTGAGAATTGGAATGTTCTTCGAGATGTTCGCTCTATAGAACACCCACATTGCTACCCCTAATATCTCATAACCGGCGGGTACATTGAAGCCGCACAGACGACTCCGGATGGGCCGCAAAGTGGCAGGACTTATGGTTCGGGGCAGGAGCACGTTGGAGTGGAATGCCACGCTCATCACAAAGTGTAATATCAAACATGGTGACGAATCTCGCCACTAGCATGCACGTTTGAATTTTCACCAACTAGGTATGGTTAGCCTCCGTCCATTGAACCCTAGATGTTCAACTTACCCTTCGTCCGGCTTTGCAAGTAGGTCATCGAGACTTGTGTTAGACGTATATCTGTTAAGAGAGGAACCCACTTACGGCATTTCTGACGCCCTGCTCCAAAGCCAGCATACGCCAGGGGTTCCTTCAGATGTTCTGCACGATCCGACAGGAAACGTCCCGGATCCCAGCGTTGCGGATAGGGGTAGATATTCGGGTCCATGTTCGCTTCTTCAGCGTGGTAAGTCTGATCCACTGTCAGCAGACCCGGGTATAGGAAGGGTTCGGGGGGCAGCCCAGGCTTACCACATAGGCCCCTGGCGGTATCACCTCGCCTGTATCTCCAATTGGAACATCAGTTGGGCTGATGTTCTTACGACAAAGCAGCAACCCAGCGGTTAGCCGAATGCTTTCCAGGTGACAGGCGTCAATGAGCGGAAACTCGTTTTCCCAGGCATGCGCATTCAGGGTTCGGAGGACTTGCTCCGCGGATTCGCCATCTTTTCGATGCTTGGCGACCACTTGGTTCACCTCCTGGCGGATTCTAGCCATCCAAGATGCATTGGTGGCAAGCCCCACCAGTAACCACGAAGCCACTGTCGGAGAATTCCCCTGAGATGCAAACACACTGGACAGCACGATCTGCAGCATGACAGTCAGTTATCTCCGGAAAATCTTTGAGAAGATCCTCTTCACCTTCAGAATAGCTCTCGTACTCCTCCCCTTCTCAATCAGACTCGGTAGCATGCTCTCATTGTAAAGATCTCGTTTGTGCGGCTGCTGCTGCTGCTGATTGCGAATGATCTTCCACATCATCACGTACAGTCGTCCCATTGCAATCATGACGGGGATATGGAACGGGTTCAGAAGCCAGGGAATCACCATGTCGATGGCCGAAAAGGTTCCATCAATTGCACTTACTAGCTCACTTAGCTTTCTCGATAGCTCGGGGGAGCGTGCCACCTCGTCGACTCCTAACACTGCCATGGTGGACTGCGCGTAAAGCCAGCTCAGATCCTGGAAAGGATCAATCAGACCTTTAATTTTAATGCGGTTCAAGGTCGAGGTGGTGCATGCGTCTATGGCTGCCGGTATGAATTCCAAGCTCTGGGTACGCAGCAATGCCGTGCGCACCGTGGTCCGAAAATACGAAATATGCGTCTCGATGGATGGATCGTTTGCTGCCTCGACCGCACTGGTGAAAGGGACGAACAGATCGACCCTAGATTTTGTACTCGAGTCAGCGGGCTACTTGAACCATGTGTATCAAGAAAGGAGCGACAACCGAACCCTTGTTCCAGATCAAGATCCCGACACTCGAAAAAGGTCTTGCGGCCCTGGGGACCGGACAGGCCCACAACTCGTTGTCGACCGAGGTAGTAGCTGTAGTTTCCGGTGGGAGAGGCTGTCTTACTGCTCTGGCAGAATCTTCCCCGATCGAAGAAGAGTCGGAGGGCACCCACCACCGGGTATCCCGAGATGAACTTGGGGGCATTGGCGGGGAAGGGGCGCTTATTGAGCAGGATCGAACATCGGACAAGGCATAACAAGACAAGAACATAAAGGCCCAGAGGAAGGGCATGGGAAACCATGTCAAACATGGCGGCTATGATTTGCGAGGAACGAGGTGTCTTCAAAAGGCGCGGGCTGATACTTCCATCTATATAAAGGTGCCCGAGATCTCAAGCGCAGCCAAGACAGAGCAGCCCCTTGACTATCGATTTCGCAATTTCAAAGACAGCACGGTGCACCCTGGGAATTGAAAAATTAGCGTCTCAACTGCAGCAATTATTTAAAGAGGGTGGGATCTATCATCAGCGGTGTGTTGATCGGCATGACAGGTAGACCGCTGGATGCGGCCAGTTCCGATAAATCGATGGAGACCGAACTGCCTCGGGGATCTGGTTTCGCAGAATCTATTTCTGCGTTTGCAGCTGCCAATTTAGTTCATTAGCTTACAGTTCAATGTTGTGACGAAGCTGTCACTGATTATAGAAACAACCAAAAGGAGTAGCCGGCCAGAATCTCAGCCGAACCTTCCTGTTATGTCGATGGCCCGCGGGATATCGTCAATGATTTGGCAAGAGCAGGTATGTGTACGTCATGGTGAATCGCATCGATGTGGCTAAATTGATGGGGTAGGTCCGGCCTGCTTATGGCGTTATAAGAAGTAGGCCCCCCCTAGGAACACTGTTGAATCTCCCTCCCCAAGCTCTATGTCAGGCACCATCAGCAATGGCAAGCAAGTACACCTTGAAGGTCAAGAACCATCTGGGTGGAGATCAGAGTGATGTGACGCGCCCATTCTATACCAAAACGACCGACACAGAGGGGTGGCACCTGGTGGTGACGGAAGATTTAGGACGCTTGAGGTGGATTTATGTTCATGACAAGGAAGAGCGCAAGAGTAGGTCTCAAGATGCGACAACCAAATTCTTCCTCGATCGTCCAAGGGTACGTCATCCGTAGCCTCTGTCCTCCGGGGGTTAAATACGCTGACAAGAACGATCCAAATGTAGGGCATTCTCGACTCGGGCGCTGCCAAAACGGCCTCCGAGGCCATCTACAAAGGGATCCAATTTCAAACCAACATTCAGGTCCGCGGCTTGGGATGCTGGGCGGCCGACCTGAGTTGTATCTTTTTCGTGACCCCGATGTTGATCATCGCCTGGTACATCACCGGCGCCGAGATCGATGAAGCCTACATGATCGAATTGGTCCGCTTTATGTTCAAGCTCCAAAACCCCGAGGACGGCGGCTGGCCGACGTATTTGCACGAGGAATCTTCGTTGATGGGCACAACATTGGTCTACATTGCACTGCGGCTCATGGGAGTCCCTGCTGATGATGAGCACCTTCGCAGAGGCCGGTCGTACTATGTCCGCCAAGGAGGAGCGGTCTATCTGCCGGGCTGGGCCAAGTTCTGGCTTGCGCTTCTGGGTCTCTACGACTGGGAAGGCACCGATCCTTACCCAGTGGAGGTGTGGTGGGTTCTGAGTCTCATCATTCGGCTGTTTTGAGGACGTGATGATAACTGATTCGATACTAGGCTCCTGCCAAAGTGGCTTCCTCTCAGTCCATGGAAATGGTTCGTCATCTCAAGACAAGTCGGTCTCCCCATGTCGTACCTCTCATCCCGAAGGTTTACCCTGCCGACCAACGATCTCTTGGATGAGATTCGGACGGAATTGTTTCCAGAAGACTTTTCCTCTGTCAATTTTGCCGCATTCGAAGGGGTAGTGAACCCGTTCAAGCGGCATCAGGCAAAAGGTTGGGTAATGCGGACTCTGAATTGGACACTTGCCAACGTTTGGTACCCGTGGATTTGCCCCAGTAAGCTGAAGGAAAAAGGGGAACAAGAAGCGTGGGAAATCCTCCAGCATTCAGAGCGGGCCAGCACCTCGACCGGGATCATAAGTCTCGAGGCCTGGTTGAATATGATTGCCTTTTACTGCGCCGAGGGTTCCGGATCTCCTGGTCTCAAGCGCATACAAGAAGTGAGCTTAGAGTATTTGTGGATGAGCTCTTCGGGAATGCAGTCCATGAGTATCCACGGGGGCCATGGTTGGGACACATCTTTGGCGCTGCAGACGCTCGTGTATACGGGTCTTGCCAATCATCCTGGCTTTGAAGATAATGCCATACAAGCCTATGAATTCCTGATACAGCAGCAGCTTGTGGAAGATTGGAATGATTCCCCCCCTTGCCATCGCCCAAGTCGCCTCGGGGCCTGGTCGTTTACCACCCATTACCATGGCTTCCCCTGTTCCGACTGCACAGGTGAGTCACTGAAGGCCATCCTGATGCTCGAAAGCGAGACGAATCTGAGACGGATGAGTGAGAAAAATTATCGCTTGGCGGTGGACAACCTACTGCTGATCCAAAATCCCAGCGGGGGCTATAGCAGTTTCGAGCCTATTGGTGCCGGTCCCTGGCTTGAGCACCTCAATGGGACCGAAATGTTTGGCCCAGTAATGACAGAACACGACTACGTGGAATGCACCTCCTCATGTATCACGGCGCTGGCGTTGTTTAGGGCTCGGAACAGCCAGTATCGGTCCGAGGAGATCGATACTGCCATTGAGCGAGGGGTGAAGTTTGTGGAGACCAGTCAGCAGGCAGACGGTAGCTGGATGGCTTCTTGGGGAATTACGTTTACATATGGCGCTTTCTTTGCCATGGAAGCCTTGCATTGTGGCGGACGCACATATGAAAATTCGTCCGTGGTCAGAGCGGGCTGTCGCTTTCTCCTTGACATGCAGGAGTGTGATGGAGGGTGGGGAGAGACCTTAGAGGTGAGTGTCATCCAGCATGCCTGAGAATACCACGGAGACTTGGCAACTAACCCTTGTTCTCCACCAGTCTTGCATGTCGGGTTTATATGTACGAGCACCCAGGTCGCACACAGTCCAGACAGCATGGTCTTGCCTCGCTTTGATGTACGCCGGCTATCCTGATCTAAAACCCATTCAACGAGGACTTGATCTCATCAGAAGTCGACAACAACCTACTGGTGAATGGGAACAAGAGTATCCCGTCGGAAGTGGGATTCTTACATGGTATGTTTAGCACGCAGCCAACAATTGAGGCCACTGCTGATCCGCTGCAGTCATATTCAATACCACAACTACATCTATTCTTTCCCGATCCGGGCATTGGCGATGTATGAGAAGAGGTACGGAGAGGGGTTGTTCTTTAATGATCGGATTAGTTGATTCGAATGTTCGTGTTGTGATGGCAAGGCTGCATTGTATGACTGGTATGCCCACATTTCTACCTGTCTGCAGCTACGGGTTTAGATTTAGTGATACAGTTGCGTGAAGGCCACTCAGCCGATAGGGAATGTTCTTAGTTAAATAGCTTAGCAAATCCAAAATTATCACTGTCACTCTTCAGGTTCATGATCCACTTGCATATGCCCAACATAGATCCTCAAAAACCAAGAAATAGTATGCCCCATTAAGGGGCGTGCTAACCAAGACACATGAAACCTGTTAAGGCGGCTTGGACGAAAGTCCATACAGAGTAGCAAAAAAGCTCAACAACCACTCTTAACCCAGAGTACTCGCCCGCGACATCAAGTCTCCAACAACTCCATCCCTCTTCTCACCTGGTGTTATCAACGATCTTCTCTCCTTCCCCCTTACCTCTCCTTTCTGTCTACCATACTCACGATTCTTCGGATCTATCGCCAAGGCATGTACGGAAACCAGAGACTTTCCTTCGAGGTAGAGACTGGCTGCAATGGTGGGTGTGGTCTATGCACAATATCATCATGAGCTCTTTCACCTTCTCGATCTGGGGTCTCTGATAGGTTAGAGAGTACATGCCAGCATCTTTGATCTTGTTTCTGCACAGTAGAGTAACGTTATCTAGTCTGTAGATATTCTGGTGGCTACTGGGGGGAATTGATGTATGAATAGAGGTGTTGATTGTATGGATCAAATTGGTGTGATTCTTGTGGAGATGGGAGGTTCTTAAGATTTGAATTGTATTGTGAGAGTAGGTAACAGAAGCAGCGAAGCGAACATTTGGACGAAGAGGGGAGAAGGGGTTGCAGGAGGTAGGGCTTCCTTGCTGTCTGAGCGCTTGTGAGTCATGACAGTATATTCCAAAGCAGGGCACAGAAGTAATTTAATGAACAGGGATGCGTGGAATTGGTTAGTGACCAGCCTATCATATTGCTGGGCTAATGCAATGTAACATAACACATCCCTAGCTGTCTTTAGTTTGGGGCTTGGGGTTAGTATGTATTTTTGATACAATCATTCTTGAAATACATAGTATATAGAGTGTGTGTATCTTAAAAATAGTCAATATAGTGACAATTTAAGGGGACCTCGCTATATACACGATGCCAGCAAGATTACTGACCCCAGAGGGTCTGATAAATTCATAGAGTTCAGGCACCTGTTCGGACTAGAGAGGTGAATTAGTAGCCTGTCTAATTCCTTTCGTATGATTCCCTTCTTAAAAGGATTAACATACCTACATTTTGCCACCAGAAGAGCGCGGATATAGTACTTTTCTTGATTACACACGGCGTGTTTCCCCTGTTACCCGATAGGACAAAGCTGTCGGTGCTTATTGGACCTCAGTGGCGCGATACTAGTAAGATACGCCATGGAGGATCCTGGAAGTTCTGAGAACCTGAATAGGAGGGTATTTGAGTGTGAGTCATCTGGGTTTGTTGTTGTATGTATTTGTACCTATTTGATACTGGGTGTCAGTAGTTCCTAACCAGAACAAAAGCGACATCTCCTGGCCCAAGGGTAAATGCAATTGTGGTACATCCTAACGCTCGGTAGGTATAATGTTCAAATCATCGTGTTGTAGCAGTCATGGTCTTGACTCCTACCTTGGATGCCAAATTAAGCTGTTCCTCCTCCCCGTTCCATAGTTTAGTTCCCAGAATTCTTTAAAAAGCCCAACCCAGACCGTCCCAAGTCATGCATCGCAGAAAAATAGTTCTCTAAAGCCAGTCTCCCCCAAATATATCATCAATCAGAGCCCTTGACCAATGAGTAACCCGCCTAAGTACCCAAATTACTTCAACTCACCACTCTTCCCCTCCCCCTTCTCTTTCTTCTCCTCCGGATCATCAACCAACTCATTATTCTGCATCCCAAAAGTCAACACCGCAGCAGCAACCGAAGCCGCCATAGAAAGAAAAAACACCCCCCGCGCCGCCCGAAGATAAATATGAATAGCAGCCTGTTTCTCCACACCACTCAGCAGATCCAAACTATTATAGTTTCGCGAGATGCGGTCCGCCAAACCGGGCTGCCCACGGAACAGCGATTGAAGAGACTCGACCGACAAATTCTGAAAGATAGTAGCCGCGATGGTCTGGCCGATAGTAGTGCCCGTGTTACGCACAGTAAAAGAACAAGATTGCACCACGAGGAGATGTTGCTTATCGGTAGAAGTGAGCAAACCCATCAGTCTGGTCACGTAGGCGCCACCGGATCCGGCACCGTAGATACCGAGATAGATGAAGGGGGCCCAGGAGGGAGTGGACTCGGTCATGGTGCAAAGCATGGCTGCGCCAAGCACGGAGCAGGCCTGGACGGGGTAATTGATGAAGTAGTATTTAGAGGTAGCTTTGACGAAGAATCCGGCGGCGAAGGAGCCGAGCGCGAAGCAGAGAGCTAGAGGGATGAATCGAAGGCCGCTTTGGCCGGGAGAATGGCCTAGGACTTCTAGATAAACGGGGACGTAGTACATGATGCTGGTGTTGGCGAAGTTGGAGAAGAAGGAGCTCAGCTGCGAGGCGGCCACGGTGCGTTGAAGCAAGGCTCGGACGGGGATGTGTGGATTCGTGGCGTGGTAAAGTTCCCAGTAGATGAAGGTTATGAAGCCTATCCCGGCGATGATCAAGGTCGCGAGCACGGCGGAGCTGTTCCAGGCGAAGACCGAGCCGGCGGAGTTCATTCCGAATTGGAAGAGGATGATGATGACGAGGAGAGAGGCCATGCCGATGTAGTCGACTGGGCGCTTGACAGGCCGGCTCTTGCCTTGAGGGATGTTGAGGAAGAAGGCAACCATTGCGATGTCCAGCACGATGAAGGGTACTTGGATGCGAAATGCCCATTTCCACCCGATGGCGTTGGCGACGCCACCCCCGTATACGCCGCCGAGAGCCAATGTAATGCCGTAGGTGATATTGCCGATGCCTTCGATCAGGGCCCGCTTTCTCATCGATACGAGGTCGGTTTCGACGAATGCAGTGATGGTGCCGATGCAGCCTGCGCCGAGGCCTTGAATGATGCGGCCGAGCAAGAAGACTGACAGTCGGGGTGCCAGTCCGCATAGCAGCTGTCCTATGACGAGGACTGAGAGGCAAATCACGAGGCCATATCGCCGGCCAACGAGGTTGGTCAGTTGTCCGCTGAATGGCTGTGAGATGGAGAGTCCGATGGGGTAGGTGGTAGCGATCCAGGAATACGATGCGAAGGCATCAAAGTCATCACAGATATCTTCAATGATTGTGGCAAGCATGGTCGAGTCTACGAATGTTAGAAACGGGTCATTATATGGCAAGGATGGGTGGTTACCTAATGCGCTGAGCAAGACTCCAAGCTGGGAATAAAGTGCAGTGTTAGAATTATGTAGACAAATGACTTGCTAACACATTGTGGGACAGAACTGCTTACCCAGAGACCTAATAGAATGATCACGAAGCGGGCAGTCGATGGCTCTTGGTCTGATCCATCAGAGCTGCTCACAGTCTCTTCAACCACAGTAGTCGGGGAAGATTCCGCCTCCACCACAAGCTCTATTGCATCTGGATCCTCAAACCCATCGTCGACTCTGATAGATCTCTGTGTATCGGCCATGGTGTATGAAATGTGGACGATAAGAGCAAAAACAAACAATGGCTACGATAAAGAAATAAAATTGAAGACAAGAAAGTCTTTGACAGGAGAAATAATGCTGAAGCGATTGTTACCCAACTCACCAACCATCCTTGTCCTAGTACTCGAGTACCTTGAGGACAGCATTGGGTTATCAGATGACAAGGAACAGTCGACCAACATCCAGACTAGGGCCATCTAGCGGCTCGCCATGACCATTAAAAGAAGCTTTTCCAGTGGGGAATCCTGGTGTGGACTGCGGGGGTAATGGCGTATACGAATCACGGCCTTACAACCATTTCGTCTGTATCTCCTGAAAATGCTACCTAGTAATGCTTCCTGCCCGGAAGTATCTCACTCGTTTATGCAGAGCCTGAAATAATATGATTTAGCTGGCTGGTATGATATCCACGAATCATACAGGAGAGGCTTGACGTGATCGAATGGGATAATTCCATTAGATGAATCTTTTCCAAGTGTGAGTCATCGTCTCACTTGTACTAGAAAGAAAACAGTGTCTGTGCCGGGATCCGGGACCCCGGATAATTTAGGTAACTCCGCTCATCATGTGCTTCATTTGGTGTCTGCCCCAAAGCGTCTAGAGTGATCGCTTTGCCAGGCTCTTAGAAAGAGCCATCAAGTTCGCTTCCTGCAGTTTTATGAAAATCACCACCAATTTCTTGCTCACAGAAAATGATTCTACAAAGAAAAGCTTTCTCCTAGTTCCTGATTGATACGCGATTTATGTCATCTTATCTTTAAGACCCTTGTCTGATTGGCCACTTATGAACTTCAGGGCGATAGAGCCTTACCTATCTAGGGATGGTATGATGTGACCCTTTATGACATTAACCACATTACAATTAGCGTATGCTAAGCAAGGCCAAGCATGGCTGGGCAAGGCTTTTCAGCAACAGATGAGCCAACCAGCATTTAGTCCCCACTCCACTAGCCAGGGTCCGACGGATAGGCCGGAGCATTACCCCTCTTATGATGTTGCTGCCTGCTCAAAGTTGCTGCCTGCTTATGCGTTGGCTGCTTGCTGTTCATGATAGGTTGGTTTCCAGTCGCTTATAAAATTCAGCTTACATTATTATGGGGCCAACGAAATAACGGTCTAGAGGAGAATCGTAAATTATGGATCCGAGTTACTTATAATAATCGTCTGATCTATTTTCCTGGCCAGAGGGCACCCGCGATTACATGTATCAGAGTCGTATCGAAAACCTGGCGCTAGAGCACATGGTGGATGGTCATAGTTGTCGACTGTCTTCCCGGATGGTACCGCTCAGAAAACCGTCTGCAATTGATAGAACCCCTGTTTCAGCATGGTGCTGAGTTCCCCATTCAACAAGGATTACCAGAGTGAGGTTAAGGTGCAGTTTATGGAAAATAGTTTTTCTGCAGCAGTTGAGGTGGCGGACAGTGCAGAAGCTAGGTTAACATAGGGGCTGGGCACATATGAAGCGGCAACAGCAAGCCCTTGATCTTATTATAGAGATTTGTGTGTGAGATTTCCGTGCCTTTGAAGGGATGGAGATTGGCAATTATCGTTATGGGCCTGAGACTACCCGGATATGGAGACGCAGTAGAGTTTTTATGGAGGATCAGACCGACTGGGATATTGGGTGAGGAATAAAGGCTGTGCTGTTGGTTTTCTGCTGGTTTAAGAGAAAGAACTATCCTTATAAATTGTTTGCGATTGGTTAATCGACATTGACATTACACATGGTTGACCGCCAATGTCGGTCGACAAGAGTTTAGGGCTAAGGCCCCTTTCCTAAAATCATTCCCTCCCTAGTTCCAACTCAAACATTTCACCCGACGCCTAGTTACAGTAAATATTAGTCGAATAACGAGGTATCCTAAAGAGGATCTCCAGATATTTCGGGTTGCCATCAGAGGTCTTGGTTTGGTCATCTCGGGAATGGGGGCCTATTGTATTAAGGGCTCACTGCACACTGCATGCTCTTTGTCTTTGTCCAATATCAATCTCTTCATCTACCAATTGTGTACATACGACCACAGGGTGTGGAGAACAGGGCTTCCCGTCCGCTCAGCCGTACTTAAGCCACACGCCGGGAGGTTAGTAGTTGGGTGGGTGACCACCAGCGAATCCCTTCTGTTGTATGTTTTTCTGCCTTTTTGTTTGGTGCCTAGTTGTTTTTGAATGTAGTAAACCACAGTTATATTATGAGCTTCCATAGTCCGTTTACAATCACGTCTATAATTCTCTGCCTTATCTGAAACCCGGTCGCCTCTCCTCTTCTGAGTCATAGCCTACGCAAGCCGTTGTCGGATCACCCAGTCCCTCCTGTCTACGCCCGCAAATAGCACATGTGCTATCGTAGCATCAAGCAGTAACATCTATGCTGACTCTGTCGATAAACCCAGCATCTACTACCCCGTAAAGGCGGGGAATGTTACACATCAGCCCGAGAACCAATAAGCATAAATTATCCGTTCGAAAAGAAACACAGATTACCCCACATGTACAAGCATAATCCCGTCAGCTGAGCTATTCATTGTATGACAACTCCGACAGTAGAGGGTTGTGTTACCATCCACTAAAATAGAACGTAGGAGTCATCTATGTTAAAGAGGGGTTAACTCTTCCTCTTCTTCCTCTTCTTTCTCCACGACTTCCCATCATTGCTTCCTCAACCCCCTCGCGCCTTTCTCAATCATCACATACTAGTTTCAAACAAACAGCATAATGCACATTCATTCCATGATCATCGCATCCCTCGCCTATCTGGCTACTTCCGCCCCTCCTGCTTCTCCTGAAGCCGCAACCGACGATGTCGTTCCCGCTGCCTGCGGATATCCTAACGGAAACTGCTACGATAATGACTGCCATGGCGAGCTTAGTAGGGATCGGGTTACTTGTACTTCGGTATGTGGTTTTTCTTCTACGATGGTGATGCAGGGGGCAAAGCTGAGTGGTTGCTAGGGCCCGTATCTAGGTTGTCAGTGTGGATATGGCTGTGGGAGGGATGTTGGCCCGTGTAATGAGAATGGTTGTAATGGGAGTAATGGACGATGCAGGAATAATTATTTGGGATGTAATTGTCGTTGAGTGGAGTGAGGTTGTTTGCCTCCGGAGAAGTCTTTGGGGGGTGGTCCTGATGGTTGAGATAACGTGTCTGGTTCTGATGTTGATGCTTTGGTGTTAATCATTAGTTGGAACCTTGGACGTAAAAGATGAGCAATGAATTTTTCATAAAACTACATACAGGTTTCGCAATGAGATATAGAACGAAAAGGGAATCATTTAACTCCTTGATTTGCAAAGGGAGGTGCTACAACACACTGTGAGGATTTCACATAACCCTACCCGTGGTTCTATCTAAGTAAGCTTATAAGGGATGCGCGTTTATGCTAAAGAGCTTAGAATTCTAGTTTTTGCCGGACTGCTGAGTTAGTAAACTCTTTCTCTGGTAGGATCCTGTGACTTGACGGACATTCACCGGCCAAGCTATGACCATACCTTTTGTATACTCCGTCTATCATGTTAGGTAGCGCCTACGTTTTATTAGCTAAGTAGGATATTGACTGTTTTAATCTATATTTGACGCACACAGTTTATGCCGGCCAGGGCCTAGTAGGGAAAAGCAATTTTGTGCTCATGACAAGGCAGTGACTGTCATCCTTGATCGTTCACACTTCTTACCACATTTATCGTTCCAAAGTTCTAAACTCACATCCTGATAACAGAGACAGAATGGACCTCGAGGCGATGGCCCTCTTCCCATCCTGACAAGTTCATCATCCCACCACTAGCTTCTTGGAGCCTTTCAAGTACATAGTCCCAAGTGCCCTCATATAAAACATTGTGATGCGGTTCAAAGAGACGACGCTCACTGTTCCATACAAATATCGGGAACCCGGTGAAAGAGTCCAGCTCCCAGTGCTGGCCCGCTTTAATAACATCCCCCTCTAGCATATCTTGAGCATTGGTGACAACAAAGATTTTTTCAATGGTACTCCAATACACACGACGGAACAAATCTCCGAGAAAGAAACGTTTGCTCTCGCAGATTTCCATGGGTATGGCAATATGCGTATATCCCGGTACACCCACGGTCACTGCCCTAGGACCCAAGCGTTCTGCTTGGACTAGCATCCACGGGTCGACAATAAAACAAGCCCACTCGGTGGCTGGAATGAGTATGATATCGGATTGTGGGTTGAAGGAGCGCCGGAAACGAAAGGATGAAGTTTCTGGATCATACATCATTTGGATCCCATGCTTACGCATCCAACGTAGCACAACGTATCGGGTCTCACAGTTCACAAAGAAGAGCGACGTACTGAATACGAGGTCGCGTAGACGGCGATGCTTGAACTCATAGTGTATATGAGTCTCACTCACGCTTCCTCTTCCCCAGCAGCCTAATCGGTACATGTACAGTGGCCGTCGGAGCTTGGGCAGAGCTTCTTCCCAAATCTGGAGGCGGAGCTCAGTAGGTAGACAGGGGAAGAGAGGAAATCCAATGGCTGCTGTATCCATGACTGCTCAGATCGTATGCCCGTTTGGCATTGATGTTGTGAGGAACGAGGATGGGTGTCGAGAGTTGTCTTCGAGAATTTGATCGTGAATGATGAGTGGTGGATAAGGATCGATACTCTAACGACTAGAATAATAATATGAGCCACTTAGGTAATATCAGATGCTGTTGTTATCTCAGAGAAAGTGATGGTAAAAGCTAAAACATCAGGCATAGGCTCTAAAGATCTTTGTTGAGCCAAAGAGGCATGCACACCAACTCTTGTTTTTCGGGGAGATGAAGAAGGTGCTAGTCATTTGAGAGACAGGCGCTGAGTACTCCTTCCTCCTTCTTGCCTGCCACCTCGGCTTCTCTTCTTCGTTCATCCCCCTTGTCCACTTTTTAACGGCCACGTGCAACTGAATCCCGAGAATTGATTCATCTCCTCCCGAAATCCACTATCCTCAGTTGGCCTCCTGCTGGCAGGAATTGAGCAAGCTCGACTACCCATCGACTTTGGTGCACCAGTCCAAATAATAGGGTGATCTGGGAACCTGCAGGACAGAAGGATATCGGGTCTAATGCTAAGAGTCGAAGAGGGAAGACACGAAACCGTATCCAGTGTCGCATATCCCAAGCCACTCCTTCACGACTTCGATGTGAATCGACTCCTCGCTCTAAGTGCCGCCCCAAACCGATATAAAGAGAACATACCCAGCGTACAGAGGACACACAGCCCACCAATCAAGGACGTGCCTCCAGCAATCCCTAACCTCCCATAAAGGAAATTCGCAATCAGGACCGCAACACATGCCACAGTTGCCTTGGCGAATCCATTGCCCCCGAAGAGCGACGCCGCGTATCGCGGATACGCAAGCGCGATATATACATAGATAGACTGGAAGATGATGGCGTTGCCGCCAGACACCAGCATGGCACCAATCGTGGGCACGATCCAGTGGATATTGGAACTGCGACCGGTCCAAGCGAACAAAAACAGGCCCGCGGGGATGACGATTGACGCACCAAGCGCGGGCACCAGTCGGTCCTCCGGCTCGGGTGGTAACTGTCCAGGTTTTGCCGCGCGCATGGGTGCGTGCACCTTCCAGTGGATGAAGGCGAAGTATGGGATCGCGGCCAGAAGGGTGCCAACCGGCACGCAGATGTATATCAGGCCCATTCGGCCCACTGTCATTCCGTGTTGGTCCATGTAAACCAATGGGAAGACTTCGAAAAAGAGGTAGTATGCTGAGTAGACGAGGCAGCAGTACAGTGTGGTGAATAGGATCGACGGGTCCAGCGCATTAATCTTCCACGGCATGATGAGTGATGAATACACAATGGCCGCGACGGATAGTCCCTCCTCCCCAGTCTTTTCTTGTCGCTCGATCTCGTAGTGTGAAAGCAGGCTGGGATCATGTGTGACGCGGCGGAGGCGCCTGGATCGTGCGTATAGGATGCGAGGCGCGGATGTTTCCGGCAGGAGCAACTATACACTGTTTGTTAATCTAAATGAAGGATAAGCTCCATCACACATGCACGTACCACTAATATCAAAGTAGGAACCGCCAGAATTACAATCTCCCAGAGAGGAAAACGCCACCCCTCAGGGCCGACGGCGAAGCCGGAGATGATGGGCCCAATTGCAGGGCCCACAAAGGCGAACATGGCCCACGAGTACATACCATAAGGCAGTTCATATGTGGTGGTGATATCGGCTAACGAGGCTCCCCCGGTGTTCATAATGGCTGAAGACATCCACCCTTGCAGTAGTCGCATGATCGTGATGCCCGCGACAGTGTTGACGAACGGTGCACCAATTGATAACAGCGTGAATAAGACGATGCTGACGACATATGGAGGGTTACGACCCACGGCCGGGATTTCGGATAGAGGCGAGAGGAACAACCCCCCAGACCCATAGCCAAACACGAACAACCCCAGGCCTAGAGATGAGACCGTCTTCGAGACGCCGAAAATCTCCGGCAGCAACATTTGCGACGGGGTGAAGATCGACACGGAAGCTTGGCCGGTGGCAGTATAGAAGCAGATGATGATGTATACCATGGCCTTCTTCCGACTGCTCCAGTTCTTTGGGTTCTCGGGGTCGTTGACGCCATACCATGTTACCGGAGGAGAGGATCTCGCAGACTCGAGAGCTGCGGGTGATGCATCGGCATTCGATACGGTGGGCGTTCGAGCGCTGGAGAGGAAGGTATCGGGGACAGTGAATCCATCTTGTTCTTCAGGAAAGCGAAGCAGTTTCCTGCCGCTCAGGAGCTGAATGAGGTGCCCCAGAGGCACATCTCGCAAGAAGGTCAGCATGGATCCGAGGATGCTGGTCGGTGTGGAAGGGGGAGGCAGTCGGCCAGCCCCGGTCGGGTCTTTGTATATTGCTTAAGAAACATCCCTGAGATTGGTTTGTGACCTGGCTAGGTAGGGAGGTGATTATTTGGAGGCAAACTGGTCGAAAATTCTGACAAATGCTGTTGAGTGGGGAGGCGGAAGATATATTCCTCAAATCCCAGTCCCACCGGTGCATATCATCGCACACCCATTGGTAGGAAAGCTCTCTCCCCACAGGGATTTCTCATGTTACTATGCATTGGAATTCTAATGGCAATGGAATCATACCTATCGCCTTCGATGGCAACAATGGAAAAGGATTTCGCCCAATTGTGATGAGATTCTGTTGCCCGGCGGGGAAATTGATGAATCAGCAACTCAATAGCAACGCATTACCAACATTATACATAGTAAAAGCAGCAATTGATCCGTAAATCCAATCAAGATAACAATATTTCAGAAAGAAAGAAGCCAAAAAAAAAACAACAGCCATAAAAAGAGAAACATACAACAGAAGGGATTCGCTGGTGGTCACCCACCCAACTACTAACCTCCCGGCGTGTGGCTTAAGTACGGCTGAGCGGACGGGAAGCCCTGTTCTCCACACCCTATGGTTGTATGTACTATTTCTCTCTTTGGAAGGGGTCATATAGGGATCGTGTATTAAACAGATATAGGGAATAAACACTGGGTTCGTGATCTATGCGATAGGTGCAGCTACACGGCATGCAGAGAGGAGCTCTGCTATGTGATATCTATTGCCCACTTCAGATGTGCCATCTCCAGCCAATCATTCCCGTATCGCCCCGAAGTATGTACAATGTCGTGAGTGCATTGGATGCGCCCTATGACCAGATTAGTGATGCATTAGTGATGCAGGTAACAGCCAAAATAAGACCAATGACTGAGAAACCGCCGACACCTGTATAAATACAGAAAATAGGACATAATGTAGCTACTGGTATCTCCGCTCAGCGTGTTCAATCTCACCAGATAGATATAACCCTAACTCTAACTCTAATTATTCACCCTTCTGCGGTTCAATGTTTATAAAGCGGAGCTCGGAACCATCCGCCACCCCCTCTCCCCTTCCCCCCCGCCAAAACCCATCATGCCTCCACGCTGAGTCATTCCACGATACGAAGTCTCTCCGCACCGGTTTAATTACGAGCTATGCGCTCAACTCCACAACCAGATATTTCGCATCGCCTGGGAATCCCATCCCCAACCAATCGCTAATCCCAACCTAACGACATGGTGGGAGTATTTCCAGCCTTCGCGGGATTTACACCAGCATTACCACCCCTGGCTCATTGAATTTCTAAAACGAGCATACTACCTCCCCGATGCCCCTGAGTTTTTCTACTACATCCATGGCCTGAGTGAGCCACGAAACCTGATCGACGTGGACTTCAATGAGACATTCGAGGCGCAGGATTGCTACGTGCTTCTCCACCAGGCCACTCCATGGCAGGGCGGAGATGAATGGGGAATTTTTATTGATCAGATCACATGTCAAGCAGTGTTTGTTGAGGATTTGAACTATCACAACCCGATCTACAATGTTGGATGGGGTTTCCGACCCCTCGAGGATATTTATACTGCCTATCTCCAGATGATCGTGGAATCGAAGGTTCAAAGAGTCCCGCGGCAGCTGCCGTTCGTTGACCTTGATGATAATAGAGTGGGCCCTTGGAATTTGTGCGCGTATACGCAAGCCGATGTTTGCAAGGCAGCTGAGGCCTTCCAATCTTTTCTGAACGAAATCAAGGGCCGGCTTCCGGCATCAACAACCGAGAATAGAATGAGACAGCCGCTTCCTTGGTCCCATTCCAGTGTCCGTACCGAGGCCTCTATCGCACCCAACAGTTTCGTTGATGCCTTCTGCCGCGCCACCACAGCCGGTACCAATACAAACCCCGGGATCAAGTATATCGCGCCTGGTATCCGCCTCCCCACAGCGGAAGAGTTCCCTGCTATCCAGCCCTTCCGCGAGTCCAGTTTTGCCGATGATGAATCCGCCTGCCCAATTTTGCCGACCCTGCTTTTCATCGCCGAGGGAGAAGAGGGCGAAGTTGCGTTGACAGTCCCGGACCCAGGAATCAAGCTCAACTCACTTGTCCGTCGTAAGTTCTCTTCCGGTGGCGCTCAACCCCGGCCAGCAGGGCTCTACCTCAGTGGCGATGATCGCGCACATACCCCTTTTGAGAACGGATGCCACCTGCTCTTACCCTTCGGGGTCGGTCGAAACCGGTGGGCGCGCCGCAGCGACAATACATACATGGGAAAAGGATGGGACCGGGAATATGATATCCAGACGGCAGATCAGAATTCCGAGCTGTACCAGAGTGTGTTTAACGGAATGGTGCCGCACCGGCATGTTCTGCTGCATATAGTGTTGAGTCACTGGGCGGAGCAGGTGAAAACCGGGAGGTGGAGGGTTGGTGAGACTGGTGTGATGAGAGAGATTGGGGTTTGGCGAGAGGCGGATACAGAGCAGGGGTGGAAGATGTATTGGGTGCCCTCGACTTGGTAGACTACCAGTTGGCTGGGTAGAATACTGACAGATTTCTATATAATCTTTATTCAAGGCCTTTGTGTTTCAAACCCGGGTCTTTAGCATTCTTTTGAGATAAATGTAACTTTACCTTCGAATATAAAGGGAACAGATACCATTTTAAAAGAGATGTCGTATAGATTCGCTCTTTGTTTATCATAAGCTTTATTCTACATATAATCACCGCGATGCCACATATTTCTTTCGATAATGGGAGCTTGAACTCGTTTGGCAAATGCTTATCGCAATCCCCATACATTTCCCAGATATATTCCGATTCGAAGATAAAATTGGTATGTATAACCACAAGGTGTGAAGAACCGCTGAAGAGGGCTCGCTGCATCGAATTCGGCTCGATTACAGTCTGCTTGAGTTAGCATATCCTCACGTACTTGCAATACCAGTTCTCTGAGATCATCTCATCCACCGTTGGCCCAATCGATGTAGTCATTTAGTTCTTCCAGTGAACCCGAAAAAGGACTTGAAACAGCTTTGTGAAGGTCCGACCGGTCTGAATTGGACCTTGCTTTGCTGATGAGGATTTCTCGACACGTTCGCGTACTCGTAGTGAGAGTAGATGTGGTAATTCCAAACTTGATGTGCGAGTTCGTGTAGTCATAGTTGTTTTGACATGGGCGAAAAGGCCGTCATGCAGGACGAAATCCGAGGAGGCTTTTATCTGAATGGTCGATTGGCGACGATTTCAGTCATAACTTGGTCCTGTCAATGGCAGCAAAAAGCCCGATCGACGATGTCAATGATATGGAGGGCGATGTTGATGGAAGAGGATATAATTGAAAATAATCAAATCAAGTGGAAGGAACCTTGAATGATCGTTCTTCCGATGGCAGAAAAGCGACCGGTGGTGGGAGATGGGATGTGACCTGCAGACGCGTCGACGCGGTCTGACAATCCTGATGTCGGGGATATCGATAAAAAGGGCGACTCAAAGCGAAAGGATCTATCAAAATACTTTGGATGCCAATCTAGACATACCAGGCGGCATGCTCCCACTGTCGCAGCTTACAAAGCTGGATATGACATATGCGCATCTCAATCCCCTATACACTCATTTATGTCATTCCATCATTCGAACACCTCCTCCTGACACGCCGGGCCCCCTTGATCGGAAGGCGGCGGATTTCCCCTATGATGAAGTCAACTAACGATGCTTGTAAAACAGCAATCGAAGACACGTACTCATAATAACAAAGCCATGTATAGTAGATACGGCCATTCTTAGCATCCAGCGTCTAAGGAGATACGTAAGCATGTTAATAATAAGTAGACATATCCTGTGTATTGTGAACTTACTAGAGCTTTGACAAAGTAATCCATCATATCAGCTTCTTCTTCTAGCCAATTCTTGTGGCGCTGATTCATAGATTGAGGTGTGAAAGTTTGGGCACGGTCAAAGTCTACCCAGAGAACTCTGTCCGATGATTCCTGGACCATAATATTTCGAGGATATGTATCTCCATGGATGATACCTGCATCATGTATCTCTGATAGTATAGATCGAAGTTTGTATGACCTTTCCCTCGAAAATTTTGCCAGACTGATAGGGCGAATATCGGGTACATATTCAAGTAAGATCGCGTTAGGATTATCGCCCAGGAAATCCTTCAGGTATGGTAGATGATCAGCAGGCTTGATATGCTCTATAAGACCATAGAACTCGGGAACATATCCTCGATTGCATAGACCCCGTTCTTGTAGTCTCATGAAGGCTGTACTTTCACATTTGAATAGATTGATTTCACGATATGGGGGGTCCGCAGGTGACGGCTCGGTCGAATGGTACTAGCAGAAAACAATGATGTCAGTCAAACTCCTTGCAACTCGCCCTGAATACTTACTACATTGAGGATGCACTCTTTCTCATGCCAACGAACGCGAAAGCCACAGGAGAAGGGTGAGTTCTTGATCTCTTGGATAAATGATATCTCCAACAATAAAATCGGTGTCATTGCTTCGACCTTGTTGAAGAAGAAGGGTGCCGAACGAGACGGGGGTGGATCCTCTGTGAGTCAATGGGTTAATAGTAGCGAGGTATCTCATGTTTCTCACAGGGGCTTCCGGTGGTAAGACAGCAGAGCATCCGATCACATGCCGCGCTATGCCAGATCCGGGACTCCACCGCTCTTCCCCGCGAAAGCTCTTTTCCCCACAGGATGCAGTACTTTTCAATACTGAAAAGGTGTACTTGGATCCCAAGGCTTACTACTATTCTCTAGGACTAACGCACCGGCGGCACGATCGAAGTCAGCAGGCCCTCCATCGGCTCAGACCCACAACTAAGCGGGGAACTGACTTATCATACATATTATGAATAGCCTGATCTTGATCTTACAACCAAGAATACAGCAAATGTGGTAGTTGGTCGCAACTATACTAATAATGCAAGCCGAAGGAAGTGTCACGGAACCGTCCATCCCGGCAACCACCAACAAATACATAAGCGTGTTACTACATCCCACGCGTAAATCTCTATCCTGGCTGACATAGTAACTCCCTACATAAGGATCAATCCGCGACACGCTGAATATATAATTGCCCACTTTCTACTCCTTCCCCATTACTTGAGCACGTCACTCCGATGACCTTCAATTAGTTATCATTGTGTCTTTCCACCTTGATCGGTTCCTCACAACAGTCGGCGTCACATCACTGTTATAATAAACTTCTACCAACAACATGACTCAAGATCCTGAGGATGCTTTGAATATTTCTCTGGATCTTTTACAGATTGGCAAGGAACTGAAAAGATCGGAAGCGTCCTCTATATTCGAGGTAGAGATAGAAGGAACTCGCTACGCGATGAAAGTTGTAAGTAGTTAATAGTGTATTTTTATTTTTATTGGTTTTTTTTTTTTTTCTTATAAAAATTAGATACTAACCCCCTCCCAGTTCCATGATAACGGTGACCCAGGATTCACAGAAAAAGGCCGTGATTTGAACCGTTTTCGCTGTGAATTGAGAGCCTATCGAAATCTGCGACGGTTTGGTGTATGTGATCGTGGATCAGTTCCCTACTATCACGGTTATTTTGATCAACTTGATCCAGCCCAGCTTGCACCGCATCTTAATCATTATATGGAGGATATTAACAACCCAAGTGTCATATTGCTCGAGTACTTGGAGGGTACAGAAGAGCTTAACTGTGTGAATTATTCAGATGATAGCTTTCAAATAGCACTTCGCGGATTGCAAGATATTCACAGTGCTCTAGTTCACCACGATATATATCCAAAGAACATCCTCATTGTTCGTGGACCACCTGAGAGACGTGAAACACCGGAGAGAGTTGTTTGGATAGATTTCAATGTTGCCATGACTTTCACAGATAAACAATCCATAAGCTGGAAGGAGGAAGAGTACTTCAACTATGAAATGAAGCTCGCTGCAAGCTTTGGGGACCTTTTGGTATGTTAAGTAACACATACATGTATCAGAAGAGGTTCTAACGACATTCCAGCGAGAGGATCAGAAAGAAGGCCTTCCTCCAAACACGAAGTTCTACTAAATGACGCGCTCATCCGTTGGCTAGTGACAATGCCTGCTAAATTTCCATATAACGCACCATGAACTAGATCATCCAATGTTAAAGACGTTCTGATATAGTCAAGCGCGGTCATAATCAGGTCGTACAACCGATTCTAAACCTTTCCAGTCTATTGGCATTAATTCTATCTATGCTGTCCGAGGCACTTGGCATGAAAAGGGGTTGAGTGGAGGAATAGGTCTTAATTCTAATTATGGTCTTTGTGGTTAAGTAGGAAAGGCCTAATTTATATGCCCGAGGCTTTAATCTTTAGCTAAGACTCCAGTACGCCTTATACGGAAGGTCCAACAGAGGGCTTGGCGTAGGTTCACTCTTGCATCGGAGTGCACCTGGCAGCTCCCCCACGATTTGAACCATGATATAGTCCATTTCAATACAGTACCTAGTACATACGACCACAGGGTGTGGAGAACAGGGCTTCCCGTCCGCTCAGCCGTACTTAAGCCACACGCCGGGAGGTTAGTAGTTGGGTGGGTGACCACCAGCGAATCCCTTCTGTTGTATGTTCTTCTGCCTTTTTATTGAATCTCAATCCTCTGCTGTATCGTTTTTGCTCCCTATGGAACAATACAGACGGGCCTTAGCAGATGCTTCTGTCAAACACCATTTGCTTCAATGTCCGGGATTTGCTCGCTCGGACAACCCGCCACCTTGAGTATAATGCCACGTCTTTCCCAATCTTGCTCCGATCATGTATCTGACTACCTTTGTAACTGTTTTTACAGCATCCACCTTCGCATCACACATGGCTCGTGATACTTCCTATGTATATCGTGAACCCTTCGACTACTCCAGCTTCCGATGTAATCTCCACCGTGCCCTGCCCCGCCCTGCCATCAGCAACCCCATGTACCGAAATATATTATCATCGATGTTTGTTGATGAAGCCGAACCAACCCCTTATGTCTCCAGCATCCGAGCATCTCTCATTATCGGATATATATTCTGCATCTCAAGAATCGGTAACCTATAGCCGGTCTTCTAACTGCCCGAATCCCCGTTATCTGAATATCGCTACCGACACAGCAGCTCCGCGTTTACGTTTGCATGTCTTCTCTGCTAACACTAGTTCTTACAAGCATAATATTGTCTTTGCATGTCTTTGCAGCCATGTGTGTCAGACAAGCCGTGGGCTCCGGACTGGGCCGATACTGTCGGTTTGCAATGGGGCAATTATACCCGACTAAGCAGGGAGAGGGATATTCCAATAGCAGTGTGATTCTCACAGCCGCCCCTAACCACATTAACCTAAACCCCTAGCTCTACTTCCAGTTCTATTCTTAAAAAGACAGCATATTTGCCCATCCCCTTATCCACTAATGTTCAATAATACCTCATCCCTCAGGGCCCATAACCAATCGATTTAACATACCCAATACCCATCAATCGAGTCAAGCTCACCGATCACTCGGAGATATCCGACCATTTACGCCCCAAGGATCTGGTCTGGACTCTGATCCGAAGCCAAAAATCCTCCTGACCAATCGGAAGCGCAGCGTACCTGAGCCGAATATTGACAGGGTGAAAATAGCCGATCTGGTGTGGTCCTCGGCGGCGCTAGTTGAGGGGTAATTTCCGGAATACGAGGATCGGTGGCGTTGTTGTATTTAGGGTTTGTTGTTGTGGTGTTGTGGGTTGATGGGATGATTAGATTATGGGGATGTGTTGATCGAAGGGGGTTATTTGGACGACTATTGATTTTAGTTAAGGGACATGAGGCGAAAGAACGGACTTTCTCAATATTACATCCAATTAATACAGGTAGTAATCAAACTCAAAGGGTTTGATCTATACAGCACCCCGACACATCAACCCTGCGCACCCTTGACCTGTCCACAGTTTCCATTCGACATCTGAATAGTAGCCGAGGAGCTGTGCACTGACGCCACCGCATAAGTGGTGTCCTGTGAGCATGTAGTGGTCTTGATGAGATAACAGTATTTGACAGAAGATGTGACCGCATTGTAGTAAGACATGGCGCAAGTGGCGCTCTGCATGCAGCTGACGCAGCAGTCGTAAGCAGAATCGGTGTTGCCAACACTCAGACTCTCCCCAGGGACATGGCTGAACGTGATGTAGTACATGTACTGGCCGGCAAACGAGCCGAAGTCCGAGGACAGGGGATCACCAGCAATGTTGTTGCTACCGCATGCTTCGTAAAAGCTGGCGGTCGCAACGGCGCCCACGGCGGTGGTGGTGGAAGTCACGGTGGTGGTCTCGGCGGCGGCGTAGATTGTTTCGGTGATGGTGGAGGTGGTGCTGTAGCTTAGGGTGGTGGAGACGTCGGAGGGGAGTACTGTTGAGGTTTGGGAAATGGTGTTGGTGACGGTTACGGTGGTGGTGGGGATAGCGGCGGTGGCGGTGATGGGGGAGCCGGTGATGGTTGAGACGGTGGTGGTCTTGACGATGATCTTCTCATGGCATTCCACTTCTTGAGGATACTGGTAATCGTCCAACAGAGGAGAGCAATCGGAGTCCTCGGTCAAGGACCGCTTAGCAGCAGTAGTAGTGGGCAGCGTGTCTACGATGGGGGTGAAGTCTGCAGAGCTGGCAATGGTGGAGGTGCTAGTGCTGGTGGTGGAGATGGTGAAAGAGACTGTAGCGGTGACGGCAGCTGGAGTGAGAGTCACTGTCGCTGTGGTATAATCGGTCGAGGTTGTAGAGAAGGTATCGGTGACTGTGGTAGCAGTGGAAGTGACGGTGGTGGTGTCATAGTCTGTCACGACCACAGTGGTGGCGTCGGGAGTCACCGTGACGGTGTCCTGAGTGGTGGTAAAGACGACGACGGGAGTATGGTCATGGAGGGTGCGAGTGATGGTGGTGGTAGGCACCAGGGTCAGCGAGCTAGTTCCCAGCTCTGTCCGACAGGTGACTGTAGGCTCGTTGACACTGCTAGCCACGGGGGAGCTGGCGGCAGGGGAACTAGGGCTGGGAGTGCTGGCCGAGCCCTGACCGAGCAGGAGGCCCGCAACGAGGACAAAGCGGTAGAGAGACATGTTCGCAGACAACAGATGAAGAGTTTTCAATTGCGTGCTGCTGGAATCGAGGGGTTGGAGTCCTTGCAATAAGTAGTCGTCGCTTGGTTTGGACAGGAATTGCCGTCGGCTATTTTCACCAGCGCCGACTCAGGTCGCCCCAGCGGGCGTCAATAGTGCAGCTGAACACGGAGCTGCGCCACAGGATCAGGACCCTCAGACTACTGATTGGAGTTGTTCCTGGCGAGAATTTGTCTGTGCTTGCTGGGTAGCAATAGCCGACAGTGCCCCTCGCAATGATGTATATACAGTAGCCCACCTCTCTAAACACTCCATGCAGATGGATTCCCACACTGTTTCTTTCCTTCCCCTCAACCGAGTCCAACCTCAGTCATTCTTTCCTTCATGTTACTCAATTAATATTCGTTCATTCTCTTTTATTTGACACTCCCTTACAGTCAGTCGTTCAAACCCACAGTTGAGTCGTCTGTCAAGATGGGCCACCTGCTTGTTCGAGGATGGATCCTCGCCGCAGTGTTGCTGCAAACCAGCGTTGCCTTGATCATATCGGCTGAACCAACTGTTACTCCCACTCCTTCGGCGGCAACATCCAGCCACCATCATTGGTCTTACATCTCAAGATCATTGCCCAGTCGCAGACCCTGCAGCGCTGTTTATTCTTCATCCGTTCCTTCCTCTCGGGTAACCCCTACCCCATCGACTATCGTGGTGCCCTCGTCAAGTGGAATGCCTTCATCATCCACTCCGCTGGTGAGGGGCTCTTCCACCCCTTCTTCAAGACCAGTCCCAAGTCCTTCGGTGGCTTCCCAGCCGCATTGGAGTTACATCTCCCGGCCTCTGCCGCACCGCAACCAGTGCTCGGCTTCCTCGTCCGGAGCTATCCCGGCATCTTCAGCCCCGGCCTCGAGGCCAGCTCCCAGCACATCCATTGCTGTTTCTTCACCGGCTGTTCCAACCGGAGACCCTCACCCGAGCATTGTCTCTACCACACAGACTGTAACTGCCATTGGATCTTCCACGCCGCAGTTGACCACGTCAACGGTCCTCTCTACTCGTACAGCCACCATCACTGCATGCCCCTCTACAGTCCCGAACTGCCCTGCCAGCGCCAGAACCACTTTTGTGACGACAGAGACAATTGTGGTATCCACCACGATCTGCCCGGTTACCGAGGCTGCCGCGACCCAGACAAAGTCTATCTCCCCGTCCGCAACCGGAATTGCTGGTAACAACGGCGAGGGCAGTGGTGGCTCGGATTTCACAACCTCAACCGTGTTCAGTACCCGTACTGCTACCATCACTGCATGCCCTTCTTCTGTGACCAACTGCCCACTCAGATCAAAGACGACGTACCTGACCACCGAAACCCTGGTTGTTTCCACGACAGTTTGCCCCGTGGCCGATGCAACCGGTAGCAGCGGCGCGGCAATCACCCAGCATGCGTCTTCCCCTTCTGCTACTGAGATGGTTGGAGGAGGTATCGGTGGTTCCGAACTCACCACCTCTACCATCCTGACCACATTGACGAGCACCATCACCGCCTGTCCTTCTTCCGTCACCAACTGTCCCTTGAGATCAAAGACCACCTACGCCATCACGGAAACATTGGTTGTCGGAACCACTGTCTTTCCGGTGTCCCAGAAGTCCATCACCCAAGCCAACCCTCCTCTGCCATCATCAACGGGGGCAAATGGCGAAGTGGCGTCCATCACAACCTCCACTATCCTGAGCACACGGGTTGCCACGGTTAGTGCCTGTACTGCAGATGATACGAGTTGCAGTGGGTCATCACAGGGCTCTTATGTCACGACCGAGACCCTGGTCGTAGGATCGACCGTGTATACAGTCCTAACGGCCCATGCATCTGTCCCAACCGGAGGCGTTGAGGCAATTACTGCTTCCGCGACAGTCACCAATGCTCACCCCACCAGCCCGGCCACCGCGTCCCCTCAGGATGAGTCAATCGGGTCCGGATCAGGATCTTCTGGTGACAGCACTACCCCTGGAGGTACAAGCTCGGTTGCAAGCTCAGGATATGAATCTAGTACGGGCTCCAACGCAGGTTCCAGTGCAGGCGTAGGTTCAGTCTCTAGCTCAGTCTCTGGCTCTGGCTCTGGCTCTGGCACAACCTCCGGCACAAGCTCAGATGCCAACACAGACACCAGCGCAAACGCAAACGCAGTCTACACCACCACCATCACTGTCGAATCCTGTTCCAACGACGCTACCTGCACCGGATACATCAGCACCATCGTGATGACGCAGACCGACGCCAGTCAACCCACCGTTACCGCCAACCCATACACATATACCCCCCACTCTGGCTCAGGAGTTGGAGGTAACTACACTGCCTCATCCGCCTATGCCTCTTCCTCAGTGAATGTATGGCCCCAGAGCAGCCATGCCGGTGGCATGAGCACGACCGTTGTATCTCCCACAAAAAGTGCAGTCAGTCCGTTGTACACCGGGGCTGCGTCTGCGGCTACGCGGTTATCGATGCTGCAGGTTATGGGAACGATGTTGGTGCTCGTGCTGGCCGTTTTGGTGTAGGATAGAAAGAATCTGTGATTGTGGTTGTGAATCTTCAATTTCATGTGTTATGTGTGTTCTAAATATAATATTACTTCCTTCGGAGTGATAGAATCTGTATTCCTGTAGTCAACGTATGACTGAACTGGTGTCACGGATATATGCGGCCATGACAACCCGTGAAGTCAATTGAGCCGCTCATGCTGCCCATATGCAGTCAGTGAGAAGAACACATTGGATCGCGAGTATTGGGGCTCTTGCGACCGGGCCCGGATGGAGAAAACGAGGAGAGGCCGCGAGTCTGCGAAGCAGAAAGAATCACAGGCTAATGCAGGAGACTTACTAGTGGCCTACTGTTTTCTTTGTATTTGCTCTCACGCGCTACCACCTTGGTGTTTCTCTTAGGCTACATAAGATATTGTGCCAATGCGACGATAGAACCTTGTCAAAAGGTCACTTTAGCTTTTGTAAACAAATCAGGAGCGAGGCTCGGCAGGGGCCCTAACTCTGAATTAACTCAACGACGGTAGTCTTTGAAGCACACTTTTGTTACTGGGTGATAAAATAGAAACAAACATGGCACAAGACAAATAGACAAAGAGAAAAGGTGACATAGGCACCAAGAAAGATTGGCAGCCAGCCTATTACTGTCTAAAGTGGGCTAAGCTGGCGCAAAAGTACCCGAATAAGCACTAATGCAGACTACCAACCATCACACCGTGTTAGCTGCAGTACAGCAGACAAAGAAACAAGCTTCCACTGCGCTTTCTCATCCTCCGACAAGGCTGTATTCCCTCACAGAGTGAGATTCTCCACCGCCTCACTGCCATACACTGCTGGATTGACATCGCTGCAGGCCCCGACACGTCTGCGTGCAGCTCAATCTCCACTAGACCAGGTGTTGCCCGAACTCGACCGATAGGTACGTTTCCTGGTTCGGGCCTTGGCCGACCTAAACTCTCGGCTGTCCACGCCCCCCGGGTAGATCATGGCTGTTGATCCAGGCTCCGAATATAACATCTTCTGTCGATATTATGAAACGGAGCTATTTCCTGTGCTTCGCAAACACGGGGTCAGGTTTGTGGCTAATTCCCCGTTAGCCGGTGGGTTCGCTACGGGTAAACTCACCTTCGCCGAGACTTCAGACTAATTGAAGGGTACGCGGTTCGAACACACCGAGGAGAATCTCATGGGAAGGCTTTTCCGCATGTGGTATGATAAACCGGTGTTTCATGATGCGGTGAGGGAGTTGGCTGGTGCGGTGGAGAGGTTCGAGGGGGGATGCAGCTTGGCTCAGGTGGCTATGCGGTGGCTGGTGTTTCATTCGGGGCTAAGGGGGAGTGATGGGGTGGTTATTGGGCCGAGTGGGGGTGCGCAGTTGGAGGAGTATCTGGCTGCGCGTGAGAAGGGGCCTTTGGTGGGGGAGTTGGTGCGGGTGATTGAGGGGTTGTATGGGGGGGTTAGGGGGGAGGCGGTGGGGGTGGTGGAGGTTGGGTGGTGGTCGATATGATGATGGAGTTGTTGATTGTTTCGCGGTGGAATGTGTATGTCAGTGTAGCTGGATATATAAAAGAAGGCATTTGGTTGGATTGGAAGGTTTGATAATGGATTTCGAATACGAACGGGACGAGTAATTATCGTTACAAATAGAGAGCAAGGTATTTGACGGGCTGCGCTGGCACAGACCTGAGAGAAACAGAAAAAAGGGAAAATAAAAAAGAGAGAGCGAGAGAGACAGAGAGGGATAAGAGGCAAAGGAATAAGGAATGGAAGGACAGGAAGGGTATAATCTCTACCCAGATATACTCTTCAGAGTATCCTTGTCCAAACTGATTCATTCCCAGCGACTAGACAGTCTGAAGGCCATAAGTACGCAGAATCCTTTGTGGGTCGTTTTTCTGGGCAAACGCATCACAACCGCACAGGAAACTTAAAACAAGCAAGCCCCAGAACAATCATCATGTTAAGGACATGGATCCATAGATAGAGACGCACGATTCGAGATTCCGTCTGTGAGCATCATATTCCTTCACATATTGCCCTATCCAGAACTTTTCTGCCGGAGAATTTGCCCCTTCTCCCGTGCATCAGATATCCCATTTCATCTTTTTCGGTTGTGGACTCATCGACAACAGGAAATAATCGGTGGTAGCTGATCCATATATCAAGTCGGGATCCATATCTGTTATGCAACCTTTCACATTTCAGACAGGTCCTAATTAGCAGACTTAAGGATGTTAGCTGGTAGATGCTAGAAGGGTGCATCTGGGCGATTACCTTTCCTGGTACACCTATCAGGACATAGCTTATATCATCTACCTAGCCCTCTCATCCAGACAGTAGATAATTCCATAACAGATGGTAAAGGGAAGCGACAGCAGAAAGCAGAAAACCACAGCCTGGCGAGAAATGTATGAAGGGAGCGAGGTCAATGCGGTGAACAGCAGAAGGGAGATGCAGAGGCTCAACAACGCCATCACGCTATGCTTCATAGGAGGGATTGTGGACGACAGCTCATGAGAGCATACTGCATTCAATAACGTGAATATGGCAATTTTGAGGGCTCTGTGTGTTGACTGGTTATCATTTGGGTCTTATATGACGCCGATGATCATTTTGCGTCTCCTGTCAGGCTTTGGGCAGGATCCATCCGCCGGTCACGAGTGGAGGCGGTGCTTATCGACGCTTATCGATTGGCTCCTCGTTCATCATAGCGGCACTTCCCGAGCCAACGCAGTGACTACCTTGCCTAGTCGGGAAAGTGATCGACCGACTGGGCGGGGTTGGGCCTGTGAATCACGCCATGTGTCTTTCTATGGAGATTACAGCTTTTAATAGTGTAATCACCACGTGGGTAGCCATAGAATGTGGGTGGGGATCTGAGCAGGAAGACAAGAGCCGAGTGAGCCAATCAGAGATTGCTAAGAAACGGCTTTTCTACACTGGATGTGGGGTAGTCGTATAAGCATGCACAGGACTATTGTGGCAATGAGAACGGAAGTAGAAAGTAAAGGTCCGATTCACTATGAAAAGTAATATCCACAGTACAACATCTGTCCGGCATAGTTCCGAGAGGAAGGAAGCTTGCTTTAGGGGCAGGGTTTCTTGACAAGCACACAGTAGGAGCCCTTCGGCCACCTCTATCATTGGGTTCAATCTTGGTCTTCTGTACTCTACCTCATACTACCTTTGAGAGTAACATCTGCCATATCGTGGAGATAATTGAGGATCAGTAATCATGAAATGGAAACTGCAATGAGAATTGAAACACTATATGTTCTGGATGACCCTCGGAAGAATTGACCAGACCATCTTTTTCTGTGAAATTTGGCAGGATTGCTATATCAATACCAAGCTCCTGGACCATTATCCTCAAACCAATGAACAAAAACGAATGCTCCAAGAACAACATCGAGACAGGGCCATAGGACGCGATAGTAAGGCTGACAGGTAAGCCCTAACAGACACTAAAACCCCCCGGCGCCCCCCACTAAGCACTAATGGCAACCTATCCACGTAAATATTTAACTGGCCTTATAATCCCCTGTCAGCTCCATCCTATCGCCAATCGTCTTCCTGACTCCCATCCAATGCAAAGTGCCAACCTGGACCGAGACGGCCTCGGCAGCCGCATCGCCATAGCTTTGGCAGCAATATGCCTTACCACCTTCCTTTACAAGACGGCCAAGGCACGACTACGCTTTTACCACCTCAAAAAACAAGGCCTAGTACGTCTATCTCCCACCAAACCTCAACCCCAATTAACCAAATTTAGCCAGTCCCCTCCTGGGATCCCATATTCGGAAACCTACGACTCATGCCAGCGCTTCTCAAAAAATGTCCCCGTGATGCCCTACAATCCGGAACCTTCACCCTCCTCAGCATAGAACACCTAGATCTACAAAACGGCTTCTACATCGACCTATGGCCATTCACAGGCCCAATGTTCGTCGTGACCACTCCCCCACTCGCCATCCAGGTTTGCCAAACCTACAATCTACCCAAACCAACCGGAACCTTAGCCCCATTCATCAACCCCATGGCCGGCGGACATAACTTCTTCATCGCCAACGGACCAGAATGGAAACGCGACCGCGACCTCTTCAACCACGCATTCAGCATGACATCCACTATGGGTCACGTTGACTATATTCTGGATGAAGCGGAGATCTACGTTGAAATTCTTCGCGAAAATGCCAAAAAGGGAGATATATTCTCAATGGATCAGCTGGCTTGTAACTATGTAATGGATGTGATTGGTAACGTTGCATTGTAACCCCCCCTCCCCCGGCAACCAAACCTGAGCCCCGTGGCTAACAATCCAACAGAAATACCCGTTTCAACTCCCAAACCAAACAAAATCCCATCGCCGCCGCCATGCGCGACACCATCGATCTAGAATGCGGCCGCGAGAGCGAGAATAACCCCTTCCAACGGTGGAATCTCCATCGGATGTACCGTCAATGGCGCAACAGCCGCACCATGAACCATTACATCGGGTTGGAGTTGGAAAAGCGCTACCAGGAGGGCAAGACCACGACGCGGGGGAAATCTATTATGGATGTTGTCATCGCTGAGTATATGAAGACTCGACCGAACCAGACTCACGCTTCAACTCTCGACCCGGAGTTTAAAACTTGGGCTGTCATTCAAATCCGCTTATTTCTCTTCGTCGGACATGACTCTACCGCCGTGACTATAATCTATTGTCTCTATCTGTTGTCGAAACATCCAGACATCCTGGCTAAGGTTCGTAAGGAACATGAGAGGATCTTCGGCTGTACGGGTACTGTGGCAACGCAGATTAAACAGCATCCAGAGAGGATTAATCAAATGTCCTACACATTAGCCGTTATCAAAGAGACACTCCGGCTCTTTCCCCCCGCTAATGGTCTGAGGTTCGGTACTCCGGGTGCTTCTCTCACTGACACCGATGGAAAGACTTTCCCGGTAGAGGGCTGCTCAATCTGGCTGGTGCACACCGCCATTCATCGCAACGCAGGCTACTGGCCTAAACCTCACGAATTCATTCCAGATCGCTGGCTAGTCGAGCCCGGGCATGAGCTTTATCCGCCAACAGGTGGGTGGCGGCCATTTGAGCGCGGAGCGCGGGACTGTGTAGGCCAGAATATGGCGTTGCTGGGGATCAAAATCACGCTGGCCATGGTGGTGCGGGAGTTTGACTTTGATAGTCAGTATGAGGAGTGGGATCGGGAGAATCCGGGGTTTGGCGATGTGCGGACTATGTTTGGGGAGAGGGCGTATCCGGTGGCGAAGGGGTCGGCGCATCCTGCTCAGGGGTATCCGTGTAGGGTTAGGTTGGTTGAATAGCTGGCTATACTGGTATATATTTAGGAGTATTTTGGAAGTAGGGTATATATAACGGTAGCAAATGTGTCAATAATATGCGTTCGGCAACATGATCTTCAAGGAAACCTAAAACCGATAAACCAAAGCCTCATCCGGCTTGACCTTACTCTGACAGAGCAGATCCCAGCCCCCTTCAATACCCTCCGGACCAACAACTCCCTTTCCCCAAACAAGATGCAGATCCGGGGCCACCAACTGGCGATTCTCTAGCCAATGATTCCAACGCTCACTCAACACCTCAAAGACCTTCTCTGAATCCCGAACCTCCAACACAGCATCAAGAACAGGCGACGTGTTGAAGTTGATCATCCCCAACTCACCCATGGCTTTCTGCCCCGCAATAACCTCCTCCATCGAGTATACCTGCATCCAATTAGCACTATCCCCTCCCCACCCCTAAAGAAACAAGAACCACATACCTTCTGCTGAAGTCCAACCCCAATAACCACAAGCTTACACCCCCTCAACAGCTCATTCTTCATAATCATCCCAAACAACTTCTGATGCACCCCATCCCTGCCCCCGAAATCCACCACTACCAGTTTCTCCGGCTTCCTCTCCACCAACCACTCCTCCGCCCCTTCAACACCATCATACCCCACCGCCAGCGTCTGAAAAGACGGCTTCATCCCCCTCGCCGCCTCTCCAATCACCCCAGGCTCAGACGTAACCTGCAACAACCCCGCCGGTCCCTTCCCCTCAGGCCTCAAACACAAATTATACGCCACCGACCTCGCCGTCTTCCCACTCGCGGCGAGGGAAATCACCACCGCACGCGAAACATCCGCCTCTGACGTCCCCCACTCCAACCCCGGTGTACCGGGGAACGGCGCCATGATAGGCTTCTTCTCCAAATCATAACTAAACACATACTCGGTAAGAAGATACCCACATGTCCAGAGCAAACGCATGGCTGATTCCCAGCCCTGACGTTCCAAATCCATATCCTTGATATCGAGAACAACGTATCTGTTATAGATGGACATGAGGGATTGGCGATGAGGGGAGATCTCGATGAAATGGTCTTTGGGAGTTCCCGGGATGAGTTGTAGGTCGACTTCGTGGGAGGATAGAGGCCAGTAGCCCCAGAGGGTTGTTCCGGGGTGCAGGGAAGGGATGGTGCTTGAGGTGATGGTCGCGAGACCCCAGGAGGGAACGATGCCCCAGGAGGTGGGGTCGTTGTAGGGTGTGGGGGTGGTGGCAGGGAGGGGGTAGGTGCACCACCAGTTTGAGTAGTCGCCGAGGAGGGCGTAGGTGAGGTTGTTGGTGGTGAGGGAGAGGAGGGTTGGGCGGACGCGGATGGAAGAGGGGGGAGGGGGGTGCTCGGGGGTGGGATCTGGAAGGTGGTGTGTTGGGAGTTGTTGTGTTTGGAGATGACGTGGACGTCCATTTTGGGTGGTTGGGTTGGATTGTGGGATTGTGTGAGGAGAAGGAGGAGATGGTGGTGGTGAGTGAGGGTGATGGGTGCGGTGCGGGTGTGGTTTATATATGTAGCCTCGGCGGATCTGACCACGAACTGTAGAGAAGGATCCTCGACAGGCGTCTACGTGTAGTGCGAATATAACATGAATGATTGGATCCTGCGTACCTGATCGGGAAGATCTCCCTCAAAGGTGGTGGATGGGTTGATGCTACAGTGTATATGGTGAGGCTGTGAGATGCATTTCAGCCGCAGCAGTAGTGAAAGAGAGTAACACTGCAGCGATGAGCTAGCTGGCTTGTTAGTGCCAAATGTTGAATCTAGTGCTTACCCTTGCAGAATGTGATTTGCCAATTCGCGTATTTCTGGCGGGTACTTGTGCTAGCGTGAAGCGCCAATGCATGACGGTTACACCAACAGGAGCTAGTTCGATGGGGGACTTGAATGTCCTGAGTTTGGTTTGTTTTGGATGGTTCTGGGCAGGCTGGCAAGGCTGATGCCTGCGGAGTTGGAATGTTATTCCTTGCATCAATCGAAAACGAGTCACCTCACACAGCCGTGTTACCAACTCTTTACTGAACCAGATGATGTCAGGACATGTATGCTTCTGATCTATTTCCCTGATAACAAACCCGAACGCGCGTCCATCTTTCCCAATCATACCAATAATGGCGAACCCGTCCTGAAACGCATCACCTGAATCCCTGACTTGCAACAAGGAAAAGCTGAACAAAATGCCAAAGACGGAACACACCTTGGTTGTCATGCGTAGAAAGTAAATGGCCAGAGGAGCAAGATCAAGTCAGTACCAATAAATGCATTTCCTCTGTCATCCCCATATTTTCAGACCGCAATTTGCTATGCACCCCATCGGCACCAACGTTCAAGCCATCGGTCTATATTGGCCCTGAGCCAGTTCCATCTCCACGCATTTCTCCACGCATTTCTCCATCCGACAGATCTTGGTAGCCCACTTATTCATATAGATGTCCGATGGCTCTGGATACTGCGCATGAAAAATCTCGGGTAATGTCTACCGATAGAGGAAGCAATAGATTAACAGAACCTTGTCTATGAACGCAATGCGCCAGCGCCATGTCAACCCTCTCCATCAATTATATAAAAATAGTAGACTCTCACCTATGACAAATAATTCCCCAAGACACCCTCGTGAAACCAATCCCATCTAGATAGGATATATGAGCACCATCGAGAGGCTTCTCATTCTTCACTATTAGATCGATCATGGGTCCCATATACTTACATTCCACACATAATAAACTCATCCATCACTCCAAATCTACCCTTGGAATCCATATTCTCACTCATAAACATATCTATTATTGTGAATCCCCCAACTGCCATCTTCCCCGATGTCACGTGATCATAGCCACCTGATCACGGTGTTGGTATGATCGCATGCTGAACCTTTTCCGACTACTAAGCGGGCTTGGCTAGTCGGGAAGAAACAGCTATTCCAAATGGCTGCGCTGGAATGCCGGTACAGTTATATATGTTACATCCAATGAAAGCGCCGCTGGGGCCTCTTTTTTGATGACGGTTTTTCTATCTTGATGTTCGGCGACCGGCCCAGGCACCAGGTGGTGTTGGAAATCCCCAATCGAAGTTATTTTTTCTTTATACTGGTTGGTAATATCTGTGTGGCTCTATTATAATCATTATATGTTTATGCGTTCGTGCGTGGCGCATATGATCTTTGTTGTTGGGCTTGTGGTGTTGGTTTCGCCGGTGTCGGGGTCGGCTGGGTGGTGGTCGGAGGGTGGGATAGAGCAGCGCAGATTAACATGATTCCCAAAATGGAATTATTCAATTTCTGCATCGGGAAACCCCCCAAAAAAGAAAATAAATTTGCATCTAGATCTAGCTGCAGGGCGTAACTCTATGTACGGAGTAATTAGGCCCCGGATGTCCTGCAGCAGCAAGGTTAATCTAGAACAATTGATAAGATCCGGTAAATCGAGTTAAAAGTTACTCCGTACAAGTGGCTTTCTTACAACGAAACTTTCAGTAAGCCGTACTAGCGCGGATCAAAATTACGCATGCATGCAAGACACCCGATATGGTTAGGATGGATGTTGTATTGAACTAGTACTGCATGTACTTATGCGCCTCACCAAATAGGGCGCCATGCTAGAAGGTTGTGGAAGCTTGGTCTGATGCAGGTGATGCATCATGCATGTTTGCTATGAACCAATGCACCCCGCATTTCTAGAATGGGCAATTGCAAAAGTACCGGACTTTTACAGTGTTACACCCCTTTATACCCACCCTCGTTGGCGAATCATCCAAAGCATCTCGGAGAATTTGTCACCTGAAGGTCGCTGCATGTTTGGTCACAATCGTGACTTGGTGAGCTGCTTCTATCTTCGGAATTATTAGATCCGGAGCTTGGGTTGGAAAGACTTGATTGTTCGGTGAAAAGGGTGTGTACAGATTATACTTGCATTGCAGGCTACATAGTCATTCTTTAGGGAAGGAGGGTGCTGGGGTATACTAACTTTTATATGTGTATTTATCTTCATATGAAGTCCCTAAACTATTGCATCAAGTACTCAGTGAACTTATAAGTATCAGATAATAGTTATGTGGCGCTGCTCATAACACTTGCTCGTAGTAATTCCTCTAGCTTGCGGGGTTGTTATCTCTAAGATGCGTTCTAAATCATAAACAATCTCGACCTCGCGGTGGGATTAGTTGAAGGTGCTCTGTGAGATGGTCGGATATATCGCCAAGTAGAAATTTCATGCAATCTAATCATGTTTTATATTTCATAGCACCATTGAGCTAAGTATGATATTTTTATATCATGGAATATAGCGATAGACTCTCTTATGGTAGGTTGCTTCTAAGAATGGATACTTTCAGTGCCACTCACACAATCGAAATCGAGCACTATGAAATAATTAGAGCACTGGAGTTGATTTTCGAACTATGCGCTAGCGTGTTGAGAAACACAAGGTAAGGTCCAGGCAAGGGAAGTTCACAGCTTCAAAACTTCTCATTAGTTCACATACTTAGTCTTACATGGGGTTTGACTTTTATAGCGTGACTTGATTTATATTGCCAGACCTTACTGCTTCAGCTGAACGAAGTGGGAGGGAGGGAGGGTAAGAATATCTTCAGAACGTCAATTTAGACTGTAGTGCGGAGTGGGCCTCGACCAGATCTCTATGTAAATTCAGGTCGTGGGTTTAGATCGAGTAGTGTTTCTAGATATTTAGCCCTTCAATATGCTTCTTTAAGTTCCTTGAAAGTGCTTGATAGAGCTCTTTGGGGTGCTTGGTTGAGCCCTTTGGAAGTGCTCGAGGACACCTTTATCTACATGCTTTAGTTTGCTTTACATGATACTTAATGGGAGCCTTCAAAACACCTTAGACTGGGGCTTCCGGACCTAGTATAGAGTCAAGCTCCACTTTTGGTACGCAAATGCTTATATAGACAGCTCTACAGTCTTTGCGTCGCATGAAATTCATGCAACACCTCGGTAACCAACAATTTGATCAAACAACCTCCTGTCCGCTTCAATCCAAAGAGCGAAATATACAAATTTCCAAAGACACCAACCAACTCCACCCGATGCAAATAACCCGCTAAGACCAACGCCACTCTTTATACAGCCTCCCAATCCATCGCATCCACAATAAAGTCCCAATCCCCATCCTGATCTTCACGCTCTCCTGCCCCTGCCCCTGCCACCTCACTTTCCACGGTATGTTGCTTCGCGAGCAAATATGCATCCTCCAACCCCTGAAAGATGGCCGCAAGGATCATCTCAAAGTTATAACTCGCCAACGGCATCACCTTCTCTTTCCTCCTCGCTGTGGCCCACCGATCCCGCTCGCGTTCCTTTTTCGTCATATCGGCCGTCTTCCATCGATTGCGTAGCTCCTTCGCCCGTTGTAATTGCTCGTGTACTTCACCCTGTCCGAGGACGGGGTATAGTGGACTGTTTGGATCTTGTAGAGCCTCGAGGACGTTGGCATGATACCGATGACTGGAGAGCGGCGCCCCATGTTGCGCGAGATGCGTCTGTCCGAACGCCGATGAAACATTCGTTCCGAAAATCCCGAGTAAATGGACGATCGCGCGCTCCAGTAGTGCGTAGTATTCGTGGAAATCGATTTTGAACATGATCTCGGCGTGGCTGACGTCGGTGTCACTAGTAGAAGGGTCCAGTGTCGCGAGGCGGTATCCTTCGGCGAGAAAAGGGAGTTTCCATTTCAATCGAGCGACAATCTTCATGAAGCGGGAGAGATCGTCGGAGGGGGAGGAGCGTGGGCGCTTGGTGGGTGAGGGGGTGCGGCTGGGACGGGGGACGGGGTTGGGGGCGCGATACGGGGTGCGATTCGTGGAGACATAGTGGCTGGTGGGAGGGGTGGGAGTCGGATGGAGAGAGATCTCGCCTGGGCTGGGAGCCCAGCGCGATCGGGCCAGGTCGCTCATGATAAAGATATGGTGCAAGGTGGGAGTTGGCGATGCGCGGAAATGGCGGGTCGATAGCCCGATAAGACCGCGTCTTAGTCAGCCGGCGGATCCGGTAGTGATTCGTCGGATTTTCGATGCTTGCAGGATGCCAGAACATGTTCTCAATCGCCAGGCAGAGGAGAGTATAAATGTTGTCAGACCAAACTCAGATCAAGGTAAGCTGGAGGGGATCCACGTCCAGATTCATTTTTGTCCTGCAAGTCTCCGAGTACAGTGTTGCACGAAACAACAGGTTGCCATTGTGTCAAACAAAGGCGTAGCCCCGATCGGCAGGGCTATCAAATCCTTTGGGAGATATTGTCGGACGCTTCCGCAATACAAAGCGTATCAATATGGAATTACATCTTAATCAAAGGGTGTTGATGGGAAGAACAAAATCTCAAAGCAAACCATGCAAAGGAAAAAGGAGAAAAGAACAAAGAGGAAAGGAGAAAGCTAATGTATAGAGCGCGGTCTAGTGCAGAGCGAATCGGACAATAACCTAAGCCGGTAGGAACATTCCTTGGCCGTTGTCAGATTTCCCATCGAATAGATGAAGTCTTGTCAGCAGGTGGCTAGCCTCCAGCTCGGAAATGACAACCTATGCAATCTGCACATTAGCGGGTAAATGTCGGGGCTGAACGTTCACCGGGACATAAGCGGGGCGGCAAATGACGACGCTCCAGATTATCGGAGAATAGCGGAGAGATTGTATGCCGATCACCGGTTTGATTGATATGGCAGGTGCCTAAGATCTTGCGAGATTCAAAATTTAGATCCAGACTGTTGACACCAGGGAAGTGCATTGTATGGCAGACCATACCGACGGATGATCCAAGAGTCATGAAACCCAAGAATGTGCCACAAGCAGCTGTCAGGGGTCGAGAAAGAAATTGCAAGTGCGGACGCGGCTGGCTGAATAGAGCCAAGGGACCATGATCCGCGGAAGCGGCTACATAATATCTTCTTTATATTAACTGGTTATTTTTGGTTGATCGTCCTTAACAGGCCGAATGCGGAATGACGATGGTGGTCGTTGCGGTGAACCCCACGACTCAGCCCGGACGATTGTGACAGACGGGGAGTTTTTCGAGCAGAAACGCTAGACGGACAAGTGAGAAGGATGCTGTTTCTGATATATCAAGCCGCGTAGCAACGGAGAGACTGTAACCTGGAGCCCTGAGGCTCCCCACGTGGACGCCAGCCCTGTTGGGTTAGCGTAATTGAAGGCAATGCGCTAACCGCATCTGGAGGCGGTGGAGATGCAGGCATCAATTTCAAACGGCCAGCGGCTTGGCGCGCTAGAGGTAAGCTTATTATTCCCACGCACAACCCCTCGCAACTCTCAACCGAGGTTCCTCGCTTCTGCATGCCCAGGAATAGGGCCTCGTTTCACCACCAAACTCACTTGCAGCTTAGTGCCGGAGTACCCCAACCGGGAAGGAAGGTGTTTGCCGCCCCAGCAAATCAGCTCCAGACCAAGCTGACTGGAAGTCCAAATTTCAGTCCCTGGCTGCCTCTAAGCGACATGGCGTCAGGCTGGGCGCGGGAGACGCACAGGGTCGTTGGCTGCCCCGAGTCAGAGAAACGGCATATCAAGACTATTGCAGCGGTGATTGGAGGGCAGGGAGTGGATATCGGCAGATGATGCCCAACTGGTGCCCCCGATCCGGTTGGAAGTGGAGGGGACCACCGCAACCAGCCGGAAGCACACCACCGGCCGATCGCCGAGCCAGCCAGGTCGTCTTGCATTGGCCCGCCCCTCGTGTAAACGCCCGTGTCTCACAGAACCCACGGTCCGTATCCCGGTGGTTCATCATATTCTGCGTGCCAAGTATGTTCTTCAGCCCAGCCAACTGCGTCACACCGGACGAATTCCCAGCTCGTCCATTTAATCGATACGCTCACAGTCGTCGATGATTCGATCCTGCGATCGGACTGGATCTGGACCACACTGCCGGGAACCTGGACCAAGCACCCCCGGTTAAAAGCTTGCTCCTGACGAATCTCGACTGCGGTTTCACATTCCACGTGGGGGGCCGAGGTCTTATAATAAAGGGTGACCAGGATAAATCCCTTTTCCGTCTCTCCCTTCCACTACCTCTGTCCTGGGATGCTGCTCGTCTGGGTTGCATCCCCTCCACCATGAAGATCCACCAGTTTTTGTTTGCTATATTGCTAGCAGTGACTGCTGCTGCTGCATCGTCAAACAGCACTGAATTTCCTGAGTGTGCCGTAAGTAGCGCTTTGATATGGGTTGGGCTCCATTGACTGTCTCAGGTGTCTTGTTTGGCCGAAGAATCTCCCAGTTGCTCTATATACGATGCGTCATGTGTGTGTACCGGTGCTGCCAGCAAGTCATCCCTCGTGACCTGCGCGGCCAGCAGTTGTACGGCGAAAGATTATTACAGTGAGCATCTCGATGCCCGTACCGTACCGATCCGTCTAACCCTCGCAGTCACCAGACATCTGTATGAACTCGAATGCGGCCTCGCCATCAAGAAGGGGCCCCTTCTCGTCGACCCAGCGACCCTCGCACCGGCCATCCTCGCGACCATCTTCTTTTTCGTGCGGATAGCGGCTAAGCTGAAGAATCTGGCTGGAGGCTGGGGACCGGACGACTATACCGTCACAGCTGCATGGGTATGCCATTCCATGGTGGATGATGGATATAAGCTAACGTGTCCAGGTTCTGGGAATTGCCATGTTTGTCGTCAATACATACAGTAAGCCACGAACAATTGTTTTACCTGATAATAGCTAACCAAACAGTGATCAAATACGGTTTCGGCATGAATTCCTGGGATATTCTCCCCTTTCATCACATCACACTCGTCTTCCAATACTTCGAAGGACTCGCCATGATGTACAAGATCCAGATCTCGCTCTGCAAAATCTCCGTCCTGCTGTTCCTGCTCCGCATCTTCCAGTCCCGCGTGTTTCGTATTCTCGCCTACATACTCATCGCCGTTAATGTTTCCATCGGCATCACGTTTTCCTTGGTGGATTTGCTTCGGTGCACACCAGTCCACCTAGACTGGGATGGCTGGACAGGCGAGGACACCTCAGGCGGCAAATGCATCAATTTCATCGCGGCGATCATGGTGCACTGCCTGGTCAATATTTTCGTCGACGTCGTCATTGTCATCCTCCCAATTTACGAAGTCGCCAAGCTGCAGTTGCCATTTACAAAGAAAATAACTGTTGCGATGATGTTCATGATGGGATTGATGTATGTCCCCACTTAACCACTGAACCTTCCTCCATACTAATGATCCAGTTTAACTATCGTCGCCATCATCCGAGTCGTGGTCTTCTGGGAACATCGTTGGACCAACAACCTAACTGGTAAGCCCCAGAATACTCCTCACACTCCACTCAAAACCCCTAACATTACACTCCCAGCCGGCCTCCACCCCCTAATCCACTGGTCAATCATCGAGTCGCAAATCGCCATTATGACCACCTGTCTCCCCGCCGCCCGGGCCTTCATCACCCACTACGTCCCCGGTCTAGGCGGCAGTTCCGCTCGCAGAACCTACGCCCGCACCAACTCCCTGTACAACAACACGCCGTCCGGCGCGAACAGCAAGATCTCCAAATCGGTCAACATCTCCGTTGACTATACCACGCGGTCGGAGCGGGATTCCACTAGCGCCGTTCATCTGGTCGAAATGGATGGCCGATACGAGCGGTTTTGATGTTTCTTATTTATCTGTTGATTCCCCCTGAGCCTATTGTAATTCTTTACCGTGTTTAGTTTTTCATTTTAGAAAATGTCTTATGACCTTATACAGACGTGACATTCGGATGCGATCGGCGGAAGACTGCCACGTATTTATCCTGACCTCCAGGAAGTAAATCCAAGACCCCGGTTCTATATAGGTCAGACGCGCCAGCCATCCCATCCCAAAGGGACATGTATCCGCTCTTTCATCATACCTCTTCCTCGTGCTCCAAGCAAGCATCATCACTTCCTTCGTACATTCGAAACAAGGCCCCGTTACCCCCCTTTCCCCGGAAAAAGCCAGTCCAACCTCACCGACTGCATCACACCTGTTAGACGTCTGGTGGAAACTGTGTCCGAGTGGCCTGTCTTCCGTGCGTATAAACTCGCGCTGGGAGCGTAAAACCGGGACCACATTATTATCCAAGAGAAACGCCGGATCATCATAGCTATCAAGCTCCACCAGTAAAGCGACCGGAGACTCTGACCGGGGATCCCCTCTTCCTACTGACCAGACAATATCTCGTAAAAAATGTGTTGCGTGATGCGTACTCCGCTTCGCAATGCCTTGGACTGTGGACGGCCTGGACCTAGTAACCCCCCCCCCCCCAGGTGTAGTGCCCTGTACTGCGCCCGAATTTGAACATTCTGGCAGACTCAGCAACTTCGCGGCTGCGTCCGTGCACTATCTTCATGACCCGTGGTATGAGATCTGGCATCAGGTTTGGACATCCATAAACTGGTTTGCGGAAGGATAATTCGCGTCTTTCTCAGAATTTGTCCAGACTCTGCGATGGACAATGCCATATTTTATCAACAAGGAAACTTACGAACCAGCATCAGCTGGTATTTCAGTTGGACCTTCCGCAGACGCGCTGGTGGCAGTAGGGGAACTATGTTCAAGAGAGGTACCACATTAGTTAGGCATCCCCGCATAATGATACCGAGATGTGAGGAGATAAACCTACGATGTTAGAACATCATCATCGTCGTCTTCGGTAAGGATCTCCTCGATTCAACGCCGCAACTAACGGGCGAAAGTGAGCAGGTAGTGGGCCACAGGGGCTGGGGTGACCCTGGCTCGCTTATCTGAGATGATGTAACCGATCTCCTGTTCAAATTGGCTATTTCCCAGGGCCATAAACCCCGGAGGTGTCTCTTGCTGAACCGTAAGGGGAGACCGAAGGTGGCCATAACCACACGAAGACTGGTAGTTGCTGCACAAGACGCCATTGCGACGCCGGAACACCGAGAACGGGGAGTGAAACAAAGGAGACCGTGTTAGGACGTCTGGATTCCATATCCTGGCGTCGCTTTTGGTATAGGGATATGTGGTAAGTGGTACTTCCGTTTTATGTCATTGAAAGGCATATATGTGGGTAACGTACGTGATGCCACGTCTCTGGTACCGGTAAATAGCAAACCAACCTCTCCTCCAGGCTTTGATCAGATATCAAGACCTCCGAGTCGCCCTTTTGGAAGAAGTCTTCCGGAATATTGTGCTTGATTATAGCCTTCCCGGAGTAAAGGGGCACATGTACCGAGGGCACCGCCGCCGACACCATTATTAGTATAGATATAAGGATGTCGACAGATTGTCCCGATACCATACCCCATCATTAGAGTAATGATGTTGAAGACATCGTCGATACGGGTTAAGTAGGTTAGCCCAGAGTGATGCGATGGGGCCCTGGATATAATGAACCAACGATTATCGACAGCTGAAGATAATGTCCACGAATGCGAGTTCAAATTCTCAGGAGCAATATGCTCAATCTTGCCTCGACTTCTTTATCGGCGGTGGTAGTAAGTGTTTGGATGCATGCTACTCTCAGGGAGTTTTATAATGCTCCCCTGTTCGCATACGAACCTATCCGAAGGTATTTGCAATGTAGCAGCCCCTATGTCGTAGGATGATACCCCGTTGCCTGATATCCCTGATTCATGGTTGTCCAGCGACGCCAGGAAGGCGCATAATCTGGAACTGGGTCGGATCCATCCTAGAACAACGACTATATATAAGAAACTCCCTGCAGAAGAGAACCGACCACGTATCGCACGACCATATGCTTCGGCAGCGCATCGCCCACATGTACCCGAGGTCGAAAAGTGATATGCAAAGGTAGACAAGTTGTCTTTCCCTCTCGCCTACCCCAAGACATGGGGATCGGCTGATATTCTTGTAACCGTTCCGGCTAAAGAAAAGAGAGTCACTTTTGTAGCGTTCGTTTTCCCACCAGGGATTGAAAGTCGGAATGGGGACGAAAGTGTACTCCTTCAAATTAATGGAATCCTGCAATGTGCTGCAGATCACCCGCCCCATGCTATAAATGTTCCCCAATGCGAAAAGAACATTCGTAGACTTGAGTTCCTTTAGTTCTGCCTCGTAGTGGGTGTCTAGGTTGAGGTCTATCTCGCGTTCCGTATATGTCTCTGCCCTGGTCATAGCGTATTCCTTACCAGGCACAAGATCAGGATCAAGCTCCGTCACCCGCGGGGTATAATGGACTTGCCGACCTAGGGCATTCTTGGTGGCCTTGAAAGTCGGATTGTAGTCGATTTTGTGGTGATAGAGAGCAGTGAGCGTTTTTCCTGGATGGAGGGATCACGCAGGCCATATCACGTCAGAAGACCACATGTTGACAGGACAAAGTTTCCTCGCCATCAGATGAGTCCGAGGCCACAGCATCAAAAGATCCACGATAGAAGACATAGTCCAGGAAGATACGAACAGCGCTTGGGGTTGTTTGAGGATTTGTCCCCGTGACTGCCATTGTTCGATGAGTATGGTAGGTAAAAGAGGGAAAGTGGGCCAGAAAGTAGGCATTGTTGTGTAGAATGAAAGGAGAAAGAGTGAGGAAGAATACGAAAGGTGGCTTTATAGGCTGCTGGGAGTAAGTTAATTGGATGATAGCAAGGTGGAGAGTGCGTATGTGAAGAAGTATTCCGTGTGACGGGGGTGAATGATGGTCCGATGAATTGCCTATGAGTATTCGTCTATTTCTACTTCATTATATGGTCAAGTAATAGAGGGTTAAAGAGACTCTCACCTCGGTTCAATTACCATTCCTTCAACGGTTGGTCAATGCCGATCTGCCGGATCTCGTATTGACATATAAACATCACTAGTTTGGTGTAGGGTAGATGTTTGCTGCATTGAATCTTGACATGATTCTCTCTGATGAATCACCGATGCAGTGATACCCATATTCTTCACCGTACAATACAATCGTCAAGCACAATGAATACAGCTTGATTATTCCAACTTCCCCGTAGTCCAGTCTGGAAGAGCCACCTCATACTGCATCTACACATTATTCCGATCATCATAAACTAATCCACATCATAGTTACATCTCACATACACATCCATCATCATGTTATGATGCTCCTTATATATTTGTTGATTCCACCTGAGCCTATCGCAATTATTTACCTTGCTTAGTATTCCACTTCATAGACATTATTACGAACTTCTACAGACCTGATAATTAGTTTCAATCAGTAGAAGATTCCATCCTCCTTAATTTCAGACTACCGCCCAACGATATCCACCATCTTGATGTTAGAATAAGGGGTTTTGGAATCATTTTCTTGCTTCAATGGCTAGCATCACATATAGCGGTCTCCATTACGCTAAGACAATATGACCGGATTTGTGTTAACCTACCATGACAACAGCGAGGGATATGAAATTAGCGCAACTGTACTGCCATTGCCATTTTCCTTGATCGGGCCTTGAAGAATATGATAAGAAAAAAAGATAAGAAAAAAGTAGGAAAAGACCGAATGGCGTTATGAATATATGAAATAAAAAACCCGGGAACCCCAACAGAAGGAGAAATAATTTCGTAAACTTGAGGAATGATGTGGACTCTTTTTTTTTTTCTTTAGAATTATAATGAATTTCAAGTATCCTGTCCCTTAATTATACTAATACTAAAGCTAATCAACGTAAAGCAAGATGAAGGAAGACGGAAATCAGAGAAAGCGAGAACATCCATCCGCAGGAACGACACAAAGCAGAAGGAAAAAGGATATCGTATTTCCATCCCATCCCCGAGCTCCCCCTTTATTCTTTGATTCTCACATCCAGGGCGCCCGTCATCCGCTTGATGTCATGAAAGACATCTTCGATGTGCGTAAAGTACGTGATGCCAGTTCTCTGGTGTCCGGCAAAGAGAAGACCGACCACCTCAAGGTGTCGATCGAAGATCAAAGCCCCTGAATCTCCCTCCTGGGAGAAGTCTCCCAGGATGTTATGTTCAATGGTGGCGTCGACAGTCTCCTTGCCTCCTTGGCTGATGGTGTGGATGTAGGCGGTCCTCAGGGAATTATAGATTCCCGCGGTGTAGCCGGTGCCGCGGCCGACTTTGAACAGTCCGGCAGACTCGCCGATTTCGTGGCTTCGTCTGTGTGCCAATGGCACTATATTCATGGCCGGTGGCATGAAATCCGGCAAGGGGTCGTAGGTATTTGACTGTAGCTTGTTAGAAAGGGTCAGAACATATCCCACTTGATGTACTTACCATGTTGTTCCCAAGACGCGTGCTGTGCACAGAGATGAGGGACCAATCAATGATCGTTTTTCGTGCATCTTTGATGGTTGTAGATTCGATTACCCGTTCCCCAGAACAGGCAAAAATTGTTCCCAAGCTGTGACTGTTGTTGGCTTTCATCCCCCTCAGCTTGTTTAGCTGTGACTCGTAATGTCCGGCTATCTGGAGATTAAGGTCATAGATCTTTCTGTCCCTCGGGAAAACTAATTCATCATTCTTCATGGCTTCCTTTATCACTTTGAAACTGGGACTTTTGACGATATCCTGGTATTGGTCGTTGAGACGCTTTGACTCGATACTCATATCTTCAACACTTGGTTGCTCGAAATTAAGGGCTTTCATGGCGTTCTGATCGCCAGGTTTGACGCCATTCTTCCGCCAAATGTCTGTTGCTATGACCCAATTAGAAAAAAATGCATTGACCATTGGAGGATTTGCCTATCAAAGATGGGGTTCGCGGGTGTGCACCCAGCTGGTGGGAAGAGGCAGTGGGAACAAGAGATTCCATACGATTTCCACAATCCATATTCAGGGTCTTTGAGTTCAAGCCAGCCGCCAAATGTCCCCGAAATTGTATCATTCCCCTTGAATGCCGAGACTCATTCCGACTTGCGCCGCGGCTTGTAGTTTTGTGCTTGTCAGGTTAGGCCTGTCACGCCCGCTCCAGCGGACTACCATGTCCTTTTTAATCATCACCACGATATCGCTGCAGCCAATCTCATCAAGGGTTTGAACAATGCAGTCACGAGTTCCTCGCCAATCTTTGTGAGCGTACGGATCTACAGTGACCATGACGGTCACTGGGCATTCTGCTGCCATGTCACTGGTCCCAACACGGTAGCATCCGAGCGATGTCCACTGTTGAATATCGTTTTCCTTCAAGATTCTGCGGAGGGTGGTGTTCCAGACTGGATAGATCTTGTGCGACCTCGCAACCGGATGATATTTCTGCGGCAAAAATGCTGCCTTATCGGTAATTTCTACCGAAAACTGGACACATCCTCCCTCGGACAGAAGAGCATGAACTTTTCTCGCGGCGGTTATCCAAGAGGAATCAATCCTTTCTTTCTCCGCGTCGATGCTGGAGGTAACGGTTGGATTGATTTCAGGATCGTAGGTTGAGAGAAAAGCCGAGAATGCCATGTGTCCCGACTTGATACCGGCTAGTTCCAGGATCTCATTAGCTCCGCGATAAAAATCTCCTGCCTTTTGCTGGAAGAGGTCGTAGCTGGGATGTGTTCAGGGGATGGCGACAGCTTTCGATGGGATGGCGCATAAGTAGGGCCCACCAGCCCGCAGGTCTTCGTTTACAAACCCGTCGAGGTTACCCGGATACTCGTCGTCACTAGATCCTTGATTCCGGCGTTATACGACCATCGGAAGAAGAAGGACTCCTTCCACCAGCAATGCGGATCTGGGGAGACGCGTAGCACTCGTCACCACGACCATAAACTTCGGTGACTGATGTTTCTGACATTGTGTCGGACGGCAGACGACACAGTTAGATGGAATGGCGAGTTGTCTGTATCGCTAGGTTACTATCATAAGGAAGGTGTAGAAGGTCAGCAGCGAGGCAGGATGAGTCAGAAGGCTGATGCTGGAATTACGACATCGGGACATAAGAGAGTACTATACCTGGAACTAAGGATGGGCGGACCCCCAGGGACTTTGGAAGCATTAGCAAGTTCTTTATGGAATACAACCGCGTCATCCTTTTCTTACCGCTCGAAGGATATACAGTTCTGCTCACTCGGTAGTGGTCAAGAGCACTGATAGAACCTAGGGAAAAGGCTAGGGAAGAAGTCGGTTCGAAGAGAGTATCCTTGGGAGGATCGTTCAACCAACAGCTTTGAGAGGAAAAGACGAGCCACCAGTCTGGTAGGGGGGGGGGGGGGGGGGTTGAATAGAAAGAAGCAATCGAGGTTGGGATAGGGGATATGGCGATATTTATAGTGTGGCAGTGGGTGAAGACTCATCGCAGTATGATGAATTGATGATTCCAATTATTCGTCACACTCTAATAGCAAGCTTGAATTAGTTGAAGGGGGTGGATTCACACCTCAAAGTGACTATTACAATATGCGGAAAGAGCAATCTAAATCTAACGGATGGAAAAGAGCCTTAGTAAGGGTCGTGGAACGCAATTCTACTAATCTGGAGGGGCTAAAGAAGGCCACTCAAAACACCCCTGAGAGCCTTGTCACGTTGTAACACTCGATTCGGACCCACCGCTCGAATTCACGTAGATTTCTTGCTTTTCCTTGAGACCTACACTGCCTGTTGTGGTGAATGCCTCTAGCTATTTATCTGCCTCTCTTTGCATAGTGGTTTCAGATGAGGTCATTCACCCCTCTTTGTTACTTCAATCAGACTGTACACTTTCCATAATTAGGCAGTCTGTGACTCAACTCAGTGACACCATCTATTTAAGGTTTATGAGTGATGTGTGGTCTTGAACAGATAGAGTCACAGTTAAGTCACATGTGAGCCCAATCACAATACTCTATACATACATCTGGTAAATAAATATATATTATGATACCAAAGTATCTATTAAAGCATATCTGAGGTATGCCATGCAGGACCTTACAGAAGGCTTTATTCGGGGTCTCATTTGGTGTCATGTATTCAAATATAGGTTTATATAGAGCTGTACACAGAGCTCTATACGGGACGTCTCACAAAAGGCCTCACAAGGGGCCTATCTTACACAGAGCCTTATGAGAAGAGAGTTTTAAACAACGGGATCTCACCAGTAAGTGTACTAGTATTTATAAAGATTATGGCGTTCTCAACATGGTAGGCGGAAGAAGGGTTACAGCTTGGCCATGCCATCCTTATAGAAACATGGGGGTCGATGCCCGATCACAAGTCCATTGTGTTGCATAATGACACTATTGACTTTCTCCGATGAATCCAAAAGCCTTTTCACTATGTTTATCAGGATGTTAAAATGCTGCTCATACTCTGGCCCGAAAAGATGAATGTGATTTCATATTTGCATCTACACATTATTCCTATCATCATAAACTAATCCACATCATGGTTACATACGTCTCACATACGTCACATCCATCACATCAATCAATCATCAACTAAGGCAGAGACAGGAACAACTCCTTCATCAAGGGATAGTTAGGAGTACCCAAGCCACTGGCGGGGTCCCATCTGCAATATGTTAGTTAAGTCTTTGGCAACGTGCAAGAGACTTACCCATCGACAGCGCTGAAACCGTAGGTTCCGCATCCGGCATTAGTACCGTTGGTGATGTCGTTAAGAACCTGGGGATAAGCGTAGAGGGCAGGATTGACGAAACCGACAGGGCCCTTGCCGATCGCAAAACGCTCCTCGTTGAGCTACATCCGTTAGCTATATTCTCACAGCGCAGCGGCTTGTAGATTACTTCACTTACCAGAGTGAGGACCGACGCAAACAGCGGCGAAGCCAAACTGGATCCATACCAGTGGTAGTCATAGCTGTCCATGTATGCGCGGAAGTTGGCGCCGTTGGCCGACACGTCAGGGTAGGCACGGCCGAGACGGTTGTAGAGACCCTTGGTGGTGTTCACGTCCACCTGGAACTCGGAGTAGTAGGGGTACGACAAGTTGGCGGTCTCGAAGTACTCCGCCACCGCAGCCACCTGGTAGGCCGGCTGAGGGAAGTAGTTCGAGAAGCCACCAGAGGTACTGAAGTTAGTTGCGGTTCCGCCGAGGTTCACGTGCATGACGCTCTCGCTGTCGTTCACGGTCTGGTAGCCGTAGAGCATGCTGCCTCCGACGGAGGTGACGTAAGGGCAGTTTGAAGGGTACTGGGGGTTGAAGATCTTGCCCTCAGGGCCGAGGCAGCCGTTCTCGTCACCGTCGCCGGCGAAAGAAGCCACACCGTAGTCGCCAGAGGCGAACAGAATAGAGTGTCCCTGCAGACCGAGCTTCATGAACTCGTTGCACTGGCGCTTGGTGTAGCCAATGGGAAGATCAGCCTCGGACTGGCCATAGGAAGCACTGATGACGTTAGTGGGCTTGTAGACACCACATTGGAGTTTTCCTGCCACCGTTAGTCATTATCCTTATTGCCTAACGCAGTGGAATACCTTTGTAGCCGCCCGCCTGGGTGTCGGGGTAGACAGGGTCAATCTCCGGGTCGTCACCGGTTTCGCCATAGGCGCTGTAAGTGCAGTAGGACTGGATTGTTAGCATGAATCCTAAGACAGAAAGGAGAACCTACCCCATCCAGAGCATCAAGGAAGGTGTTGAACAAGTTGGTGGTGGCGACCTCCTCGGGTTCATAGATCTGGTCGTCAACCTGGTAAAGGGTGACCGTTTGGGGGTACAGCAGGGAGAACCTGAATTGTCAGTAAGGTATCTAAGAAATGCAGAATGACTACTCACGCCATGTCAATGTCAATGTCCGATTCACCGGTGTTTAGAGAGCTCCAGGAGGGAACCGAAAAGTTGGCGCCGTCAATCAGGGCCGGAATGGGGTAGGTACCCTGAGGAACCCACGGAGCATACTCCTTGTAAAAAAGGTCAAGATCAGACTTGGCAAAGTAGTCGCCCTGCTCGTAGAGACCGAGGCTGTTGCCCGGGGTCGCCGTAGTAGAGTCAGGGATCTGGTACAGAGCCTTAATGCACGAGGGTGTGATGTTGTAGCCACAGGCCTTGAGGTCATCTGGCAGAAATTTGGCCTTGCTCGGCAGGGGCTGGGGGCCCGAATAGGCGGACTTGGCCTTGGAAGAGTGTGCCAACTGGGATGCACGCTTGACCTTGTTCCTCTTCTTGACGACCTGAGTGAGCTTCACTCCTGGGGTGATGTAGTCGATGTGCTTCTGGATGTGCTGAGGGACATGGTATCTAAACAGTCAGTGATGTTCAGCGAGGCTGGATGTTAACTCACTCATCGCATCCAACCTTGATGCTAGCACTAGCATCACTCTCGTGCTCGTGGAACTCCGTCAGCAGAAGCCTCTCAGCTTCATGGGCGTAAGCATCGAACGCGAGCCAGCCCTTGTTGTCGGAGTGCACCACCCGCGATGGGTGGATGCCAGAGGCGACGAGCCATTCGCGCACCGCCTCGACAGCTTCGTCGGAGGGCGCGAACATGTCGTGCACCTCATCAGCCGACCAGTACTTGCCGTACTTGGGAGAGGTGGGATGCGAACTGCATTATTGTCAGCATCTCTTTGACCTACCTCAATTGCAATTACAAGAGATGGGATGAACTCACACTTCCATCAAAAAGTCATATCCCTTGTCCAGATTGTTCTGGGCTAGACCAATGCGCATAGGCAAGACGGCATCGCTGTCCACGCGAGCGCCCTTCACCCAGTCGGATGGGGGCTGGTCACGCTTCTCGTGCAAAACATGCTTGACAGAAGTCGGGATGGCATTGGACAAGGCTGCAACGGCCAGAGCCACGGCGAGCTGACGGACCAACATGATGAATTGAATCAGCGCTGCGACCCGAGACAAAGGTGGTGGTCGGCTGGTTGCGGACGCGGTCTTAAATAACGACGCAACGACGGGTGGGCCCTTGCAGCGACAATGCGAGAAATTAATTGCGACATACGACCTGCCGGCCACACCGCCGGCCGCAATCTACTGGCAATTGTGTGATTGGAGGAGACGCTGGTTCACGCAGGCGACGGTGCCTGGAGAGCCGGTGGCGAGGCGGTCATCTTGGGACTGCGGGGGGTGTCCACAGGCACCAGCCAACCCGACCAGCTCTGCTGCAGCTTATCGGCCGTGGAATCCCACGCTATCCAGGAGCTAATGCTGCTGTCTCGGCTAGCTTTCGTGTTATCGGGCACTAGCCGGGAGTCCCGGCGGCCATTCGCTGGGAACAAGAGAGGGCCACCGGGGTTGCATCGGAGCCCCGACTGAGCTTCCTGATAAGCCTTGGCCGGCCACTCCACGCGGGTCACTCTGCGCCATTTCCCTCTGGCATCCCGATCGCCTGCTTTCTGATTCCTGACAGGTTCGTGACTCGCTTTACACCCAGCAGGGCTGCATTTTACGCATTCCCGGAATCCTTTGGAATCCGATACCCTTGTCTAGTACCTCGTGTAACGCTCTCCTTTGGACTCCGTCGAAGCTTTTCTGGAACATGGGGCTCGATGTCTCGTCCTATCAAGGCAACTCACATTAAACCATATTCGAGTAGTCTGATGGGGCCCGTCAAACTAAGAATATGAAGCTAGAACGCCGTGTCGCAACTATCCAATCTCGTAGTGGAGCAACGTAAAAGGCACGCGGACAGGAAGAAGTCCAGAACGCGGTAATAACACCACCATTGAAGTATTTTTTTCAAGTATGTGCAAATGATCGGCCTCTCGCTTGCGAGTTTCCATCTTGCTTTTTTTAACCTGGCCGTTCCATTTGGTATTGCCCCGGTGACTCATCCTGGGGAGTGATTGAGACATCTACCCATCCTCTCGTGCGGGAAATTACGCTGTTCAAATGGCGTCTAATAGTCTATTGGTATGACAGAACGGAGTTTGGAGCCCGATGCACCAGCACGATTCGGATGTGGTTTGGTCTCCGGTCATGCTCAGTTAAGCAACTGTCTCGTAAATACCCCATGCGCATCCCATTTTTGCTTCAGTTGCCGGAGCCTCGTCAGCCGCGCTTCACCTCGATATCGTCTCTGGATAGGCCCCGTCCGTGTCGCGTTCTGGAAATCGACGTAGCGGGTCTCGTCCGGCCCACGCATCACGGCCACGCACTCTTCGTTGTACTCGTCAACCTTGCGACGATTCTTCACATCGGTATGCCACACTATATTGACCCTTTCTCTAGGTTAGCAGGGTGATCGCCAAGTGAGCGAAAGATACATACTGCCAGTAACGGATGTCATGTGAAGACATGGCCGAGTCCTGCTCGGGTGCCTTGACTGGTCGCGAGTCCCACTGAACGTTAAAGGTCGTATTGATCGCATCTGGGCACTCGTGGACCAATTTCTTCCAGATCTCGATGGCTTGAACGAACGCGTCTACCCGAAACTCATCTAGTCCGACTAATCCGAACCGCTTAAAGTCGCCCTTGGCGCATAGCGCTTCTCTGTCATCATTCACGTTCTGATATGGTAGCTCTCTCCCAGTCGTGGCGATAGGTTGCAAGTCATACAAGGCTTTGAATGGCACCTCAGGAGCCTCGTCCCCCGTATACCGCGCAGAGATCACCAGCGATGGGGTCCGCGCAGGCGGCGGAGCAATGGCCATCATGAGGCCCGCAGTCGCATGGGTGGGATCATCCATGATCTGCTTCATGGTGGGTACCACCTCTGTCGCCCGATCAAGTGGGAAGATGAAGGCCCCGACCCAGATCAAGCCCTGCTGCTTGCGCAGTGCTGTCAAGGGGTGGGTACGAACGGTCAGTTGGGTGACAAGGCCGAAGAACTGCCCAGCTCCTTTCACTCCCCAGAGAAGGTCGGGCTGCGTCTCCTTGGTGACCTCGACCAGTTCTCCTGTGGCCGTGATCAGCCGCGCCGCTAAAATTTGATCGGATCCGAAGCCGGTGATGGAATTCGTGATGGAGCCTCCTCCCCCGAGGAGGTAGGGGATGGCACCCACGCTGTTGCCGTTTCCGAGTGCTAATATTCCAATTTATTAGTATGCTTCTAACAGGAGCAGAGGGAAATAAAGATGGTGTGAATACCGGTGAACAGGCCTGCTTCTGCTAGACACACGGACACTTGCTTGGCCAGGATTCCCCCTACTACCGTGGCCGTCCCATCCGCATTAACGTGCACACCGGTATAGAAAGTGAGGTCAATGACGATTCCCTCGACTCCGATAGTTGACCACGGGCTATGGCCGCCACTCTTAGGCACGAATGGAATGGATGACTTGAGAGCCCATCTTACTGTCTCGAGGCAGTCCTCTTCCGACCGTGGGAGAACAATGGCAGCGGGCACTTTCCGGTCGATATCGGTCCATCGAGCCAGGCGCTTCTGGAATTCTGGGTCTTGGGGATCGTGCAAGATCTGACAGTCGGTGGCCACCGCAGCCTGGAGAGCTGGAAGCTGGGACAGGACGTGGTCGGACATTGTTGCGCCACCAATTCGCCGGTTTCAGAGACTTGATCGGAGATTCAATTGAACGAGGGGAAGAGTGGTCGGGTTTTCTTCTTAACGAAAGACCCCTCGGTCAGCTTGGTAAGCATGGGGCCAGGACACACGTCAGCCCCTCTAGCTGAGCAGTAAGCTTACTTGAGTGTTGAAGAATGCCGCGAGGCTCGGCATTGGGAATGGAGTGTCCATCACACCATAGCAAGGCACAGCATGGAAGGTGGAGCGAACTGCACTAAAAGATTACGTCCACGCGATGTACTCCGTAGAACGACGCGGATGAAGCCATCGATGGCAGAGGTAAATCGGTCAAGACTTCCTTTATGGATTCACTTGGTTCGAATAGAGTTCAAGAGTGCAGCCCTGCATTGTCAGGATGATAATACTAATCTTCAGCATCAATCAGCTGCAGAATCCCGGTTGATGGACGGCCCCCACTGCGTCGTCCCTGGACGCGGGGAACCGGGCGGGAAAGTCATTCTCCGATGAGCTGTGTTCCCTTCACCATAGTGTCACTTTATGCCTCTAGTAGACTGAAGCCACTTGCATGACATGTTTTTCGTGTAAGAGTTGAGATGAATATGAAGGATACAGCCGACAGTTGGGACAAGCCAGATGCAGGGCAGATGGAAAATCGAAGAGAAGAAGAAGAAGAGGAGAAGAAAGCCGGTGGGATGGGCCACTCCGGGTGGGATGGCAGTAAACGCGGTGCAGACCCGATCCGGTAAGCGGAAAGGAGATGACTCCACCGCCTATGCATCCAGTCAAATAAGCGGCAGAACAGCTCCCCTCTGGCACGTGGCATGAAACTATCCTTTTGAAGACGGGGCTGCTACTCAGAGATAATGTCAATACCTAGATATATTTCCTACGATCAAGCCAGCGAACTTCTTGCCGAGATCCTTGACAGTGGCTTGATACCTAATCTTCCCTCCAGTAGCGTGCCGAGAAATGCTCAGGCACCCACAATCTAACCCGGATACTACACAGTCTCTGTTCTATATATAACAACGTGAGTGATGGGACAGAGTATTTATGACCGTCACTGTGTCAGCCGAGAACCAAGCCTTGTACTCGCATCATTGGACAGCAACATCCGACCCATCCCGATGCCTGTAATAGTAAGTACTAGCTACAGAGTAGTATTAATCAGGCACCAGTCCCGAGACCCCTTTATTTATCTTCATTCCCTCCTTCCTTCCCCTCTCCCCCGCAATATCGACACCGCTCATCCCAACCACTAAACCAAAACCAAGCCATCCATCTCACCATGACGGTCATTCCCATCGCCATCACCTCAGACCCCGTCTGCCCATGGGTCCGTTCCCACTTCCCCCCTCCCTCTCCTCCATCCTAACCCATCCCCACAGTGCTACATCGGCTACCGCCGCCTCACCAAAGCCATCCGCCTATATCAACGAACCTACCCCAACGGAAGCCAAGACACCATCCACATCACCTGGAAGCCCTATTTCCTCGACCCGGATGCCCCAATCCAAAGTATCCCCTACATCGGTAAGTAACCCCTCCCTCCCCATTCTTCTTTGCGTCGAACTTCCCGCTAAACAGTACCCCAGACCGAATGACCCAGAAACTCGGAGCCGAAAAAGTCGCCCCCTCACAAGCTCATCTCCAACGGCTCGGGGTACCAGATGGAATCCGGTTCCGGTTCGGGGGTCGAATCGGGAATACGTTGCGTGCGCACCAGGTGATTCTGCTCTGCGAAAGGGTGGACATTGAGAAGGGGACGGATTATACAACGGGGGTGGTGGAGGGGTTGTTTCGGAAGCATTTTGAGGAGGAGGCGGATATTACGGATGTTGAGACGTTGGTGGGGATTGTGGGGGAGGTGAGTCGGGGGGATGGGTTGGAGGAAGGGCGGGTGAGGAGATGGTTAGAGAATGGAGAGGGGGTGGAAGAGATACAGGAGATGGCGGAACGGGCGAGAAAGGAGGGGATTCGGGGGGTGCCATGGTTTCGGATTGGGGGGGAGGGAGATGGAGGGAGAGTGGTGACCTTAAATGGGGCACAGGATGTGGAGGAGTTTTTCCAAGCATTGATCGCGTATAAAGAAGGAGGGCGGAGGTTGGAGGAAGATGGTGGAGTGGGAACTAAGTGTTGAGTAGTGTTTAGCTTATTGGTACTTAGTTAGTTAGGAGTCCCCCCAGGCAATCAAACCGCCCTCCCGGTTGTTCCCATTGTTCGTCCCATCCCACACACCGCCAACAACGCAGCAATCCATCGGGATCGTATTTCTGTTTGATCCGCAGGAGCTCTGCATAATTCTCGCCCCACCAGGATGTTTTCCAGTTGTCCGTGAAGGGATCGGCCTCACTGATGTAGGAGCCACTGTCTGGGGCCAGCCTTTCTAAGGCCCGGGTGACGGCCTTGAGTCGCCGAACAAAGGCCCGTCTCTGGGTCAGCGTGCTATTCCACGGCCACTGGGCCTCCGTCGTGATCATCCAGGTGCTGTTTCTCCAGGCCGGAGTGGCCGAGGTCGATCCGGGGTCAGTATAGGGCGAGTGGATGTCCGAGGGCGGCGTGGCGAACAGGGTGGGCTTATAACCCTCGGCCACCAGCTGGTTCAACGTGTCGAGGATGCGTGCCCGACCCGTGGCATTCTGCAGCATGGCCGTCGGGATCAGACGGTTCGTGGCGAACCTCGCCTGCCCGACCCCTGCGTTGGCGGTGGGGAGCATATAGGCCTCGTACACGGGGAAGAAATCCGGATACGATTCGAACACCACCGTCCCGCCGGGCTGGGCCTTCACATAGTCGATAGCCTCTGCCAGGGAGGCCCGGGCAGCCGCCAGATTCAGGAACGGGTTGGCCATGACGAGAGAGTTCATGCTGTTGGGTCCGCCCCAGCCTTGCTGCGACCACCGCACGGCATGCTCCATCAACAGCTGCGCAAAGGCATCCGGATGCGTGACATTCGCGGGCACGGTGAGATAGGCGAACACCAAGGGGAGGCGCGGTTCCACGCTGCTGGTAGATTCCAACACCACCCCGTACGTACCCCCGCCGCCCCCGCGGAGGGCCCAGAAGAGGTCCGTGTTTTGACACGCGTTGGCCCGACGCACCTGTCCGTCCGGGGTCACGATCTGGTATTCGAGAATGCGATCGATCCCCAGTCCGAACTGCGCCGAGAGCAGTCCGTGCCCCCCGGTCATTGCTAATCCTCCCGAAGCGCCCACGGTTGGAGCAGTGCCGCCAATGAAAGTCACGTTGTTCTGGTGCGCAAACCGGTATACCTGATCGAAATTGACCCCGGCACCTAGTGTGATGGCTGGGTGGCTGGCAGATGGAGCGATGGGACATCCCTCGGGAATGAACTCGGGGTGGAAGGCCAGATTCTGCAGAGGGCGGGTCCAGAGAGCGAGGGATCCATGTAGACTACTCCGACTGCTGAAATCATGGCCGCTGTTCTTGACACTGAGAGCTACCCCGGTGTGGCGGGCAAATTCAAAAGCCGTCTGGACATCGGCAGCCTCGTGGACGGGGATGTAGTACCTGGACACGCTGCCTTGGCCACAGCTGTGCGACAATACTGCAGCCAGGTCGGTCGGGTTGGAGGGATCCAAGAGGCATTGGCTGGTGATGGGATTGGAAGAGGCAGCGCAAATCTCATTCTGGGCGTGCATGAAACCGTTGTACAAGTCAGCGCGATAGGCGGCAGTAGTGTACTGGGCCTGCAGCTCCGAACATTGGCTGGGCTGGGGAGAGACCGGTCGACCATCGTAGTGGCTAAAGCAGGGTTGTGCCAGCGGGCTGGCTGCATGCAATCGACCTTGCAGCGTGGCATTCAGGACAGTCCACGACCAGGTTCTGTCCCCGGCGGAACTCAGGTTGGTAAGGATGAGCACGAGAAAGAGGAGTTGTGACACCATCGCTGAAGCTTTCATTCTTGCTGATCCGTCTGATTACATGTAGAGACGATTCTATGTTTCTATGATTATATATCGGCCAAGGACTTTCCTTCCACCACATGGCCAGCTAAGCCTCAGCCTTTTCCATCCGGTCCGGCCAAGGCACCGACCAGGGAGTGAGACGGTGAGACGGTGAGACGGTGAGACGGTGAGACCCCCGTGAAACCCTGACCAGGGGTCTGATTGGGATGTCCGAAAAGTTCGGGCCGGGGGTCCGATTCGGGGCCACGAGTCGGCGCGGGGCTTGGGCAGGAAGGAGGGCATACTGGCATACAAAGGCCAACACACGGTCTCACGTACGTAGTACTAGAGAGGGGGATATACAGTGGTGGCGCCGAGTAATGGTGTAATCAGAATAATCATTAATAATGGTGGTAGCCTGCCAGGCGGACATGGCGCAGCCTTTTCTTTGTTCGCCCGCCACGCAAAGCAATAGTCTAGAAGTCCGACCTGGAATTCATAAAGACCCAACCCCTTTAAACTTACAACAGTAGCCGGTGGTCCTCTCTATTCCAATCTGCTCGCGCTACGGAGTACCATCACCATCACCACCATCACCGCCACCAATCCATCATGCCCCCAACCGATCCTGAGATCTCAGCCCTCCTGGGCCCTGGTCCTCCCCAAGGCCTAGGAAAAATAGGAACCATGCGATGGGCCGCCAAAAATCCTCCGAAAGACCCCCAGACCAGCTTGGCGGGGAAAACGGTTCTGGTGACTGGCTCCAACACGGGGTTAGGGTACCACGCCGCCCTCAAGTTTGCCGCGATGGGCGCCTCCCGGCTAATCCTCGCCGTGCGCACCATCAGCAAAGGCGAAGAAGCGAAACGCAGAATCATAGAGGCAACGTCCGGTGGCACATCCACCACCATCACTGTTCTCCCGCTCGACATGAATAACTTCGCCTCGGTCAGGGCCTTCCCGGGTCTCCTTGAACAGGCAAACATCCGCACCTTGGATATAGCCGTGTTGAATGCCGGCATCGCCCCACCCACTTACCAAGTGAACGCCTCGACGGGCTGGGAGTCTGCCTTGCAGGTTAATGTGCTGGCGACCGCGCTTCTCGCCATTATCCTGATGCCCATTCTCATGACCACTACGGCCACCAACGGTGGTCGGCCCGCGCAGTTGACCCTCACTGGTAGTTTTGCGCACCTGTACCTAACCACCAAGGATCTGCCGACGGTCGCGCCCGGTCAGAAGGTGTTGGAAGCGATCAATTCGCCCCGGGCTTTTAACGTCGAAACCTCCTATGCGGTGATGAAGTTGTTGACCATGTATGTGATGCAGGGGCTGGTGAAGGATTATGCCGGGAGTGAATCAACCCCGGAGGTGACCATCAACGTGGCCTGTCCGGGGTTGTGCACGACGGACTTGGGCCGGGACTTTCCCTGGTACGTCGTGCTGCCATCCAAACTGATGCAGATGTATTGCGCGAGATCGGCCGAGGAGGGCAGTCGCGCGTTAGTCAGTGCGACTTTGTTGGGGACAGCTGGCCATGGGAAATTTTGGTCGAATGATGTCTTCACTGAGTAAGTAATTTTTTCCTGTGTCCGGACATAACTAGTCTGATTGATTACTGACGAGGTATGGGTGCAATAGACCGGGGATCATGGTCACCAGCGAGGAGGGACGGAGGCTGCAAGCACAAACCTGGGCCGAGATTGTGACGGTGTGTAAGAGTCAGTTGAACTGAGAGGAAAGGAGGGTCAGCTGGTCAGAAGGCACTCGTCTCTAGTTATTACCAAATTCGATCTATAATTGTTGGATGAAAAGAAAATGGTTCCTCTGATATGAAATACCAAGACACAGTTGCTTCGCTCCGCACCCAAGGTTCATGTCTCCAGTGACATATCCTTTTTCAGAAATTGTATATCCCTCAGAGCGTTCTGGTAAGGTTTCCCTTATCCTTACGATGCACGCCTCAATATCGCCCTAATGTCATTCAAAGTCTGCTTCACCGATCCTGCTCCCCCATCAACGTCCTTGAAATAACCCAGATTATGATGCTTTAACATTACCTCTAGTAGCGCCGATGCAGATGCATTATCTAGAATCCCCCCACCATCTTTTCTTCCCGATAAGTTGGCCCCATTGTCGCTTCCATTCCACGTCACGTCCGGTCGTCCCGGTGACTGGGACGAGACGAGTGAGATTCCCAGAAGCTCCTCGATGCGACCCAGCATTCTCGAGCTAAGCTGAACGATTATTTCCAGTTGAAGATCACGATGACTGTTTAGATCAAATCCGCCAATGTGCAGACCTGGGAGTACGGAGGGCATTAATTGGGTGGCGAACCTGCCGGAGGATGAGAAGGAGGATGGCCTGGTAGATAGATCGGCCGTGGTAGAAGAAGCCAACGTCGACAAAGATGGCACAGGCAAGGATGGGAAGGGGACGGAGGAATCGGCAGACAGGGCAGCGTGGATACGATGGAAAATAGTACCGTACGCATGTAACAGCCAGATGTAACAGGTCAGGATGGTCAATGTGGTGGGCATGTCAACTCCCGACGACCCGACCGATTGTTTGGAGGCTGGATCTGGCATAGCGTCGGGAAATGAGATCAAATTCTCAGGACCAGTCCTTGGAGGATTTTCTTGATTGTGCACTGCCAGATGCTCCGGGTCGTTCCAATACTCAGAGTACGAGCAATCCGAGTCATTGGACGGCGAACGCGGCGACCGATGGTGGAAGGATGGGGATGAGGAGGAAGGATGTGACATGGCGGATGCGGTCGCTAATTTTAGGCAGTGTAGAATATTCAGGTAAGCCTGGGTGAGTTCTAATAGCCTTCCAATGCTGTTCTGAAGACCCTTCTCAGGCTGCCCTTTGCTGTTATCCGGCCATGCCGAGAATGACAGGATGTCGGGAAGAGGCATGGCTCTCATCTTGCTCGAATCTCGCAGGATCTGGGAACTCAGTTCGGACAAGCAATGCAGACAGTCCTCCTTGGTCCCCAGAGGGGGCGATGCTGTACCAGAGGTCTCCTGTGGAGGCGGTTCCTCGTCAAGGTGCTCGGGTCTTGTTCTGGCAGTAGTCACTTTGGGGTCGTCAAAGAGCATGTCCATGAATTGATCGCTTCCATGGCCAGTGGCCTCTGGACTCAGTCGGACGTCAAAGTCCAGAGGCTCTACTCCATATCCCAATGTCTTCGACCTGGATAGGTCTGGGTTCTGATCGGTCGCACTCAAGGAGGTGGGCGGCTGCTTGGGGGCTGCCCGGCTGACAGTCTCCCCACTGCGGCCCCCGATCACGGAGGGATGGATAGTGACCGGCGACACATAATGCGCGGACTCGAGGAATGGTTGTGTTAACTTCCTTTTTGCGGGGATTGAGTCGATCGATTCGGCAAAGTCGGGGGGCGCGCGTGGGACGGAGACGGATTCGTAGATGCGGGACGATCGCTGATCCAGAAAGGAGGCCGACTGCCGGGCTTCCTGCAGCTTGCGCTGCGCATAGGACAGACTGTTGGTACACTCGGCCCCGGCCTTGAGACAGCGTTCGCAGGGGCTGAGCCCCCTGGCCTGGAATGGTCGCACACATCGCAGCTTCTGGCCCCTGCATCGATCGCAGGCACTCCGGCGAGCGTCCGGGTTCATGATGGATGAGACGGGGACTGCTTGGAATTGTCGAGGTTAATCGGCCGAAGACGTTGAGATGGGGCTGGTATATTATAACTAAAAAGAAGGATATGCATCCTCATGGCATACACGCGAGTGCGTCAATAAGGTGGTTGCATCTCATGCGGGTTGTCTGATGTCAGATGGTCGGACACACCGCGAAAAGTCGAATTGTGAAGGAGAAGGAGAGAAGATCGATTGCCCCGAGCAAGTCTGGAAGTCAACTTGGAAGTCCCCTGCCCAGTGGCTCTGTCAGCCTGCCGCTGACGGCTACTATTGGTTGGCGGGGACTCGATTGACGCAAATCAGATCAGCCCGAGTGGATCGACATGGATTTCACTAGATTGGGCAACAGTCGTCATTCACGGCCCGGGATCCATTCGGATCACTTCTGCTCGCGTGATTGGGCAGAGGCCATGCGTTCTCAGCTACTACTAGCTAGTACGGTGTACGAGGATGGGGAGCAGTGAGTGACAGCTCAGAGACACCAGTACCTGCCTACCCCTCATTTGCCCTGCTTCCCCCCCCCCCCCCCCCCACGGGTGTTCTTATCATAGACGAACTGTGGTTCCAGCCAGGCCCAAAACCTAGTAGGCGGGTCTGGCGGGATGAGGGTTCGCTTGTTTGCGCTTCTTCAAGTAGGGAAAAAGGAAAGAAAAACTGTTTGCTATCCACGTTCCAGTGCTCCGTACTAACTAATTAACTAATCAAACCAGTCGTCCTTCCTTTTCCCACCTCCCTACACGGTACCAGGTACGTGATCCTTCACAGTTCGTCCCTTGGCCTTCGGCGAACAAGGAGCTGCGCCTGCTGGTTAGGAATGACGTTGATATCATGGTACTGGTCCGGGGGGCGTTCGGTTCCCTCAGCAAATTTGAATTCATACTGCAGGAGTAACTCGCTGAGAATAATCTTCAGCTCATGCGCAACGAAGAAGCGCCCGGGACATGCATGAAAACCGGCTCCGAAGTTGGTCGAATCATTTGATACGCTGGCGAAGTGGAATTTGGCCGCGTCCCCCTCCGTCCGCATGCGATAAAAGCGAAGAGGGTCGAATTTCTCCGGCTGAGGATACGTGTCGGCATCATGCGTGAATTCATAGGTGGGGAACATCAGAAATGTGTTAGCTGGGAGATGCAGTCCATCGTTAAATGTATACGGCTTGACCGTGGAACGTTGGCCCGTGACTAACATGATCCACCCATCTGGTCAGTGGATGAACTGTGCAAGGGGGCGCGGAGGGGGGGGAAGTCAAGCAATTAATTACTTACCAAGACCTACGGGGTGTAGGCGTTGACTCTCCTTCATGAAACTGTCTAATTTGCGCAGTTTCGCGAGACTCTGCTTGGACCATCCCGGCGATTCGGCCTGTACTTGACGGATCTCCTGCAGCAATTCCGGGATGAATGCCGAGTGCGCGATTAGATCATACATGATGGAGACCACCGTGGTGCTTGTGGTGTGGATGCCCGCCGTGTACAGAAACAATAGGCCATCGGCAATCTCCGCCGGGGTGATGGTCTTGCCATTCTGGTGGCCGTCGATGAGCCATTGGACCGCATCCCGATGCATATCCGGTGAAGCAGCCAAGCGATCAGACGTGCGCTCGTGGTACAGCGGCTCGATCATTTCGGTCGCCCTTTTTCGAAGCGTCAGGAGGTCCTTTCGCCCACTGTAGGTCCAGGGAGCGAGCCACTGCCACCGAGCCGAGTAGGACGCTCGAATCCCCATGGCGGATTTCATGATCCCAGTCGTATTGGCGATGGTCAGCTGAATCCATTCCGGATGACAGCAAAGCTTGGGTCCAACCAGCACTCTCCCCGTAATTCTGGAGATGACCGGGAAGAACGTATCCCATGGCTTTAGCGACGTCCATTCTGCAGTGCCAGCGGATCAGGGTTTGATTCTTCGGCGCGGGGATAACCCTCACCTGGGCATTCCGGTATCACCGTCTTGAATGTCTCAAGACACTCGTCCCTCATTGGCTCCACCAATTCCCCTGCAGGAACCTCACGTCAGCATATGATGCCGCAACAGTCCCCATCAAAATAACATACCGAGATTTTTGTTCAAATCAATGCGAGTCACATGCGTGGCTGCGGCAGATGGAAGCACCGATCCGCTGTATTTCAGCAGGAAAGCCTGTAAATTGTCTCAGCCGCTGGGGCCTCACTGGCAATTGCTTAGATGAGTGTGTTGGGGGGGGGGGGGGGGGGGGGGCAAACCTACCTGAATTGAGTACAATGGAAAGCTCAGGTGGTCTTCGGATGCACTCTTCACCTCATCCAAGTATTTCTTTGGCATAATGACTTGGGGGCTTCCCTCGTCGACCGGGTTACGGATTCGGAACGCAATTCCTCGTTTGTTATACTAGTAGGATCACGGTTTCAGTACCAGATACCCCCAGATGACGGGTTCGGATAACATAGGAAGCAGGTGGAAGGGAACCAGACCTCTACATAACCCCGATGCATGATCTCCTTCGTTCGTGTGATATAGCTGGCCTGGGTGTCATTTTCATCGAACTTAACTACGGGAATATGAGGGAGGCCTCGCTGGCGGCGCAGGACCAGATTCGAAACGAAGGCGTGAAGCGCGAGGCCTGCTGCCAGGGTAAGGCTGAAGTAGAGCATCCACGTCATGATATGTGATGGGAATAAACGCTAGATGGCATACATTCCAGGAAGCATACACAGCTTTGTGCATACATATATATATTCATCACTTCGACGCGAGACGATCTGTATATGCCGAATACTTCAATCCGCAGTCTGCTACATTCGGTATCCACTCGGTGTCCCTCCGATCATGCCCCCCCCGACCCCGAGTCAGTCACTTTCGGGGCTTCCCATCTCCGAGCTACTGGAACATTACTGATAGACCATCTGGAATATTCAATGTCCATCTATCGCTATGCGGTCCGACGCCAAGTAACTTGGAGAGCCGATCTCACGGAGATCCCAGAAAAACCACCAGTTTCTGTGCCGACAAAGTCCTCGATTTCAACAATTCCAACCCATCCAAGATCCCCTGCCAACCCCCCTCCACCACCCTGATCGGGTGCGACTTGAGTCGCTTGCTATCCAAGAGGCTTTGAATCTGGCGATAGTACTGGATTCCGAACCGACGCTTTTCCGGGTCTGCCTCACTTCCATATCCATTTCCCAAGGGGATTTCATTCCCAATGATAGCAGACCCCATGACGAAGGTAGGCTCAACCGTCTGTCGCGTGTGGTTCATTGGCTGCCACATCTCCAACGCGATGTACCGCCCCCCGGCGCGACCAATGCTCTGGTAGCAAAGTCGTTGGGTTTTAGCTTCCGTCATCGGATCTAACACCAGCTCCAGGTTATTGTCCGTGTATGTCCGGATGTCCTGCGCACAGGTAGCGGAATGGTAATCGTAGACCGCTTCGGCCCCGTAGGAGCGTACGAGATCGAAGTTTTTGGGCGAGCAGGTGGTAATGGGAATATGGCCATATCTTTAACATTAAGTCAGAGTGTATCCATGGTCTCAACGCGATAAGGCGAGAAAGGGAAAGAAGGCGCGCGCGGGGGGGAGGGGGGGAATTGAAGTGCTGCAACATACATTCTCAAGAGTTGAATGGCAAGTGTTCCCACAGACGTACTACCAGCATAAACGAGAACCTGCTCCGGTTCCTCGGCAGGACTTTCAGGACTACCCGGTAGTCCCATTCCTCCATCCCAAAAGAGGGACAGTCCAATGGTTGCGATTCCACTGGCACCAAACGCTGCTGCGTTCTCCCATGCCATGTAATCTGGCTTCTTGAACAACAGTTCCGGATCTGCCCGAACATACTGCGCGAAGGACCCAGACTCGGGATCAATTGAATTCGCTCCGTGGCAAGCACCAAACACGGCGTCGCCGATTTTCCAGCGTGGCTTGGATGGTAGACTGGCCACGTCGGGCCCGATGGCGACAAGTATTCCCGCATAGTCGGTTCCATTGACGACGCCCTTACAAGGGAATTGATAGGGCATCTTGTAATCGCAGGGGTTAAGGGCCACGGCGATTACACGTACCAGCATTCGGTTGGGGGGGACCTGTGGCAGAGGGACCCCATGCGTGATCACGAGAACCCCGCCATCGGCTTGGAGAATCGCGGTTTGAGACTTGGGCAGATCGGTTGGCATCTGGGTGACGGGCATGATGGGAGAGTCGACCATGGAGAGGAGCATGTACTCGCCAACAACTGCGAAGAGTCCAGAGTACCAATGTTATCTACGGAGGGGAAGGCTACGGCGCTCGTCGGACCGAATGCTGGGGTAGGGTTCGGAGCAGTCGGGGTGGTCTTCGGAGCCCCGTCCTTTTAGCTATTATACAATGGTAACGGAAAATCTCTCGCAACTGCCCCTCGTTGTGAGGAATGACTTATTTTGCTTCTGATTCCAAAAGATAGTGGACATCAAGGAAGAGATATCCTGCAAGAACAAAAAACCATGCTTCAAGTGCTGAAATACTTTTACCTCTTTACTCTGGCACATGCTGTGGGTCTGGTCCAGGGCTGGGAGTCTACATTCCCTCAGAACTGGCCGCTGAATTGGACCCCTCAGCCTGAACTCAACCTGGCTGGGCAAGACAGCTGCACCACCAGTCACCTTACTGCCTACGAGACCGCGGGATCTGGGGCTGACATCTGGCTTTCCACTAGCCCCCTGGACGATTTCGAATCCCCCAAGATCCTACCGCTCAACTCCAGTAGCGGTGAGCAATGGGAATTTGACGGCGTCTCCGATGACGGCATGAACGCTTTTATCTTCGGGCTTTATCGGGACCCGGGTCTTTCGCTCATGGGCACGGGCAATCTGCGTATCTCAGCGGAGTTGGCCTACGCGAACGGAACCCGTTGGGGAAGGGTGGATTATGCCAGCGAATCGACCGTGGAGTCGTGTCCGCATGGGACGAAAGGGGTGTGGAGAGGCACCGACTTTAGTTACATCTTCGAGATCTCCAAGGACATGAGTCGCGTCAAGTTGGAGGTTGACACCCCGGATCTTAAAGGCATCATTTACATGAGGTCCAAAACCCTCCCACGGTATGCAGACGCTTCGACCTGGCCAGCAGAGAATGCATCCACAGCCATTGCACCGCATTTCCATTGGGTGGAGCCGATTCCGGTGGGCGACGTCAAGGTAGACCTGTTTGCCAAAGGGGAGCCCTTCACTTGGCATGGTTTAGGAGGTCACAATCGTCTGTGGTCCCCCTTCAATTGGTTCACGTGCCTCAAAGCCATGAATGCTGTGCGGATGACTGCTGGTCCATATTCACTGTCTTACATGCGTTTTACTTCGCGGATTGCTGGTGGTAAGGATTTTACATCGGTCCTGCTCATGCACGGAGCCGAGAAGATTTTTTCCACGACCTTGGGTGAAGCCTCTGATGTGGACGACTATGTTTTGATGTCCAAAACGTACGATGGCGCCGTTACGGGCACTTTGCGTGACAAAGTGACGGGATATGAGCTCGAGTTGGTTTCCCCGGGACGGAAAAAGCATTGGACGTTTATCATGGAGCATAAGAATATTGCGTTCGAATATCTTGTCGGAAAGGGCCGTGGAGGGAGTGGTTTCTCTAGTAGTTCGAGTGGAGGACCGGTTGGCCTGGAGCAGTTCAGAGGGGTGGCGTTGACCGAAGCCCTCACCTTCCCTGACAGTTCTCCTCTTTTCAAAAACCAATATGTTTGACTGGTTCGGGGTGGTGGATTAGCCCGTTGATGTATGCCTGCTAGTTAGGATAGATGTATTCCTTCAATGGACTGCCTGGACTTGCAAGAATTGCCTATCATCAAGATCTAAGCTTCCAGCACCGACTCGCTAAATCCGAAACGGAAAACTGGAGCATGCGACGACACCTAGACGGGCTCGTTAACCCCCAAAGGTGTGTTTTCTGGGCCCTTGTCTGTGGTCACACCTCCAGAAAGCAAACAACCTTCGGGGTGTTGCAGCCATAGATGGGTGAGATCAACACTCGCAACGTTTCGGTTCGGTCGGCTCGGAGTCGGACCCTCGTTTCGGGGAAGATCATGGAGAGGGAATTGTTTTGAACATGAAGTGAGAATGGTTAGTAGACTGGGGTTTTTCCACTGTGTCATCTCTTCGTTTTTTCTTCGTTCCTGCCTGAATAGATCCCTGGTCGATACCTGCACTCTTACAAGCCTTGATCATTCACTTTTAGTAGTAACACCGATCTTGGAACTCAAAATGCTGGACTTCGACCTTTTAGAGCAGATCACCATTATACGCCAGACTCTGGCCCCATTGCAGCTTAGCAGATGGCAACTATTCAAGCTAATGATTGCTAGCATCCTACGCAGCACGTCCACCCTAGTCTTGGTGCTCTCCGCAATCACGGCACTGATTCCCGTGCTGCTGGTTTGGAGACTATGGACCGGAAATTCCGAGTTAGATAGGCTTGGGATTCCACGGGTGGGGGGCAGCAAACAGCACCGAAAGGATTTCAGGCGCTTGGTGGAAGAAGGACACCACCGAGTAAGTCCGTCCCCACCCTATTCCGGACAGGCATGCAGTTATCTGATAGGTTGGCCCGCGATATAGTATCCTAATTCGCCCTATGTGATTCGAACCCAGGGGCTGCAATACGTGGTATTCCCACCGGAGTCATTTGACGAAATCAAAAAGCTCCCTCCACACATTGCCTCGGCACAGGACTTCTTCGTCAAGACGTACTTTGGCCACTATACCACCGCCGGAACTGAGACCCCGGCTTTGCTGAAGGCTATCAGCATTGACCTGGCTCGAAGCATCCCCTTTACAGTGGTCTCTCGACAGGAGGATGCAAAAGCCGCGGCAGATGACGTTCTGGGATCCTGCCCCGAGTGGAAGGAAGTGAAACTGTTTCCAGCTGTCACCAGGATGATTGCAATGACCAATGCATGCACATTGGTGGGAAGGCATCTTGCCCGCAGCGATGGCTGGGTGAAGCTAGTCAGCAAATTTCCATTCGAGGTCATGGCCGGAACCTTTGTTATCAGTGGCTTTCCCCGTTTGATCCAGCCCATACTCGCGCCGCTGATTTTTCTGCCGGCCATTATCACCAAATGGCGCATGAAATGGTCGCTGCGCGGGGTCATCAAGCGGGATATGCATGAATTCCTCACCACCTCGGACAAGAAGACAGTTTTGAAATTGAAGGAAAACGGCAAGGTTCCCTTCACTGCGTCGCTCATGACGAGATACAAACCAGAAGAGGCCACTCTGGATCAATTGCTCCAGGACTACGTCACGGTCTCATTCGAGTCCACTCCTTCAAGCACGGCAGCTCTGTACCTCATCCTGATGGAGTTGGCAACACGACCCCAGTTGGTCGAGATCCTGCGCCAGGAATTACGGGAAGTCCTGGTGGATGGGAAGTTACCAAAAACGCATCTTGCGGAACTTCGGAAGATGGATAGTGTGATGCGGGAATCTGCTAGAGCAAATCCATTCAGTCTCCGTGAGGGTTCCCATTGTCCCCCCTTTTTCCTTTTTATCGCTCGGCTATTCTAACCAACCCACGTCTCTATAGTTGGTCTATACCGTCTTCTACGAGTACCGACCAAGCTCTCCACGGGCCCAGTCCTACCGGCCGGAACTCTGATTTGCGTGGACGTGCATCACATCCATGGCTCCGAGGAACTGTGGACCAAGCCTGAGGAGTTTCATGGGCTCCGTTATTATGACAACCGCAAGGAACCAGGCAAGGAAAATAAGTATCAATTCGTCAGCACTGGCGCAGATTCGCCCGGTTGGGGCGATGGGGCCATGGCTTGTCCCGGTCGGCTATTTGCTAATAGCACCATCAAGATCGCCTTGGCTCATTTGATCATGCACTACGACTTTAAGTTTCGGGATGGGGAAGGGAAACCTCTAAAGACATCACTTCCCAATGGCTCGTGGAACCCCGGGTTGGATGTCAAGCTCATGTTCAAATCAAGAAAGTGGGATGCCTAGGGCTGAGGCTGGAAGAGACAAGCAGGAACGCTGGGGACGAAGAGGAATGGATGAGCTGGGAATGAAGCGGCAGGGGTGGTAACTAGCTTCTGTCACTGCAGGGTGAAATGGTGAATTCAAGATGGGACAACTTTTTTAAGCATCTCCCGACTTACCAAGTCGACTATAAGCCATAGCTAGGTGCTAGTCAGTCCTTGTATGTCAACAGCTTTCGGGTGACTGTCTTGTGTACATTCCTGCTTCTTCTTATCCCCTACTGCGTACAAATCAGATAACTTACTACATGTGGCCAAGATGTTCATTGACTAGTACTAGCGTAATGGTAATGATGAAATATATATTGTACTCTGTCTCATGGGCGCTACAATCATGGGCTGTTAATGTCCACCTGGACGGCTGGAGGGTCTGAATACTTCATTTTTAGGGGAAATTAATCCGCTTGGCTCTTCTTGTTTCCCCAAATTGCAACGTACTTCTAGGCAGCCCCAACCAGCCAGCATGTGTTGTGTTGGGGTGGTTCAAGTGGCCACCACTCACGTGACAGCTTCCGCGCGTCGTGTTGGCGTGTCTCTCGTCTTCCCCTTCCACGCTTCCCGCAGACAGCACGAAATGCCAGGGTTGCCAGTTATTCTGGCTACGCGCCGGACACACGATGAAGGAATCTCTAAAGCATGGATTGGGGGCAGGACCGCCTCTCCGATAGACTCAAACCGGGGAAATGTCGGTCCTCCGCGCTCGGGGTCTGACCCGCCTAAACTATCGGGATCAACTCCGACTCGGATGCAGCCTATCGGAGGAAGGCAAACTAGAGCATCCACCCCATCGAGCCGGCCGGCAAGTATATCTCAATACGAATAAACACAAGGACGGATAGAAGAAAGCCGATCAAAGACCAGAACGGGATCATAGATCACGGGCCGAAGAGTTGTCCCTCTTGTGATCATTTGCGCCTCCCTGCTTTCATCCGATTCTCCAACACAGGCCCAAGTCTCCACATGGCGGGTTCGCAGACTCATTCGAACGAGCCAATTGCCATCATTGGCAGTGGATGTCGGTTTCCAGGGGCCGCAAGCACTCCATCCAAACTGTGGGATCTACTTCGAGAGCCACGCGACGTGCAGAGCAGAATCCCCGACACTCGCTTCAATCCGGACGGATTTTACCACCCGGAGAATACGCATCATGGGACCAGCAATGTTCGTCACTCCTACTTCCTTTCCGAGGATCACCGCCACTTCGACGCCCAATTCTTCGGGATCAAACCAGTCGAGGCCCACTCGATCGATCCCCAACAGCGTCTTCTGTTGGAAACAGTGTATGAGAGTATCGAGGCTGCCGGGATCTCGATCGACCATCTCCAGGGCTCCCAGACTGCTGTTTACGTAGGTCTCATGGGGGCCGATTATGCCGATCTCCTAGGTCGCGACACATCGTTTTTTCCCACTTATTTCGCCACCGGAACCGCAAGAAGCATCATTTCCAACCGAGTGTCTTACTTTTTTGACTGGCGGGGGCCATCGATGACTATCGATACCGCTTGCTCGTCCAGTTTGATAGCGGTGCACCAGGCCGTACAGGTTCTGCGCTCTGGGGAGTCTCGAATGGCGATTGCCGCTGGGGCCAACCTTCTGCTGGGGCCGGAGCAGTATATTGCGGAAAGCAATCTCAAAATGTTATCGCCAGATGGTCGATCGTATATGTGGGATGAGAGGGCGAACGGGTACGCCCGGGGTGAGGGAATGGCGTCAGTGGTTCTTAAAACACTCTCCTCAGCGATCGCCGATGGAGACCATATCGAATGTATCATTCGAGAGACTGGTATTAACCAAGATGGTAAAACCAAGGGTATCACGATGCCCAGTCCCACCGCTCAGGCCGCATTGATCGAAACCACCTACGCGAAGGCGGGTTTGGATCTGCATCGGGCACAGGATCGACCCCAGTACTTTGAGGCGCATGGTCGGTTTCAATTCCCTTCTCCCCCCCACCTCATCTCCAGTCGCTAAGTGAGTGAACCACTGACGCGAAATGCACCATCAGGTACTGGGACGCCAGCAGGTGATCCCACCGAGGCGGAGGCAATCCACAATGCATTTTTCATGAACAATGGCTTGAATCTAGAGAGTCATAGTCCGTTGTTTGTCGGTTCGATCAAAACTGTCATCGGTCACACCGAAGGAACCGCCGGATTAGCGGGTCTCCTGAAGGCCTCCCTGGCGTTGCAGCACGGAGTCATCCCACCCAATTTGTTGTTTGAGAGGCTGGCACCCTCAGTCAGACCTTTCTACCAGAATCTGGAGATAGCCACCAAGAGTCAACCATGGCCGTCGACCAACCACAATGCACCGCGGAGAGCCAGTGTCAACTCGTTTGGGTTTGGAGGGGCAAATGCACACTGTATCCTGGAAAGCTACGAACCATCACAGAAGCCTTTCGACCCCAATCGGCACACAGAGAAGAGTATTGTTTGTACTCCATTCACCTTCTCAGCCGCATCGGAAAGTTCTCTCAGGGGTCTGGTGTCATCGTATTCAAATTTTCTCAAGGCACGGCCGTCGACTGATCTCCGTGCACTTTCACTCACACTAGCCACCAGACGATCTGCATTTTCCACTCGCGTCTCATTTTCGGCAACCGATGTATTAGGCCTTGCTTCCAAGCTAGATTTCTTCAAAACTGGGAACGGAGAGAAATCAATTGCCGCCTCGACCTCAGCATCCCGGGAAGGGCCATTCCGTGTTCTTGGCGTTTTTACTGGCCAGGGTGCCCAATGGGCTAGAATGGGAGCCGAGCTGCTGCGTTTTCCAGCGGCCCACGTCATCGTTGATCGCCTGGAAGAAAGCCTGGCCCACTTACCCCTCGATCGTCCGAAATGGTCTCTCAAAAGGGAGCTTTTGGCCGACAAGACATCGTCCCGCGTAGGAGAGGCTGCCCTCTCCCAGCCACTTTGTACCGCCATTCAGATTATTCTCGTGGATCTCCTCAAGGCCGCAGGTATCAAGTTTTCTGCGGTTGTTGGTCATTCTTCTGGTGAAATCGGGGCTGCATACGCGGCAGGGTATATCACGGCGACAGACGCGATCCGCATTGCGTACTATCGGGGAGCGAATCTTCATTTTGCGCAAGGTAAACAGGGTCAGGCAGGAGCAATGATTGCTGTTGGTACCTCATATGAGGATGCGCAGAAGCTGTGCAAATTGAGACGGTTTCGAGGCAAGGTTTGCGTCGCGGCAAGCAATTCGGCAACAAGCGTCACGATATCTGGCGATACCGACGCCATCGACAATGTGCGAGCAGTGTATGAGGAGGAACAGAAATTCGCCCGAGTTTTGAAGGTCGACAAGGCCTATCATTCTCATCATATGGTCCCTTGCTCGGAAGCCTATGCGAATTCTCTTCGTGCGTGTGGAATCCAGCCTCGACGTCCGCTGGACTCGGATTGCATTTGGATTTCAAGTGTCTACCAGCAACATATCGATGATGTAAAGGACAATCTTGCCGACTCTTACTGGATCAGCAATCTCGTATCGCCCGTGCTGTTCTCCCAGGCGTTGGAATATGCACTTGGGGAAAGCCAATTCGATCTGGTGATTGAGGTCGGTCCTCACCCTGCATTGAAGGGGCCTGCTAGCCAAGTTATCCAAGACGTTCTCGGGGCTGCCATACCGTATACCGGGGTTCTGCGCCGGGGTGTGAATGATATCGATTCACTTTCCACCGGGCTCGGCTACATCTGGGCTAATCTGGGCCCTCAAGCTGTCGATTGTACCGGATATGACGGTCTATTGAACCCTGACGCAGATACTCAGGTACCTCTCAAGGGGCTGCCCCCTTACTCATGGGATCATGACAGACCGTACTGGTACGAATCACGTATCTCTAAGATTTTTCGAGAGCGAAAGTATCTCCCGCATGAACTTCTCGGGACTCGTTGCCCCAATTCATCCGATAAAGAAGTTCGATGGAACAACTACCTCATCCCCAAGGAACTACCATGGATCACAGGCCACCAGATTCAAGGCCAGATGGTATTCCCTGCAGCGGGTTACATGTCGACCGCATTTGAGGCTGTCCGAGAGATTGCCGGGGAGGAGTCCTTGAGATCGATTGAGCTAAAGGATTTCACCATTGGCCAGCCACTGGTTTTCGATGCCGAAGATTCTAGTGTTGAGATTCTCGTGTCCCTAACGCAGGTGGAACGACATGGTGATACCTTGACAGGTCGATTCAGTTTCTTTTCGACTGCCGGCCAGGATTCAGGCCCCATGTCTCTAAATGCAGATGGGGTGCTTGAAGTGACATTTGGGGATCCAGTCCTAGAGCTTCTCCCTCCTATGCCTGCTCCGCAATTTGCTATGATGGCAGTCGAGACCGACCGATTCTACGACACCTTTGCGGGATACGGCTACGAGTACACGGGTCCGTTCAGGGCGCTTTCGTCCATGGAGAGAAAATCTGGGATCGCAACTGGCCTAATCTCGGTTCCGGAAAGCAGTGTGCGAGATAAACCTCTGCTTATTCATCCAGCAGCATTGGATGCCGCCATCCAATCCATCCTCTTGGCATTCTGTTTTCCAGGGGACGGTAGACTTCAATCCATCCAACTACCCACCGATATTGCCCGGATCAGCATTAATCCAGCCATATGCGCTGCCAATTCTGCCCCAGGTCTCTCATTGAAATTCTTGTCCACCATCGGTCGTGACGACGGTGCCAGAGTGGATGGGGATGTTGATCTGTATGCCGCCGATGGCCAGAATGCGATGATTCAGCTGGAAGGAATGCACACCAGGCCCATGGTTCCACCAACAGAAAGCACCGACACTCATATTTTCTCGGAGCCTGTATGGGACGTGGCATCCCCGAATGCCATGCAGACCCCATGGAATGAGCGTGAGAGGTTTGAATTTGGCTTTGTGCTAGAAAGAGTTGCTTACTACTACCTTCGCCACTTGGTAAACAGGACAACCGAGAAGGACCGGGGGAGTTGCGAATGGCATCACAAGCATCTGTTTGCCTATGCAGACTACATGCTTGATCGGGTTTCCAGAGGTCATCATCCCTTTGCTCAGCAACAGTGGATTACCGATACGCATGACGAGATCACATCCATCATTGAGAGGTACGTTGTGATGTCCTCTTCTCTTTGGCCTCGAGCTAACAATATCTTCAAAATTTAGCTACCCGGACAGTATTGACCTTCGAATTATGCGTGCGGTCGGAGAGAACATTATTTCCGCGATTCGAGGAGAGTCGACCATGCTGGAGGCCATGATGAAAGATAACATGCTCAATGAGTTCTATGTAACGGGCCTTGGGATGGAAGAGTATCTGAAGAGATTAACAACAGCCGTGAAACAGATAGGGCATCGTCACCCGACGATGAATGTTCTTGAAATTGGTTTGTTCCATCACATTCTTTTCTTCACTGAAGGATGTTAATCATATGTACAGGTGCCGGCACCGGTGGTGCGACCAAGTCAATATTGAGAGAGCTTGACGATGCCTTTGCCTCGTGAGTGAAAGAGCAACTTGCTATCTTCCATTCTGGACAGTTGCTCATCCCTTTCCCAGATATACATTCACGGATATATCCAGTGGCTTCTTCGAGAAAGCAATGCAAACATTCAAAGCCTACGAGTCTAAGATGACGTTTAAAACTCTCGACATTGAAAAAGATGTTCTCGATCAAGGTTATGCAGACCATTCATTTGATCTCATCATAGCTTCCCTCGTGTTGCACGCCACGACAAAGCTTGAGGAGACAATGAAGAATGTTCGCCAGCTGCTCAAACCGGGCGGATACCTGGTAATGTTGGAGATCACGGACAACGATCCAATGAGATTTGGGTTCATTTTTGGGGGGCTGCCCGGCTGGTGGCTGGGAACTGACGATGGTAGACCGCTATCCCCGTGCATTGAACCTTCTCAGTGGGAAAACCTTCTGGAAGACACGGGTTTCTCTGGCATCGAGTCCATCGCGCCGCATCATTCAACTGAGCCACTTCCGCTCTGCGTCATACTTTCTCAGGCAGTGGATGACCGACTGAACCTCCTTCGCGATCCACTATCCCCTGTAAGCCAGGGAACTATCGCTATTCCGGGACTTACTATTATTGGCGGCAGCAAGGCTCATACCTCCCATCTCATATCATCGGTGGCTCAGTACCTCACTCCATTCTGTGGACAGATCAGACGATTCGCATCGTTGTCGGATCTTGATGCTACCAGTCTTTCCTCAAGTGGGAGCGTGATTTGCCTCCAGGATCATGATGACCCCGTCCTACGGTCCCTTTCAGAATCCAAGTTACGGGGCCTGCAATTGCTATTTGAGAGGTCGAAGAATGTGCTCTGGGTCACTGCTGGGTACAAGGAATGTGACCCATACGCCAAAATGATAGTGGGACTTTGTCGCTGCCTTCTACAAGAAATGCAACACCTCCGACTTCAGGTCCTGGATTTTCCAGCCACTGAGGAACCCAGTTCCAAATTGGTCTCGGAAGCCATGATCCGGCTCGCAGCAACTGAAATCTGGGACGAGGAAGGACGACTCAAAGATTTATTCTGGTCCACGGAGCCAGAGATTGCGTACGAACAGGGCAAGGCGCTCATCCCCCGCGTCAGGCTGAGCAAGCGTCTGAACAGTCGGTACAATTCATCTCGTCGCTTAATCACACAAGCTGTCGATATCAAATCAGAATCTGTAACCTTGACATATTCTGGTAATACATATTCCCTTCTGTCAGCTTCCGACCAGGCACCAGAGAACCTGATTCAATCGGCCAGCTATGGTACCGTGGAAGTTGATGTCAGCTATTCGTTATCAAGGTCGGTCAAGATTGGACAGTTGGGCCACTTCTTCGTCGTTCTCGGCACGAATAGAGCGACTGGCCTCCAGGTGTTATCCTTATCAACCACACTGTCATCCCGGATTACAGTTCCCGAGAGCTGGGTACAGCCCTGTTTGTTGCCCGCTCAGCAAGCCGTGGACTACTTAGTGACCGTATTTCACGGGCTCTTGTGCAATGCAGCTTTGAGTGACTTGGTGAGAGGGGATATACTGGCGGTCTTAGAGCCCAGCGAAACTCTGGCAAAGCTTCTGGAGCCCGCTGGGTTGAGACGAGGGATTTCAATTCTCTTTCTCACATCGACCATTCCTCCACCCAGGGGGCCATGGACTGCCATTCATCCACGCTCTTCGAGACGGGATGTCAACATTGCCATTCCCCAAAATGTGGCACGACTGTTGACATGGACGGACAGCACCTGTTCTAATCTCATACAGTACATCGCTTCCAGCCATCCGGTGGAAACAAGGGACACCTTGACGCAATTTGATGGACGATTAAATACTGCATCATCTGATCATCGTATCCCAGAGGCCTTCCAATCATGTCTTTTACAGCTTCGATCTAACTTGTTTCAAACCAACAGACAGGACGTTCCGATCCGATCATTGCAAGAGCTTGTAAACGGCCAATTCGAACAGACCGGTACCATAGCGGTCGTTGATTGGCGCTCAGAAACCACGGTTCCTCTCCGGTTACAGCCTGTTGATTCACGACCCCTGTTCAGAACCGATAGAACATATTGGCTTGTTGGCTTGACCGGAGGGCTCGGATTGTCTCTCTGTAGGTGGATGATCACCCGCGGCGCAAAGTATATCGCTCTCTCCAGTCGAAACCCCAAGGTTGATCCCCGCTGGATATCCGAGTTTCAAGCATTGGGGGCCACCGTTAAAGTCTACGCTAAGTACTTTTATTCTCCCATGATCCTGAATACAATAGTTGGCTAATCATAAGCATAGTGATGTCACTGACCGCCAATCTGTCCACTCGGTCTACCAGCAAATCGTGGCCTCCCTTCCACCGGTGGCTGGTGTCTGTCAGGGTGCAATGGTTCTTCATGATACTCTGTTTCTCGATCTGACCATGGAGCGCATGGAAAAAGTCCTCAAGCCCAAGGTTGACGGGGCAGTCCACCTTGATGAGATATTCTCACGTGAAGCCCTTGACTTTTTCGTCTTTCTCTCTTCCATGGCTTCCGTCACGGGCAATCCGGGTCAGGCAGCCTATGCGGCGGCCAACATGTTTCTCGCCGGACTCGCCGCTCAAAGGAGACGGCGGGGGCTTGCCGCGTCAACAGTGCACATTGGGGCAATTGTGGGCAATGGCTACGTGACCCGTGAGCTAACCCTTGCACAGCAGGTCGCTCTCCAGAAGGTGGGCAATATGTGGATGTCAGAGCAGGACTTCTACCAGATCTTCGCAGAGGCTGTCGTGGCCAGTCCTCCTCGACCCGGCCCGAACCCAGAATACTTCACCGGCTTGAGAGTCTTCTACAACGACGAAGAAGACAAACCCCAGTACGCCGAAAACCCCATCTTCTCTCATTTGATCAAGCACAGGCACCTGGAGGGCAGCATTACCCATGGTAATAGTGCAACTGTTCCTGTTAAGATCCAGCTTTCCAAAGCGACTACTCATGAAGAGGTTTATGAAATTATGAGAGGTGCGTTACTCGTCTCAGCAGTTGGTTGCTTTGAACGGTCCGTGCACTGACGTTTCTGTCGTTGAAGCTGCCTTGGTTGCAAAGCTACAATCAGCGCTGCAAACCCCCGCCGATCTGGACATGATGAATCTCAATGCAGATGCACTGGGTATCGACTCACTTGTTGCCTTGGACTTACGGTCTTGGTTTTTGAAAGAGCTGAAGGTCGATATACCGGTTTTGAAGATCATCAGCGGCTCCACAATGGGTGAACTGCTGGGGCGTGCTGGGGAGCTTCTGTCCGCGAATATGATCCCCAACGTGGTCGCGGGAGCTGTTCCTGACAGGAATCCCGTCTCATCTGAGAAGGCCCAGACTAAGCCTGCCGCTTCAGCACTATCAGCAACATTGCGACAACAGCCAAAACCGACTCAGTCGGCTCCTGCACCGCCGTCTATCGTAGAGACAACCCGACAAGAACCTAAAGAGAAACCAGTCACCACAGCTAATCACACGCCTTTCTCTGTCGCTAAGAAGGAGGAAAAGAAGAAAATAGAGCGCCGTGTGATACCTGCTGCTCTCTCAGTGCCAGATGTTAAACCAGATCCTTTGGACGACCGACCTCAGGAGGGTATGGGGTGGAGTTCAACCTCACAATCCGAACCCCAGAGCCCGTCTTCTGCCAAGGCAACCCCATCGGAGATGTCCGGGTCATCATTCGAGGATATCCCTCAACCCATTGGTACCGACAATGCAGTGCAAAGAATCCTCCCGGTATCATTTTCCCAGTCTAGATTCTGGTTCTTACGATCCTATCTTGAAGATAAGACCACTTTCAATGTTACAGTTTCTATCCGTCTTCAGGGCAAGCTTCGCGTCGATGACCTTGCTCAGGCCGTGGCGACAGTCGGACAACGTCATGAATCATTGCGTACTCGCTTCTTTACGGACCAAAGCCATGAGCCAATGCAAGCCATCCTTGAGTCCTCGGTTCTTCGATTGGAGAAGAAAACTATATGCAACATTCAAGAAGCCCAGGCTGAATATCTTCGTCTCAAAAATCATGAATATGACTTGGAAAATGGAGAGACGATGAGAATCATCCTGCTGTGCGTTTCTGCTACGGTCCACGAGCTCATCCTGGGATATCACCATATCAATATGGATGGAGTCGCTTTCGAGATATTCTTCTCCGATTTACAGAAGGCCTACGATGGCACACTGCCCGCTAATTCAGGGCTTTTGCAGTATCCGGATTTTGCCTCCAGGCAGAAAAAGCAATACCTGGATGGCGAATGGCGAGGCGAGCTGGCGTACTGGCGCAAAGAATTCCAAACAATACCTGCGCCACTACCCATAATTCCACTATCAAACTCGACCGGCCGGGTGACCTTGGGCAAGTATGCAACTCATCTCGCCTCTTATCGGTTGTCGCCAACATTGTCTACCCGAATTTATGACACCTGCAAGAGGTTGAAAGTATCCCCATTTCAATTCTATCTCGCAGTCTACCGGGTGACGATCAGCCGCTTCGTCGACGTTGAAAGTCTGTGCATTGGGGTGTCAGACGCGAATCGAAACGACAGTGATGTCCAGCAAAGCCTCGGCTGTTATCTCAATCTTCTTCCCGTCCGATTTGAGACTCCGGGGGCGCTCAGCAGCTTCAGCGAAACAGTCCGAGACACAAAGTCAAAAGCTCAACAAGCATTTGCCAATTCGAAAGTCCCCTTCGACGTTCTACTCAATGAGCTCAACGTGCCAAGATCATCAAATCACAGCCCACTCTTCCAGGTACTCCTCAATTACCGACAAGGTGTTGCTGAAAGTAGAACCTTTTGCGATTGTGCGTGTGAGTGGACCAACTTTGATGGCGGACAGACAGCTTACGACCTCAATCTGGACATCGTTGATAACGCTGGGGGAGATGCACTCCTGCGGTTGTCTGTGCAAAAGGCTCTCTACGCGGCACTTGATGGTGAAATTATCTTAAAGTGCTTTGTGAACCTTGTAGACGCATTCTCACAGAACCCTGCCATGCGCCTGAACAAGCCAGCACTATACTCCAAGGAAGACTCGGCCAAAGCTATTGCTCTCGGACGCGGTGAGTATTCCCGGATAGAGTCCGACGGGCCCATCCATGGAATTTTCTAACTTGACATATATCTAGGTCTGTCTACCCCGCTCACCTGGCAAGGGACTCTCATGCACCGAATCGATGAAGTGGTGGTATCTTCTGCTCAAGGACTGGCCATCAAAGATGGACTCGGTCATGCCTTGACATATGGTCAAATGAGCGATCGTACAAATGCCATCGCCCAAGCCTTATCGGACGCCGGTGTGAGAGACCGGTCCAAGGTTGCCGTTTTCCAGGAACCATCCGCCGATGTGATCTGCTCTCTCCTGGCTATCCTACGATTGGGGGCGGTATACATCCCTCTTGACCCCCGAGTTACTACTAATCGTTTAGCGGTGATCCTCAAAGCCTGTCAGCCAACGGCTATTCTCACCGACGCAAAAACGCACGACGACATCACATCACTCAGTTTTGATACCAAATTGCTTGACGTCTCCCGTGATATAGTTCCTGCCACTGCCAGGAAGCCTCTCGTCCCTAATGTCTCCACGGAAGACTCGGTGATGGCTATTCTTTACACCAGTGGAAGCACCGGCATCCCCAAAGGGGTTGTGATGAAACATTCCGTCTTCCGCAACCATGTGGAAACCGTCCATAACGCTTGGATATCGGGTCTCACTGCTGTCCGTGGTTTGCAACAGTCCTCCTTCAGCTTCGACATGTCCTTGGTTCAGATTTTCTGGCCACTTTGCTCCGGCGGTAGTGTCTATGTTGTTCCGCAATCGGCCCGGGGCGATCCATTGGCTTTATCCCATATCATCTCATCTGAACGGATATCTGTCACGGCCGCGACACCAACGGAATACATAAGCTGGTCAAACTTTGGGAACCAAGATGCGTTACGCCAGTCAGAATGGAAGTTGTGTATCTCCGGTGGAGAAAGGATGACCCCGAGCTTGACCGAGGCTTTCCGACATGTGAGCAATCCGGGCTTGCGTTTGATCAACTGCTACGGTCCGACCGAAACCACCTTCTTCTCTCACTTCGCAGAAGTGGAGTGGCAGACCGTCGACCCCACCAATATCTCCTTGGCTCCTTGGACTAACTACTCCACCTACATACTGGATTCCAATCTTGAGCCTCTCCCAATGGGTGTTCCCGGGGAAGTAGCCGTAGGAGGGATGGGGGTCGCATCGGGATATCACAATCAAAAGGAAGCTACCCAGCAGCGTTTCATCCCAGACAGGTTTGCACCTGAAGAATGGATCCATCGAGGTTGGGGGGTGATGCATACCACTGGGGACCGTGGCCGATTGCAGCAGGATGGGACACTGCTTCTAGAGGGACGCATTGCCGGCGACACTCAGATCAAACTGCGTGGCCTTCGGATTGATTTACAGGATATTGAAGCGACAATCGTGCAAACGTCAAAGGGTCGGATTGTACATGCAGTTGTCTCCCGACGCGAAAACTCGGATTTCTTGGTCGCCCATGTCCAGTTGCTTCCAGAGGGAAATAAGAGTGCGGATGAATTTTTGAATCAGCTGCTGGTCGACCTCCCGCTACCACAATATATGCGTCCGGCATTGATCATTCCAACAGAAACACTGCCCCGAACAGCTTCGGGCAAGATCGATAGACTTGCGGTCCAGCTGGTGCCGTTGCCACGGACGCCGCAAAAAGAGCCTGAGAATACGTCCCACACTGTTGATGATATGGAATCGCTGCTTCTAAAGCTATGGGAAGAAGTGTTGACGCCTGAGACCCTGGGTCATTTTACGGTGGATTCCAACTCGGATTTCTTCCGCGTGGGTGGTAGCTCATTGCTTCTCATGCGTCTTCAAGCCCTGATCAAAGCAGAGTTCTCCATTGACCTTCCCTTTGCTCAACTGTTTGATGCAAGCACTCTCGGAGGGATGGCTGCTAGGATACAGTCTCTATTACGTCTCGATGAGCACATTGCTCCTGTCGACGCTATCCTCGGAGAAGCCGATGTCCCTCAAAATCCAGTGCCAGAGGTCATGATTGATTGGGACACCGAAACCTCCACGCCGTCTGGGATACCCTCCTCCACTATCCTTGGATCAAATAAGCCACGAGTTGCCATTTTGACCGGCGCCACAGGCTTCCTGGGCAAAGCCCTTCTTCGCCAGCTACTGTCCACTCCATCAATCGAGAAGGTCTACTGCATCGCTGTGAGAGCTACAGCCTCTCACTCCGACCCCGTGTTCTCCTCGCCCAAAGTTGCCATCTACCACGGAGACCAGTCCTTGCCGTCCCTCGGGTTATCCCCTTCTGACATCGACATGATTTTCTCAGTCGCCGACACCATCATCCACAATGGCGCCGATGTCTCATTTCTCAAGTCCTACCCTTCCCTACGCAACGTCAATGTGGAATCCACCAAGCAACTGGCCACTTGGGCGCTTCTTCACGGATTACAATTCCACTACATCTCCACCGCTTCCATCACCTCCCTTTCAGGCCAGGAGGCTTTTCCGTGCGTCAGCCTACGCGACTTCCCGCCTGCCGTGGATGGCTCTAATGGGTATATTGCGTCCAAATGGGCTTCAGAAGTGTATCTCGAGCAGATCAGCACGATCTATGGAATGCCTCTGGTTATTCATCGACCCTCCAGCATTACTGGTCCCGGTGCCTCAGAGACGGATGTTATGGGATCCTTGCTGAAATACTCCAAGATGCTCCATGCCATTCCAAGGGCGGAATATATACGGGGTTTCTTCGATTTTATCTCGGTTGATCGAGCAGCTACAGAGATTGTCGCGGCGATCCAGGCCGGGATCAATGACGTCGACGTGAAGTATGTGTTCGAAAGTGGTGAGCTGCAGATTGAGAGCAGGGAAATGAAATCACGGATGGAGAAGCTGACTGGAGAAACAATTCTGGAGTTGACGATGGAGGAATGGGTACGAAGGGCTGAGGTATTGGGGCTGAATCCCATGGTTGCTGCATTCCTGCAAGGGGCTGCTGGACAAGGGGTGCTGATGACACAATTGATCAAGGACGTGTAGTTGGCCGCTTTGTACTTCCATAGGGTTGCTTTCTATAATAATGCAATACAATTGTATACTGTTTCCTACGTACTGTTTCCTTTATTTTCCGGTCTTCTTCCCCTTCTCCTATTTACATCATTTCATTTACAGTAATTGCGTTGTGCATAGAATGTCACTTTCACATGTCGTACTTCTATTCTCGAGGTGACAAAGAGAACTTATACTCATAGAGATACGTAGGTATATGTAAGGTACCACTACCTGATCAAAATCTCGACTTGAGTGGACAGAGATACTAAAGAAGAAATAGACACAGACATAAACAGATCGGTTACTCTACCGTCCCCTCCAGCCTCTCCCTCATAATCCCCAACTTCTCATCAAGAAAGGAGAAGGTATACTCATTGCTCAGAGCAAAAGCCCCAATCTTGGCCTGCAAGGCGCCATCCGCGGGCGTCTCCGCCAACCAAAGCCTCCTATCCGCCTCGGGCAAATGCTGCAATCCTTTCCACACCATCATGGTATGACTGGCCACATCCAGATAGAGCGAATCCGTGGCCCCCGACACCATTGTCGGACACTTCACTCGCTCCAGAAACCCCCCAGACTCGCCATCACCCTTGAGGGTGAATTTCTTCATCTGCAGCAAAATATCCGTTGGGCGGTCCAGCTGCCAAAATGCACCGGCCAGAGATACCTCCCATTTCAACTGAAACGAGCGGCGGGCGGCGAAATTGATCATCGAGTCCACCGTCGCATTGGACACCCAGCCATCTATCCAGGCTTTCATGAACGTGCCTGATACATGCTGAGTGCCGAAATCCCACATGTCATGCACCGGGTCCATGGCCACGCAGACCTTGATGCGAGGATCCGAAGCCACCCGTAAGGCGAAGTAGCCTCCCAACGCAGACCCAGACACCGCGATGCGGTCCAGGTCCAGGTCCAGGTCCGGACGCAAGGAGACAAAGTGTGCCAGATAGTCGAGGACATGACGGGTGACGTATTCCCAGTCCGGGCGTAGAACAAGCCCATGTTTCCTCAACGCCATCCCTTGACCTGGCCCGTCGAACGTGAGACAAGCATACCCCATCTCGGAAGCCGCACAGGGATTCAAGAAATACAGTTCCTCCTGGGTTGAATCCGCCCCACCACAGTTAATCAATAGGGGAATCGTCTGTCCGGGGAGTCGTTTCGATGCCCGAGGCAAATAGAGATAGCCCTGAAGATGCACCCCGCCTGGGTAGGGGATGTGCAGGAACTCGACGGGGGCGTCGGCGAGCTTGACGCCACGTTTGAATAGCGCGATGGCCCTTTCGGCAATTTCCAGCCCGCGTGGGTCCTGCTGGGAGGGCGTCTCGCCGATAAACATGTATCCGCTGGCACGGGTGTAGTTGGACGCTCGGAGAAAGGCGCGTTTCGCTAGTTCACGGTTCCCCGTCTGAAGGCAGCGTAGGCCTGTCGCTTCGGCCCGGTCGGCCTGCGCTTTCCAGGCTTTGTTCCATGACTCGGCGTCGCCTTCCTGGATACTACCAACTGCTTCGAGCACCTCGCAGATATCGGCACCGCCGTTGGGCGCAGTGCCTAGGATGCGGATGACTTCGAAGTCGAGCCAGGTGGACTGGAAGAACTTGTGCATGTCGAGGGAGCTTATGTGAGGCGTTTGTTGATTCGACGGACGGGCGATGCTTGTTTCAGTCCCAAGCTGATCTGATATCACTTTCTTTGCTGTAGAGGGCTGATCGGGGAAGCCGAAGTATTCGGCCTTGGCGTTCGGCCACGACTCCGATTGGCTGTGGTCAGTTCGGAGGTGATGTATTCTAGGGCATTTGTTCACCTTTCCAATCACTCCTTTCGTCAGGAAATATCCCGTTTTGCTCTGTTGTCTTACAGGATTACACTTACTTGTCTATATGAAAGGTGATAATATTATCCAGATAAGGAGCGGCTCCTTTCTCACCTCGTAATCAGGTCCTCGTTCTCCTATATTACACTACGTAGCAGTAGGGCATTCCCACATGCGAATGTCTATTCATATCGTATTAGTCAAAGAAATATCCCTATCGTCGCTCCATCCCCTTCATTGACCCCTCTTGTCTCCACTCCTTCAGCACCTTTTCCCATGATAAGATTCCCTGTGGATACACTCCCCATCGCGCAGGAATCTCCTCTGGTTTGCCCTCCTTATTGTAATACCCTGGCGGACAGGTCTGGGCAAATTCCAACCGCCTTTCTCTCCCCACTTCTATCTGCTTGCCCCATTCCTCCTCCGCTTCCTCAGTAGGCTCGATGATTCGGAATGCCTGTGTTTGGAGACATGTGCGCACCACCTCGGCGATATGTTCTCCCGCGATGTAGATATTGTGGAGCTGGTTGGCCGTCACGCCGGCCTGCGCTGGACCAATGTTGAAGAGATTGGGGAAATCACGAATATGAATGCCGAATAGTGTCGACGGTCCACCTCCAGGATTGCCCTCCCACTTTTCGTCCAAAGTCTGGCCTTTGGACCCGATGAGTTGAATGCCCGTCCGGCGGTAGAAGTTCGATCCTACTTCGAATTCGAATCCCGTGGAATAGATCAGGAGGTCGACAGGATATTCCTGGCCATTTGCCACCACCCCCGTGGCTGTCAAATGCGACACTCCTTGCCCATTCGTATCAATCAACTCCACATTGGGCAGATTGAATGCCGACAGATACTCGTTGTTGAAGGCCGGTCGCTTGCACATGAATGCATACCACGGTTTCAATTTCTCCGCCGTCGCCTTGTCCTGCACGGTCTCCTCCACCACCTTCCGTAGCCTTTCCATCAACCGGAAATCCAACAGTCGATACACCTCCCCGATCTTCTCCGGGTGTGCCTTCACATCCACTCCCATCCGCGTAGCCTCGGCATGGATCTCCCTTATCGTCAACGCATCCAACCCCTCCACCGCCGAACATTCCACATCGTCGAGGATCTCTCCCTGCAGAATACCGGCGAAAAGATCCATCTGCGCGCGTTGCCAACCCGGTGACAGCGAAGCAATGATATCTGGATCCGGCGGCCGCGTGTGCCGCAAAGATACCGACGAAGGCGTTCGCTGAAAGACGTACAGTTTCTTTGCATCTTGGGCGAGTTTCGGCACGAGCTGCACGCCCGACGACCCCGTTCCAATAATTCCCACCGTCTTGGTAGCCAGTTTGATCATTTTCCCCGTGGCATCACCTCCCGTGATATGGTAGTTCCAGCGACCGCTATGAAAATGGTCCTGTTGAAAATCCTCGATCCCCTTCAGTCCCGGCAGTTTGGGTTTATGCAAGGTGCCCGTGGCAAGGACGACGAACCGGGACTTCAGATGATCCCCGTGGTTGGTCTCCGTATGCCATTGACCCAATTGCTCGTCCCATCGTATGGTTCTGATTTCCGTTTGCAGATGGGCCCTCGAAGCCAGATTCCATCGCTCGACGATGCGCGCAACATGGGCGCGAATTTCCGGCCCGTACGAGAATCGATCTTTGGGAATGTACCCCGTTTCTTCAAGAAAGGGGAGATATAGCAGCGATTCGACGTCGCAGGTGACGCCTAGGTCCATCGGTCAGTGCATGTCGTTTGCTTCGTCTATTGGCGCTACGGGTCGAATACGGCGGCGGTGTAGCCCTAACAAACAAGAGATGTAGCACATACCAGGATACTGATTCCAATACCAGGTACCTCCAAAATCTGCCCCCTTCTCGATGATCAGAAAATCCTCCACGCCCTGCTTGCACAGATTGACCGCCGTTACTAACCCCCCGTATCCCCCGCCCACAATCAGCACGGTCGTTTCGGAGTCAATCCTATCACGGGTCAATGACGGCGCCCCGATGTCCGTCTGGAAGGGACGATAAATGCCCTCTGTCTCGTGGAATTGGGCGACTCCATCGGCCCGGAGGCGTTTTGCTCGCTCTTCCTCGTACTTGGAGGATAGGGTGTCCGTCTGAAGAGCCTGAGCCTCTGCCTGGAGCGGATCTCGGGGTCGCTGGAAAAAGGAGAGGACGCTGAAGAAGGAGCCCATGTCGCCTTTTCCTGCTGTGCCTGGGGTTTGCTTTTTTCTGGTGAGCTAGCGGGCAGCAGCCAACTAATATTCTGTCCCTCTGTAATAACACCGGCCGTGCAATATTCTATATTCGATCAGTATAGTAAGTCGTTCGGCCACCGTATCGGACCGCTCGGACGTCCGAAATAGATGATCGGCCACTCCGACTGGCCCATTGGTGGAACGGGTCTACATGAGGCTCAATTGTCGCCGATTGTATCGTTTGAGGTTTAGTTTCTTTTTTCGGTCTCTCCCTTTCAGGTCTCGGCTACGCTATTCCGTACATAATTGTTGTAATCAGCTCGCATATCGTCCCTTTCATACAGCTAGCGTTTGTCGCTAGGGTGAAGACATCAATCGGAGATTCCAGAGTACTCATTTAATTCAAGTTAAAAACGTGCTATTCCCTTATAATCTTGGCGCCACTCTCGCCGTTGTTCACGAACCCATTGGAAGAGCTGGATGCCTTTACAAATAATCACGGTTGACTCTTTACTATGCACTTCAGGACCTGGAAGGGCCAGAGAGGCGCTAACGAGGAGGGCAACGAGGAAGGCTTGATGAGGACCATGCTGATCTAGAAGAGGTTTGCTCTGGTCTTGGAGAGACAGAAACTGTTGATAGGCTGGTGTTGAAGGTCTGAACACGATAATTTGACCAATATATAGGGCATCATTCCGATTCTGGCTGTGCCCAAGTGTAACTGAGGCATATTCTGCGACCAACTGCTCTTACAAGTCTGGGGCCGTATATCAAGGATCACCTTCCACGGGTCATTCCATGGCAGCCTTGTTTGATATTCGGCCCCAAAACGATTTCAGGACCCCCAAGCTGACAACTGTGTAACCGACCAAAAAGACATTTTCCCAGCCAGGCCATCCCATACTGGGGTATCTGACAATGGTTCCAATCCTGCTCGCTTCGCTGAAAACACATCAATTCCGATTGTGTGACCTGTCTTCAAAGATGCGGATGATTCCTTCATTCCATGGGAATAGTCCGACCTCAGCTTTTCATGCTTCGTCTCTTATATAAGAAGCCGGGTGGCCTATTCTTTCTTTGTGCCTGATGGCTCACCTCATTCGAGCCTGTGATCGCATGTGATCGATCAATATATTGGTCGTTGATTGTCCCTCTTCTGATTATCGCGGGTGGTCGGACATTGGAACAGGGTCTGGAGATCACATTGGGGGCTGAACTGAACGAGGCCAAACACGCAGCTCACCAACAAAGGCTAAAGGAGGTACCAACACCATTGACAGGCCGGTTGCAAATCTCCCGTAAGCTTGACCATCCTGTGCCTTTGTTGACACATGTAGCGCCACGCCCCCACCTGTCAGCCTTGCCGCCAGCTGACTTGGGAGCCCTGGCAAGCAAACCCTTTTCTTCCCCTTCCAACTTCCCTCTCCGTCCCCCATCCATCTCTGTCGCCATCCACCCCGACACCATGGCGACCGATCCTAACCCCTTGAACCTCGATGCGCAAATCCACCCTCTGGCGCATGCCCGTGAGCATGTCCTCTTCGATCTGTTAGCCCGATACCTGCCCGCCGACTCCCCGATCACGGCCGCACAAGCCGCCCGCGAAATCAACGCGCACTTCCCCTACTTCCAGCCACGATATGACCCTACCCTCCCTCACCAAGAATCCGGTCAAGACTTTTGTTTCAACTTCTGGGAGCTCGCGTTCCGTCTTCCTCCCCAACTGGATTACCGGGAGGAACCCATGCAACGGTTTCTCGCCCTCCGGGATGCATTGAGCGAACTGCCCCCTGTGATTCTCAAAGACGGCGACGAATTCGATGGTCGGTCGGCATGGAATCCCCCTTTCTATTTTCACATGATGCTTATCGAGCGCTTGAATCGTAAGTCAAACACTATCCCTTCTCATGCCGTTGGTTGTGTCTTGATTTCGCCTTCGCTCCACAGCCAAGCCGTCGGACCAGCCAGCTAGTTAACACTGCCACAGAGATCGGCAACCCCGAAGAAGTAGGCGACAAATGGGATATACGCTGGCGAAACATGAACGGGTTCTTAGCTCACCTGACCAACTCCGGAAAAAGATCCTATCTCGGTAATGCACTTACGACGATTCGAATGGGTCTGGAAGAGAATCCACGGAAGGCACAACCAAAGAATATCACGTACAATTGCCGAGCTCCGGCTGCTGCTATTTGGTTTATCCTATGTGCGCCCAAAATCTATGCTGGGTGCCGGGAGGGGATATCGAGTGGGAGGCCTAGTATGAGTCTGTGGACTGGGGAGTCGGGATTGAATCTTCCACGATGGGAATTTTGGTTGGAGAGGCTCGAGACTCTAAAGGGCCATTCGGTAACCACGCAGGAGACGAAGGATATGTGTCAGGCTGCGATTGAGGCGATGAATCGTTGCACGGTGGATGGTTGATTGGTGGTCATCCAGATCTAAATGTGTTTTCGAGGTTTCGTAGCATAATTATTTAGAAGATTGAATTGACAGCTGGCTAAGTATCTGAATGAATAAGTAGACCTCATAGCTCATCCTGGTGGTGCTCTCGGATCTTTTGAAGTCCACCTTTGTTAACTATGTGGTGCAATTGTTGATATGCGAGGCCATGTTCATACATCTTAGTATCAACTGAGCATATCAACTCGCCTCATCCTGAAGTTGCAATAATAAGAAATCTTACGGGCATTGACTTCCTCAGCCTTTTCAGTTCAGCTGCCGTGGTGGGCAGACCATCGGTTAATTTCCCCATCGGCCCATCGTCAGGGCGGGGCGTGCATGGACCCTATCTAGCTGACAGCACCCCCTCTGCAGAGGGGAAGATCAGCAGACGCGATTCCACCGGAGAGAAATCTTCTTCAATGACCTCATTCTTCTTCCAATTATCCGATCTGCAGGTTAGCCCGTTCCTGAACAAACCCAATTCTCTGATTCCATCCACCAGATAAGCGCAAGCATGTGAAACACCACAGCAACCACCCAATCGAGAACCCCATACCCATAGGCGGATAATTTCCCCGCATCATCATCATCACCCCCGCCAGTCGGTTATATTACGACGCGTGTTCGTCAGCCCACACAATGCCTGTGCCTGTTTACCCCGCCTGAAGAACCGGACTATCCGGGGCGGTCCACGAATCGCCACCAACAGCAGCGGAATTGGCTTTTCATATGCTTTCTCATTGGCGATGCATCCAGGAACAAACCTTGATCATGCGCTCATTCACAGGGGTCGGGGCTATGCTGCATGTCACCTCCGATAAGAGGAGCATTGCACGAAAAGCTATAAGAGCACCTGCAGAACCCTCGCCATCGCAACACTCAACCCTAAACCACACCGCAGCAAACAAAATGCACATCCGCAACGGCATACACCTACTAGGCCTCCTGGCCCCTACTCTTGCTAGAGCAATAACTTCCTCCCCCCTCTCCACCTCCGGCCGATGGATCGTCGACTCGGACGGCAACAACGTGACCTATGTAGGGGCGAACTGGCCCGGCGCCGAAGTAGCCATGATCCCCGAGGGTCTACAGTACCAATCGATCGAGTATATTGTCGGCAAGTTGAAGGATCTAGGGATGAATGTGATTCGACTCACGTTTGCAATTGAGATGATCGATGATATTTATGAGACAGGGGCGGATGTACCGATCAAGACGTCGTTGATTAATGCGTTAGGAGACACGAATGGGACGAAGATTTATGAGGATATTGTGGGGAATAATCCGCAGTTTGGGGAGAATACAACCCGACTTGAGGTATGTCTTTGATGGAGGTGTTGATGTTGATTGGGTTGTGATACTAAGGAAGACAGGTCTACGATGCTGTCGCTACGGAGTGCTATAACCAGGGCATCTATGTGCATTTGGATAACCATGTTTCCAAAGCGTCGTGGTGCTGTTCGACTACCGATGGTAATGCTTGGTTTGGGGATACTTACTTTAATGTTTCAAATTGGCATCGAGGGTGGAAATATATGGCTGAGCATGTATGCATTCCTCCTCATTCCCAATCTCTTACTTACAAAACAGGTGAAATCACTCCCCGCGGTGAAAAGCATCGGGATGCGCAACGAACTCCGCAGTCCTGACGACGACACCACCCTCGCCGACGACAGCTACAACTGGGACAACTGGTACACGAACATGGTTGAGAACGCGAAGCAAGTGCACGAGGTGAACTCCGATCTGCTCCTCTTCTTCTCTGGCCTCAACTACGACACCACACTATCCCCGATCCCCACAGCCTCTAACCTAGGTAACGACACCTACTTCAAGAAATCCGATTTCACCTTCTCCGATAAGATTGTCCTCGAGCTCCACAACTACGATTCCTCCGCTACTAGCTGCAGTAGTCTCTCCTCGAGCTTACTAACAGATGGATTCAACGCCCTAGAGACAGACGACTCCAGCATTGTCAATGTTTTGCCCGTGGTAATGACGGAATTTGGCTACGAGCAGGATAATACCACCTATACGGAGGTATATCCGAGTTGTTTGAGGAAATGGTTGCCCAGTGTGCATGCCGGGTGGATGATCTGGGTGCTCTCGGGAAGTTATTATATCCGCCAGGGAATCCAGGATTATGATGAGACTTGGGGTAGGTGATCCTTTTTGTCATCAAGTGGCATGGTACTGACAATATCCAGGTCTACTGGATCACACATGGTCCGATTGGCGATCCAGCGAAGCCATCGAGAACGGCATCATCCCAATGGTAGAGGCTAGCTTGGGCTGACGTATCAATAATCCACGTGGGTTTATATATAGCTCGAGCAGCATATAAGACTGTCAAGAACAAGAGAATCAATGATCCATATCCAATCTAAAGAAACTTTCCTCTACAGAATGCGTCACTGCCTGGTGAGATAAAAAAACAACCATCCAAAAGCCACATCTAAGCAGAAACGAAAAACCAAGTCCTAGCCTGCGGACAATCTTCAGCCGTCCACAGTCCAAAACATTGCGAGACGCCTTCGTAAGCATCACGCAACACATTCTTTCAGGTATATAGTCAAGACATCCTGCATATCAATTACTCAACAATACATTCGAACAGCTAACACGAACCCAAAACCCATAATCAATAAGAACCCTTAGAGCCGGCGATATCCCACAGCAAGACCTAACTTACACTTACTCAGCGCTAATACCAAAAAAAAAAAGTGCCACCCTAAACAACCATCCCAACCAAACACCAACCACCCCCAACTCAAGACATAATAATCCCCCACATACCAGCAACAATCGCAACCGACTTCCCAACCACAACCCCACAAAACAAAAAACACAGTATAAATACCATAAAGTTCTCACCATTCAACCATTCCCATCGTCCATCCTTCTGTGCTTGTTTTACTCGTTCGACGAGAATCCGCTCGTGTGTATCCATGTGGTTGTGCATGATGGAATTTACCACGGATAGGAACATTTTCTCCAAGGATGGTTGGAAGTCTTCGGGGCGTTCTTCGTGTGGATGGGGGCTTGGTTTGGTGCGCTGGTGGTGGTTGGTTAGTGGGGTGGGGTGGGTTGATATTGGGGATGGGAGGATGGACTTGCGCTTAGATAGGCATCTTCGTATGAGGGGGGTGGGTTGGAAGACATGGTTTGTTTTTTCTTGAGGGGGCTGGGCTTTTTGAGGTTCGGGGTGGGATGGTTGTGGATTAAGATATGGAGGGAGAGATTGTTATATGGTGATGATAGCGGTGGTCTTCTGTCTTTAGGATGTCTGGTGAGGATATTTCCAATAACTGGGAGAGAAGATGTTGATGGTTGTTGAGATTTAAACCACCTTGTGACGACATTGTTTCTGGGTGGTGGTATTCATTATGACGAGATTTAGACAACGGCCACGGTGTAGATCTCACTGCCGCAGTCTCTCTGCCTTGCGCTTGGAATGAATTTGGTTCCATACCTAATAGAATCATATACCTACAGTCTAGTCTAGTCAAACCCATACCTATTCTGCTTCTAACCAGTAGACCGCAGATCTCAAACTTGAACGGTCCCTCCCTTGGTAGACAGTGGCTTGCTCGGATTCCCAAGCCGGAAGAGAAAGGTTAGTAATGATATAGAGAGTGGTCATGGTAGTATTAGCTTAGTGGGCTTTTTAGGGGTAAATGGAATTCGAATTGATTTGAGATAGATACTACACTACCCAATGGCCCGAGGGTTACTTCTCATGGCCTCAGGCACATATGAAACCTTCAGGTATATAACAGGACCTGGCCTCAGGGATCGTTAACGCAGCGAATGTTCTCCAATCTCCGAAGTATATAGACCCTTCACGTATGCGTAGAAAAAAAACAACTCACTTATTTCTTCTAAATAAAAAACCTAGAAATCTTCAGCATGGTTAAAGTGGGCTGTTTTCGATGGGGGATACTATATATCTCTCGCACACAGCACCCTTCCCTCCCTAACAATCCACACCAACATATCAGACCGAAGACAAACAATAACACTGGCAGATTCTGCAGCCACTCTACTGTGTATATTATGACAACCATCTAAAACATGATCTCCATGAAAGGATTTAGCACCGGCTCTATGCAAGTTAAGCACCGCTGAGTAAGAAGTACCTCGGCGACGACATCTCCGATGACCCACACGCTAACCCATCGCAGCCTAGTGGGTATCTGTCGGACACGGGATGTCGGAGCAATTGTTGCCGACCCCGATGGAAGCAGAGAACGGAACCAGGACCTCCGAGATGGAATCCGGAAATGAGCGATGTGGGACTGGGTGATTGTGGCTGGATGTGGCTGGCTGGACTGGAAAGACATTTATCAGGGGTGAAGAATTGGTATTACGTGAATCACTGATTGTATACTACTGCGTCAGGAGTGGATGATCGTATATATTCTATATGTCATTACATCGCATACTTGGCGTCCAGCGCATAGCACCCAACAAACCCGAGCGTGGTAGCAGACCAAGATGAGGATAGCTGGACTGATGTACATGGCTGTTCAGATTCCATTCGGAATGACGCCGTGCAACAACTCTGTCATCCATGCCAAGGTCGTAGATGCTGATAATAACGCAAACCAGCGAGATCTCGATTAGTGTATTATCGGTTATAGCCTATAGTGGACGGTATTCAACACCCTCACGGTCATCGTCTTGAGGCAAGCCTCGGCGGTTCCCGGTCGTGGGGATGGGCTTCTCCAGCCGCAACAGCCACAGCAGCATGTCCTCCAAGGGCAGCAGAACCATCCAGATCCCGTTGCAGAAGAAAGAAAAGGTGACAGAAAAGGTAGCAACCGTAGCATCCATCCAATAGTGGTTGGCGGTGGCGACAATCACAGCCAAAACCAATAGTGGATAGATGAAGCCCAGGATGAAAAAGACAATGTCCTTCAGAGTCGTGCGGGTGCTGCGCTTTCCGAAAAGGCGGTGAAGAACACCGGAGTGGTAGAAGAATGTGCTGCCGATGCAGAACGCGTAGGTGAAGTGCAAGCTGGGCATGGCGGCCAGCTGGTTCACCATTTTTCCTCCCACCCAGACACTCTCGGCGTGCTCCTGACGCACAGTGTCGTGGAAACCGTAAGATTCGGGCAGAAGACGCGGAGGCATCAGGGGCCAGAAGCAGAAGATGATAAATGCCATGAAGTTGCCGAGGGTCATGGTGCGACGGACAATGGCAAAGGTCTCAAAGTCGGGGGCGGAAAAGTACCACCAGGAGAGAAAACTACAGTCAGGTCAGCCGAAATTCCACGTTCATGACACCGCTAAACTCACGCGACGGTTCCCGGGATGTGGACGAGGGAATAGATTCGGTTGAAGAAGGTCATCCATCCTGGATGGCCGTTGACAAAGAAAGCCTGGAAATCGGCCTCCTGAATAGGAAAGAAGATGCTGAAAAACGAGTCATGTTCCACCTTTAAAAGTCCAATGGCATGATCCTGGGCGAGCTGGACGACGTCGCTACCGGCGGGAGAAAGCGATTGCGCAATGGCTTTGGTGCACGAATAGAACAAATAGTTCATAACCCAGTAGAACATCTCGACCAAGAAGGGGAACTTCTGCAGGATCCGACTGTGGAAATGACGAGCAAAACGAGACGAGTTCGGTGTCTCGACCGTGTACCACAGGCATTTGCGATACTTCGGGGGATGTGGGTTGGCGGGCGGTTGAGCCCGGGCCTGGTCATCGCTTTCTCTCTCCGAGTATGGGTCGAAGGGATCGGCCTCCTCGTCTTTCACATACAACGGGTGTGACGACCCAAGATCCCGGTTGTTATTTTTGCCGAAGATGCTGAAATCTCTGCGACGGTTGAAGTATAAGGAGCTGAGCATGATGCTCACGACTATCTGAAGAGAAAGTTAGGTCAACGAAGATGTCGCATGGGCAGTAGAAAGAATTACTCACGATCGGCTCAGCCCATGAGTGGGAAGCGAACTGGGGCTTCCCCAGATCGACAGTGTTGTTGGTAGTCGACGCCATGGCTGACGTGCGATAATGGGGCGACGGGACGACGCTTTAAATAAGATCGCAGATCGGAGCTACCAGGACGAACGAGCAAGCATGAGCGATGGATGTTACAAACGGTGGGACGGATCAAGCGAGGGGTATAAGCAGCTCCGTCGGTGTCGCGTGTTTGCCCCTATCCGATGGATTCCAGCCTGAAACTATAGATGCCGGGATGTGATGTATGATTATAAGTAAATGCCGAAAGATAAGCTGACACCGATGCCAAAATGCTGGATAATGCTGAGATTAATGGTATGTACAACGGGGGGCCACACGGGAGACGGGATTCATGGGCGACTGACAACCGGGGGAATGAAACGGAAGAAGAGAGGATCCGGGATCAAGGAGGAAGAAGAGGATGAATAGGGGGTAGGGGATGTGAAAGAAAAGAACAGCACTCGGAGAAGAAGCAGAACACGCCAAAAGACGTCGTCAGCCCAGCAGCGGCGCGGAGGAAGAAGAAAGAATGGGGAGCCAAACGGGCTGGTGGCCGTGGAAACTGCGACTAACACTAACTGGGGCCGCGTCCACCTCAGGCAAGGAATAATGCCACCTTTCCTTTTCCGGGAACGACCAACCAAAAGGGTGGCTCCTTATTGGCTGGACCCCTGGTCGCGGCCGTTAGTGCAACCCGTGACTGGCTGCGATACGCGATGGCCGTCTTGGGCACCGCCTCCACCTCCGCCCCTCTCGATCTACGAATACGAGCCTTTCGGCCCTTACGCGACTGAGGCTTACCACCGCTACGTTGGGTATCGGACACGGATACGGACCGGAGGATAGTGCCGTAGCGATGAAACAGCAATGTCACACCCGTCAGTTTGGCATGCGGATGTCGATGGCATGCGACTCCCTCCCTTGGTAGTCGGAAGGGCTGAACGGGTCCAAGGCACCGCCGTCACAGGCATTTAAAGTCCCCTGTCGTCTCAAATAATAGTCGATGTGCTGTGGATCAGATAACCCACAAAATGCCAAGTAGATCCTGCTGGAAGCTGAAGATGAGGTAAGCCCGCCCACGCTTCTGTTTAGGAATGATATTCTTGTTCTCACAAATTGTTGGTTATTAAGTTGATCCACTCTGAATTTGATGAGTGTGTCCATGATCGCTTCGGACTCACCCCTTGTAGGCAACTTGTAAGGGACTCCCGATCGGGAAGCCCATGCGAGGCTAGGCAAACCCTGGCAGAAACACGCTAGCCACATACAGGATGGGGCATCTTTTAATAACCATTGCTTGTCGGAATCCCTGATCAGTAATCGCTCATCCGTGGTTGACGACGTGGCACGCCTGGTGGGTCAGCAATTGCCTTCCCTTGGCATGAACTTACTTGGGGAGAAACAAAGGGATGTGGTACTCCGTACCTAGATACTAGAGAAATCTCAACACGGGACGAAATTAGGTCGATGGAACAGCCCTGCTTGGCGCACCCTGTTGATCATGCCAAGTATCGATCCACGGGACTGAAAAATATGATATCACGTGATAGTGTTGGGATCCGTTCCGCTTCCATAACTGAATAGGCTACTTCTGATTGGCCATTCTGGTGAAAAAGTGGTGACACTTTACCACGGAGATTTTCCGAACACTAGTTGCGAGCCAGCAAATAGTCCGGACTAGTTGACACAATAGTCGATGCATTTATGCTTATTCTGCACTCCAAAGTTGGATTTGTGTCCCGCGATGAAGAACAGGTGTTAGGGGCAGCCAGTATGATCTTATTCCGAAAGTGACACGAACATGGCTGTGCTTGTTGTGCATGTGGCTGGGTTGCACGATGCTCCATCTCGATCATGGCAGCCTGTGCATCCAGCTGAGCTTATGGCAGGGATCATGCTTGTTAGCTGGTTCTGGTAATTTCCCCCGCCGCTATCTTGTCAGCATGGAGTATGTCTTTTCCGGAGGCCGAAGCGCTACGGCGCGTGATAAGATCCGCGATCAAGAGACAGATCTGGTTGGATGAAACATGGATAATCTTACGGTCCGAAAAGGATACCTAGACTGGACTTAGTGAGATTAATCGAAGCTAAGATCTTAGGTGAATCCTGGCTGACGGTTGTTTGACACTAGCTCCATAATAATTACAGCAAAACCCCGATAAGTCGTGGGGAGAACGGTTTGGACAATCGCAGTGCAGTTATCTCCACGGGGATATAAACAAAGTCGATCCCGCATGGGACAGCTTAATTCAACCGCCACTCGGAAACAGCCATTACTTGAAGGGGGTGGAGATCTGTTCATATCGACAGTAAATGCAGGAACATATTTGTCACCGAGAGGAAATAAGACGAAGTCAAAACCTCCACTTGCAAAACCCAGCTTTCTGACAAGTTTGCCTTGGTGAGCAGAGCGATGTAATCGCCACAACATATGCCTTTCCAACTAACACTCGAGGCAAGATAGAAAGAGAACATGAAGCCAGCGGCTAACATCACCCCAAACGAACGAATAAGCTATACAAGTGGGCCACGATGCAGCCACGCGGGCCGAGCCCATCGGGGAGAAATGCCGAGGTGTGATCAAGTCGGGCTGAAGGTCCGACGACGATTGACGATCTTCCAGCACAACTATAGACAGATAACGATATCTAGATTCCCCCTTTTTAGAATGTCTTAAGCTATGGCGGGTCGCAGTAAGGTAGAATCAACTCCCACACATTAATATGGCGTCCAGTGCCGAGAGCTTCACGCCTGTACATACAGCACCGGGATGGAAACAGAACGTAAAGGATCTCGTGGCAGGGGCGGCGGGCGGAGTCGCCCAAGTGGTGATCGGTAGGTGTTCGCTTTATTTTGAGGGGCTATATTGATTAGGATCTCTGACTAGGACAGCCGTTTGGTAAGTCTCAACAAGCTAGATACTAGGTCACGATCATTCTAAGTGCTTGATACAACAGACCTCGTCAAAGTCCGCCTTCAAACCCAAGGAGGGAGTGCGCTCTCTTCAACCCAACAAATCTGGCAAAGAGAAGGGCCATTGGCATTCTACAAGGTCCGCCAGCACCCACCACCCCACTGTCCCCCATACTAACCCTTACCAGGGCTCGCTCGTCCCCCTCCTCGGCGTCGGAGCATGCGTAAGTACCGCCTCAAATCCAACTCTCCCATCTCCATAATTACCTCTCACACTCCAACCCACAGGTCAGCATCCAATTCAGCGCCTTCCACTTCTTCCAGCACCACCTCACACCCCCTAACCCCACTCCCTCCCCTCTCTCCCCCAAACCTACCTCTCCGGCGCCCTCGCCGGCCTAACCAACAGCATCCTCTCCGGACCCATCGAACACATCCGCATCCGCCTCCAAACCCAACCCAAACCCCTCTACACCGGTCCCTTACACTGCGCCCTCACCCTCCTCCACCAAGGCGGCCTCCCCGCCCTCTACCGCGGCCAAACCGCCACCCTCCTCCGCGAAGGCCACGGCATCGGGGTCTGGTTCGCCACCTACGAGGGATGCCTTTCCCTCGCGGCCAAACAACAATCCCTGACAAGGGAAACATTACCTACATGGGAGATTGCGGTTTGTGGGGCGCTAGCGGGTGAGATGTTATGGTTGTTGAGCCATCCGTTTGATGTTGTGAAGAGTAGGATGCAGAGTGATGGGTTTGGGCATGACAGGAGGTGGGGGTCGTTTCGGGGGGCGGTGAGTGGGATGCTGAGGGATGGAGGTATGTGGAGGGGGTTGGGGACGGCGTTGTGTAGGGCGGGGCCGGTTTCGGGGGGGACGTTTGTTGTGTGAGTTTCTCCCTTGTTTTTACTTCTTTCTGGGTGTGTGGAAGGTAGGCGGGTTGAGTGCTGATTTTATTTGTAGGGTTGAGATGGTGAGGAGGGTGCTTGGGTAGGTTGTTGAGTGTTGAGAGGGGAGGAGGGGGGATGTAGGCAGTCGTACAACCGTCAACAAGCAAGTTGGGTTCTAAGAAAAATACGATATCGCAATTAGATAATGACAAATGACGGTGGTTCACATATTAAATGATATATGAACTATGGTATGGTTTTAATTTAGCTGGATTTGATCAACCTCTTCGTACCTTCGCAGCATTCAATAGAACATGGCTCTCTGGTTTTATACTCGTATTGACAATCAAACCCACACGTAGATGACTTATTAGAAAATGACTTGATTCAACCAAATCCATTAGAGCCGTAGGATAATTTATTATCTAGAAGTCATGTCTGTTTTAATTTATAATTAAGCTTCAATGCCATGACTCCACAGAACGATAATCTGCTATGCACTATCCTACCCCCTCAAACACTCCGCAATCGACCTCCCAACATACTCCACATTTCCCTCATTCAACCCCGCAATAGACACGCGAGAATTACCTGCCATGTAGATATGATAGTCCTCTGAAGATACCATTAGTAACCCATCCCAAGAACCACACCTGGACTCCCTTACCTTTCAACCTCAATACAACATCACTCTCAAGACCCAAGAACCCAAACATCCCTGATTGGCGGATGAGATGGTCCCAGTTTCCTGGTACACCTATATAAAACTATTATCAGCAGATAGAGGCAGAAAGAAAGAGCTAAAGAAGTATGGAACGAAACTCACCGTGCTTGATCAAAGCATCATACAAAGCCACCCGCATATCCCGAATCCGTCCACTCATCGTCTCCAGATCCTTATACCAAAGATCCTTCAACTCCGGGCTAGAAAGTATCGTCGCTGCAATCTTCGCCCCATAAGCCGGCGGATTCGAGACCTCAGCCCGCTGAAGCATCTCAAGGGTAGATTGCGTATTCATCGCTGTTTCCTCCGTACGGGTAACCAAAAACAGGCATCCCGTCCTCTCACCTACACCCCATCAGCCATAATTTCCAGTAATCGACATTATGAGAAGGGCTTACCATATAACCCCATATTCTTCGCAAACGACAAACAAACACCCACCTCTAACCCCAACTCATCCGCAAAATACCTAATCGCAAAGGCATCTTCATCCACGTTTCCTGAATTAAACCCCAAATAGGCTGCATCGAAGAGGGGGAATAATCCCCTCTCTTTAATGATGTGCCCAAGTTCCTTCCATTGAGATTTACTAGGATCGCACCCGGTCGGGTTATGTGCACAGGCATGCAGAATAACCACCGAGCCCGGGTCCGCGTTCCTCAGAGCAGAGTAGTACGATTCGATATCGAGGGATCTAAGCACGGGGTCGTAGTAGGTAAATGACTCGCAGACGAATCCCAGAGAAGAGAAGACTTGGTGGTGATTGGACCATGTTGGACTGGGGATGTAGATCTTGGGTAGGAGTGGGGAGCGACAGCTTCGGAGGAGAAGGCCGGCTGTGTGCAGGGAGCCGGTGCCGGAGAGGGCTTGGCAGGTCGAGACCTGGTTGTGTGAGTCGGTTGGGGATTTTATGGAGGGGAGGGTGTAGGTACTCTGGACTGGATTCTTTCGTAGAGATCAGGTCCTAAAGCCATGCGAGTGGCATTGTCGCGGAAGGATTGAAGACCTAGGATGGGGAGGTACTCGTGGTTTAAACCCTGGGTGAGGAGGATTTCCCGACTTTTCTGCACGGAGGGGAGGACCCATGGTTGGCCGTTTTTGTCGCGGTAGGTGCCTTGTCCGAGATTGACCTTTTCCGGGGATGGGTCGAGGTTGTATTCTGCTGTCAGGGCGAAGATGGAATCGGGGGGGATGTATCTGGTTGCTTTGAAGAAGGAGGGGGGCGTTTCGGTGGAAGTCATGGTGGTTGTTATTTAGGGTGTAGATGAGATTGATTATGTTGGAATGGATAGGTAGAGATTGTAGTTGGTCGATGTGATTGTACATTTGTTATTTGCAGCATTCTATCATTTAAACACTGTAAACTGGATATCTCGGTCGTGTGCACCGAAGGTTCGGATTCTTGGCCGAACATCACCTCCGCTACGATAGATAGCCCATGGAAGTGTCCCGAGCGATAAAGCAGCAAGATAGAGCTTCCTTATCTCGGGTTATCGCGGGTGGGTCGTATTCGAGGTCCGGATGAGGTGTTGTGCGGGGAATGAGGGGTTAACCTTCTCTTAAGTTAAGAGGGGAACGCCAAACTCAATATCTCCAAATAATGGAAGCCTGGTGAATGGACAAAATGCCGCAACGCTTTCGGTCAGAATGTGGGGTGCGTGGCCAGAGTTTCTAGTGCTTAACCGATCTCAATCCGCGCTAAGGCGTCCCGTGGACGAGCACAGCAGGGATCGCGGAATCTTACACCTATGGGCAATGTGGCCAAAGTTTGAAGTGTAGGAAATATCCATCAATCATCAATAAACAATCACACATTCATTTCAAAAACTTTCGAGGTCTATCGATGACTCGATGAGTCACTGTATTTGTAGCAATCATCAGACACTGTTGCCTCGACACTATATATAGCAACACCTAGCCATGCACCCCAGGCACTATCTCTAGTGTCGAATAAGATCGATCCTATAACAGGCTACTGTCTACTCATCATCATCCTTGCCCTTCCACCACAGCCATGCAACTGCAATAAGCCCCTTGAAAAACACGGCTGTCCACAACGCTCCCGGCAAACCAACCTCGCTCTTGGCCCATACACCTCCCAGCAACGTTCCAAGCAACAACCCCAGAACCGCTCCAGCCCGTCTCCACTCATCAGGATCCTTCACCACGCTGGGGGATATGAGGGCCGGGTTCGAGAACAAATCACAGTAGATGCTAGTAAGCACGACGCTGGTCAAGCTACTAAACTTCAACACCCGGCTGGTAACCGCCTGTCCGCTACCCTGGAACGAGACCAGCGCCAACGGAACAGCAATTTTCCACGACAACAGGTCGTTTTTCCCAGTCTGATGCACGGTGACAATACTAGCTGCAATGGTGACACAAATCATCTGCAGTGTGAATGACAGCGCCAGAGCGGATCGTTGCCGTGGGGTGCGGAAGAGGCGGTGAAACAAAGCGAAGAAAAAGGAGCCGATGCAGAAACTGCTGATCGAGATGAGCGATTTCAGCCAGCGTTGAGTGTCGTCCATCCCCGCCAGGCCTAGCCCCAAATACACCGTGTTGCCGGTCTGCATGCTCACAAACGACCCCCAGATGAAGACAGCAGAGCTGTCCAACAGACCAGTAATCACATAGCAGAAAATGAGGAGAAGGTCGGCCCTGTGGGGGTCGATTTCCGTGCGGAGATGGTGCCGCAGTCGACCCAGGGGGGAGGATTTCGATCCATGTCGGGGTCCCAGGAGGGGGTCGCTCTCCTGGGCGGGAAATTGCTGGTAGTGTGTGTTGTCGCGCGCCATGGTGGTGGTTGGACGTGGATAAGGTGAGATGGTCTGTGTGGTGACCGGGGTGGGTTGGGGCAGGGAGGGCCAGGCAGCAGTTATCCTCGCAATATGCTGTGATAATAAGGGAGGCAAACCGCGACGACTAGCAGGACTTATAGTTTGGCCACGGATGGGACGGCAGAGGAGGTGGGAGTGATGAAAGAAATTGGGGATGTGGAGAAAGCATTGGGCTTCTCGACCGCGTCGTGCAGCGCCGCGTGACGTCGGCGGAGATCCAATGACGTGGACGCCCGGCCTTGTAGGGCTGAACGCTCCACCAATGCCTCCCCTTCTCCAAACAAGCATACCAAGCTTTGCCCGGCTCTATTTCGCGCAGATGGCTCCACTGTCTCTCCTGTTTTCTGACCTCGGGTACGACATCACTGGCTGTCGGAACAGTCGGATGATGACAATACCTCGAGAACAAGGAATCCTCGAGCCACCCCCCAGCCAGTGGTTATAAGTATGCCCCTTTCCATGGCTGACCATGGCTGAGAGAATAGGTTTGCAAGCTCTGAATCCATCGCAAGCATGCAGCTACCTCTGTCCTCTCAGCAGCTCCTGCTGACCTTCGCGACCGTGGCCGCCCTGGTCGGCTCAGGTCACAGTGGCCCAGTCCCAACTGAGGAATATCAGCAACTACTGCGAATCCCCGCCTCTTCTCCTTCATATTTCTTTCAAGACAAACCATTTACTCCAGATCATCGCGATCCTTATGACCACAAGGTGGATTCGATTGGAGATGGCCATGAGCCCTTGCCCTGGCGCATGGGTGACGGAGCCACTGTCATGGGGCCACGTAACAAGGACCGTGAGCGCCAGAACCCCGACATGGTCCGTCCTCCTAGCACCGACCATGGGAACATGGCCAACATGCGATGGAGCTTTGCAGACTCCCATGTCCGCATTGAGGTGAGTACTTCTACTGTCGTACGGCTAGAATATGCAGTGTGATGGCGCTGACACACTGCAGGAGGGAGGTTGGACACGCCAGACAACCGTGCGTGAACTCCCAACCAGCAAGGAGCTTGCTGGTGTCAACATGCGCCTAGATGAGGGGGTTATTCGTGAGTTACACTGGCACCGGGAAGCGGAATGGGCGTATGTGCTGGCCGGGCGCGTGCGAGTGACCGGCCTCGACCTCGAGGGCGGCAGCTTCATCGACGACCTGGAAGAAGGCGACCTGTGGTACTTTCCCTCAGGCCATCCGCATTCCCTTCAGGGTCTTGGTCCGAACGGTACCGAATTTCTGCTCATTTTTGACGATGGGGGGTTTTCTGAGGAGTCGACGTTCTTGTTGACTGACTGGATGGGTATGCCCTGCACTGAACGGATCTAGAGAATTGAACTAACTATGCAAAAGCACACACCCCCAAGTCTGTCCTGGCCGAGAACTTCCGCATGCGCCCGCAGACCTTCAAAAACATCCCGACCTCAGAGAAGTATATTTTCCAGGGGTCTGTTCCCGAGTCCATCGCCAAAGAGTTACCCCGCAACTTCAAGGCATCGAAGCAACGTTTCACACACAAGATGCTAGCGCAGGAGCCCGAGCACACCACTGGAGGAGACGTCCGTATCACCGACTCGTCCAACTTTCCCATCTCCAAGACAGTGGCGGCTGCCCATCTGACCATCCACCCTGGAGCCATCCGGGAGATGCACTGGCACCCCAATGCTGACGAGTGGTCCTACTTCAAGCGGGGTCGGGCGCGAGTGACTATTTTTGCTGCCGAGGGCACTGCTCGTACATTTGACTATGTTGCCGGTGACGTGGGCATCGTGCCCCGAAACATGGGCCATTTCATCGAGAACCTCAGCGACGACGAGGAGGTGGAGGTGCTGGAGATCTTCCGGTCGGACCGGTTCCGCGACTTTTCCTTATTCCAATGGATGGGCGAGACACCGCAGCGGATGGTGGCGGAGCATGTCTTTGCGGATGATCCGGATGCAGCGCGGGAGTTCTTGAAGAGTGTCGAGAGTGCGCAGAAGGATCCTATTCGGAGTCCATCTCACTCATGAGCTACATGTTATTGAGTGTTGTTGTATCGCATGTGTTATTGAGCGCGAATTGCCAGCGTGGATGTAATGTGGCATGCAGAGGATGCCGTGAGGATTAGCATAATTTAATTCTTGTTGCTTTCATCATATTGCTTTCATCATATCTGACCATTGTCCTTTCCTCATCAAGCATCCGAAGGGAAGCCGGATTTCCAGACTGGGGTAACCGGTATCGACGTCATTGCCGATCACGCCGTCGTTATCAGCGTATCGCCATCATCGATCGTCCCTATTGGACGACTGTTAGCTCCCAAAAATCGGACAAGCAACTGCATCAGAAGCAAACTCTACTTCGTACAGGGTACTCACATGGCGGAGAGCGATATAGTCCGCTGAAACCCGATTGTATTCCGATCCCCGAAGCACCAACTGGACTAACTTAAATGTGGCAGCCTGGGAATCCCTGGTGTGGCTGTTGCCTCCAACGCTAGCCTCCAAGCAGTAAGATTTCACGATTACGACGACTGCGAAGGCTGAGCCGGGCCGAGCGGGTCGGCGAGTCGCCAATGCCCCGCCCCAATTGTTGATGCCTTCGACTCCCCCACCGACGTCAGCCTTGCTGCGGACGGGCATTTTTCTTCGTTATCAAAACCGTACTCTCCGAATATTTAATTTGCAGATTCCATTATCTTTATCCAGAAATCCCCTACAGTATTATACGATAATACCTGCCCGCGACGCAGTACCACCCTCTTCCCGCATTCCCCCTTCACATCCCACCATGTCGCAACAACCACCTACCACCGCCGGCAGCAGCATGTGGGGGAAAACAAAAACCTACGGCAAAATGGGCTTCGATAAAGCCTGGGGTGCACTCGACAAACTCGGTGGCCCCGTCAACCGTCTCAGTAACAAACTCGGTTCCGAAGCCTTCTGGCCCATGACCCTCGACAAAGAAAGCGAGAAAGTTGCTCGCATTCTTCGCAGTTTCTGCAAGGATGGCGTGTACGTTGATGAGACCGCCACGGAGGCTCCTCCCCCACCCGACGAGAAGAACGGAGCGAAGCCGAAGATCGATAAGCCGCGCGGACAGCAAAAGGTGCTCAAGAAGATCCCCTCGGATGTGATTCGACAGGCAAAGGGATTGGTTATCTTTACGGCGATGAGAACCGGGCTATGGTTTAGTGGTGCTGGTGGCAGTGGGATTCTGATTTCGAGAATTCCGGAGACGGGGGAGTGGAGTGCTCCGTCGGGGATTCTGTTGCATACCGCTGGGTTGGGGTTCTTGGTTGGTGCCGATATTTATGACTGTGTTATGGTCATCAACACCTATGAGGCTTTGGAGGCTTTCACCAAGATCCGAGTCACCCTGGGTAGCGAGGTCACTGTCGCTGCGGGACCGGTTGGCATGGGTGGTGTCTTGGAGTCGGAGGTGCACAAGCGACGGGCGCCCATCTGGTCCTATGTCAAGAGTCGCGGTTTCTATGCAGGTGTGCAGATTGACGGATCAATTGTCATTGAGCGGACAGATGAGAATGAGAGGTTCTATGGCCGCAAGATTCCTGCTAAAGAGATCATAGCCGGTCAGGCGCGGACTAACAACCCGTCCGTGCGCATGTTGACGCACACCATCCATTCCGCGCAGGGAGATGCGAACTTCGATCAAGCTCCCGCTGGTGTGCAGATGCCGACGGGCCCAAGTCCTAGCGATTATGCTCCTGAAGATCTTCAGCACACTCCCATGGTGCAGACTGGGGCGGCCCCGCCGGAGGGCGCGCAATATCAGCAGCACCAGCAATACCCTCCCCTGGGTGGCCACTATCAACAATTTCAGCAATACTCCCCAGCTCCAAGTGCTCAGCCTCAACAATATCAGCAATATAATCCGGGTCCAGCTGGCCAGCCACAGGAATATCATCAGGGCCAAGGGGTTCAATCTCAACCTCCGCAGCATAACCCGGCAGCAGCTGGTCAATATCAGCAACCTCAGCAATACCCGGCTCCAGGGGGTCAACACCCACAATCCCAGCAATACGATCAGGGGTCAGGTGCTGCAGACTCATATTATAGACAGTGATATCATTGTTGTAACGGCATAACTTGACATGAAAATATAACTTAAACAAATGAATAATCAAATCCACACTCTCTTTTTTACTAGTAATTATTGTCTGCTGACACCTTGAGCGATCCCGACCGTTTACGGTCGGACATGCAGTACTTAGTCTACCATCAAGGTCTACTAGTCGCCTGCAGGTATCTTTGAGTCGAGTGTCCGATTTCCGTCAGTTACAATTCTGGATATCTTTAAGAATTCCTAGAGGGATTGGAGATTTACATACATACTTGGATTAATGGATCTTTGGCGGTGGTGCTGAGACTACCCGGGGATTCACAGGCCTGAGGCACTAATCCCGCATCGCTGAGACTGGATGGAGATGGAGGCGAAAAGGCGGATCTCCCACTCCGCAGTGTGAGCAAATCACTGCCTCTGCGGGGAGCTCCACCTCCACAGAGCCTATGGGCTAATGAACGGGATTTCCCCAAATCCGTTGCCTCTGATCATACAGTTCTGAGGTGATAGTCTCGCATTGCTTGGAGAAAAGTACGGTTGCTAGTAAAGTTGACTCCATAATACTGCTGACGCTGACTACCCTACCTGGCAGGACACCACTGGCAGTGGTGCGTTAGCTTTAACTCGTAAATCCTCCCTCTCGGTATGAAGAGCCAGCCCATTCACACCGTTCGCCATGTCTGGATCTGGTCCATCTTACAATGGACCAGATCCTGGAGCGAGGTGGATCGCCGTGGGTGATTAGTCAGGTTAGCATCACATAACTAACTAATCGACCTCACTCGAACGAAGGTCAAGTTTCTTCCTAGCCCAGCTCAGTCGACAATTCCTCATTGACCTCGGCCCCATGCCTTGAATCCCAACGCAATCGTCATCATGTTTTTCTTCTCTAGAGTGCTCCCGATGGGGCCTTTGATTTGGCAGGCTGTTTTGGACATATGCAGACCGCGATTCTTGCCATTCCAACGCTTGATGCATGGATTGACTGCGACCGGTGGCCGTCTTCCTTATCACGACGAAGCCCATCCTGTAAGTCATGACTTGAGTCTGCAGTACGTTTTCCCCACTGACTTGTGTACAGCAGTCATCTTACACGGACACCCAACACCACGTAATTACCACCAAACATCGCCCCATCATCCAGCAATCGAACAATCAAAAGCTCATTATGATTGGTATCTTTGCCGAGGTCTATTTGGTGGATGGTACAATCATCCGAAAAGCACCTCGGAGTGGAAGTGAAGAGGATTTGCAACCGATTATCCGCGAGGCAACTATTTATAACCTTTTGGATGACCACCCTCGCATTGCCCAGTGCACCTCCCGAGGAAGGATGGACTACATTGACATCAAATACTATTCGCATGGTGATCTCGCCAGTTTCTGTCAGACAAATGAAGTTACCCCTGAACTAAAGTCAAAGTTGTTCCAACAACTGATAGAGGCAGTGGCGGTTATTCATTCCTATGACATTATTCATTCTGATCTTGCACTACGGCAGTTTTTTGTTGACAATGATTTTAACATACGCTTAGGCGATTTCAACTCGTCCCAGTATCCTGGACATCCCGCCCTTGGGTACGAAAAGGCGACGCACTGCTTGCCCAGGGATTACGAGCTGCCTAACACGGTACTATCCGATCTTTTTGCCCTGGGTTCCACCCTATACGAGCTTTTGACTGGCAAGCCTCCATACAGTAACCTGTACCCCGTGGAGTCTGAGGATACCGTTCGATCTGGTGATCCCGATGTCATACGTGCACGATTTCAGCGAGAACACCTTGCAAATCTTGAAGTTGAGCAACGGTACAAAAATCATGAATTTCCCGATGTATGTCACCTGTTCCGCGGTGATATTATATTAGGACTCTGGAATGGGAAGATTACTTCAGCAGCAGAAGCAGTCACGTTGTCCACACATAGCCCATATTAACGTTTAAATCTATCGGTCGTATTTTGATACCTTGCCACTTCTAACTAAACCATGTGCTCTTCAGGCTTGTGGGATGATTTGCCTCCGCCGTTGATCACTCATGTAATTTGATATCACAATGGCTATACTCCACGCGTTTATGGCAAAAGCAAACACGTATAAATCAAGGACAAAAAGTTGTTAAGTCACCCCCCAACAGATTCCCCTCTATGAGGTCCGAAGCGTAGATCAAAATCAATGCTGAAATATTTCCACGCCATGGAGAAGGAAGAAACCCCTGTTCGGCTGTGAGTGAATCTCATCGCTTTGCACAAACGTCACAATACCTACAGGGTCGACTCTGAATTGCCACTAGGCACTGGCCGCACCGCCACCCTTGGCCCAACCTGGCAAGTTTTTTTTTCTGACGGCTGGATCCGGCTTGTACAAATTTGTATCTGGGGCAGTCTTTGATAGTGCCTGTGGTGGGCCTTTCGCTGCACTCATCTGTAATTGTTTCAGTGGTGGTCACGCCGCCAACTATCCTCGTGGTTTGATATTCTGTGCACATTATGAAGTTATGACCGATGGTATCTTATACATAATCTGTCAGGGCATAGTGCCGATATGGCCAAACTCGGGGGGGTCTGATCCTGACATTTGTAATTGATAATGAGTTGAAAGGATCCTTGGGGTAGGTAAGTGTTATGGAAGATCGAGATGCGACGCTATCTATCCTTTTTCTTGAAAGGTCTGTGCGCTCACCGATCAATTCTCACCGATATTTGACTATCAGGGCTGGGGCCTAAGAACCTCGATAGCCGTCGAGGAGTAATTGTACTCCCAGCATCTCTGAAATCGCCAGGCGGGGTGAATGTCTGGATCAAATAATGCACGGCCCCACGTATGCATGTAGCGTGAGGGGTATTTGGAAAAGCACCTGATGATACTGTTGGCTCATACTGCTTATTGGCCAATGACGAGATCATTGGGGGGTCTGGATTCCCCTCTTTTTAGGCGACCACCCTGCGACTGATATCGATATGTCTTCCTTCGCGCGATTCGGATTAATCCATTGTACATAGTCTATAAATTCTCCATGATAATGACGATTGATGACAGTTTCTTCCACTATTTGAATTAGTATTGCTTTTCGAAGGATCCTGTGTTCTGGACTTGCAACTACCAGAACAGGCAATTTGCTCCATGTGTGATTCTCTAATTAGTGGTGGCTTGTAGAATCAGGTGACTGGGCGTATTATCGACAAAGCCTGATAAAGCGACAGCGCACTGACCCCACGATCTCTTCCTTCCAAGCACAATCAGCTGGTTCCACTCGGTGTCCAACTTGAATCACACACAGACCACTCTTCTCTAACGATGACTACACAGTCGGGTGGATCTGCGCCGTGGAGGTCGAGCTCGCTGCAGCAGAGGCAATGCTGGACGAGATACACCCTACCCTTCCCCGAGTTGGGGGTAATCCGAATGCCTATGATCGTGGAAGAATCGGGCGGCACGATATTGTGCTAACAACTTGCTTGCCGGCAGGAGGCATGGGAACAAACAGTGCTGCGACTGCAGCGGCGAACCTGTTTCGAAGTATGCCGAAAGTGTGCTTCAGGCTGATGGTCGGCATTGGAGTTGGTGTTCCTGGAGATCCTAGCGATGACCTAGAGGACGATATTCGGTTGGGGGGTATAGTGGTTAGAAAGCCTACGGAATCTTTAACAGTGCATTAGTCGTTGCTCATTTCATATTAAATATGGAGATGGTTGCCACATGAAGGAGGAAGGTATCAGAGACCCGTCTTGAAAGGAACTGTTTCACCATCGATAGTGATACGTCTTTTAAGAAAAAAGGGTTCAATCATCACGGTAGTTTGGGGTTGGGGGAAGGGGGGAGGAAGGTTGCCCACATACCGGACCAGTCGGATGGGTTCCCTGGTGCTGACAGGGGAGGGGAACCTTAACCATTGTTCTTGTTAGTCTGTTGGTATAACCATAGTAGTATTTGATTGCAATGTATTGATTAGTTCCGTGGGTAGAGTTGTGGGGCACAAGGAATGGCAGATTCCAGCAGTGAACATCGACTGCACTTAGGATAGTTGCAACTCTTTCGTCCAAAAATTCCCGGTCGGGGTTTATATGCCTTGTGTTGAGACTAGGGTCGGCCCTATCCTGTTTTCATTGTTTTCAACTTCCGTGGAGCCCATGGCGATGATTATAAATCAGGTACCCTGCGACGCCAACCAACCATATATCAGAATTGCGACAGCTATGAACATGAAAACACTGTGAAAATATTTGAAACAATGTCCTTGGTTCCCGAACTTTCGCCTTGCCATTGTGTTGCCCGGCGCAGACGCGGGTTCCTCGCAGATGACATACTCTGAAAGCACTGCCCTCGCGGTCGCTGCCGCGGTCGCAACAGCGTAGTCTCGTCAGTCCTCGCTATAATGACCATCTGCATAGTTGCACACTCCTTTTACGATAATGCATGAGGGAAATGCGGCCGATACTCCGAGACTGGTTCCTGCCATGTCGAACCCGATCACCAACTCCCTCAGATCTATACGATTCCGCATGTCGCCAGTCAACAATGCATCCCCAGATGCTATCATGCCGAAATGGATGGATGGTTGCGGGGGATTATTCGATGATTGCGATCGCATTTGATCTATTTGTGATGCGTCCAAGGCACATTGCCACTGCCGGCGAGTATCCTTAATTGGACAAGGCCCGCGGTATGAGGGACTTGGCTTCTTTTTGATAGAGCCAGGCAGTTTAGAGTCGCGATATCCATGACGATGCGTGGGCGCAAAGAGGACATCATATTCTGTCCCAGGATAATCAAATATTTTCGATCCGGTTGTCCGTTGGAGAGCACTGAGATGCTGATTCACCGAGGCCTCCACACAACCGGGCCACGAACGAAGCCAACTCCCCCGACGCTCTCGGCAGGGAATCCTTAGGAGCATCTTTGTGAACATTCCCCCAGGAATCTTTCGTCTCAGGTCATACTGCACCAGGCCTTGGCTGACCAAGACATCGCCAAGCCATATCTCTTCTCGGTCATTTTGAACAGGACGTGCACCACAAACACCCACTACTAAAGCGAGCTTGATGCGACGATACTTTTTCCGAAGGTCCATGGCCACTTTTGCAGCTATGACTTTGCCTACTCTGGGAACATGGGTGAGCACAACGTTGTGTGACCCGATTCTCCCGGTTATATGCACGTTTGAATTATCGGATACGTTGGGTTTAGAATGTCCGTGGTTGAACTGCTCGTCAAACAGGGTTTTTGACTATTATTGCATCGCCCGCACAGCTGCAAATGATTGCTACTTGGAATACGTCATCTCTGGGACGCGGATACAATAATTTATCCGTCGTTGACCGAGTCTTCGAGAGTACTCCGCCTATGTGTTATTAAGTGAAGTAGATAATTTGGAACAAATGACAAGGTCATCGACAATCGCGCAGTTCGTATCGTCTTTTTCTAAATGCTGCTTCCCAGCCGCTGCAACGTGGACCAGTCGGACCAACGGCTTGCCGCCAGCCTCGCCATGCAGCAGATGGCAATGAAAAACAGGTCATTTGATGATAACCTGTCATTTGCGTATGGCCATGCCATTTTCAAACACTCTTGTCAGCACTCTAATTGCACACTGGATGATTCACACACATCACCGTCTATCGGCTGGGTGTCCTATAACTATCGCAACCACCTACCCCCAACAAACCGAACATTCCCACTCGGTCAAGACGACATGTCGCAGCAGTATGACCTATCACATACACTGCCAATGGCAGTGCATAATTGACAGCTGTTTATACAAAGGCATGAATCAAAATGACGCATCATCAGGCCTGTCAGAAGCGGGGCCAGTCCTCCCGTCCGACAGGCACCCAGCCATCCAATCATCCCCACATTCACTCCAGTCATCATCACTCATCCTCTGCATCAAATCCTCCGAGCCTAGCCGACCACCTATTTAATCCTCACGAAGACCCCATCCCTCTCAAATAACAGTAATGACCAAACATCTCCGTCCCTCCCCTCAGAGTCTCAAATATGCCCTCAAAATTCTCATCGTCGGCAGCGGCTGCGCCGGCCCGGCCCTAGCCTTCTGGCTCTCCCGCTCCGGCCACCACATCCTGGTAGTCGAACGGTCCCCCTCACTCCGCGACAAAGGCGCTCAGATCGATCTCCGCGGCCAAGGCATCGAAGTCGTAAAACGAATGGGTCTCCTGGACACCATCCGAGACAAATGCGTCGACGAATCAGGGTTCAACCTTGTCGACAGCAACTCCACCATCCAAGCCAGCATCAAAGCCAACACCTCCGGCAAGGGCCGGCAATCCCTAACCTCCGAATTCGAAATCATGCGCGGGGATCTAGTTCGTATATTCCACGACGCTACGAATCACAAACCCAACGTGAAATACATCTTCGGCATGACAGTGGATCACTTCACCCAAGATACCAACCAGGTCATGGCATATTTTTCCAACGGCACGTCGGATACATTCGACCTCCTCGTCGGCGCCGACGGGCAGAACTCTCAAATCCGAAAAGCCATCACCCCCGCCACCGCCCCAGACCCATATCTCCATCTGGGCTTCCACGCCGCATACTGGTTCATTCCACGCATCGAATCAGACACGAACACATTCACCGCGTACCTATCCCCCGGAGGAAGAGCAATCTTCCGACGAAGCCACTCCCCCACCGAATCCCAAGCATATTTCTTCCTCAAAGACCCCTCCCCTGAACTATCCAGCATTCACCGCGCTTCTACCTCCCAACAGAAACAATTCTGGACTCAGCGCTTCCGCTCTGCGGGATGGGAAACAGATCGGTTTCTCGACGGTCTACAAACAACGGAGAACTTCTACACCCAGGAAATAGTCCAAATACGCACGGACACGTGGTATAAAGGTCGTGTTGTGTTGTTGGGCGACGCAGCGCATTGTCCTGCCGTGATAACAGGGTTAGGGACCACGTCGAGTGTCATTGGGGCGTATGTTCTGGCTGGGGAGATTGAGAAGAATAAGGGGGACTTGGAGCAGGCATTGAGGGGGTATGAGAGGGTGTTGAGGCCGTATGTGAATGAGATTCAGAAGTTGAGTACGTCGGTGATGACGTTTGCGTTTCCAGTCACTTGGTGGGGGATTATGCTGTTGCAGTGGGTTGCGAGGGTGGTTTGTTGGTTGGGGATTCCGGAGTTGGTGACGAGGTTTGAGGGTGCGGGAGAGAAAGGGGGGTGGAAGGTGCCGGTTTATGATATTTAGCTGACTATATATTGGGAGTTGGGGGTTGTTCAAGTTTTATGTATTATCTATGTTTGGACAGACGATGTGAATATTTCGTACATTTCACTGTTGATTAATATACCATTATCATCTTATACCCTGCTCATTCAACTCATACATAAACCCAATTAACATCACTCACTCCCTCGCATTACTCTTACTCTCCCCAGCCTCCCACTCATACCCCCCATTTCTTACCCCCTCCCCATCCCTCCCCACAAACTCCCTCCTAACAATCGTCTCCTTCATAACCTTAATCTCCCCCACCCCCACCCCCACCAAAGACCCCCTACCCTCCTCTCCCTCCTCATCACTCCCACTTCCCCCCCCCTAACCGAAACCCTCGTCCTCATCCTCTCCCTCTTCCCAGACCCCCCTCATCCCTATCCCCATCTGCATCGTCCCCCGACTCCCAAGCGGATACGACCCCCCCTCCTTGTATACCCACTTCCCGCCCCCGCCCCTTGCCTTGAACTAAACAACCCACCAAGTCCAATCCTCCCCGCTCCCTTCCGAATAAGCGGTTGAATAATGGGTAAATTGGAAACAATCACGCTGACGAACGTCTCCCGACAGGCCCATTCCGAGCCGGTGATTGCGCCGTTGGGTCCGGCCTATACATACACACAAACACCATTATTAACTTTCGTTTGTTTGAGGTAAGGTAAGGTGTGGGGTAGGTACGTACCATCAAAACCAACACGGCACGTATAATCGCAGCCATTATGATAAATGCGGCGCTGCTGAAGAGACCCATTAGGGTGAGTTTTTGGCGCGGGGAGATTTTGACGCCCCAGAGGAGCTAGACATTCATTATTCTTGGTTAGAGGTGGGGTTTTTTGTGGGGAGGTTAAGGGGGAAGGATGGGGGAGGCGCACTGGGAGTGGGATCGACATTAGGTATAGGTCTGTGAGGACGTTGGGGATTACCATTATTAGGACGTTGAGGGTTGAGCGGCTTGGTTGGCATTTATCTGTCATGGGTGGTGTTAGCGACTTAGGGGTAGGAGGAAGGGATGCTCACTGCCTGGATTAGGGTGAATTTGCCAGTTTTTGCGCATTGGTTGACAGCCCAGGATGATGGTTAGGGCGACGATGAGGTAAGTTATTCCGAGGAGGAAGTATGCGAAGCGGACTCAGGTGGGGAGGTGGTTGAGGCCAGTTCTGGAGTGGTCAGTTTTCAGATATTAACAGTGGGTATAGAGTTGGTAGGGGGGGGGAATACGTGAGTCGAGAATAGTATATAGCGACGCAGAACTTAATCAACCACATAATCATAGCATACATTGACCACCCGGTGACTTGGATCTTAGACCCCCAGACCCGATTATAATGTTCTCTGGAAGCTGGATCCACTGCTGCGCGCTGCTCATCGGTCATGTAGCTGTTGGTGAGACCGTCGAAGTTGCTGCGAACTAGATGCGCGAGGATGGTTTCGCAGGCGAAGAAGACCTGTATTCGTTAGGGTTATGGTATGGTATGGGAGAAAGTGAGACGGCTCACCCCGGCCAGCGGCATTAGGTAGTCATCCACGGCAAAGTTCAGGGGCGAGCCGACTTGTCCTAGGCGGACGTAGATGCGAATGAAGATGAAGAGGAGGCCTGTGGCCAGGAGGGTGAAACCCTCTATATCGGGCTTTGCCATGGTGGTGGGTAGATTGTGCAGTGGCGGAGTGCTGTATGTCTTATATTCTATGCTCGTAAGGGGCACTGTACTCTGCCAAGAGACAACGCATAAAGATGGCAGGCGACATGCTAATGTCACAGCTATCGGCATTAGATTAAGTCAGGGCTGAGCGGGATCCGGGGACAACCGCCAAGTAAATCGGAGATCGGTCCGGTGAAGTCTATTCTCGAGAGTGGGCTTCTGTATGGATAGCGTGTTGGCTTTGAGTCGGGAAATTGTTCTAGGTTTCGGCTGAGTGCTGATCTTTGACCCATCCGCAGTTGATGGCGTCTGGCTTCTCAAAGGGACCGTCAAGGCGCACGGCACAGGACTGTTCGGATCACTGTAGCGTGTCTGAAATATCAATCCGATCGGGGAGTTTCAGAAGTTTTGGGGTAGTGATTCTTCCAGATCCGAGTGGCGCTGGCTAGCATCTGAATAGTGTAGGCGTTATGCCCGTGCGCCGGACAAAGAATCGAACCCTAAAGTCACTAGCTTTCGGTGTAGGCCGACAACGGAAATAGCATGTGTCCTGTCATTGAGTTTATCAGACTGCCCCTGATCCATCAACGGCCAGAGCTCGTGATTAAAGGTGGGTACAGTGGGACTGACACGATGTTGTGCTGCTGGATTGTACCAAAGTGGCAATGGGTAGACACGGGAAGTGGTGCCCGGACCTGGCTGGCTCTGTTCGGTCTTGGGTTACCCCATAGGAACCCTAGTTATTATTTCTCGGCAGGGGTGATGCCAATTGTTTGGATCTGGCAATAATGGTGGTGAAATAATGACCAATCAAGGGATTGCCGAGTTCACAAAGGTCCACGGGCGAGAGAGATGGAAGTGGACTCGTGCTGCAATGCAATTTTGATGGACTAATTGGGCCTCAAGATACAGGTAACAGCAGAGGCAGCATTAATGGCTACAATAGACTGAACGAGTATCCAACTACAAGCATCCGTCTCCATGAGAAACATCATCACCTAAAGATCCCGTTGCAGGCTGATGATCGCCAGATTATATGGAACACTTCGTAACCCTCTTAGAAGGCTGCAATCACCAAAGAATGCACTTTCCAACCTACTGCATGAATGTAGTTTTGCTGCCCCTGGATGGCTAACGGAGGAGACATACTAACACCCAAATTCTTTAACGAAACACACCCAACACCATCTCAAGTCATGACAACACAGCCTGCACATGAGGTACGTGTCAAACGGACTTCTATCCTCGAATAAAACAAAGACGTCTCAAAAACTACCCTTCGCCCCTCTAATCAAACCACCGATATGAAAAATCTCCAATACCCCCCTACTCCCCCCCACCCCCACCAAACGCCAACTCCCTCGGTCTTCCCCACGTATCACACGGCAAAAACCTCCAAGCGCCATTATACTTCCTCTTAAAGAAATAATGCACAACCCAAGCAGACAAAGGCGGCATAACCGGCCAATCATTCCCCCCCTCAAACGTAACATCCCTCAACCCCAACACCATCGGCGGCACCACATTCTACAACCACTCATTAGCACCCACATCCCACCACTCACAACCCCCAAAACAAACCCACTCACCTTATCCTGTCCCCCCGCCTCAGCCTCACACTCCTTATACACCCTCAACAACTCCCCCCCATCAAACCCCTCCATCCCCAACAAACACTCAATCTCCCCGCCAAATGCTCCCGAAACCCCGGCGCCATGGCCTCAATAATCCCCCGTACAATCTTAGCATCATACTCACCCGGCTCCGTATCCCTACCATACTCCAACAACCTCTTCAACGATGGTTGAAAAGAATGATGCTGCTCTACATTCACCCCCAGAAACCCAGGGATTCCAATAACGCGCTCGAACCCGGGAAACATCTTTTCTTCTTCGAGGATATGGTGGTGGGAGACCCAGGCTGCCCAGGAGGTTATGAAGAAGAGGAAGTCGGTTATGTCGGTGGGGTCGGAGACGTGGGGGGCTTGGAGGTAGATGCTGTTTAGGCCGCGGAGCATGCTGTTGTGCGCGAAGGCCATTTCGTTGGCGATGTAGAGTGCGGGGTGGGTGGTCTGCTGCTGTTATTATTCATGTGGTTTTGAGAGGGAGGGAGGGTAGGGGGTTGGGGAGGAAGGATACGATGTCTTTGGTTTTGGATGGGGTTTCGAGTAGGGGCCAGGGGCCGTCGGCCCAGGGGTGGGGAGGCATGGTTGAGGTGGTGGATGGGTAGGGAGGTAGATGGGGGGTTTCTGAGGGTGTTTTATACAGGATTATACAGTAGGAGGAATGGCGAGGCTGAGCGGAGCCTCTTTGAGGGATGACGCTAAAGCCTTCTTGGTTGGAGTGGGCCAATGAGAGTTGTTCGCTGAAGCGAGAGGGCCAATCATCGTCGGTTTATACGGGTGGTCAACGCGGCTGTTTCTCAGCGGGGAAGGGTCTATGACCTGGGGAATTGTAGACTATATTTCTGTGATTTATGTGTTTCATTGGGGTGAAATTCAATGGATAGAAATTCAGCAAATCCGACCCTATGAATGGTACTAATATTAATTCTACACTTGGCTTTCTAGACGTTTCACCTTAATGGGCGAAAGTGACGTTTACATCCCATGCTGACATTCAAGCCCACAGGATCACGAGTTGAGTTGTGCATAGTAATCCGCGATCCAGCACATGTATTTGTGCAGTTCCAGATTTTACATTCGTACTGCATATTAAGGTGTTAGGTAGGGAAAGAGGAGAGCCAGATACTAAGCACTTTGCACTTGATGTCTGCCAGCGACCGCTGGAACCAAATCACATAGGAGTTTGCCCAGTCCGAGAGGAGTCATCTTCAAGTCTCTAGATAGGATCGTAAATAAGGGTTTATATAAAACCCTATACAAGTATCTACTCGAGGTCTAGAGTGAACTCATGAAATGCGGAAAAGGGGCATAGGCCAAGAGCCACGAGAATCGGCACCAGTATCGCATCCTATGTCCAACATGAAATTACCACAGAGATATAAACTGTTGGAGTGGCTACTAAGGCGATTCAACCGTGTAGAATGAGATGGATGATGATCTAGCTAGGGGCCTCGTAGGCCATCTATATGGACTAACTAGCGGTGTAGGGAGGAGTGTCACGTGACCCTACGTTGCCTACCGGCGTGGGAGCCCATCGGGGATCCCAACATATACCATAAACACAACCATATCCATATCATTCACCGCAATCCATATACCCAAGACACTCATTCCCCATCCCCACAGTATCAAACCCCACCGAGACCCCCACCAAACATCCAACCTAAATAGCCGCATGCCCATGCGTCTCAAACGGCAACCCAAAACACACCACCCCAACAACCACCCACAACGCCGCAGAGGCATAGATTGGAGCGGTAGTGAACCCCGTCTGCGAAGCAATCAAACTCGCACACAGACCACCAAACCTCAACAGCGATGCCGCAGTACCCGTTCCCGTGCCGCGATGCGGAGCGGGGAAGGATTCGGGCGTGAAGGCGTACATGATTGCGTATTCTATCACTTCATTAACCCTGGGATGATGAAGGAGCGGGGGAAGGGGAGGGGAAGTACCAAAATTGCCTAGCATTCCAGTAATGCATGCAAAAGCTAGACTGGATGTCGGGCTGTTGACGCCCACGTACGCGAAGAGGAATACGCCCGTCACGATGGACGATATACCCATCATCCAACGCCGACCGAAGAAGGTAGTTACGAGGTATGCGGCGGAGATAGGCCCGACGATGCCGACAGCGGATTCGATGCAGTAGTCTCGGTAGGTGGTGGAGAGGGATGAGTTGGAGGAGAATTTGGTGTCGAGGTAGGAGGGGAGGAAGTTGAAGTAGAGGGGGTAGGCGATGCCTTACATTCATGGTCAGTCTGGATTCGGCGGTTGGGGGAGGGGGGGGGGGGATGTACCGATGGTAAGCCAGATAACCCAGATGATGGTGGTGTGGATGCCCAGTTTGCGGGTAGCGAAGAGGGCCTGGTAGTGGGTTGAGCGGAAGTCTTTCATGTTCTCTTGGATGATTTGCTTCGTTGTGAGACCCGGGCCTTCTGTGGATTCACCCTGTGTGATGCCCAGTCGGGCGTCGATCTCTTGAAACATGCCGATGGTTAAGGGTTCGGGTTTGCCGTTTTCACGGGCAACGTAGTTGACGGCGTCGACGGCGGCTTGGTCTTTGCCTTTGGAGAGGAGATATCGGGGGGTTTCGGGCAGCTTGAAGACGAACCACCGGATGCAGGTGAAGGCTAAGGAGAGAGCGCCGAGGGTGATGAGTGTGTATCTCCTGGATGTTGTTAGAGTGAGCTGCATCGGGAGAAGAAAACATACCATCCCATGTTCTCGCTGCGATGGCAGGTCGCTGGCGTGGAATCACTCGGACAGGCAAAGTTGGCAAGGAAGACCCAGGCAAGTAGCGAGACGATCAACTGGCCGAGGTTCCACCATGCCGATAATGCCGTGAGAAGGTATTGGTGACTACTTCATTAGCACTCGTCCTCAGTAATCAGAAGACAACTCACCTTCCAGGCACAAATTCAAGGAAGATCATCGAATCCACAGGAACATTTCCCCCAGCAGCCGTCCCAATGACAGCCCACATGGCACTAAATGCCACAAAATTCATCGTCCCGGCAGCACCACACAGAAAAATCCCAGCGAGAAGAAGGGTAGAGTTGAACGCCGGTTTCCGCCCGATCAAGTCACTCGAGATACCCCAGAACGACGCCCCCAGAATCAACCCAGTATAGTATGCCACGGAACTGTAACTAACTTGCACGATGCCAGGAAACTCGAGTTCGATGGCCGGTTGAACACTACTGATGCCTTGCGAGGCAAACTACACCCATTAGTCCAATTCTGTGTACCCGGGAGTATACTCACGTTATCAACGATCCATCCAAAACCAGTCACAACAAAAAGTTTCCATTGAAACCTGTACGACATCAGCATCTCACCACTGCTCAAAGAGGGCAGGAGACAAACCGTCCCATCCCTATTTCCTCCATGCATTTCCCGACCAGTTCCGACTTGAGCCGGTAGGCCTCTGATGTCGAGGAGCCATAGAACTGCTCTACTTCGGGGTCATCGATAACGACACCCTTCTCTTCGCCGACGATGCTGTTGGAATACACGTGGGATTCATCCCGCTTTTGCTCTTGTTGAATATCATCCATTGTGATGGCTGGTTGGTGTCGTGTTGGTGGCATCCCAACCTGATCAAATACATCTGCCTACTTAGGGTTGACGTACGGTGTCTGGACGGGTCCAGACGGCTGACGAAGCATCCGGGCAGCCCTTATCGATTGTCAAGGGTGGGGGATGCCTATCTGCTGCACCTCCACTTCTGATGGTATCCCGTGTGCTATCGGCGGTGATTGAGGCAGTAGACGGGATAAAAGCATGGATTGATAGATAGTGTCTGGGGTGGGATGGGATGATATGGGGTATAATGGGGGAAGTATAGATGAACAGTTCATGTAAGTCATATTTCAGCTAGGCTGCAGGCTACGGAATGAATATATATAGGGTATTACATCAGTTTAAGCACCCACTGCCGCTGTGGCAGACACCGTTTCCATCTTCAGCTTGGCCTTCTCCTCCATCTCTCGCTTGTATTGCTCCGCCCGACCGTAGCTCTCCTTATACGATGCCGTTACCATATCCTCCACCGTGATGGGCGGGTACTTGGGCGCCTCGCCTTCCGCGCAGCAATTGGGCAGACACTCGCACAGATAGTCGGGGTTTCCGCTGAAGAAGAATGGAATGGAGTAACGCTCGCGACCGGACTTGTTGATGACGCGGTGGATGTTGGATTTGTATCGGTCGTTGGCCATGCGCATGAACAGGTTGCCGAGGTTGACCACGTAGGCGCCGGGGACGGGTTGGACCTTGATTGTTAGCACGGCCAAGCAAGGGGGGAAATCACTTACATCCAGCCATTCCCCAGTGGGAGCATCCAAAACCTGCAGGCCATCCACTTCATCCTGCAGAAGCAAGGTGATGCATCCAAAGTCGGTGTGTGCGCCGATCCCCCGGTTCAGCTTCTCGTCTGCGTCTTTTGGCTGCGCCGGGTAATGCAGCATTCGCATGGTTGCGACCGCCCCGTCGGTCAACGGGTCAAAGTAGTCCTCGTTCACGTCAAGAGTCAGAGCCAGCAGACCGAGAACGTCCTTGGCCAGATCAAACACCGCATTGTAGTATTCCATCGAGGTGCGCTGAAATTCCTCCTTGTCCTCCACGGTCGGGGGCCACTGGTTCGGGCCGCTGTTGAGCTTCTTCTGGAGGTAGTAGGGATGGTCCTCGGGGATTTCCTGCCCAATGTAGAGACCTTCTTTGAGTTCGGGGCCGGTGCCGACTTCGAGCATCTGCGAGCGGAGGAGTTCGTAGCCGCGGTTGAAGGTGTTGTGGTCTAACACAATGGTTAGTGAGCAATGGCATTGGACGATGGGATTAGGGGCGCACTTTTGTCAATTTTGAGCTTCTCTTCCAGAGGGAGCTCGAAGAAGCGCTGGGCGCATCGCATCACACGGTGCTGTAATTCGATGGGCACGCGATGACCGGTGATCTGGAAGAAGCCATTGTAGAGGCAGGAATTGCGAACTGCCTCGACCAGCTGGGCTTTGGCTGCGCTGTCGCCGCCGTAGAAGGAAGAGAAATCGAGAATCGGGGGTGCACTGGGAGCCATTGTGGTTGTGGTATTGATGTTGTTGGTGGTGGTAATGGTGTCTGGTATCCAGGTGAATATATCCAGCTTCACCTGGCGATGAAGGGCAATTTTGGAACAGATTGTCGGACAGAAGTCCGAGGTTCGCATGGCCGCCATCTTCGACACGATAGCATCAAGAGTGGGGGCTGGATGGGATTCCCGATAAAGCTGCCGGTCGGGTGATAAGGAATGCGGAGAAGCTGCAGCGATTGGGGGTTATCTCTGCAGTGTGACGGTGATTGTGACAGCCACGATAACCCTACCTTCTCGGATGGCCCAAACAGGCAATGCGAGGCCCCTTGCAGGTTACACGGCAGATCCAGCAAAATGCCTTTGGTATATGAGGGTCAGCCGGCAGCAGGTTGGTCTGCATTCAGTGTCGCCATGTCTGTCGATCCAGTGGAAAAAGGGGTGGCTATCTCGGAGGCCGCCATGAAGCGCGACGAGAGTAGCATCTATATCGACCATGATGCGGAGCGTTCATATGGTGAGTAGTTACGACCTTCTAATGGCTTTACTGACCGCCGCAGTGCGAAAGGTGGACTTTTGTGTCCTGCCACTCCTATGTTTGGTGAGCATGCATCTGGCGATGCTGGCCAGTACTGACCAACTAGATGTACTTTTTCGACTGCATGGACCGAGTGTGTTACCCGTAGTGAGTTGGAACGCCGCTAACGAAGTAGAGCAATCTTGCCAATGCCAAAACCGATGGTCTGGACGAGGACATCCACCTAAAGGGAAATGACTATTCCCTGATGGTCCTGCTGTTCTATATCCCGTTCGGGCTGTGCGATCTGCCATGGAACCTGCTGCTGAAGCGGTATGGCGGGCGCCTCACGTTGTCATTCAGTAAGTCATTCCAGTCTACTCAGACACGGCTAATCGTCAGTGACCGTGGTCTGGGGTATTCTCGCCCTTTGTCAATGTGCCGTCAAAGACTTTGGCGGTATGATCGCCGTGCGCATGATCCTAGGGTGAGTCTCATGTCCAGTTCATGTACTCACAGGCTAATCAAAATAGAGTATTTGAGGCAGGATTCTTTGCAGGAGCGACCTTTTACATGACACTGTTTTATACACGCGGGGAGATGGGCTTCCGGCTGGCTATCATGCAGTCGTTTGCCGTGCTGGCCTCGGCCTTTAGCGGTCTCATCTCCTTTGGGGTGTTCCAGATCCACGACCCGGCCGTGGAAGGGTGGCAGTGGTTGTTTATCATCGAAGGCTCCATGACCTTCCTGATGGGGATCGCCTCCCTCTTCTGGCTGCCTGGGAATCCGCGAACAGCGTGGTTCCTCAATGAGCGTGAACGGGCGGCAGCAACAGCACGCCAGCTGCGCGATACATCGTCTGAAGTCGACACTGGGCTGGACCTGAAGGCTGCATTCGAGACCTGGAAAGACTGGAAGTTTCCTATCTGGTGCATCATCACCTTCACCTATCCGGTGGCATATGCGACCGCGATGAACTTTTTCCCCTTGGTGCGTTTGTCCCTTTCTAGATGAGTGCGTGCTGACAGAGCAGATTGTCGAACGACTGGGATACTCGACAGTCAAAACGAACCTCTGGACGGTCGCTCCCAATCTGGTTGGGGCGGTGGTGCTGCTCTGCGTGGCCAAATCGTCCGACTACTTTCGCGAGCGGACGTTCCATATTGTATTCTCACTGGTGGTGTCACTGGTGGGAATGCTCATTCTAGCGACGATAGACGTTCTGGGACACAAGGGAGTAGCGTATTTTGCCTGTTTTCTTATGGCAGCAGGGTCGTATATCCCGTCGTGCCTGGTGCATGCGTGGCATAACAACAACAACATGCACGAAAACTCTCGTGCCGCCAACACGGGGTTCTTTGTAGGGCTGGGCAACCTGGCGGGAATCTTGAGTGCGGCGACTTTTCGCACCGAGTATGCTCCAAAGTAGGCAATCCTCCTCAACCTCGTAGAACAACACTAACAAGTCAGGTACATCCCCACCCTGGTGGCAACCTGCTGCTGCAACGGAGTGTGCATCGTGGTGGTGACCGGACTGGGCTGGTGGATGCGTCGGGAAAATGGCCGGCGGGATCGGATACAAGGCCGACATTTGCGCCCGCACGAGGTGGACACGCGCCAGTTGGCTGAGGGGGAGAACATTCCGGACTGGCGGTACTTTCTGTAGCTACTAGCTAGACCCTGGCAGGAATGATAGTCGTATCGGATCGATGGCGTCGATTGATAGAGGGATTAATAATGGCGGGAAGATAAAGCTGGCCCCCGCAGCCCGTCATTCGCGGGTGATTCCCCAGCTTATCACGCCGGCTTCGGCCGCCAGCTGGCTGTATAAATAATGCAAGTTTCCGCACGAGTCAACTGCACATTGCTGGTGGCATAAAATGATCCCTCATGAAGTCGCACGTCTGCCACTGGCCCAATTGCGGCAAGACCTTTACGCGCGCCGAGCATCTGCGCCGGCATGCCCTCAACCATGAATCGGCCCGCGATGGTTATACCTGTGAGCGGTGCTCGGTGCATTTCCGTCGCCCGGACTTGTTGAGTAGGTGGTGACCACTTGTTGTCTCAATACGGAACCGGCTGACCAGCCAGGTCGACATTTAATGCGGCATGCCAAACGTGATGAGGAGGCGGGAGGCCCGGGGTTGGGCGTGTTGGAGACGAGGAAGCGCACCCGGCGAGCGGGCGATGGCTCCATCATTACCCGCCCTCCCAAGCGACAGTCGAGGGCCAGCGCCGGTCCTAGTCTGCCTTCATCGTCATGTGCTTCATCCTCCTCTATATCAGTCACCAGTGCCCAGGACTATGCCCCAGTATCGCCTCCGACGTCCGCCAGTGACCCGTCCTGCTTGTCGCTGGACGAGCCCGATCCGCTGCTGGCCCCGATGATGCCCAGCGGCCCGTTCGAGCCCTATGTCGAACCCATCCCGGGGCAATTTGATGCTGCGGACGGCTCTTGGAGTCTGGGGCTGGATGGAATGGGGGACTTTTTCAGCCTTGACACTGGTACGGCCCTACCTGTTTCTTCTCATCGCCAACTAACCCCCCGACAGCCACCGACTTCAACATGCCATTCGCGGCTACTCACAACTACAACTGGCTGTTCGATGTGGCCTCTTTGGATGATGCATTCCAGCCGTTTGAGCTCCCGCTGGGCCCCGACATGATGACCTTTGCTGACGCCCTGCCCATCGATGACCCTAAACCTGTGTTCGACCGCGACGGCTCTTCGGTGCTCCTCGAGGCTGCCTCGTTCGTGGAACGTGGTGACTTTGCACCTCTTCTCTCGGCCCCTCTACCGGAGCCCCCGGACAGCATCAACCTGGACTGGATGGACGGGTCTTCGCTGCTGCAAATCAATCCCCAGCCCCATCTTCCTATCCTGACCGACAACTCTCGCCGTGGCATTCTAGCCCTCGTTGCCCAGGCCCCACCCCTCGGCATCGACGGCCAGCCCACCCCACTGGACTCGCCTCTACTCTCCCTGTCTTCGCTGCAATCCTACAGCGACCTCTTCTTCACCCGTTTCAACACCACCTATCCCCTCATCCACCAACCCACCTTCGACCCGTCCACCACCACCCCAGTCCTCCTGGCTGCCATCCTCTCCATGGGCGCCACCTACAGCAGCCGCGAAGCCCACCAACTGGCCGTGGGCATCCACGACTCCCTGCGCAACCAACTCTTCCTCCACCCGGACTTTTCCCCGCAACCCGATCTCTGGGTCCTGCAAGCCATGCTGCTGATCGACTGTTTCGGGAAGATGCGCGCGGGTCCTAAACAGCGGGAACGAGCCCAACTGTTCCACTGCGTGCTCATCAAACTGATCCGCCGCAGCGACTGTTGCGCCATCCGCACCACCCCTTCCCCTCCCAATACCCCCTCCCCAACTCTGACCGAAACCTGGCACTCCGCCATGCACGCCGAACAAAAAAAGCGTCTAGCCCTCCACTGCTTCATGTGGGACACACAACACGCGGTCCTCTTCTCCCAATCGCTCTGCATGTCCGCATTCGAAATCCGCTCCTCCCTCCCCTGCTCCCCCTCCGCCTGGGAAGCCTCTACCGCGGAAGAATGGGCCCGCCATACCCCCTCTTCCTCTAACAACCCCCTCTTCCTGACCGTCCTGAAAGGCTACATCACCCCCGCCACCACCCCCCGCCCACGCGACCTCAACGTCCTCGCCCGCAGCGTCATCCTGCACGGCCTAATGTCCGTCTCCGCGGACCTCAAACGCCGCGACCAAACAACCCTCCGCTCGCACCCCGAGAAAGTCGGCGCCTGGACCCACCGCATGGCCCGGTCCTACGATCTCTGGAAAGTCGATTTCGACGCAGACTGTCTAGCCATGAAACTAGGCCAAACTGCCGAGTCGACCCGACGGAAAGGATTCACGGGGTTGAAGATGGCGGCGGGGACATTGTATCGGGCCGCTCATGTGGCGTTGCGGGTGGAGATTCTCGATTTGCAGATTGCGGCAGGGGCGGGGTGGATTATGGGGAGGGAGGTGACGGGGGAGGATCGTGAGAGGTCGGTTGCTGCGGTGCGGAGGGGCCAGGGACAGGGAGGGGGGATGTTGGTGGCGGCCAGACATGCGGCGATGTTGTTGCAGGATGCGGTGTTGAGTTTGCATGATTGGGAACAGACGGATGCGTTTCATTTTCCCTGGTGTTTGTATTTGGGGACGTTGATGTGTTGGGCGTTTCATGGGGGGGTGGGATGGGATGATGGAGGGGATGTTGATAGTAGTAGGGTGAAGACGGATCTGGCGAGTTTGATCGTGGCCATGACGACGTGTGGCAGTTTGGATGAGTTGGCGGCTATTGAAGGGAAGTATGATACGAGGGATTGGCGAGGACGATGGCGCAGCAGTTGGCTACGGTGCGGTGGGCGGTGGTGCATGATGCGATGAAGGTGTTGGTGAATTTGGCGGGTTGAATCTTTTCCTCCTTTAACTTTTGTCTGTATGTATCTGTCTGAATGTCTATGTCTGTACATATATATGAGTGTCTATGCTATGATCATCCCATCCTGACCAGAGCTCACTCCCAAACCGGATAATCCGTATACCCCTTCTCCGCCGGGTCCGCGCCATAAAACGTCCCCCGATCATACTTATTCAACTGCACGCCCTCCAACAACCTCCTCGGCAGATCCGGATTCGCAATAAACCACCTCCCAAAGGCCACCGCATCCGCCCCATCCCCAAGCACCTTACTCTTCGCATTCTCCCCATTAAACGCCCCGGCAGCAATAAACCCCACCCCAGCCTCCTTCAACGGTCTCCGAAAGATATCCAAATTCTTCTTCCCCCCTCCCCCAGGCAACGAATCCATCTTGGCCGATTCATCCAACACCTCATCGAATCTCGGCTCCACCATATGCACGTACGCGGGCCGCACACCATCCGGTAACCCAGCAATCAACTCACAAATCTCCACCCAGTGACCCTGGGGATTCGAATCCCTCGTATCTTGAAAATAATTATACGGGGAGAGTCGAACCCCAACTTTCTCAGACCCAATGGCCTTACTCACCGCTTCAATAACCTCGAGTACGATTCTGGCCCGGTTGGCAACAGATCCCCCGTACTCATCGGTCCGAGTATTCACGTTATCGTGCAGGAATTGGTCAAGGAGGTAGCCGTTCGCAGCGTGAATTTCCACGGCGTCGAAGCCAGCGGCCATGGCGTTGGACGCGGCCGTCGCGTAGGTGGCGATCGTGGATTGGATTTCACCAATGCTCATTGGTTTGGGCGGGTTGTCGGCGTAGAGGCTTCCGTCTAGGGCGGTGCCGGTGATGGGGATGGAGCTGGGGGCGAGCGCGGGTTGGCCGTCTAGGAGGGAGGGTACGGTGGCGCGGCCGACGTGCCAGAGTTGGCTGATCATGAGCCCGCCTTTGGAGTGCACGGCTGAGGTGATGGTTTTCCAGGAGGCGATTTGGCTGGGGGTGAAGATACCCGGGACTCCGGGGTAGCCGGCGGCCTGAGGGGGGTTAGTTGGGGGTTAGGGTGTGGTTATGAGGGTTAGGGGGGGGGGGGGGGGATGGGGACATACGTAGCGGCTGATAGGGGTGGCTTCGGTAATGAGAAGACCGCCCGGGGAGGCCCGCTGGCTGTAGTATTCGGCCATTAGGTCGTTGGGGACGTAAACGCCGTCGGATTCTTTGGTGGCGCGCATGCGGGTGCAGGGGGCCAGCACGACGCGGTGGGATAGGGAGAGGGCCCCTAGCTGGAGGGGCTGGAAGAGGGGATTGGCGGTGGTGATGGAGCCCATGGTGGTGTGAATATGTTTTGATGGGTTGGAATTGGTTGATTGGTAGGTAGGGTGGAAGGAGGGTATTGGTCGGGATAGATATATTAGCCAGGGATGGACAATTGGGATGGTGAAGAGATGCAGAGCATGGGGGGTTGTATGGGGCTACACGCCATTCCTGGCCGCTCTACTCATCCACTCTTGTCTTGTACAATGAGTGTAAATTAATGAGGGCTGGAGGTGGAGCTGCGATAGCGGTGGAGACATGGTATCGGGCCGCCCGTTATCAGCATCGTCAGGAATGGATCGACATCCCCTCCCCCCACCCTTGGAACGAAGCTCTCCACTCCCGAGAGTCCAGCTCTGCTACCCTACCCTCATGCTGTGACGCAGTGGTGGTGGCGGCTTCACAGCTGCCGCAGCCAAGGTAACATTGGGCTGCCAGCTGCAGCTGCAGTTGCACGTGCGGCCAACGCACTCAACTGCCCCTCGTTCAACCTCCTCCCATCCTCGCCATCACGACGATGCCGATGCTGCTGTATTAACCACCACATCACCACCATGGTGCTTCCGACCGCGCTACAAGACTTTCTCACCACCAACAATGCCTCATCCACCCTCTCCTTCTACCTCAACGGCACCCCCGTGGCTCTCGCCAGCCCCAACCCCCACTGGACCCTACTCGACTTCATCCGCTCCCAACATGGGCTAAAGGGTACCAAGCTGGGTTGCGGCGAAGGGGGGTGTGGTGCCTGCACCGTGGTGTTGCAGACCCGCGATGGCTGCTCTCGGCAGATTCGCCACCGCGCCGTCAACGCCTGCTTGTATCCGCTCATTGGAGGTGGGTTGTCCGATCCATGGAAGGCTTCGTAGCTGACAGCCACAGTGGCCGGGAAACATGTCATTACCGTGGAGGGGCTCGGAAACATCGATCATCCGCATCCATTGCAGGAGAGATTGGGGAAGCTCCACGCATCCCAGTAAGTTGCTCCTGTGGTTGGGTACCATGCCTCTAACAAGGATAGATGTGGGTTCTGCACCCCTGGCATTGTCATGTCGCTGTATGCTCTCGTGCGGAATGCCTACAATCCCCAGACCGGCGAGTTTCACCTGTCCGAGGATGATATCGAGATGAAGGGACACCTGGATGGTAATCTGTGTCGTTGCACCGGGTACAAGCCCATTCTGCAGGCAGCCAAGACTTTTGTGCAGGAGGATCTCCAGGGTCGTCTGGCTGTGCGTACGTCGCAGATTGAGATGGCAAGCGTGGAGTCGGAGTCGGATACCTCCCGGCCGCAGTCTTGCGGTCGTCCGGGGGGGTGTTGTCGTGATACCCGGGGTCGTCGTGTTCGTCGGCTTCGGAGAGAGCCAGCTCGCGCACCAGTGTGACTACTCCGGATTCAGAGATTGATAAGGAGTCGAAGGAATCATCTGTTCCTCAGATTGAATTCCGCCCCTACTTGCCCAATACCGAGCTCATCTATCCCCCTGGACTGGCCAAGGTCAGCCCACAGATGATCTGCTACACCGATGAGCAGAAGGCCTGGTTGCGTCCGGTGACACTGGCGCAGACACTGGATATTCTGGCGCTCTGCCCGTCAGCCACTCTGGTTGGCGGCGCCAGCGAAGTCCAAGTCGACATCCGGTTCAAGGGTGCCGAGTTTGCCGTGTCCGTGTTCATCGGCGATCTGGACGAGCTCTCACACATCACGCTGGTGAAAGACAGCACCGAGCTGGTCATCGGAGGAAATACCTCACTCAGCGACATCGAGGCCGAATGCTACCGGCTCATTCCCATTCTGGGGGCACGGGGCTCGGTCATCTCTGCGATGGCCAAGGTGCTGCGCTACTTTGCTGGGCGTCAAATCCGCAACGCTGCCTCGCTGGCGGGCAATATTGCCACGGCCTCGCCTATCTCTGATATGAACCCGGTACTCCTGGCCGTCAACGCCACCGTGGTAGCCCGTACTCTCACCGAGGAGACCTCCTTGTCCATGTCGGACATGTTCCTGGGCTACCGCAAGACTGCTCTTCCTCGCGGCAGCATCATTACCGAGATCCGCATTCCTTTGCCACCAGCCGGAGTGCGTGAGATTACCAAATCCTACAAGCAATCCAAGCGTAAAGACGACGACATTGCCATTGTCACCGCTGCTTTTCGCGTTCGTCTCGCCGATGACAACACCGTCACCGACGTTGCCCTGGCCTACGGCGGCATGGCGCCCGTCACTCTTCTCGCGCAACGCGCACAGAGCGCCCTACACGGCAAGAAATGGGGCGTCAAGGCCGTACTCGACGCAACGTTCGACGCCCTACTCGAGGACTTCCACCTCCCTTTTTCAGTCCCCGGTGGAATGGCCACCTACCGTCGGACCCTCGTGCTGTCGCTCTTCTTCCGCCTCTGGAACGAAGTGCTGGCAGATTTCGAGCTCGGCCCAACCACCACCGACGTGACGGAAGAGATCCATCGACAAATCTCCCACGGCACGCGCGATAACTACAACCCGCACGAGCAGCGGGTAGTCGGGAAACAGATGCCACATCTTTCAGGGCTGAAACACGCCACCGGCGAGGCCGAATACGTGGATGACATGCCGCCACAGCACCGAGAGCTCTACGGCGCAATGGTGTTGTCGCAGCGTGCCCACGCCAAGATCATCTCGGTTGACTGGTCTCCTGCTCTCGAGCCGGGTCGCGCGGTCGGATACATCGATCACACCAGCATTCCCCCGGAGAAGAACCTCTGGGGTCCGATCGTGCACAACGAGCCTTTCTTCGCCATTGACAAGGTCACTTCGCACGGCCAGCCCATTGGACTGGTCTATGCGGAAACAGCGCTCCAGGCCCAAGCGGCAGCGCGTGCCGTCAAGGTCGTGTACGAGGATCTGCCCCCGATCCTGACCATCGACGAAGCCATAGCGGCAAATAGCTTCTTCCCACATGGCAAGGAGCTACGCAAGGGAGCACCTCCGGACAAAATGGCGGATGTATTCGCTAAATGCGACCGGGTATTCAGCGGAACCATCCGCATGGGTGGCCAGGAGCATTTCTACCTCGAGACCAACGCGGCATTGGTGGTACCTCATCCCGAGGACGGATCAATGGACGTATGGTCATCAACACAAAACACGTATGCCCCCTCCCTATCCACATAAACAACCCTAACAGCTGCAGCCTCGAATGTCAAGAATTCGTCAGCATGGTGACCTCCGTCCCAGCCAACCGAATCAACACCCGGGTCAAACGCATGGGCGGTGCCTTTGGCGGCAAAGAATCCCGAAGCACCCAACTGGCCTGCCTTCTCGCCATCGCAGCAAAGAAAACCCGACGACCCGTCCGCGCCATGCTCAACCGCGACGAAGACATGATGACCAGCGGACAACGCCACCCCTTCCAATGCCGCTGGAAAGTCGGGGTCATGAACGACGGCACCCTGGTCGCCCTCGACGCCGACGTCTACAACAACGCCGGCTACTCCCTCGACATGAGCGGCGCCGTAATGGACCGCTGCTGCACGCACCTCGAAAACTGCTACTACTTCCCGAACGTACACATCCGCGGCTGGGTTTGCAAAACTAACACGCACAGCAACACAGCGTTCCGCGGCTTCGGCGGGCCCCAAGCCATGTTCATCGCGGAAAGCTACATGAACGCGGTCGCCGAGGGCCTCGACATCTCCGTCGACGACCTCCGCCTCAAAAACCTCTACCAACAAGGCCAACTCACCCCGTTCCTCCAACCCATCGACCAAGACTGGCACGTGCCTCTGCTCCTCGACCAAGTCCGCAAAGAGGCCCGGTACGACGAACGAAAAGCCGAAATCGCCCACTTCAACAAAACCCACCGCTACCGCAAACGAGGCATCTGTCTGATTCCCACCAAATTCGGCATCTCCTTCGCCACAGCCCTGCATCTCAACCAAGCCGGTGCGTCCGTCAAAATCTACACCGACGGCTCCGTGCTGCTCAACCACGGCGGTACCGAAATGGGCCAGGGACTATACACCAAGATGGTGCAGGTCGCGGCCGAGGAACTGCGAGTTCCTCCGGAGAGTATCTACACCCAGGACACCTCATCATACCAAACAGCCAATGCATCCCCCACGGCCGCCTCCTCGGGCAGCGACCTCAACGGCATGGCCATCAAAGACGCATGCGACCAACTCAACGAACGACTCCGTCCCTACCGCGAACAATTCGGTAAAGACGCAGATATGGCCACCATCGCACACGCCGCCTACCGCGATAGAGTCAACCTCGCGGCCAACGGATTCTGGAAAATGCCCAAGGTTGGCTACAAATGGGGGAATTATGACCCTGCCACTGTAAAACCCATGTATTACTACTTTACCCAGGTACCCCCCCTTCCCCCATTTCACCCCAATCCTCAACTCACAAAAAGAAAAAAAAAAAAGGGCGCAGCCTGCACCTCCATCGAACTCGACCTCCTAACAGGAACCCACACTGTCCTCCGCACCGACATAAAAATGGACATCGGGCGCTCCATCAACCCAGCCATCGACTACGGGCAAATCGAAGGCGCGTTCATCCAAGGGCAAGGGTTATTCACCATGGAAGAAACCCTCTGGACACGAGACGGCATCCTGGCAACGCGGGGACCCGGTAATTACAAAATCCCCGGGTTTAGTGACATTCCGCAGGAATTCAATGTGAGTTTTTTGCAGGGCGTTGAGTGGGGTCATTTGAGGAGTATTCAGAGTAGTAAGGGGATTGGGGAACCGCCGTTGTTTTTGGGGAGTACGGTGTTGTTTGCGATTAGGGATGCGGTTAGGGGGGTTAGGAGGGAGAATGGGGTTGATAATTGGGGGGAGGGAGGAGAGGGGTTCGTGTTGGATAGTCCGGCGACGGTGGAGAGGGTTAGGTTGGCGGTTGGGGATGAGATTGTGAAGAGGAGTTGGGTGGAGAGGGGGGAGGGGGAGAGGGATTTCTTCGTTGCTGTTGCGTGATATTTCACTTTCAGAGAATGGGATGGGAATAGAGGTAGTATGTCTGGGGTGATAATGTTATAGGAATACTACTACTATATAAAGAAGCAGTCAATTCATAATCGAGGGGTCTTTTTGTGCACCTTCTTCTACCCTGTATGCTAGTAGACAACAAGGGTTATATATATCCTTTTTGGTCTACGTGCTGGAGTACTACTACAAGTAATACTAGTACCGTTAGCTTTGATAGTATTGACTAATGTAGGGACAAGGACTGCTCATCAACCTAGCTATGGGGTTTCGGCTACTTGATACTAGTAAGTTCGTGTGACCGGGTAGATTTTGTGAGAGCCGTCTGGTTGAGACGTAGTTGGATTGGATTGGTACTCTACTCCTCTTATTACTTTAGGACGGAGAATAGAGAATGGATGCGACAGCTCAATGCTCACTTCCCCGTATCATGATCCAGCACATAGTCCCTATCCCTCATATCTTACACAATTCACACCCACAAACACAACCAAGTATGTCTAACCCATTAATTCCTCTATCATATCTATAACTCAGACCAAAAAAGAAAAATACTCCCCCACCCACATCGCCGCCTCCCCCCCTCTATCCCCGTGACCCCCCACCTGGCAACCGACCCCACATACCCATCCGGTCGAACAACCACCACGCCCACCTGCCCCCCTCCATCTCCCCCATCCACTTCATCGTACATCCCTTCTCATCCACATCATCCAGATACACCGTCCAGCGACTCCGCTGCAACACCTCCGGCAGATCCCCCAACTCGAATTCCTTCTTCGTTGATTTCGTCACAAGACCATACGTGACCAGTTGCGACACGATGGTATATCTCCCCGGCTGGACATACTCATCCCTCTCCGCATATCCCCGCGGGCGATCAATATACGACGTCTCTGCTTTCTTCCCTATTTTTTCCAGGGAAGTGCTGATCCCTTCACAGAATCCATCCAGAAACTCCCCTCCGGTACTCACATCCGGAGTAAATAGATATACCCGGAACTGTCCCAACATAGGTACATCGAGCTGAACATCCACCGGATTTGCATCAATATATCTGGTGACATTGGCCGGGGGCATCAATGACCCCGGCTTCACCCCTCCACCACCAGTTACCTTCCCCCGAGTCAACAAACCAGGGGTATATTCAGCCCCCACGCCCGAAATAAACCGGATATTCTCATCAAAGTTCCTGGCCAGCGCTGCCTCACCTTTCTCAAATGCGGCGACATGTTCCGCGTCAAAGGAAATCAAATCGTTGGCGATTTTCCGCCGTTCGTCGCCGTAGCTGGATAGGAGAGATGGGTGGGCTAGACCTCGAGATACGAGGTTGAGTTTCCATGCTAGGTTGAAGCTATCGTGCATGCTGGTGTTGGCGCCTTGGGCGGCGAGGGCGGAGTGGCAGTGGCCGGCCTGGGTTGTTAGCCTGACTTTTTATGGGGGAGGGTAGGGGGAGGGGGGGATGTACATCGCCAGCAATGAAGATTTGGTTGTCGGGGTCGGAGAAGTTGCGTGCTACACGTTGGCCGACGACGTAGTTGCCGAACCATTCTATTTCTTGTTAGTATACTATGCTTGGAGGGGAGGGGAAGAGGGGGGATACCGATTGATTTCCACTCCAACCGAAACGGACTCATAGCCTCGCGAGCTCTCGCAATCACATACTCGGTAGTGGCCTTAGCCCTATCCACTTTCTCCCCGTCCGTCGAACTCAACTCAACATAGAGTCTGGTCATGCCGCGCTCCCGAGGAATCCAGAGGATAGAACCAGCCGTATGCGACCGCACGGCAACTTTACTCCACAGGTCAGGGAAATCCGTATCAATGACACCTGTCAGTCAATGTTAGCCTACCCCTACCCCCAAATTCCACCCAACCAACATCCCCCAAAGAAAAAGGAAGAATCCTACCATCCAAAACCCCCCACGACGCATTCGTCATTTCCCCCTCCAACTTCGCATCGGGAATAAAATCCCTAACCTTCGATCTCGCCCCATCACACCCAACCAAATACCCCGCATGAATAATCTTCTCAGTCCGTGTACTCACATCCTCATACACAACCTCCAACTTATCCCCTTTCCCTTCCCCCGATGGAATCTTCTTAACCCCCACAAACGCACTACTCCGTTGTACTCTCCCCCCCCTCGCCTCAATATCCCCAATCAACACATCCTCCAACATTCCCTGATGCGCAAGGAGAATATACGGATCTGACGCCCCGACTAAATGATCCGGGTAGTGCAGTTGGCGACCGGATCGACGGAGGGGGTGTGTGGGGGTGGAGTCCTTTCATCCATTAGCCTTATTCCTCTATTTCCATTCATCCGTATTAAAGATGAAGGTATTGGGGGAGATGTACCCAGAACGAAATATCATAAACCTTGGCTCCATTTCGGAGAAGCTCGTCTGCCAGACGGAGCTGTTTTAGGGTTTCGATGGTCTTGGGTTGTAGACCGTCTGCTTTGCCGGTGGTGGTGCGGGAGGGACGGTCGTCGAGGAGGATTACGGGCGTGCCGTAGCGGAGGAGGTTGGATCTGGTTTCATGGTTAGGTTTTTGGATTTGGGAGGGGGGGAGGGGAGGGCGCACGCGAGCATCAGGCCTGATGGACCGGCGCCGACCACCACGACTGTTGTGGTGGGGATGGTGGTGGGGAAGCCCAAGCCCTCGTTGGTTGCGCTGGGGGCCATGGTATATGATTTTGATTGTGTGTGAATCGAGGTGGAGATGGGGATATGTGAGGATGGTATTTCCATGTTGTTTGGCTGGGATGGGAGTTATAGTTAAGAGAGAGGGGATGGATGGATGGATGGGATGAGGGTCGGCCAGATGGCCGTGTCGGAGGGGAGCTGGAGCTCCCCCACTTTTGAGCACCCAACAATAACCCCAATTCCTAGCTGCGGAGATACCACCATGCCATACTGATTGCACATCATAACAAATTTCGTGTTGATTACTGATAATATTCTGGGGAATAACTACTGTCTACCACTTAGTCACCCCCCCATCCACGACCACATCCTGTCCCGTCATGTACGAACTGGCATCACTAGCCAGAAACACACACGCGCCCATGATATCCTCCGGCTCGGCAATACGGCCGTTCATCGCCGCCGATTTCCATTCCTCGAGGAGGTGGGGGAACTATCTCTTAGCTACTGCCATTGCTAGGGAGGTTAATGAGGGGGACTCACTGCAGCTGTCATTTCCGTTCTCACATATCCTGGTGAAATCGAGTTGACTCGGATGCCCTACTTCGTTAGCTACCACCACCACCCATTCATCCACCGCCGCAACGAGGGATAACATACATATTCTGCCATCTCCTTTGCAATAGCCGGGCACATGGCCCGGACCGCCCCCTTGGAACCACAATACGCGCTGCAGAGTTGGCTTTTCACCGCAATATGACTCGCCATGCTGGCCACCAACACAATACTCCCATGTTGGGTCTGATTGGCGATCATCTGTCGGGCGGCGAGTTGAGCCGTGTGGAACAGTCCCAACACATTAATCTTAAGCAGGTCATGGTGGTCCTCGAATTTAAAGTCGAGAAAGGTCTGGTGTCGATTGATACCGGCGCAGGGGACGCAAATGTCCAGGGCGTTGGAAAAGTCGGTTTGGAAGGAGGAAAACCCCGCGGCGAGGGATTCGGGGGAGGAAACGTCCACTCTGTCTTTCTTAGTAGTGTTATGGTTTGCTAGGGTATATGTAAACGGACTTGTAGTATGCCGTGCGCACTCCATATTCCTTTTCAATCGAATGAAACCCCTCCTCTGGGGCAATCACATCGAAGATGGCTACGTCGGCGCCGGCTTGGGCGAGACCCCGCGCAAATGCCAGGCCGCAGCCGCGGGCACCACCCGTGACGAGGGCCGTTCGGCCTTGGAGAGAGAACTGCTCCTTAGTCAGATGTCACTGTCGCTAGGGGCAATTGACTTACGCGAGACATGGGAAATGGGGATTCTGGATGAGGAGATGCGGATGGTGGTGATTCCGACCGTGATTGTTGAGGCGGTACTTATTCTCATCGATAGAGAGTGAGTGAGGGTCGGCGATAAGATAGATAGCAAGGAAAGATGCGGGGAGATGCCCGACAACCCCCATTCTTGTCAGGCACATCTGCTTATCGGCCCCATCTCTGTCCATGGAGCAGCAAGCTGATGGTTTTTATATGTTCCTCTCATCATGTGGTAGTGTAGCTTCACCTCAATCACACACACACACACACACATACAGCATGGCTCCCAAAATCCACATCAAAGAGAAGCTCTCCCGTCCCGACAACAGTCGGATGCAGGTATTCCCCCCATCCCCCCATGTCCGTCCACTGCAAAAACTCATCATCAGATCCTCGTCATCGGCGCCGGTCTCGCCGGTTTAGGCACCTCCATCGCCTGCCTTCTGGCCGGCCACGACGTCCACATCCTCGAAGCCACCCACGAGATCCGTGAAGTCGGCGCCGGCATCCAAGTCCTCCCCAACAGCTCCCGCGTGCTACAACACTGGGGTCTGGAAGCCGCCCTCACCCCACACATGACCCATCCCCGCGTCTGCAACTTCATCACCTGGAAAGGCACCCCCATCTCCTCCCTCGACTTTTCCCAATCCGCACAATCCTACCCAGGCACCTGGTATCGGGATTTCCACCGCGCCGATCTCCAGCGTTGTCTGCTAGAACGGGCAACGGAGCTAGGCGCGGAGATTACCTGCGCCGCGAGAATCGTGGATATCCGGGTACAAGAAGACGGCGGATTGGCGACAGCAGTGGCGAGTGATGGACGCGAATGGACGGGCGATTTGGTCGTCAGTGCGGATGGGGTGTTTGGGAAATTGACCGAGGTGATGCTGGGGAGGCCAGATCCACCAGTCAAAACGGGGGATTTGGCGTATCGGTTGTTGTTGTCGACGGAGGAGATGTTGAAGGATCCCGAGTTGAGAGAGTTTGTTACTGATCCGCAGGTGAATTATTGGTTGGGGCCGGATAAACATGCTGGTTTGTTTCTTCTTCTTTCTCGGGATGATTAGGAGGGAAGTGCTAATGGTTTGTGATGGTATGGTAGTAAATTATGTCCTCCGACAAGGCGACCTCTTCAACATGGTCCTTCTCGTACCAGACGACATCCCCGAAGAATCTCTCGCCTCGACCGTCGAAGGCAACGTTCAAGAAATGTGTGCCTTGTTCGAAGGATGGGATCCCCGGTACCCCCTCCCTCTCCTTATCCCTTGCCCCTTCTCACGGATACTAACCAGTAAACTAGAATCCAAAAACTCCTCAAACTCTGCCAATCCGTCCACAAATGGCGTCTCTGTATCCGTTTCGGCGACTACAACTGGACCCATCCGTCCGGTGCATGGGTCATGCTCGGAGACGCCGTCCACGCTACCCTCCCCTATCTCGCCTCTGGGTACCCCCCCCCCCTCTTATCCCCTCATATCCACCATAAGTACCATCCTAACACCCCCCAGCGCAGGAATGGCCTTCGAAGATGGCGCCGTCCTCGGCGAATGTCTCTCCCGCCTCCCCACCAGCCCATCCAAAACCTCCCCCGAATTCCTCTCCGCGAAGCGCCACGCCCTCGCCGTATTCGAGAAATGTCGCAAACAGCGCACAAAGATGGTCGTGGAGCGCGGAAACATCCAGCAGTATTTATATCATCTCCATGATGGGGCGGAGCAGGAAGAGCGCGATGCCAAGATGCGCATGGTGCCGACGCCTGAGGGGGAGGCGTTGGCGTGGAGGGATCCAGGCCTGGCGCCGAGGTTGTTGGGGTATGATTTTGTTGAGGATGTAAGTTATTCTTTTCTTTCTTTGAGGTGGGAATGGGGTAGTGGAACTTTGCTAATTGGGGTATAGGTGAATGCAAATTGGGATACAGTGGGAGCAACACTGGGAGAGATAACGGGGGAGATGGCGAGGTGGTAGGTAGGTATAAACTGGGTAGATGTTTCCTTGCCTTTATGAAAATTTCAAATTATGGATAAATATTCATACTATATCATCCTTGATGGAAATGTATCAATTTATTACATTCTACTAGCACCTTTGTTGGCTTTAAAGGCTTTTATCTCGGAAGTTGGTACTTTGATTTACTGGAGTAACAAGAATTTCAAGTGTGTCTTTGAACTGGGATCAATAATTCTCTCCCAGATGAGATAAGTACGATAAGTAACTAAGTACTCATGTGATATGTCAGTCACGGATAGTAGATTCTTGGTTTCGCTGTATGATCGGTGGCAAGGTTGCTACCTATCCAAATGCGGAGGGGGAGTCAATATATGGTAGATAATCAGACGACACTATTGATTTCTCATTTGAATGACCTGTCATATCTGATTCTGATACCTAGAATTAAAGTAGAATGGATGCTACATGCCAAGATACCTAGGTGGAGATTAGCTATTGGTATAATTGGATTGTGGATGCAAGGGAGAGTCCAATTCAGATGTATCCCTGAAGGAGATGGAGTCATCACTATCGGTATTATATTGCGTCCTTATGAAGAATGATATTTCCTTCGCTAGTTCAGTTCATTTGTCCATTAAAGTAGGTGGAGCATCCAGTGATAGTATGCAACATCCTGTTGGTATTCCGATCACATATCCAGTATGTGTTCAGTTAGCCCAATAAGTAACAGCAATGCAAATATCCACTCTGTGATAATAAGATCCCAGTAAAAGATCAGTGCGACATCCAGTATATGATAGTAACCCAATAATCAAAGCAATTTGTATATCAAGCAACCAACCATGCAAGACGTTCAGTATTCCGTCCGTGAAGCATCCATCCCCATAAGAGCATCAAGTATCAACATAGGAGAAGACAAAGGAAATTCAATGAGTGACTGTGGTCAGATGTACCAACGCATGCAAATCATACCATCCGCAATCTGATACTATACATTCCATCGTTCATCGTGTAGGATCAGACAGGAAACTTCACGCCCGTCCGATCTGTGCATCGCGGCTGCGACAACACCCGTGGCAAGGCCCGCGCCTTCGGGTCCTGGTTGAACCGCAGCCGGTCGCGCTTCAGATTGAACAAGCGCACCATGCAGCTCATCGCCTGCTCCTCCGTCAGTTGCATCGCTGGCAATGTACTGACGCTGCCGTCCAGCGGCAGGTCCCGCACACAGGCCGCCACCATCCACCGCGCTAGCACCTCCACGTCCCGTGCATTGCTCCAACAAGGGAACATCGACAGGATTTGGATGGCCCGCGTGAATTCCCGATGGCTGGGCGTGCGCGGGTCGGTCAGGTACAGACGGGGGCCCTTCAAGTGCTGCTCCGTCAACTTGCGGTCCAGCAGTCGGAGGCATTCCCGCGGCGTCGGGTTGCGGAAGACAATCTCCTCCTGGAACATGGCCGACAAGCGTGGGCGATTGGCCAGGAGCTGGTCCATTTCCTGGGCCGGACCGGCCAGAATCACCACCATCTCGTCGGCAAACTTGGGCAGGAGGTAGATGAGCTCGTCCACGGCCTGCGTGGCTGACTCGTTCTCCGCCAGGCGGTGCGCATCTTCAATGAAGAGCACTTTGCCTCTGCCCCGCTCCAGTTGCGAGCGCGACCGCACCGAGGTCGGATAGATGTGCGGTGCGAGGAGGTCGGCGACCGAGCACGCCACCAACTCTCCGTCGCTGAGGGCGCCCATCTTGTAGTACAGGGTGCCTAGCTGGCGGGCGACGGTCTTCTTACCGGTCCCTGCGATCGTTAGTGGTAATCAGGAAAAATGAGGAATGAACGTACCTGGTCCACCCTTGAAAACAAATGCCCCCGGCATGCGAGCACCCGGGTCCAACCCCTGCATCCAGGCGGCCTTCATCTCGTTGTGATACCGCTTGAGGATGGAGATAATGTCGTCCGGCACGATCGAGTGGCGCAGCTCCTCGCGGAACACCAGCGCCGTCGTGCCGCCCACCAGCTCGGGGTTGAAGTCGCGACCCTCAAGCAGTCGTTCTACCGGCTGCGAGTTGGGGCCGGTGCGCGACCGTCGCTCAAAGTGGTAGACGGCCGCAGCGAGAAGGTGGTCCACTGCACGGGCGTTGTCGAAATCCTTGCGCATACGCGCGTTGTCCAGGGTGTCCATGGCCGCCTGGAAGGCCTCGGGGGTGACGTCGAGATCCTGCTCGTCGAGTTTGCTCTGGAAGAGCTCCTCCATGTGGTCGCGGGTCAGGGGTGAGAAGCGCACCAGGTGCGTCTCAAAGCCCCGGGCCTTGCTGCCAGCACGGTGCAGGAACTGGCTGATGGTGTCGTGGGTACCTACCAGAATGGTGCAGTGATTGTCGCGGGCGGCCGCGAGCATGTCCACCACCGCGTCGGGCACGGTCGGGCGCTCCTGGCGATCCGTGTCGACGTCGACCACGAGTACATGTCCGGTCGTCGACTCGACGGTTTCGCGGAGCTGCTCATCCGACAGGTCGCAGAGAGCCGACAACGGTTTGACGCGAACTAGAGAAGTTAGCATGTCGTACCGAAAGGGACTAGTATCAAACTTACCCTCGCCACCACTCAACAATCCCAAGTCCACCAAGATCTGTGCATACAGCCGGATGGCCGTGCTCTTGCCCGTCCCTGGCGGTCCCGCAAAGATGCGGTTGATCCGCAGCGGCAGCCGGCGCTGGTTGCGGATCTCGCGGTAGTAGTTCTCCTCCGCCGTGTCGAAAACCTCAGCCACCGACGCCTTCACAGCATCCTGGCCGATGAGCGTCTGCAGGGCTTCCAACGGGGCACTCTCCGACCTAATCTCGGCCGGACTGGGCCCAAGGACGTCGTCCTTGGAGAAGAAAAAGTAGTCCACCTCGTCCATGCCGCTGTCCTGCTGGTCCGTCAGGCACAGCGCCTGGCGCTGAGCAATGCTCTTGACCATCTCGCGAACAGCGTGGGCATTGGTGAAACCCTTGGCAGCACGCCCCCGGACCAGCCGGCGGGCGGCAGCTTGAATGTAGGTGCCTTCCAGGCCACCTTCGACCTGCATGCGACCGTTGTATTCGGTCACAATGCGGCGGGCCAGCAGCTGCACCAAATGCTGACGGTCAAAGTCGTGGAATCGCAGCGAACTGCAGATGCGCTGCTGAAGCGCCGGACTCTCCCGGAGGAAGCCCGTGATCTCGTCCGCATCGCCGGTAAAGACGACAATGATGCGGCCGGTGTTGCGCTCCATGGCGTGACGGATGTCTTCGAGAGCCTGCTCGGACGCCGGCGTCGGAGGGGCTTCAATCAGGGTATGAGGGTGATCGACAATGAGTACCCCAGCCGTCTGCACCGGGGCTTTGGTGTCGGTCATGTTACGCAGCAACTGCTGCACGCCGTTCGGACCCCGGCTGGCCAGGTCGGCGCCGGTGGTCTCGCAGACAGTGTGCGAGTCACAGATGCCCATGGCGTAGAGCATCTTCGCGTAGATACGCGCCACAGTAGTCTTTCCCGTGCCCGGGTTTCCCAGGAAGGCGATGTTGTACCACTCGTTCTTGGGGTCGCGACCATGGCGACGGCAGATCTGCACCCAGGTCTGGACGCCGTGCAGCTGGCGCTTGACATTGTCGTGGCCGACCAGGCTGTCCAGCTCATGGACGACCTCTTGCCGGGCCGTCTCGCGATTCTGGTGATCGCGCTCGGCCAGTTCCTCCGCTGTGGGCGGAGGCGGCACTGACACCGGCATGCGGGGAGTTTCTGGTTGTGGCGGGGGTGGGGATTCGGGCTCCGGTAGCGATGGCGGGGGGGCCTGTGTCTGAGTCTGGGTTTGCGCCATGATACGTGGCGATGTTTGAGCGGGGGTCTGTGTCGAAGTCGACTGCTGAGGTCGCTTGGAAGACCACAGCGAGAAGGGGAAGAAAGGGAAGCGCGACGTCGATGACGGCCGGGTCATCGAGCAGTCCATGCTGCGAAATGGGTAGAGAAACAGTCGTGTGAGAAAGGGCCCGACGATCGGGAGCATGAAGGGGTGTAGGTAAAAAGACTTGGTCATTCAACGTAGCGTGGCAGATAGTCGTGGAGGGGTGGTGTTGGAACTGAGCTGGAGCGGCGTCGCCATGGTTTATTTAACCACCGGCTGGGCAGCGAAATCCCCGAGTGAAGCAGTCCGGCAGTGATGGACGAACTCAGAGGAGCCTGCCTATGACGGGGCGACAGGTAGTGTGGTCGGTGCTAGCCATGGTTGGTCCTTTCCCAGTTGGTCGAAAGTGAAGCCATTCACCGCCACTTGGCAGCCCAACGCCAGACAAAGCATCCTGTCACCGGGGATTCTGACAGTGGAGTTGTCCTAGATGCTGAAGAGGAGGAGGGGGATGCTCCAAGTGTTGCGAATCGGTCTTGCTGAAACACGCAACCTGAAACGAGAGAGCAGGGGCCAGCAGGGGCCAGCAGGGACTAGCAGTGGACGCCCTGGCCAGGGGCAGAGACGTTGAGGGGCATCGCCAGGCAGCTGCAGGACTGCCCCGGAAGTGCATCCATCCGCGATGGTTGCTGATCTGGCGCCTCGGCAGCCTATCACTTTGGTCGCCAGCGCATCACTGGGTCTCCAGCCACTGGGCAGCCACTGGGCAGCCACTGGACCCCTCGCCTCGTCTGACCATGCCCAAATCATTCATATGATGGGTCTCCGCCGCTGTGCCGCTTCTTTTCGTCTGACGGTCTCTGAAAATCGCCTGTCGTCGCCCTTGCGATGGAATTCGACGTCATCGTCTTTGACGCAGGATCTCGTAACTGCAAAGCCGGAATGAAGCGAAGAGCAGCGAGCGGCGATGAGGGGAACTCGCTGGCATTCCTGCCTCAGGCGGGGAGATGACTGATCAGGCACTTGCGGTCGCCCTCGCTGCGGCCTGATGTCGGGTGGCTCTGACTCACGGCCAGCGAGGTTGTCGTTACACAGTACTCGATAGTATAACGAGATTTGAGAATCCGGGTATCCTCTCTTGGGCACAGTTGTTTTTCGCGATCGCCTCGTCGCTGGAAGCCATCGATTCGGTGCCGTGGAAGATGCCATTCCGAGCCAGCAACCAGCCAGCAACCAGAATTTCGTGACCCTACGATCCTATTCCAACCAAGGAGATCATACACAGAATGAAATTGAAGGCTTTACATACTCTACTAGATTTACTATCGCAAGACTGATCCTGGTGATGACTAGATAGACACCTTCCCCTCCGTACGCCGCGTACGGAGCCTCCATATAACTCCCCACCGTACACCTCCAACCGCAAGACCTCTCCAAGGCGACAATACCAGAATAACGTATCCAAATTCACCCTGACCCGCATACTCACGATCAGCCAAATACCCTTCCTGCGACCGTCCACGACGTCCGCATCATCGCATCTAAGTATCCTCCCCGCCATCCCCACCGACAATTCTCCAACTCCCCACGGTCGCATCACCCATCCCCGTCCCCTCGATCCTCCAAAACCGAAACCATACACATCCGGCATACAAACAATCATATCCACCCCTCAAACCAACACCCCCACCTACCTACCAGGTACCTGAGAGTGGGATGGGTCAGAAAGTGGGATGCAGGAAGGGGGGGGAAGCAAGTGGGCCATCCCGCCCGGCATCCTTCCCGTCCGTTCCCCATTGTTTCCCTTGTTCTCATCTTGCGTTGGATTTATATCTCTGGGTGGAGAGGGAATGGGATGATATGTTGTGTCGGTGGGGTATCTAGTTAGCGGGGAAAAGGGGGGGGTTCTGTGCTGGCTTTTGCGATCATGTAGGTTTACGTAGACACGCCCTGTCTTGTATAGTCGATCGGTCGACGGGTCGATGGATATATACTATTTTAGTCGCCGGATGGAGACAGTACCAACGGGTGCTACTCCCATGAATAACGAGTGCGTGGCACGGCACTTGAATCCAAGTCCCTAAAACCTATCCAGGTGAATAGAGACTGTAACAGGATTTATTTTTATCCCCTCATAAAGCCAACTGGTTGACAATCTACGTAATGATAGAATGTCCTGCATGAGAGAACTACTTATCTCCGTACTAACCTCGCCAACGCACAGTCCACTACAATAACATGCATGAGAAAGAATCGCAGATACTATTACTGTGGAAGCTCCACCAGTCAAGATACATAAGCCCTCAGCTGTAATTCAAACGGAAAAATAGTACCTGTGCACGCTATATTCAATCGTAAGGACCTACATACTCAACCCCAAGAACCAAAACAGAATTAGAAAGAAAAATGGATATATAGCTACACTACGAAATCCTATCCTACACTACTCAAACACCGCCGATACCACCATAGACGCATACTTCTTGACGCCCGTCTTCGCCGGCTTCGCCTCCTCATCCACTGCATCGGAATAGAACCGCCTCGGTCCATCCAAATCAATCGTACTGGCATCCACCCACCACCGACCACGGTAGTAGCATCGAGCGGCAACATACAGCACCACGATAGCCACAACAGACACATAGTTCGCGAAGAACCCCTTGGCCGTGGGACTACCGTCCAGGGGCCACAAACTGAGATAGAACTCGGCGATGATGAGCAGGATGCACCAGAACAGACCCCAGATGGCGCCGTAGGGGTATGTCCACGACCGCCAGGGCAGGTCTTCGACCGAGCGGCCTTGGACCTTCCAGGCGTAGCGCATGCGCAGGTGCGAGAGGCAGATAGTACCCCATCCGAACAATGTGAAGAGGGATGTCAGGTTTGAAAACCAGGAGAAGACGGTTGAACCTTTGTTGTCGACGTTGAGGTAGGCGAGGCCACCGCCGATGACGAGCGTGATCACCAAACCGGCGACGGGGCGACCCGCTTTGTCGGCTTTGCCGAAGATCTAGGTACGTGTGGGACCGGGGGTCAGAGAAGGGATCAGGGTTATGAGGCAGAGGAGGGAGGAACTAACCTTCGGGGCCATCTTCATGTGTGTGAGACCCATGAGGGTCCGGGAACCACCGTAGGCGGAGATACTACCGGTCGACAAAACCGAGATGAAGATGACGGCGTTCATGATGTGGGCCAGAGGAGCAAGACCGGCGTTGCGGTAGGCAATGACGAACGGCGACGCGTTGACGCCCGAGCCACCGAAGAGGTTGGGGTCCTTGGGGGACACCGTGATGGTGATCATCAGCGATCCCAGGACGTAAAAGAGCGACAGACGCAGCCAGATCGAGCTGACGGCGCGTGGCACCGCCTTGCGCGGGTTGTCCGTCTCCGCCGCCACCAGGGCCGAGTTCTCGGAGCCGGACATGGCGAAGATGCAGGTGGGCATGACGGACAGGAAGCCCTTGAAGCCGTGCGTGAATGGCATCGAGTTCCAGTAGCGGAATCCAATTGGGCCCTCCTTGGGGGCACCGCCGGCCGAAACCACTGAACGGCACGGTCAGTCTCGCCTAGACAGAGAAACAGGACGCTACTAACCGATCAGGGAGATGATGACCACGAAGATCCAGCCAAACTTGATGGAGGAGGCAATGACCTCGACTTCACCAAAGAACCGCACCGCGAAGACGTTGATGAAAATGATCACCACCCAGAAGATGGTGATCCAGGCTGCGATAGGCACCTTGTCGGTCCAGAAGTTCAGCACCGTAACGATACCCTAAGCGGTCAGCATGGAACAGCCACGATGTGTCGCATTCCTACCTGGAGCTCGTTTGCGATCGTGATAAAGTAAGAAAACCAATACGCCCAGCCCAGGGCAAACGCCGCCGACCGGTCAATGAACATCTCCGTCCACTGGGTAAAGGCAGACGGCAGAGGGTACATGACAGCCATCTCACCGATCGAGTGACTAACCGACCAGATCATCGTGCCACTCAGCAGGTAGCCGATGAAGATAGCCGCTGGTCCACCGTTCTCCAGGGATTCACCACTACCCAGCCATAACCCCATACCAATAGAGGATCCCAGCGCAATCATGGTCAAGTGTCGGGTGGACAAACTCCGCTTCAGATCGGTTTCGGCACCGTAGTCGACATCCACAGAGGCCCAGCCCGTCTCGGGCTCGCCTTTCTTTTCGGCATCATGGCTGGAGGTTTCATAGGCCGCCACGGGGGAAGGGTCGGCCATCGTGGGAGGACGGTCGATAAGGAGGGATAAGGTAGTCAAGGAAGAACAACAAGTGAGGCAGGAAATCAGCAAGCCTGGCCGACAACGGCCGGGTTAAGGGACATTATAACATTCTCTACGACAGCCGTGCGACACATTGCGACAGCCCGGAGCCTCCCAATCAGATCACACGCTGCAGATACCGATCTGTTGCGCAGATAAGAGGCCTTGCGTCAGGCCATTAGTGGGCTTGGCTCTTGTCCGATAGAGATAAAGATAAACCTCTAGGTCCAGTCGTATCGGTCTTGCGACATGCCGGACTGGCATCCTGCACCAGTTCGTCCGTTGTAGGAGAAGCCTTCTGGAACCTAAACTGGCCATGATCCTGAGTAGTGTTACTGATAACCTCCCCGGCCGCCAATTGCAGCCCTCCCCCGTCCCTCGTTATCAGAACCATACGGTCTGTGCCATCAGCTGATATGCATCCTCTTACAGCCTGTTGGGCAATCGGGGCTGCCGTGATATCGTCTGTCCTGCTTTGCCACAAATGATACCTCGCCGAGTGCGCCTCGCGGTTGCCCCAGGGCAGACAAGGTTACATTATGGCCCGAAAGACTTGAGCCAGGCTTGACGACCGGACGGTACGGCCAATGCGGATGAAGGCCCAGAAACAAAGTGCCCACCGATGGGGGGCCACCTCATGTCATGTCCGCGTGGGCGGCGCAAGGAGCTTGTGGGATATCCCTTGCATCATAGACATCGAGACGACCCGACGGGATCGGCGGCACACAAGGGCAACAAAGCTGGCAAGTCGCTAGCTGGGGAATGCCGGCCTGGTCCGGTCTCTAATCCATGATGCGGAGTACATGGACGTACTCCGGCCAGGCACGAGGCGAGGGAGATTGACGAGGTCGTCCAGGGGCGAGGGATCCGCTATCGGGGAGGTTATCTCGCGGTGGTGATTGTTATCTCTCCAGTCGGGGTAATCTGACGTGTACCCAGCAACGCTAGCCAACCAGAGTCAAAGCTAAATTAATTATAGCTTGGCTTCTGGGCTTAAGCTATCCGCTAGTCAATGAGCTGCTGCGCCGTCTGCATCCGGCTATCTGGGACGCCTGCTGAGTCTGGCCATTGGCTCCCTCCTACCCAATGATGGGCGTTAGACATACGTCGGCGAGAGGCGGATAGCCACGGAGAATCAGGCGTCAATGAGTATCTGTGCTTGCCACCGACCAGAAGACGGGGGACGGTGGCCGAAGTCGTACAATTTAATGCTTGGGGTTAGGCGATGTTATCGCCGACCGACGACTCGCTAGCCGATCGCGATCCGCGTCTCTAGCCCCTGTCATCTGGAGAACCACAGCATCCATCGCATCCTACCTACAATTGCAACCCTGCTCTCCAGTTATGTAGCACGTGGCAATGTGATCTATTGTTGGCAGAGGTGCAGCATGACCGAATCTCTCCGTCAATAGCTCGTCCTTCATGCCGTTCGTTCACTCACGTCCACCGCGGGTGCGATCACCCTTTAGATGGCCCCCCCTTACATTAGTCTAGACCGTTTTTGTACGGTCGCATCTGTTCATTTGACAGCCGCATGCCACGTTGAAGCCGTTTCCAGAGGTTATGCAACTGGGGGTGGTCGGGAGGGACAATAACCTCCCCTTTCCTGATTCTCGAAGAACCAAAAGGTGTCTGGCCCGGAAGTTTATTTCCTGGTCCCAACATGATTGCCTCAGTTCACCGCCGCTTCTTTGGTCAGTGGACCGCTCAGGTCTAGCGATCAGGTCGAATCTGGATGGTGCTACCAATGGATTCAATACCTCCTGCATAAGGCCTCGTCCCTTGCGTCTACTCCGGGATTTGAACCTGACACCTGCAAACGGCCGCCTTTTTCATTCGCCGCTGCCATATCGAGAAAGGCCATGGTGAGTATCGTGAGGATGGATTGGATGCGCTGCCTATTACTGACCAAGGGAATGATCACCTGGTCTATCGGACAGTTGAGCTTCAGCGTATCTAACCTCGGACACGTCATCGTATTCAATGTCCTTGCGACTGGCTCTGGCCGGGGTTAGCTGGATGTTGGCTTTCTTCATTGGGAAAATGCAGGCTTCTTCTTTTCGTCGTACCGATATGCAGTAGTGGCCGACAAGTGGCAAGTGTCGTAGTAAGCATATTAGTGATCTGAAACTCGATAGCTATTGGCCTGGAAGTTTAATTGGAACGGTTGAAGTGACAGCGGCTAGTCATTCCTGCCCCCCAGGTGGCACGGCATGGTTGAATGAAGGAGCTGGTATAGAGTCATGGCTCAAAATGATTGATCCAAAGCAAATAACGGTAGGCTTTGAATTGGATGTTGACAAACGGATTGGTCTTCATTCCAGAAATGATGGATCGCCAAGATGGACACGTTGTGGTCGAGCACATGTAATGAGAACCCCTGATGCCAAAACCTTCGTGGTGAATATCTCAGCTAGGTCCTGAAGTGTAATATATGAAATCAAAACGAAGGTAGCATGTAGGGGGGGAATGATTGTTTTTCTTGAAGTGCTGTTGGTGAGTCATGCTCTACGCCCTTCACAGAGTCTAACCGTGGCTAGGGCCCCCACCTTGGATGACAGTTAGATCCCGGGTCCGAAACATTTATGACAGGAACTAATCCGGGACTAGTGGGAATGGGACCGGTCCTTCCATGGCAAGGGATACCTCTATATCTCTGCCATTATGCGCCAAAAGGCAGTTGCCACATTTATCACACTCCTGCCCGTCGGGTAGATGCATTAAGGGATCGTGCAAATCCCCGTCTAGCGTTCATCAAAGCCCTACTTGGCTATTTCATCTGACACTTGTTAGCTGTATTGGGACAATATAGCCGTACACATAGATGACTCTCATTCTCCCTCACGGTTCAAGTCTCCTACTGCAAGCTGTGAGAATTTTGCTTGGGCCAAGAACCGCAGTTGGATAGCCGAAGACTTGCTAGCTCCATGAGACTTTGTGACGCATCTATGGCTATACATTATAGCCTCGAAGACCATATAGTGGCTGAGAGAGGATCAAACATCGTGCCTGTTGCCAAGCATTGGCCAGTCGCGAAAGGGCAAGCAATCGAGTGTCGGTCAACCTTATCCATCCTAAAGATGCATGTGAGGTAGCTGAAATCGAATAAATGCTCCATCGTTATTCAATCCTTGAAGAATGTTGCAGCTTATGGATCGGTTACACTGGAGAGCTTGAAAGTACCTGTGGTACGCTTTGTCCCACTTTCTACAGTTGCCTGAACTCGTGGCCGCTGTAGGTAATGTTATTGAACACTCCGTCGCAGCAGACAAAGACAGACACTCCGAACGGGGGTATAGCGATGCAGGACTGATCATAGCCGCAGGCGCGATATTGGCTGACGGATCAAGTAAGTACAGCAGGTTGGGTCTATAGGCTGATATAACAACCTTCTAGCCGATACTTTGTCGTTGGTTTGAGCCCAAGGCCACAAAATTACTGGAATTGCAACAGCCTGGGCACCGGCAGTAGCGATTGCTTTACGGGTGATTGATCGGAACTATCAGGAGGATATATCCCCTAACATAATCGTTTGGTTCCGCTAGCGTTCCTTCGTTCGATTTGCACACAGCACAATGAGTCATACGAGCATAGCTGGGGAAAGACTAGCGAGGTCCATGACCTCATCGGCTGGGGTCGGTAATTTGATCGAGCTCAATCTGCAGAGAAGCTAGGACCAGCCTACAACTTGACCCATGCTCTCCGAATGGTCACAAGAGGGTTCCCGGGTAACGTGCAATGGAGCCTTGCAAGGAACTAAAATGGTCGAATGTTTTCATTTGTCAATCCAGTCACGCCCAGGCAACCATGCTGGACGCCAGGCATGTTCTTCTGTTGGACTTTGGGCAGTCTGTCGAGGTATCATCCAGACTAGATGGGCATCGAGGCCATCACATGAACGACAGCAGTACCAAGCGATGGAGGGAAAAGGGCAATCAAGAAAGAGCGACCAAACGAAGATGCATAAGCTCCTTTATGGCTAGTAGCCACAAGGATATAAGAGCGTTGATTGCATATGGCCAGAGAACAGCTCCGTACCCCGGTCCGACGTCTAGACCAAGATTGCCGTGCTTCTTTTCCGGCCCGGTATGCACCTCGTTCGTGGCAATGCGTCAGCCCCCGGCTAGAATGACCCGTCAGAACTCCAGGGAGCCGGCTGCGATGACGAAGGTCTGGTGGTAATGATTTCTCCGCCTGGGGTCTCCAGGATTGGACCCTCCGCGTGCTGGGCAGGCGACATCTACCCGACCTCGGTTAAAAAGGGATTAATCCGGAGGACAGGGCACGAACAGGGAAAATCTCCGTGGCAGAATCAACCGACTGGATCTGGGGCCCCGAAGCCCTCCACTCGGGACGCGGAGCCCTGCCGTCCCCGGATCCTGTGATTCGTGCTCCATCAAGAATCCCCGGACCTCCGCATTACGGTCGGCGATCCTTTCTCCTTCCAGCTGGCCCGGCCATGCGTGTCTCGCACCACCCACCTCCGCACCCGGTCCGCCTGTGACGACACGGCGTGCAAGCCAATCCCATACCATCGGCGAGATGCAGCTTCGGAAGCTAGGCCATCGTCCTCTATAAATGTGGCCCGTATCCCGGGTTCGGTTCTCCGCCTCTGAACCCGGTTGAAGTCCAGTCATTGTGGACAGCTCGGTGTGACCGCTGGACATCATGTATCGCATTTCAAATATCTACGGTACATCTGGGTTCCTGGTGACAGTCATTCTCTCGTGCTGACCGTGGTATATAGTCCTGGCTGCCTTCGGCACCATTGGCGGTGCTTTGTTCGGTTTCGATGTCAGTTCGATGAGTGCTTGGATTGGCACTGACCAATATCTGGAGTATTTTCACCATCCCGACTCGGACTTGCAGGGTGGCGTAAGTAGTTCTTCCTCGTCGGGAGTATCATTGCAGGCAGATAAATGCTAATCACTGGTGGATTCACTATAGATCACCGCGTCCATGTCCGCTGGCTCCTTTGCCGGTGCCCTCGCGGCAGGATTCCTCTCAGACAGAATCGGGCGTCGTTACTCGCTCATGATTGCGTGTTGTATCTGGGTCATTGGCGCTGCCATTCAATGTAGTGCCCAGAATGTGGCTCATCTGGTGGCCGGGCGAGTGATCAGCGGTCTGGCCGGTATTGCCCCCAACGTCCTCTGCGATCGGCTACATGCTAAACAGCTTTTCTAGTTGGTATCACTTCCTCCCAGGTCTGCGTCTATCTAGCCGAATTAGCGCCCGCCCGCATCCGTGGTCGCATTGTCGGTATCCAGCAATGGGCTATCGAATGGGGTATGCTCATCATGTATCTCATTTCCTACGGATGTGGAAAAGGACTGGCGGGAGCTGCCTCCTTTCGCGTTTCATGGGGTGTTCAGGGTGTCCCTGCCCTCATTCTGCTTGCTGCGCTACAGTTTTTCCCTGAGTCTCCTCGTTGGTTGGCGAGTAAGGAGCGCTGGGAGGAGGCTCTAGACGTTTTGGCCATGCTTCACGCCAAGGGCGACCGTAACGACCCCGTGGTCCAAGTAGAATTTGAAGAGGTGCGGGAGGCAGCACGCATTGCCCAGGAGGCAAAGGATATCTCATTCCTTTCGTTATTCGGGCCCAAGATGTGGCAGCGAACTGTCTGTGGTGTCAGCGCCCAAGTCTGGCAGCAGTTGCTGGGAGGAAACGTTGCCATGTACTACGTTGTGTACATCTTCAACATGGCTGGAATGGTAAGTCAGATTCGTCATCACACGCAGATTCTGAGACTCACACAGTTGTATAGTCTGGAAACACCACTCTATATTCATCCGCCATTCAGTACGTGATCTTCTTGGTCACCACCGGGTCCATCCTGCCATTTGTTGATCGCATCGGTCGACGAATTCTGCTCCTTACCGGATCAGTTCTCTGCATGGCCTGCCATTTTACTATTGCCGCTCTAATGGCCACGCGTGGACACCACGTTGACTCCGTTGACGGCAATGCGAACCTGAGGTGGTCAATCACCGGCCCTCCGGGTAAAGGTGTCATTGCTGTCTCCTACATTTTTGTGGCCGTTTACGGTTTCACTTGGGTATGCTGGCTCGCTCTTCCCTAAATCGATAGAAACAGAAGCTGACATAGACATGTTGTAGGCTCCTGTGGCGTGGGTTTATGCGTCGGAAGTCTTCCCTCTGAAATATCGTGCGAAGGGTGTTGGTCTCGCGGCCGCCGGAAACTGGATCTTCAACTTTGCCTTGGCTTACTTTGTGGCACCGGCATTCACCAACATCCAGTGGAAGACCTACATTATCTTCGGGGTGTTCTGCACTGTTATGACGTTCCATGTGTTCTTCTTCTACCCGGAGACGGCTCGCCGGTCGCTTGAGGATATTGACTTGATGTTCGAGACCAAGCTGAGTCCCTGGAGGACGAGTCAGCTCCCTGATCGGTTCGGGGAGGAGGTTGAGCGACATCGGCAGAAGAGTGTTGGGGAGCACGAGAAGGAGATTGTGTCGACACATGATGAAATGGCGTGATAAACTGCATTGCTTTGTTGGGTCAGCGTTGATATGTACTAGAGGGACTGATTGTTTGGAACCATAGACAAATCGTGATCTATCTAGATTACAACTGACCGAATCATGGTTAATTCAGGCTCTGCATGACTGGATGGTTGATGTAGAGTAGTTGAAGTCGGCTCGCTGAGGCAGAGCAACTTCACTTCACCACCGACGGCGAGGTGCCTGGCCGGGATCATGTGCCACCACTTGGCGTGAACTCCTAGCCAGAGGGACTGTTGGCCTACAGTGCGATATCTGGTACCTACCCGCATTCTATTTACTACTATGCTAAGGTCATCTCTACCCATATCAATCAATTCGTGTAGCCCTACTGGGCCAAGCCCGGATTGATTCTGCCATATTCGCTCCCCACATACTTCTATTTACTGAATCCTTCCTATTTTATTCCACTCACAATTACCGTTTGTATGAAACCTACAGCTCAGCTTCACAACAATCCAAGGACATATGTGGCCTTAACAACGCTAATTCCTAACCCAAGGGGAACTCATATCTCATAACAGTGTCCTAATTGGCTATACTATGTAGATAGCCGCTAACTTCATCAAAACTAAAAAAGGACCTTTGGGGAATCGATGCGATCGAAAGTTCGAGCGGCTGTGCAGGAACAGCTACCATGAATATTGCCGATTGGTGGAAAATCAAAAAGCCGTATAATATAGCCGGTTCAGGTCAAGACGCACAGTTACATAAGCTGTGCAGGTTTCCCACCATGAAGGCTAATATGGACGGGAGAGGTCGGCAGCACGCAGTAGTGAGAAAAGCCAGGAACAGTCTATATGCCATCTGTGATGAGGATTCGGATGATAACGCCATCTAGCCTCTTAACTGGGTAAAGTGTCAAGACCAGGCTCAGTCATACAGCGGCAATTCCACCCCGCATTGGCGTTAAAGTGTTAGGAAATGTTTTTGGGGGTTAGATATCAGTCAAAAGAGAGGTCTAACAACTCTGATTGAATTATCCTGGGGCTGCTAGACAAAACGACGCTTCACTCAGACTCAGTAAACGAAGAGGCACGCACCCGATGCTGGGTGCCAGGCGGGATGACGTCATTACTTGGGCCCCTCGGCGCGTCCTCACAATGTGCGCCTCCATCTCTCCAGTCCACTGGAGACGGACCACGCTCAACGCCATCTGCCAAGCCCTGACGTCTACTCTGAGATCTACTGCGTGGAATCCCTGCATTGCGAATATCCGCACACGTCATGCCCTTTCATCATCCATCTATATCTGACCCCATGAAGAGGAACGACACTCGGAATCATTGTCCATCAACATCCCACCCCTTCTAGCTAGATTCCCCTATCGTCTATCGAACCTCTCAATAACCACAATGGATACCATCAAGCAAGCCACCGTTACACTCAACCATACCGAAGAAGAGCAACGGCAGCTGTACAACAGCCTCCCCACCGAGCAACGCAACAATCAATCGTTCACCGAATGGGTCAAGGAAGCCTACAATGAGCAGTACGAGAAGTGGATGCCCTGGCTAGAGGACCAATACCTAAAATGGTTCGGAAAAGGCGACAACAAGGCCTCCTATGTGACCAAGGGTAAGGCAACTTTGACCCGTTATCCGCTGGCGCGTTGACTAATTAACCCCCACCAGACAATCTGTCCAAGACGAAGGTCACCGGCGTGAAACAGGTCGATCAAATCCAAGATGACGTGCATCAGTTGGTCGGAAATCAACTAGGCGACAACGGTCTCCTGGCTCCCGTGGGGAATATGGCCTCGAAGGAGGGCATTAATCGTGCCGAGAGGGGAGGGAAAGATGATAATGGCTCGTATGGAGGACCTCTGGGAGGCGTGACGGATCCTGTTGTCGATAGCTCCAAGCGTGCGGGTCAGGGACTATCTTCTGGAATTCAATCGGCCGGGTCCTCCCTTGCTGGTGGGGCGAAGAGTGTAGGGAGTGTCATACCTGGATTCGGTAGCAAGTGATGGGGGCTCTTTGGCTCGTGTCGGATTATGTGATATGATTTATGATTTGATGGCTGATATGGTGTTTTATTCATTGATTCTTTCTGTCATGGCCCTTCTACTCACTTATTTCCTTCTTTCGATTTCATGTACGATCTACGTTGTGTATTACCTAGCTATTCTTTCTCGAACATACGTCCATCCCAACCACAGACATTAAATGTAAATAACATATCCATAACTCCTCATCAACGCACTCTCCGTACCACGAGAATAACAAGACAATACAGGTTATTCCTCCAAATGATGAACGCTCGGCTCCATCTCAAAGCTAAAGTAAGCAGGGCGATACCTTTGTTCAAAGGCTAATCACAAACCCAATTACACAAACTTGCGCGACATGACCCACTCCGCCCATTCAAGAGTGCCAGTTCTTTGTTACGCTTCTGCGAGACCAGGGGTATCCAGATATTTAGACATGTCGGCATGAGAAGGCACAATGGTGACGAAGCGGGCTGCGTCATGGGTTAGGTAGCTTCAACGTCAGGATACGAGCAATAACTGGCGTGGGTAGAGAATATATTACTGCTGGATTGGGTAATGGAATTTGCTGGGAGGTTATGAGATCTTACTATTGGGAAAACGAACAAAGTCCGAGTGAATAGTAAGTTCTCCCGAACACACCTTCGGCCACTGCAATCATAATAGAAAATGCCAACACTCTAAAGACACAACCACATAAGCATCAAAATGCCGCACACAAAGACCGAAACAGGAATCCGCTATCCTCAAGACGAAGAACAGAGGCGACGTCTTCGCAACACCACCCAGGATCAAAGAGCCTCACAACGATTCCAGGATGCGTCGCAATCGGCTGGTGAGAGAGCCCAAGCAGCAGATCCGACTTCGAACTGGGGCCCAGAGGAGATGTTCGAGACCACGGTGGACCAGTACGGCAATCCCGTCACTGATCAATGGTCTTTTACCGATGGCGCTAAGATGAAGAAAGGCGTGTCGGGTCAGGATGAGGCCGATGCGTTCGAGGCAGCGAATAACAGTTTTGATTGAGTTCGTTGTGGGAAGCTGCAGGTTCTGACGTCGATGTATTCTGTTAAATTGCGCCTGATGCTCTGCCGGCCCAGTAAATAAAGCAATACACTCAAAAAGTGAATTTTAGGGCCATGGAATGGACAGGCTGTCATGCATCATGAGTGTGCGGTTTTAAGTCGATTGCAAGGAATCTCCAAAATATGAAATTTCATGAAGCTCGTATGAAAGCATGACTTGTAGTTGTTCGAGTCAAACCTGCTTGTCAACTTCACCAGCCTGGTAGTGGCCTACCCGCCATCCATATTGAAGTGAGCAGATCTTCCCCGTGATCAAGCCTTTGATAGTAAGGACGTGATTCACAATGCATATAATGAGAAGCAAGAGAAGCAGCACCGTCGACCACACCTTGAATGCGGGAGACTCCATGGCCTTCCCGAGCTCCACTGCCGCATTGGTATAGACACCCTTGAAATGCTGTTAGACGGACTATCGCACTTAGGGGTTCACACTGAGGCCCTACTCACCCACGGAAACACCAGCGACCATGCCGACAGTGAGTAGCGCGTTTTCCGCCAGCCTCCTGGTTGCTTAAAGACCGTATGTAGAATACTTAAGATGGCGTAGCCCCACCAAAATGTCCCGTATCCCCAAGACAGCAACCCGGCGAACTGACTGGTATATCCAATTGGGATCGCTGCTTCAGCAGACAAAAAGGTCCCGCGGTCATACTGTGCGAATGCCCCTGAGCGCACCACGCGACCGAGAGCTAGGAGGGCGAAACTGGCTTGTCCAAATGGACCACAAAGAATCATATCTTGATAGACCTGATTCATGGGCAAGAATTCCCGTTCAAAGAGACGGGCGACAAAGACATCGTCAAAGGCCATGGCCAAGGGGATGCTGATACCAATTTCCAGGTATGCTACAATAATAATCGGAACTTGTAGTCGGGCGCTGACTCCGCTATATTCACACACAACGCCCCCACCGGAAGCAGAGGTCAAGGAGGATATTAGCGGGAGGAGTATGGAAGGTACAATAGCTTTGATCCCCGGGGATTGGAGATTGATGAAGATGTACGGTATGCCCATGACAGCAATTACCGCCATGGCCGTGTTGATCCACCATAGCACGTATGAAGCCATCGGCCATCCTGCGCCCCAGTCCTGAGCTACAGTCAAGGCGATCATCTGAATAATAGTCGTGAAGGTGATGGAGATGCTGGCGAGGCAAGATGTCTCGACCATGCTTGTCCGGAGTGCACGCGCGACGCAACGCGGATACATGACGATTCGTGCAAGATAGATGGACAGGCATAGTGCCAGCAAGACAATCGTATAGACCCAGACTATCCTAGAGAGGACCTGCAAGCCATCGAACTGATAATCTAATCGATGGAGGATAACGGCGATAATACCCGTACCTTGGGGTATAAGAAACCACTGCGAGGAAAAGCTGCATATTGCAATAGATAGTGGTTTTGTGGGTTGTCGAGTTTCCTGGCCCTCATTGTCGGGCATTTCGCTGGAAAAAGTCCAGAGTATGCCATATGAGAGTATGAGATGACTTTAGCCAGCTTGTCTTCTCGGAAGGCAATTTAGAGTGACTGACAATGAGTTAGAAATGACATCATGTCAAATGCTCTTCATCACCATGGGCAAGATGAGGATTGCTTAAACTCTTAGGAGAAAGACATTTCACCACCACGGTTTGACCGCAAACAGCTGTGCTCAAAACTCGGATGAGGCCGAAGTGACGTAACACGATCCACGAGGATCTGAGTTCGGTACATTTCATCCTCTCCGGTTTTGACAGAGGTCCTTGACATTCACTGTCGAACGAAATGCGTACCTGGCGTCTAGAAGTGAGGTCCAGACTAACAGTGACTGCAGTCGGGGTTCACTTTACCGGAAATAGAGTGAGGAAAGCTTGGCATACCCTAGTACATAATTCTATTGAGTTTTTACGAACACTCGCAATGAGTAGGGAAGCCACATATACAGCAGCGCAGGTGACCGGGATATTAATGTCAAAAATGGAAGGGGAACAGGCGCACGAAGGCACACGACGTATCCGATCAACGGAGGCCTGAGGGGGTTGCATGGACGGGTCTTTGCTGAAACCATATGGAAGCGCAGCTTAGCCATCATGGGTGAACATCGTAATTTAGTGTCAACATAACTCAACGTAAGGCTACTTATTGGTCAGTTTGGCTCAAACGGCCACTCATTTGTCACGAGGGGCGACAACGATGTGCCTTGTGAGAGGCTGTACGGAATAATGCAGCTCGTAACGAGCCATACCCATTGCGCCCGCTATAGGTCGGGCCAGCAGTCCCTAGAAGGGTGGCAGGATTTGCCCCCAGATGCGACGCGGGGTTGAACATGGCCATACGTAGGACAATCGCAGCACCTTCTCTCTAATTGGTAGACTGCTCATTTCGCAGAGACGGGAACCCTCGACTGTGTACCGCAACCGCTCTCACAAACATCCGTGAGTCGTTCGGCGGGATGCCCACCCGGGTCATATGCCGACGTCAACTACTCCGTACGTTTATTCTTGTTTCGGGTATGACAGTATGTCTAACTCAAATGGACCATCGACTCTGCTCTCGCATGGACAGACTGCAGGGCCCGGTCCACTCAGGCTAATCGTTGTTCAATCCTAGCCCAGGGTCGGCAAAACGGAAACCTGACTGTCTGGCCTCTGACATCGGGATGAAATTCGCCTTGTGAGATGAGATGCAGACCCAAATCTCTCCGGTTACTCGACTTTGGTAGATCAAGGGACCCGCTCGGTTCGGGAGCGGAAGCCCGGTGCTTGCCGTCCGACATTACGGGAGGGCGTGTACGTTATGGAGGCAAGGGACACGATTCCTGGTCAACACTAGGGTGATTGCAAATTAGTGAGAATTTGTCAATGACACATGGGCGTGGAGGATGGCACTTGCAATGGAGCAATGGAGTAATGGAACAACCGCGACCACTCGGGTATTGGCGTGAGGATGGCGTGTGGAGGATGAATGCTGATCAAGAACCTCGGGATGGAGATGACGCGACTTGCACTAACCCCGATCAGGCAGGTCAGGTGCCTGTCCGTACTGGGATCTATCTTATCGTTATCAGCTGACTGGTTCCTGGCCGAGCTCCTCTTCCAGCTCCGGCCGTATTTAAGTTCCAACCAGTCATCGCTGGCTCTCCTCTGCTCTCCTTCGCTCTCCTTTCTCCCCAGCCTCCCTCTTGTAGGCTCCTTCTCCTTCTCTTACAGAGCACTAGATCACCTATTCTTCTCATCTATCCTTCCTCGTCTATTCTTCCGCGCCCATCATGCGCATTGACTCCGCAACGCTACCTCTGGTCCCAATGCTCTTGGGCCAGGTAGGTGCTCTACAACTGCCCCTGCTGCAAAGCTCCGAATCCCATTCGCAGTCTCCGATCACGGGCGACAAGCCCCTGGTCAGCTCCCCGCTGCTGCAGGAACAGGTCAAGGCAGAGAACTTGCTGAGCCGGGCCCGGCACCTGTACAAAATTGCGGAGCTGGGACAGGATGAGTATAACCATCCCACCCGGGTCATTGGTAGCAAAGGTAATCTACTTTCATTCCCCTGGGAGGCAGCAACTCGGTTCTCTTTCTCACTTTCCTCAGGTCATCTAGGTACTCTCGACTACATCTACTCGTCCCTTCTCGAACTCGGTGACTACTATACTGTCTCCAATCAGTCCTTCCCTGCCGTGACGGGAAACGTCTTCGAGTCTCGTCTCGTCCTTGGCCACGATGTTCCTAAGTCAGCTACGCCGATGGGCCTAACGCCCCCGACCCACAACAAAGAACCGGTGTATGGTCCTGTGGTTGCGGTATCCAATCTTGGGTGCGAAGCCTCGGACTACCCTTCCAATTTGACCGGTGCTGTTGCATTTATTAGTCGAGGAAGTTGTCCTTTTGGAACCAAGTCGGAGTTGGCCGGTAAGGCCGGTGCCATCGCTGCTGTCGTCTACAACAACGAGCCAGGCGACCTGAGTGGAACGCTGGGAAACCCGACCCCCGACCATGTTGCTACTTTTGGCATCTCGGACACTGATGCAGCCCCAGTCCTGGAGAAGTTAAAGAAGGGCGAGAAAGTTGATGCCATTGCTTACATGGACGCGATAGTTGAGTCCATCAACACTACAAACATCATCGCGCAGACCACGGAAGGTGACGCCAACAACTGTGTCATGCTGGGCGGCCACAGTGACAGTGTGGCTGAGGGCCCGGGTATCAACGACGATGGATCCGGAAGCCTGACCCTTCTGGAACTTGCGACTCTGCTCACCCAATACCGTGTGAACAACTGCGTGCGTTTTGCCTGGTGGGCCGCAGAGGAGGAAGGCCTTCTCGGATCCGACTACTATGTCTCTGTTCTCACCCCAGACGAGAACCGGAAGATCCGCCTCTTCATGGACTACGACATGCTCGCCTCGCCCAATTTCGCATACCAGGTGTATAATGCCACCAATGCCGTGAATCCCGAGGGATCCGAAGAGCTTCGTGATCTGTATACCGGCTTCTACGAGGATCACGGCTTCAACTACACGTACATCCCGTTCGATGGACGGAGCGACTACGATGCCTTCATCCGTCACGGTATCCCTGGTGGGGGGATTGCCACAGGCGCTGAGGGAATTAAGACGGTTGAGGAGGAGAGCATGTTTGGGGGTGTCGCTGGTCAATGGTATGACCCATGCTACCATCAGCTCTGCGACACCGTGGCCAATTTGAACATGACTGCGTGGGAGTGGAACACTAAGGTAGGACGGTGTCTCGATCGGTAACCCTTATGCGGGACATTTTTGCTAACATGCTGGTTTCTGGCAGCTCGTCGCTCACTCCATTGCGACCTACGCCAGGTCCTTTGATGGATTCCCGGAACGCACCAACGAAATCAGCGTCTCAGCCTCTGAGCAACCAAAGTACCACGGCAATTCCCTGCAGCTTTAAGCCCCTTGCAGTATGTTTCTTTCTTTCGCAGATACAAGCTCCATGGTCAGAATCAGTCACAACATTGTACCCGATCTCTCAGTAGGATATCTGCAGATACGGGTTTAGGGCCGCTAATCTAATGAAGAAGACTAATCTGATTATATCGTAGGGCTCATTGATCGTGCCGACTGTTCGTAGGAAGACGTATAGTGTATCCGCTCAATTAGATTGGTCTCTTGGGTGGGCTTTTATGCCATGTAAACATCCTTTGAGAGGCGGTTGTCTGAGAAGGCGCTTACAGCATGACCTGATGCTATTCAGTCCAGGCAGTTGATAATATATGCCGTTCCCCACCACATAAAGATGTCAAATCGCCCCTTTGCGCCATACGATCTACCCCATCGCGATCATTGTTGTTCTTGAATTTTACCCCTGCCACCCCGACAACCTTCATTTGAAATGCAATTAGCTCAGTGTCAAGGTGTGTAATGGATCTACATGGGAAACACGTGCTGATTCTATCTTGGATATCCAGGCATAAATCACCAGACACAAGGACCCATGAACTCTAGATATCTATCCCTCGGGTCTTTCTAGGCTAGTCATTATCGGGGTATAACGGGGTCGTTCCGACAGATTTATCTTTGGCGGTGGAACTGTTCGCTCGGAATGGTCTCAGCAGAGTGGCCTTACGACGAAGACTGAGACATGGAACTTGACAGACCTTTATTGATATCATCGTTATAATTGCCTGTCAAGGGGTGTAAATGATTCAGGGACATCATCCCCGTCAATATCTCGGAGCTACATTTCCTATTCGTGCAAAAACGGCATTCTGCCCTACAGCCAGTGGTGCGGGCAATATTCCGAAGCCGCAAGCCTAACATCTTTTACACCAGTCGGGGCATGGATCTACATTTCAGGGGCCCTGTTGAAACGACGGTGGGCTTCGGAGTGTAGGGGATTGACACTAGGGCCCGCCTGGAACGACGCTAGAATCCCCCAGGGTCTGCGGACTACCAAATGTGGAGATCTTGAACCGACTTGAAACGACTCTGTCCCGGAAATATCTGCAGAGCAGGGATCCAGAACATGAAATGGAGACGGATCAGTTGATCGTGTCTAGTGATACTCCATCATGAAGTGGAGGTCTCTCCTTTGTTTGGAAGACACGGGCAGCACTCCTTTACCTTTTGAATCCGGTTCTATAAAACCGGGGTAGACCCAGCATGAGAAATGAGACAGGCATATCCAAACCATCTATTAAAGACCGATTTTATTACCTCTTTCACAAAGAACTCCCCAAATCACAATGCGTGGAATCGAAGCCCTTGCCTTCCTGGCCGCTATCGGAGCCGCTCACGGCCAAAGCACGGTCGGCTTTGGGCCCTATTTCTCCCTTGGACCTACTCAGTCGTGGATTCGTGAGGCCAATACCACCTTGGTCTTGCCGGAAGCCCCTAGCCCCCAGAAGGACCGTCTGGCCCTCTGGCCGGGCATGGGAACCAGCGGCGGAGATCTGATCCAGGCTCTGGCTGTCTCGTTCTCTGACCCCAACGCGTAAGTTCATGACGGGATGCGAGTGCCGTGATTAGAGCGATTGCTAAATTCTTCTGCAGCAACTGCGGCGCCAGCGCCGGTCAATGGTGCACCTGGGCTAGTACTCTCGAAGGTAGTTCCCCACAGTCCGATCATCATGGCAGCTGTAAGGCTGACTTGGGCAGGCACGCAACTGGGTGGCAAGGAAGTCGCGGCTTCTGCTGGTGACAAGATTACCATGCATTGTAAGTCTCTCTCAACTGTCCCTGCAACACGCCTCAGGTCCCAGGCTCACGCGCATCCGAATAGACAAGTACAACGACAGCACAGGCAAGTACGACCAGACAGTCTCGATCAACGGCGAAGTTGTGTCCACCCTCTCGACCAGTAAGTGCTCCCTTCAATGCTATAGCTCGTTGTTTGCAAACTAATAGCCACCAGGCTCCGGACAAGCCCAGGGCTGGGGAACGGCGGTCGAATGCCAGGACGACGCATGCCAAAGCACCGCAGCGGCTCACGGTAAGTCTTATATCATATCACTCCATTGCCGTATAGAAGAGTGCTAAGAGGAGACCTCAGAATACCTTGACACCACCATCATCCTGAACGCCCAAGACAGCACATTCGGCAACACCCTAGCCATCAATGAGGCCACCTCGTCCGAACTGACAACCTCGGACAACGGCAAGACCTGGACGGTCTCGACCATCAACGTCAACTCACACACCTACGACCTTTGAGAGTTTAGTGGAGTTTTTGTATATAACTTAACATATTGTGAATAAAACGTAGTCAGCCACTTGTCATTTAGAATAATTGATGAGGTTAGCTTCCTTCCGGCGTAGTCACCCGGGAGTGCCCTGGATGCTAAATGATCTTAAGCCACTGCACGTGGCTCTTCTCATATGTCACCCGAACCCTGAGGCTTGGTCGGGACTTTTAATTTGGTGGGGCAAAGATCAAGTGCGCTACTAGTTTAGTACAGTATCCAAATACTAGTACTAAGACCTAAGAGGCTGAACAACGCAGCCAATCCCTGATAACAAATAGCCACGGGGAAGTAGGAGGCCTGAAAAACTTGCCTACGCTTAGGTCTACCTAGAATTTTAACCGTATCGCGTCACCATCAACAAGTAGACCCTCTAATCCCAGTGATACCACACCAATGTGCATAATATATTCCTAAGCAATTCTTGAACCACGCACCCAGTATTAAATTTATTTTTTTCGTACAGATCATCCATTCCGATGTAGTGAATGAGAATCTCCTTATCTTCCCCGTCCCGGGATTGATTGCCTTTTTTTCTCTCTCGGGATTTGGCACGACAAAAAGGCAGCCTAATCTAGAGACTAGTGGATCACTACACAGAACTATAATCTGCCCCTCCTCAGCTCCTTTCTGCCACCTTCTTTTTCTTCAATTCTACAGAGATCGAAATCATTCAAAGATTTCTATTGTTGCTTTTTTTGTGTCTATAGCCATTCAGATGGACTCCAACTCATCAAAGCAGATCATAGACAAAGAACGGCGATGTTCGGGAACCATGAGCGATAGGCAGCAACAGAAGAAAATATGGCGTGGTGTTCAGCTCCAGCCACACGCCTATGCGGGGCTAGAAGGCTGAGATGGCACCATCGCCGGTTCTCATCCGTTATTGGTTCGAACTGTCTTTCGACTAGTCAAATAAGACTATCATGTGGCTCTTTTGCCTTTTGCTTTTTAGGGAAGAGGGGCGTGCTTATCGTAGGCATTACTTGACATGAAGGCAGTTGCTTTCCAAGGATTATGACGCATGAAATCTGACTGCAATTGACCTACGCTTGGTTGAATCTATATTGGAATCCTCTACAACTACTCAGGATGCACTTATCCAGTCAAAACGTAATTATTATGAGATTGGATTGAATAGGTATCAGACAATAATATTCATGGCGCTGAAAACAGCCGTAAACCATTCACAACCATTGATACACCTTACATGTACCGGTCAACCTCGCTGTTGATACCCTGGTTAACGGCACTATCCATGCCGGAAGGAATGTACTGATCAACCTTCTGGTCAACCATGGAGTCCACAAAGTTGCTTCCAGAGTTACCACTCTGGCCATTGTTGGAGTTGTTTCCGCTGTTTCCGCTGTTTCCGCTGTTTCCGCTGTTGTTGCCGCCCAGGAATCCTAATGAAAGCCCATTGTCAGATATCATTTTCAGGAAATTCAATGATGGAGAAACAAACCCTCAGCCTTGCTCATCAAACCCCCAAAGCCACCAGAGGAGCTGCCTCCCTGGTTGTTCGACTGGCCGTAAGAGTCGTTTCCACCGTTCGAGCCACCATAGTTATCGCTGTTGTTGTTACCGCCGTATCCGGAGTTGTTGGAGTTGTTGTTTCCGTAGCTGGAGTCATTGTTACCTCCGAAGCCAGAGTTGTTGTTGTCGTTGCCGCCGTAGCTGGAGTCGTTGCCTCCGAAGCCAGAGTTGTTGTTGTTGCCTCCATAGTTGGAGTCGTTGTTACCTCCGTAGCTGGAATCGTTGTTACCTCCGAAGCCAGAGTTGTTGTTGTTTCCGCCGTAGCCAGAGTCGTTGTTGCCACCGTATCCAGAGTCATTGCCTCCAAATCCAGAGTTGTTTCCTCCGAAGCCAGAGTTGTTGCCTCCAAAGTCGTTACCACCACCGTTACCACCGAAGTTGTTCTGACCGTAGGAGTCCATTATGAAGGATTGAAAAGGAGAATTGAGATGACTAAACTGAACGGTATGTGTGAGAGAGATAGAGACGTGCGCAACTGAAGATCAGACAGATACCGAGATACAGAGAAAAAGAAGGAAGGGCAATGCCGGCTTTTAAGCCAGCACCAGCAGCTGAACCCCTCTTTTCCCCTATGTTTCCGCACCAATTCTTCGCCACCAATTCCCCTCCTCCTTAGCTCTCAACCCTCAGCCCTGAGACCAACTAGTCCCGACTCAGCGAGCCCAAAAGTCAGTATGATGTCAAGTCCCTGTTAGCGAGGAAGCTAAGCTCTCCCTAGGGGATCTCATTTCCGAATCAAGATGCGAGATCTCGTGGGTGCTGGCGCTAAATCGAGGAGTGGCCACGGGGTTCCGAAGGGATCCGTGATACGCTCGGTTCATGTCCGCTACTGTGCGAGGGGTGGCGAATTATGCGCCGTTCACACAATAATCCCTGTCCAGGTAAACTGTTCAGCCTGGAATTCAAGCTGGTGATGGGCTGGCCTTGTAGTGCAGTGGTTGATGCTTGTTTACCCTCCGATGCCATTGCACTGACTGGAGAGGATGGACAACCAGGCAGCCAAGCCTCGTGGCATAACCAAGCTTTGGGACAAGCTTCCCTTGACCCTTTTTTGCCTTGGGGCCTGGTCGGGTCGGGTGGTCACTGGTCAGCCGTGAGCCCTGATCCCCGATGGGTCCGCCCGAGTGGATCCCGATCCATTACGCGAGTCGAGCTGATCCCTTGGATCGAACACGAGCGATGCGATTGGGGCGTATTTTCCCCCTGTTCCGGGAGTTCATGAGGGATATAAACGGTACAAACAGTGGGAGCTGTTTTGTTCACTAATTCATCTCATCGGACTCTGAATTATTCAACGGCCCCTCTCTGCCCTCGCTGCAAGCTCTGTCTTTCTCTGAGCACGCAATTGTGGATGAAAGGGCTCTGCTGGATCTGCTTCTTGTTATTATTAACTGTGTCTGTGTATGGTACTTCCCTGTATCGTGTATGCAGTTCAGAAAATTGTTTCCATAGCTTGTGGGGACTTGTTATTTATCAATAGAAGTCTCACCGGAGAAATAAATTAGTGTTGTCGCAACACACTGTGTTGGTAAACTCTTGCCGAGAAGATTTGGTGTTCGGAAGGAAAACAAGTGGCTCAGCAGAGAATATTATTTCTACTGTTTAGATAGGCCAGTTCCAGTACAACTAATGTGAAACTGTGTGGGTGTATATCATTTGTTGACTATTCAAGACCGTTCCTTTTCTTTGTTGATGATTCAGATCTCTCCTTTCCCAACCCCACTGGCTCGGGCCGGTCAAGTTGCAAGTGAGAGAAATAAATTGCAGTGCTTTCGTGTATTCTTGCTCCTCATCAACACTACTGATTAAGTGACATAAACCAATTCGGTTTCACATGTAAGTGCCAATTGCAAAGATTTCACAACAATCCGTAATTGCATCTCCTCTTTTGATAATTAGATAATTTAGCTCGACAAATTTTTATCCATCTAACCATGTATTAGAGATTTCTGTGGTAATACTGCCGATTTTATTTGGTATTCGAGGGATGCTTCTAGCTCCACTGATTTCAAATCAATTCGAAAAAAACATTTCTTGATAAAGCTAAAAGTGTTCCCCATGACCAGAGTCTTCTCGGCTCACCGTGCCTATTTATGAATGTATCTTAACCCGATCTTCTTGCCTGATGTTGTTCATCATGGCCTTCTTAGAGGTACCTAATGACCTTGAAAAGTATGCCAGGCTGGCTCATATTATGACCATTTTGCATTTACTTGACAGCAGTTACTAAAGAAGACATGTGACTCAATGCATCCATTTGAAAAGGTGATATGCATGTCTAGACAGTCGGAATCGAGATCTTATTATGCTAATTTACAATTCTCTACATTCAAAAACCTTGGTGCCAGTAGATTAAAGTATATGCATGGAACGACTTGTTTACTATACGGTCTGCTCAGTACGAATTGTCAGATAGTATTCCCTTAATTATTTAACTAGTTATATGCCTCGAAGTAAAGTGAGAATTGTCATACCCCGCACAATTCATGAATGTGGATACACTTACCTTGACAATTCCCCCTCAATGAGCCCTGAGTTGCTCTCTATGATAATCAAATATATAGAACTATATATATAGCCATCGCTTATAAATCTCACGATTCATTCATTGCTTATATCGACCGAGGTAGCTGTGAGTTTACCCAGGAGAGTCACCAAGATACCCACTTGAATGACTGCTGACTCAACTCTGATCAAGATGTGGGCTGTGCAATTACTGGGTCTCTAGATTTTGTCATTAAATCAAGAGCATCTAGAGATGTGAGATAACAGTCACAGAAAATGCTTTGTTGTGATATAAGGGCCAGGGTACTAACAAAATATATATAATCTAGTAGAGACGCATATTCGAAAACAAAACCCATACAGACAGTGGTTTCTAGCTTATCTCATATCAGGGCAATATTTCCTGATAAGAGGTCTGGGGTCTACATACAATGTCTGCAGAATCCTTGAGTTGGTATCGTGAGGAGTTGACTGAGTGTGCAGATTTGATCTTCCTGCCTCAGGCAGAGTTAAATTCCAAGTTGGAGCTAGTGTTATTGCCGAAGGAGGGGCATGATTGGAGCGGATGATGAATCAGCCCTCCAGCGGGTTAGCGTCACCTGGGGTTATCGCTAGTCCCAATTAGGGGTCTCCCGTGACCTCATCACTTCGCCGAGGGACGAGTGCGGAGTTCGGTTTTCCTGTCCGCATTATTTCTTCCAGCAGTTCATTCCTCAACCTCTAGGAGCCACCACAGCGTCTCGAATGATGTCCTCAATCTCACATGTTGGCGCAGCGCAGTGCTGTGTCTGCTGCTTATCTCCGGTCGACCCGCCCTCAAGCTGAAAGGGGACTTAGATATCCTCCCGATGACGGAATACCGTCCACTCGAGCTGCCACCACCCATCCCCACAGCATCCATCCAGCGCATAAAGTCATTGCCGATCGCATGGACACTCTGGTTTTTAAGAAACCATAGACCTCTGCCATGCCATGAATCCCAGCTTTTCGGGGCCCACCACGGCACAACCTTTTCAATCTCTCCGAGCATCGGGTGATGGCGCCCACCAGACGCCCGAGACTCGCAATGAATCCCGAGCAGATGTGCCCAATCCTGAATAGATTCCGACTGTCGCGTTGCAGTTTATTGGCTGCAATCGGGTTGACTGACCCCCAGTTTGTCGTATTCCCCGCGTCGACCGGACTATGGGGCCCCGCCGTCACTCACTAGCCCCAACCAGGCCAACGTCCGTCCGAGTACATCCCGTCCGATGGTGGCACATACCGACTTTGCTCCGATCCTTCTCCAATTCTCCGGAAAATGGTTATGTCAAGCCGAATCTCGTGGGGTTGTGGGGGGATGGAGGATACCCGGGATAGACGATGACGGACAGCGGTTGGAGCTGGGGAACCCACTGGCCACTATAAAAAAGCCTAGGGAACCCCTGCTACTGCCTTCCTCATCATCACTCTGCGAAGACACCATGAGATACATTCTTGGACCTCTGGCATTGGCCTTCCTCGTGCCAGGCATCTTAGCCACGCAATGTTGCAACTCGTCTTCTGTGGATGGGAGTGTGGATTTGACTGTTCGGACACGTACAGGAGTGTACACCGGCGTGATCGAGGATCAGTACCCTAATACGCGAATTTTCAAGTCGATCGCCTTTGCAGAACCCCCCGTGGCCTCGCAGAGATGGCTCCCTCCTGCTAAGCTCCCCAACTCCACGACGCATCATACCACGTACCATTATCCGCCTTCCTGTCCGCAGTTCATATCGTCCACGACCTCCCTGTGGAACCAATATCTAGGCGAGGGCGACGAAATCTACAATGGAGACCAAGGGTATAGCTCTGGCCTCGTGGGAGAAGCGACATCCGAAGACTGTTTGTACCTTGCCGTTTGGACGCCAGCTAATGCTACGGCTGCATCAAAGCTCCCAGTGCTGTTTTTCATGACTGGTGGGGCTTTTACCACTGGCGGCATCAACATCGGATGGCAGAAGCCTACCAATTGGGTTGAGCGTACCCAAGAACACATTGTGGTGACCATCAATTACCGGGTAAACATCTTTGGCTGGCCCAATGCGCGGGGTCTCACAGAGCAGAACTTGGGAATCATGGATCAACGAGCTGCGCTGGAATGGGTGTATGAGAACATCGAGCAGTTCGGTGGTGATCGCTCCAAGATTGTGCAATGGGGCCAGTCGGCTGGATCCCAAAGCGTCGACTTCCACTCTTATGCCTACTACGACAACCCACTCGTGCGTGGGTACTTTATGCAGTCGGGCACGGCATTGAAGTCTCTGGGCTTCTCCGACTACGAGCAGACCAACTTCACGTACGTTGCCAAGCAGTTTGGTTGTGACTTCCCGTGTGACGCAGCGGCTGAGCTGGAGTGTATGCGGCAAATTCCTTATGCGCAAATTTCGAACTTCATCGGTCAGTATTCGGACAATGGGACCGAACCCGCTCTGAGTTTCAGTGTTGTACCCGACGACCGCCTGATCTTCAGCGATTATCCCGCCCGCTCAGCTGCTGGGAAGATCGCTCGCCGGCCCGCCATCATCTCGAACTGCGCCAACGAATATGCTTCCTTGATCACGTATCCAATGAACAACCTCACCGCTGGTCCGGACCCGGCTGCGGTCTTGGAGGGTGATTTGACCGATTGGATGTGTCCCACGGCTAACTCGACGCTCCTCCGCAATCAGCAGAACATCCCGGTCTACCGGTACCAAAATGCCGGACAGTATCCGAACCTGAACCCATTCCACTGGCTCGGTGCATACCATGCCAGTGACTTGCCGATGAACTTTGGCACCTATCCCATCCAGGAGTACTTGGGAAACAGCACCGCCTTCGAAGCCGAGGTCAGCCAGGCCATGCAAGATCACATCTTCGCCTTCCTGAAGGATCCCTTGAACGGGCCACACTCTGTGGGATGGGAGCCAATCAATGCTTCGACGCAGTCGGGCGGCAAAGTCATTCGATTCGGTGCCGATGGCAAGGCAGTTCAACAGGTGGACCTCATTGAGATTGACGGACCGTGTCGGGGCATCGGCAGATATAATCAGTTTCCATAATTGATCCACGACGGCTATATGTATATTATAAACATGATGACTCCTGCTCAGCTTTGGCACATCAATCATCTGAATCGCTTCTTGAACAGCGTGTTTGCAGCAAATAGATTATGTTTAAAAAATACAATAGACTCCTGGCAAGAAAACATCGCACCTCACAAATTCTATTTCCAGCGATTAGCATTCGTCCAACCCCGCCGTAATACCATCCCCGATGTTTCAGAGCATACAATCTAGCTGCAGTTGCATGCCACCAGAATGAAAGTACATAGAAAGGATCACCTAGACCCAACCCAGCAGCCATCTAGTGCGCCTGCAACTGAACAGTCTTTCACTCCCGGGCATAGATACTCAGCATATCCATGCCTTTGCCATTCGGATAAGACCGAGGGGGGCTAAAATACCGCAGTCTTTGGAACTGCCCAGGTAAGTTAGCCATTGCATCTTCAGGCTCTTTGGTAATATTCATGATCCCGTCTCCGCCGCGCGCCAGCAGATCCCAGTGAACGCCCCTAAGTCCCCAGGGTGGACCCGGCAGCGATGTCTCCTTTTACATGGGAAACTCGAGACAGATGAGTAGACCACCCTGATGCAGGAGTTGACCCATACGATATGCCCATTGACGACGTAAATCCGGGTAGAGGGCACAGAGGAACTGTATCCGGTCAGCTGCATTGTTTCTTGGTGCGAATCGATCGCGGAGGCTGCATACGGTGTAATCGTAGATTAAATCAAACTTCTCATTATGGTTTCAGAGCCTGAGGCTCCCATTCTGAGCTGATGAAGTTGCCCTCGATGAAAGTGATAGTTCCTACGTTAGTTGGGCACTCGGGCTTGCCCGTGGAAAAATTGTATCCGTGTGGATGATGCAACTCGGAAGCTGCTCAAGATCTGGCAAGCACCCACATTATCAGGCTGCATAGAGAGGGCTAGAGGGGTCCTCGCTATTTCTAGGAAGTATTATAGCGGACTGTTAGTTTTATAGAGATTAGAAGCAAGAAAAAAAAAAAAAAAAAGAAAGAGCAGCGAAGCGGTAAGCGAACCACAGAAACAAAATAAGTACATTGGATAACTATCTGGATTTTGAAACTGGGGCTTAGGAGGTCTGTGTTGAATAGAGCGACGATGTCCAAACGGTGAAAGTTACTCATAGTATGTACCATCGCCCATCTACGTTCGTGGCTTACCAGAATGTAACAAGCATCTCAACAGCATCAGCAATTATACACCAGGCTGAATCCAATGGGATTCCCTCCCGAGATGGAATTTAGAAAGTCAACGGTCCCCAAAGTGGTCTGCCAGGTGGACAGCAACGCCACCCAGCTCAGTGTGCTCGAGAAAGTGTTAGAAGCGAGGATGGTATGTGTAGGCGAAGAGGTTTGCGTGTTGGGGAACTGGTAGGTTTCCACCATCTCTCGTCTCTTGGGCTGATTGTTCCATGTGGGAAGGGAGGTGGAGTCCCAGGGGTCGGTGGACCAGATGTCGGCCTGGTTGGCGCCCTGGGCAATGGGGTGGGTGAGGACCGGGATATCGATGGCTAGCATGCATCCGGTGGCGTCGTTGGGGATGCCAGTGAAGGTCAATGCTGAGATCTTGGTGTGTTCTGTGGCGAAGCGAGCAAGCGAGAAGTGTTGACCGGGACTTGGGGAGTCGGGGTTTGCGCTGTCCAGGACGTCGATGATGCTTGGGGAGATGGTAGTGCAGGCTCGTGCGGCGAGGTCGACGGAGGTGGGTGATGCGATTGTCATAGTGGCGAGCATGGCCAGGGCAGTGATCGGGGTAGATATCTTCATCCTGTGTGTTGAGTTGGGAGTGAGAAGTGGTGGGGAGTGTAGTAGGGTTTTGAAAAAAGCAGTGGGCATTTCTGGATGAGGGTCGGGTCAGAAATGGTATCGGAGAAGAGGCTCCTATTTATAACCAAGGTTCGCGTCTTTATCGTAGCTGGCAGGATGGACGATCTGGTACCTCGGGCATAACTGGGGGGGTTGGAAATGCCTCATGCCATACAAGGGCTCCTGGTGATGCCCTGTAGCCTCACAAAGCCTAAACGAGACACGACAATATGAGGGTGGAGAGTTGTTGCTTCAATAAACGATGTGATCTGTTCCGAGCCGGGCCATAAAAGCACGAGACCACACCCGCCAGAACATAGCTATCCAGAATAGTGACAAGTTTGCTGGACGCCTGAGCTAATCTCGCTGTATACGTGATTCCGCTGACAGTCACATGGTCATACGACGCAGCTATAGTTTGAACCGCAGACCAGGAGTTGCCAGGAGTTGCTTGGTGCTACACAGGTCAGCCAGACGCAGTTCAGAAACGGATTAGCATGACGTTGTGGGAAAGGCATTGGGACAGAAATTCTTAAACTGCAGCAGCAAGGGGTTTCTTTGAGCGGGATACATCGCCTTCAATGGGATGGCTATAAGATTTCCGCACTATGCATCTTCACAAGACGTGGAGATGCATGCATTGCGGTTGGTTCAATCGGCATGGAATAACAAGATGTCCCGGGGAACCCCGGAATATCTCCCGCTCCGGTAGAGTCAGTCACGTGCGGGCTGGCCAGGCACGAGCTTCTACTAATGAGAAGGAGAAATCGTTAGATTAGCCTATGGACAATCACCTGAGAACAATGGTGCCAAACTGAGGACGCGCTTCAACCCATCTCTGCAAAGCAATTTGCCCCACCCCCAACCGACGTGCAAGCGATGGACGGCACTGTTCTCTTCGAATTGCCATAACATTCAAAACTGTCGTCTCCTCAAGTGCAGTATTCCAAGCCCGGTCATTCGCCGTCACATTCATCCCCGTCATCATCTTACGTGCAGTATCCCAAACCGTGTCATCGCAGCATTGCTGACATTGCTCCGCCATAATGTGGTTTCCATAGGCGACGGACAAGGCCAAGAATTCGAGGTCAGCCTGGACTGAGCCATCCATCTCCTGGGCATCCAGATACACTGTACCGGCCAGCCGTCCTTCTGGTCCCGCTGTAAATAGGGCGAAGCTTGGTGTGGAGGATGTGCACTCGGTAGTCTGCTGCTTTACAGAGAATTGGGCAGCTGCTCCATAAACCAGAATGCTGCTGGGCACGGATAAAGCTGTCTGAATGGCAGTCACCGGGAAAAGAGTGCCGTAATCACCTCCTCCAAAAGCAGATTCCCAAAAGTCCGCATATGTCGTCCAGCAGTTAGCAAGCGCTTCATGGTTCACTGACTGAACGGGGAAGCGTTCTTCAATGCAGCCTTGCAACCAAGCTTTGATGATGTGCCCGAGACACCCCCCAGGTGGGATTTCCGGAGAGCCTAGATTGCCTCGTGGGGGAGGAGTGGTTAAGGATAGCGAAGTTCCACGTCTTGGCCTGCACAAAACGACAGATGCATGGGGATGGTCTTTGGGGATCGCCCAAACCGCCAGGCCGACCATGGCTTTGAATTCGTATTGAATGGGACCTCTAGGCGATGCCCACGACCACGAGGGAAAGTCGGTGGATCCCGCTTTTAAACCGGGGCTCACAGTAGTCCACAGGACAGCTTCGTCGATGCGTTCAACTGGGATTCCATGGTAAAGCTCGCCCCCATGCGCGGCCTGCAGCACCGTGGTGCAGGCCCGCACTCTATCCGTTTCCATGGTGAGACGGCGCGTTGTATACTCTTCAAGAGCAAACAGGTAGTCGGAAGGAAGTGGAAGAGGATTCATTTTGTGGCCTCGATGAACGGATCTGTATATCTCACAGTTGTACCAACGACGACCGTCGCAGCTCGAGGCATGGTAAACCTCGTATTCAGCAAACAGAAGAAGTTGACGCGCCAGGAGGGCTTCCTGAAAGGTCCAACCTCGAGAGTTCCAGATATTTCTCCTGATGCAATTATCAGGCGGTAAAGACAAGATGGTCAGCTTCGCCTGACCCAATTCGACGTGGGTCCAACGACGGGGCTTGGTGACTCCGGGCAGGCCGTAATAGAGGTCCGACCCTGCTAAAGCAACCAGAGCACATGCTGCATGGTTATAGATGCGGCCCATTTGGTCGATTTGCACCTTTACGTCTTTGGGGTCTCCCTGACGAATACAAAGCTGATCAACCCATAGATATGGCACGCCCAGTCTTTCGCATACCACAAATGCATCCCGGATTGTGGCAGGCAGATCCTCTCGACTGAAGGCGGGCCAGTCAGGAAGATCGAGTGCTTTGACATTGCCCCATACGTAGCTGAGCGCGAAGTACCGACAATCCTTCGGCGCGCCAATCACCCGATTTTGCTTGACATCAATGACCTTCATTCCATCCGGCCAATTGCCTAACTCACCTCTCAGTGCCATATAGGGAGTAGATTCGAGCCACTCAAGTACCTTGCTCCAGTCAATGTATTCGGGAACATCGGTCGGTGTACGGTGCTGTTCCTGGGGTGCACCGGGTCGCTCCTCGAACGACGAGTTGTGTTCTGATCGCAGATATACAGCAATCTGGACGTCCCCATGCTCCGGATAATGAATTTCAATCTTTCCACCATCGATCAGAAGCACGATTGGCTCCGAGTGGTTGAAGCTGCGGAACCCAGGGACATAATGCGCCGCGGCGCAGTCGATGACAAGTTTGCACAAGTCACACGTGGACTGTTTACCACGAATCTCTTCGGGGTTGCCAAGAGGGATTCTCATCACTCCCGTGGCCTTAGATCCTTTGCAATCTATCATGTGATGCATTCGGAGATGATGGCAGCTGTCACACAGCCTGGAAGTAATACTACTCTCTGGCTGACGGCATGTTCGGCAATCGGAATGAAAGATATCATTGATGAATTGCTCATCACCGAAGCTGGTTCCAAGTTCCCAAACGACCCTCTCACAGGCATTACAGTCCATATGTGTCTTTGAGATATCCTTAGAGAAGCAGCTGGGTTTCAAATTTTGGGTAGACAACTAAAAATGACGGACCACCACAGCGGGTTTGGATGTTCCAACAAGGGAATACAAATTGCAATGAGTGACCATATTATCACAACGACAGCCCAAGTGGGGTAGGCAGGGCTCGGAGATTTATGTCAATGATGATGTAGTCTGCTCAGGGTGGCCTTGTTTCACGTCCAGCGCCATAGGTACGTTGTGCGCACCAGAGTGGCCAATGTCCTCAACAAAAGACACCGGAGTCGTCGAGCACCGAGAAAGACTCATCATCCTGGGTAGCGCAACTTTCGGCATTCCGCAGAGTTTCTGTTCCCTATGGGCTGCAGGATGGCCGTTGATGGTGCCACTCGATGCAGGGATTCCTGTACTTTTGATCCCCCGGAAGCAAACCTGGGTGCCCAGGCACGGCAAGTGCCCCTATCAGCTCGGACGCGATCTCTAGAAAGGACGTCATCTGCAGCCTGCGGTTTCAAAGGGCCGCTACTAGTCTTCTAAATTCTTTGTGGTACTCATCGAGTGGACACCCTACAACGGCTCTCCGCGCCCAGACCAGGACCGGCCATCAGGTCCAAGCCATCTCAGGTCGCAAACGACCGATGCTGCCAGACGCCATCGATATCAAATGCATTCGCAGGGCCTTTAACCGTGGCTTGCAATGATTAGATCAAGGCGGTCATCATGTGCAATACCTCGCTCAGTCTCCAATGCCCGCGTTCGAGATCGTATCAGGACACCTGACCCGCGTCTCCTACGAGGATGCTCGGTGCAGAGAATGACCTTCTTTGGGTAAGACCATGGACTGTGTTGATTGAATAGACAAACGGGTGGCCGCCGACCTGTCCCACGCCTCGTGCAACACCTTCGATCTTGCTGCGCGGGGCGGATCGACCAAGCATCACCTATCCCAAAGCCTATCCCGCGTTTGCAGGGCCCCAACTCCTGAACTCGAGTGGAAATGACCATGGAGTACCTCGTTCACTGCTTTGGGATGGGGGCTCATACTCCTACCATGCTACTGAATGACCTGACGGGGTCTATAAGCTTGCCATCCGACTGGATATCGCTTAAGAGCATGTTCTTTCCCCGCAGGTCCAGTGCTATCCATCCGCTGATTCGTTTGTCTAATAGGACCACAGACTCGTACCATGTTCTGGGACGGTATCAAAAGCTTGCCCAGTGTCCAGATGTTCTATTGGGTCAGCAAAAGACATCCTGGACCCAGGGATGACATGAGTGACGGCGACAGGGTGGTATATTCATTGTCGGGGCGTTGTGCACATCTGCAAGGATATGTGGCATAAACAACACACGATACTACCGTACATCACCCAATCTCGCACTGTGAATGGACTGCTACTGATGATTAGACTTTGGCCACTGAACCCCGCCGGAATCAAGGGCACCCATCAACCACAGGCTCTGGTTGTCACCTTGTGGTAACTTTCACGATGGGACTTTGCAGCCAAAAGATTCTACCATGGGCCTGGGCCTGCTCGTTACCTCTCACCGGTTCAGTTCTGGATCTGACATGGCGGCCGTGTGGTGTGCCCTTCACCCTATGGATAGCCCTCGAGCACACGGGGGGTGGGAAGACAGGTGGCTGGGGGTCAACGTCCTGTCCCGGCTTGCAACCATAAGCTCCGATATTTTGGAGATGCTTCAGGGGATTGGCTTCTGTCATTCATTCAGTGCCCATGTTGTGAGACCGTGGAAAGGCTCGGGAATCCTCCTCATTGGCCTCGGGGCTCGTCCACGCATCCTGGCCAACCACACCTCGATAGCACACTCGACGAGCCGTGGGAAGCACGTACTTTCTGCCAGAGAGTTGACCGTAGTGGATCTATCAAGGTCCAGGTCAATATCATCTCAATGTTGATGATTATGGGGCTTGATCTGGTCCATGGGTTCTACCCAGCCCCCCCCGGCCCTAGGCACTGTTATGCCGAAACCTCATCACGAAAACCCGTAAAAGTGCCATCCTCAGGCTGAACTGTACACAAGAAAACCTCTGTCGTTTCTAAGCCGCTAAGCCCAAAACTTGATGTAGCGAACCCCCTTCCCAGTCCGATTGCGAAGCGGTCCACCCGCAGAACTCGTCTCCTGAGCGGTGATAATCCCACACATCTTGTCCACCTTCTCTAACTCTCATCTATCAATCAGAATATGAACATCACTCATCTAATTCTCTTGTCGTCCCATGTACCGAAACCGTCCTCTGCGACCGACCGTGTCTGAGTCTGCGCCGCTCCTCCCCTTCCCCCCAACCGAGAAGCGCTCCTCCTCCTCGTTATCATCGCTGTCGTTGTCCTTCTCGCTTCTCCCGCGACGCAGTCGAAACCGTCGCTCATCGGAATTTGCCCTGCTCCCCTGCAGATGAGACGTTGGATCAGGGACACGTTCTCCAGGACCACAGGGAAGGCCTCACCACCAACCTATTGGCTCCCTGCAATGGCACCAGTGGCACTGCGCCAGGATGTCATGCTTGGTTAGTGCCTTGGTGAATGGTATCCCTGGTACCAATCGGGGACGGGGGTTGTGGGTGGGTCACATCATGACCACTCGCCATGACGATTAAAACAAAGAGACGCGGTGAAGCTCTGGTGCTTCAGGAGCTCTGATGGATCGTAATGGTCCTTCATCGGTTGGATTGTTCGACGTACCGGGAGACATACTTGGGGGGGGGGGGGGGGGAATTGGACATTGGGTCGCCGCTGGTGACGTCTAGCATGCTGTGGTTGGGGATACTACTTCGTGGGATAACCGCCGAGAGCTCTAGAGTATGCTGTTGACGTCCAATCTTTGGAGTACAACAAATTCGTCTCTGGCCTTGGTGGTGATGCTGAGTTGTGGACGGCTTCTGAATAGACTTAGTGCCATCCTCGTACTTTGTCTGGGTCCCGCTGATTCATGTTCTCCTTTACCATGGCTCTGCGGTAACCTACGGGGAATAGTTCAATGAGAGCTAGCTCTGTCTTCGTCTATGATGTGTGTGAAGCGTCCTAGGGCTGAACAGCTCGATGTTAAGTCCTCGCCTGGGAACTGTCCGGGCCACTGTATCTCGATGCAGTTTATCCAGTACCATGTAACAGATATCTAAGAATATACAGTACGTCCAGGACATAATCAATAACAAAGAGAGCCTGTCAAACACCCTGGGATGGCTCTCTTCTAAGTACCTATTACGGTACTCTGTCAAGGACACCTAAAGAGCTCCAACAAGTACGCAAAGAGGCCTACCCCCAACTCAGACCTACAGTCTAAATCTCTCTATGGAGCTATTCTGAACCACATTTTGAATATACCTCGTGAAACGGTTCCAGGGTGAAATGTCCGATCTAACAAATTCCCCTTCTTTCCGATGAAGGGTCCCCCAGTGAGCCTCATAGCGCTGTCAGATAACCTGTAATTACGTACTGCTGCGTGGTGTCTTCATTACTAGTCCTGTTATTTTACCCCGACCCCGCCAATTCTACGTGTAGAAGCGCCACTTCAATAAGCGATAGTTGGTGGGAAGCGTCCCAGCTTCCCAATGCCCCATCCTCAACACCGGCGTATACAACCATCGCATCCAACATCTGCTTGAACAGGATGAGCCGACTGATGCTATTTCACCCTGTTAGGCGGGGTCTTCGATTACGGGAAGCATTAGCCGCCCCGCCATGTAACCCGTAAGACGGACATAGTGTATTCCTAATTTAGAACAAGTCGAATGAATTACTCCGTACGGAGTACTCCGCTCCGATTACCGAGTTCTGTCTCATATACCGTGCCAAGGAAGTCGATCCCCATCGGTACTGTGAATCCTACTTTCCGTAACCGATGACGGATCTGATGAAAAACGATGGATAGTATTGTGTAGCTAGATACTGGAGAAGTGATGAAAAGTGATGGGAGTAAAGGGAGTGGTGTGATCCCAAGGAATCGCCGGTCGCGTATTCGAACCAGGCATGCAGGCGCGTCCCTTCCCGGAACGGGCAACCGCCTAAACGGGCAACCGCCCCTACAGTAGTACCCTTGGAGATCAGTACCGATCGCATAACCCGCACTGACAAGCAGTGGAGTTATATTCTTGTGAAGTATAGGGATCTCACTTCTCTATACAGTATAATGGGTACAGATTTAGCCTCATCAGGATGCACATAGTAGTACGTCGCCTGATTCTAAGGAACCACCCAATAGATTAGCGGTAGACAAAATATGACAAAGCCTCCTGGCTGAAAGTACATGTTTCTCTAGCCGTGTGTTATGCCTCCTTTTTTTTGATTATTTTTCTTCTGTTGTTTTTGTTTTCTCCCCCGCTTTTCACCCGAAAAGGGGCGGCGCTAGAACCGAAATGACTTCATTACAACAGCAGCATCGGCAGCTACCTAGATATTCCCAACCGGAAAGCTACCAGCCTAATTCACTGATCTCGAACCTCTAACAGGCGTAAATGAATTTTTTGCTACGAATGTACCTGCTCGCTCCCCTTCTGGGCGCGTGCGCCTGGGCAAAAAAGAGCAAAAGACTGTGAGTTGGGAGGTAGGCTATGTATGTATGGCTGATCCGCCTAGCCCCATATTAGTTCTTGAAGATATCGCCGGTTGATCCCGACACTGGGTAGGTAGCCAATAAGCAACTCATCAAGACAAATAGTATATAGACGAATTGGGATTTATTCATTTCTTTTTTATAACGCAGTCATCAATGCAGTCCGGTCCATCACATGACAGTATTCTAGTACTAGGATGTCGCCGCAGAGACGTTGTAGGTACTGTACTTTGTGTACCTGAGGGGATCAGACACCCAAACTGGTGCCAGAGCCCAGCCCAAGCTCCTGTCAATGTGATGTGTCGGCAAGGATGGAAAAGGTTTCCGCGATCAGCATTTGTCCGTATAATAATTGGGGGGAAGCGCGGTGTTCAGCGGGAACAGCCGTAACGGTCTGGACCTTTTAGATCTCCTTTTACGGACTAGTGGCAGAGGTCCTGGTCCCGGCGCCGGGATGATTTTCATGTGATGCATTCCCAAAGATTTTTTTTTTTTTTGATTTTCAGGGCTAGGACGCCACGCAGCCCCTGACCCTGCATTTGTCTTGCTTGCCAGCCATGCAGAATTTATGACTCAAATAAACTGCTTCATATTGATATTCATTGCCTCTTCACCCTCCTAACCTTGCCTTCCACCGAGTCGGATCATAATGGGCATGAAGACATGGTAGAGCCAAAGTTATTTATTTTACTGATTACAGTCAGCCAAAGGTACCGCGCGCATAAATTCAACTAAGCAGGACAGGCAAGCCCAGTACGCCGTGTGAAGGTGGAAGACATTTGATATGGTTGGCACGATGAACCGCCGGCGACATGACAATACGAGACGGGGCGGCTGACTGATTACTATTTGACTGTAAGTATGGGCGCTATACCCAGGCGGGAATTAGCGCCCCTCATTGAAAGACCCCCGGGCAGAGATTGAACGAATCAGAAGGGCGTCGGAGAGGATCTGAAAAACAACACCTGTTTTTATTTTGTTAATATAATCTATGTCTCTGAAAGCCTGCGAGCCACACGAGTCTGACAACGCCAACCTAAAGATGACTTCGGAGGGAGGAGTACCGATGACGGAGTCTTGACGCCTCAATAAACAAATTCCACCTCCCCCCCCTCTTTCCCCCAGCCAAGCCCGTTAAGGAAGCCTTGAAATGATGCGAAACAGCAAGGGGAAGGGGATATAGCAGGAAACCCGAATTCGTTAACGTATCCATGTGGTGAGAAGAGAACACAGAGAGGCTAGCCTTCTCTCGAGGCTTTCAATCCTCCCTCCTAGGCAATTGTACTGGTTGCAATGCTATACGGAAGCCCACCTCCGAACTTTCTTTTGAAAGCGCCAGTAGTTCTTACGAACCGCACCAATAGCAGCCGATACATCTGCCACCACTTAACATTTGCTGATCTGCGGAGGCTCGGACTCACTCTAGACGCGTCCTCCCTTGGTGCCAGATGCCTTCTAGGCACGACCTCTCAAACCCATCAGCTATCAATAGGTTGAAACTCAATAGCACGGTCCGCCAGCCACTCATATGGTTTGATTTGGCACCCTCTCTGCCCGTGACCGCTGCATGGAACGCCTGGCTAAGGGAAGCCGAAGAGAACAAGAACAATCCCTGGTGGCCGGCAGTTGCCAGGAGGGAAGAACTCGTGGCACTGGGGAGCATGCAGGACATGGCTCCAAACGCGATCGCTGACGCCTCTTAGACAGCAACCTGTTGGGGTTGTTCCTGATATGTTTGTGCTTCCTTGTGAAGCTGTTATGATTGCTAGCTGTTGGCTTTTCTTGTACTCTTGTGTTCTCGCTCTATTTTCTTTGAATGTGTTTTCGGTAGCATCTCTTGGATATCCAAGTCTCTTTATGTCATGCGAGTTAGTCACTGGTTTCGGTCTCCATCACTAATTCCCTCCCACCTCCTTGTTGTTAGCAGATAGTCTTTTTCGTAAACAGAAAATTGTCCAAGGTCCCCTCCCGGTTTAGATTGTTCCCAGTTCCCCAGGACATAGGCGGCTAGTTCCTTGGTCTCTGTGGTCTGGGGGTCTGGGTGTAGCACCTACATAGTTTGTTTCCGACGACCTCCTCTGGCATCAATATCTTTGTGCCCTAAAATCCAAGACCTCGTCCAAACAATGCGGAACTATCCGGATTCATGCCAGCTAACGTACCTGCCAACGACAAAGAGGACAAAGACGAGCTGAAAGAAGGAGCCAAACAACGAAAGGCCAGGAGAGGAGCAGAAGGTAAAAACGCAGGGATCAAAGGCCACAGCACACCGGATAGTCCCTGCCTATGGTGGGGGAGCAACAAAGACCCCAGGTTGCCTCGTCTCTTAACAGCATAATATACAATCCCATTCCTTTAGGAAGAAGCCGCTGCCTCCCAAGTCCTTTCAGATCGCGCGAGGAATCACAAAGCTATATAAGGACCCCATATGCCAGCGAGCCGAGATTACATCCATCATCCTACTAGTACCTTCATCCATCTGCAATCACAACCATCCACTACCCCTGACCTTACGGTACCGCACACATCATCCCGCAAACTTGCATCATCATGAGTGCCCCAATTGAGTCCCTTCGTCGATCCGTCGAGCTTGAGACTATTCAAGAACTCTCGGATGTCTCTTTTATGAATGCCGTCGCAGCGATATTTATCAATGAGATTGAGTGCTTGAAGAGAGTGACATGGGCCAGTGAGAGAGGTGACAATCAGTCGCCCGTCCAGGGAACCCTCGTGAAAGGGGCATCGGACAAAGTCATCATCCTCGTTGATCTGACCCCATCCAAGTTTCTATTTGATGAGGACTACCCCGACGTCAACCGCACCCTGACCAACATCCTTGCCGTGAAGTGGGTTCTGGCCAATGACTATGCCGCATTCACCCAATCTCACCAGGAACCAGTCAAGTTGTCGCGCGACACCTTTGACAAGCTCCGTACCATGACCCTCGACATTCTGAAGACCCCCGACCATACTATCGCCTTGATTGTATCACTCATCCTAGGAGATATGGGCAAGGATAATAAGTTGATCGCTGATCTCATGCAGGCAGAACTGGGCGGAACAATTGAAGATTGGTCGGCATTTAGAGAACTCGCCAAGAAGTATAAAGCCATGACTCATGACAAGTCCTTCATCTGGCGATCTCCCATGGCCTGTTATCCTCCTGTTTGGATCACGTCCCCGAGCCTCTGCGGGCAGATGTGCTCGCTGGCATGAAGCTCGATGCGGACCTCAACATCCCCCAACTGATTCAGGGCGAAAGTGTGGCGTTGTGTTTGAAAAGTCTGTTCATGCTCAGTGGCAAACCACAGGCCTACGCGCTGAAGTATCTAGAGACCCTGTTTGATGTAGCCAGTGCGAGTGGCCATATTGACGCCCGTGGTTCCATATCCATGACTGAACCGGTCTGCCAGTCATTCCTCATTGCCTATCCCATTCTCCAGCGCATCGTTGAAAAGGGGCGCAGTACCGGCGTTGACTGCCTGAGTGATGCATATAACGCCGTCCTGCGTCATCGGAGTCAGATCCTGACTGATCTCGGCTCCGAGAAACGATTCCGTATGGAACAGCCAAGCGATCGGGCCTTCCTTCATCTCTGCGCGATGGGCCGAGTAACCAGCACCACCCGAGCCGCCATATTCCTGCAAGCATTCAACAACCTGCCAGAGTCAACACGTCGCCATCTCATTGCTGCCCTTAACGTCGATGGCTTGGGGAGTCAAGTGCCAGCCGTTCTCTCTTACATACCCGCCTTGTTTGCGGAGGTGCTTCGCTTTGCTCCGGGGGAGCCACTGAAGCAAGTGAAGGCCATCAACTCCCTAATGGCTTTCATGTCGCGGATGTATCAAGGCAACAGTGCCGAGGACATCCCGGAGGGCCGCTACCAGCAGCTTGATCTGAGGGTCGTACTAATACTTGTGCAATCCAAGCCCGACACGGACCCTTCTGTCATGTTGGATGATGCACGCCTTCTTCGTTCGTGTCCAAATTAGAGCCGGGCTTTCTCGAGTGCTCCGGTCCATGTTATATAGAGGGGTCGATAGGATGAGATGTTATCATCCCAGCTATAATTCCTCTATACAACCGAGATACATTCCCTGATAGCATCCCACATTAGGTACATCATCAATGAATCACGTTATCGCATTCACACAAAGGAAACGAACCCCCCGACCTATCCAACACTCATTCATACTACCCGAACTTGTAATTTCCCATTCAACACCCCCTTGCCCCTAATAAGAAAACGTACTATTCTTCCCCGTCGAAAACGGCACACACCTCCCCTCGCCCCAATACGCCTTCGCTGCAGCAACCCACGTCGTCGCAGGCTTCACCATATTCTCATACGTATAAAACAGCCGACAATCTGCGGCATCAAACACAAACTGCAACGGATCAACGCTGTTGTCCGGGGCATAGGCGTTCCGGAAGTTCAGCTCCAGTCCGCTCCATCTGTACGGCATGTCGGTGGTAGTCGGGGTGGAATTGAGGCGGGCGATTTGTTGGTTGGAGAGTACGGGGGCGTTGGCGTTGGCTTGCTCGGTCGCGTACTCGAGGGTGATGTCGATGTATTCGTCGATTAGGGTCGAGGTGAGGGATTCGCCGCCCCGAACGCCGCCCATGATTGCCATGGGGCCGTATTGAGGACGGCCGCCGAAAGCGAGTGTTTTGATGCCGCCGGAGGTTTTCATGAGTTCCACGAAGGTTGTGCAGGTGGAGCTGCAGAAGCCGTCGGTTATCTAGGGGTGGGGGGTGTTAGTGAGGGAGGGAGGGAGGGGTGGGAATGGGGGTAAGCAGGCTGATTCACCATGAGAATGTTTTCGGGGGCGAAAGGTGATGAAGTCATGTTTTGCTTGACAATGCCGTAGCCGCGGATGGGGGTTGTCCAGGTGGATGTGAGGGTCAGGTTGGAGACGGCGGCGAGGCTGGTCATGTTTGCGCCTAGTTGGTAGTGGGGTCCGCTGTATTCCGTCCAGGACTTGTAGGCATATGTCTGGTTGGGGGTGACTCCGACGAAGGGGGTTTTGGAGATGATTTCCCAGGCGTCGGAGTCATGGGGCACGGTGTTGAGAGCCTGTCCGATGATGTTGACGACCTCGTGGTCGCGGAATCGGGTGGAGCTGTAGACGGGCTTCTGGGGGAAGAATAATTTGAAGAGATCCATTCCGGAGGAGACGGTTCCTCCGGGGTTGCTGGTCAGGTCGATGATCAGCTTCTTCTTTCCCGAGGCTACGGCCTGCTGGATGAATTGGGTGGCGTGGTTGGCGAAGGCTAGGGGTTCGCTGAGGCTCATGTCTGCTGTGTCGAAGGAGGGGACGAAGAGGACGGCCACGTCTTGCATGTCTGTTTCGTTTAGGTAGTAGCCTGAGATGAGGTTGTAGGCATCGCGCATGACGGGATCGGGGTATGTCTTCGGGGCGGAGCTTGTCTTGACGGTGGAGCGCTTGGACGTGGAGGTTGAAGACTCGCTCGTGGAGCCGTCGGTAGGGGAGCAGACGGCTTCATAGATGGAGCTTCCGTTGGTGTGGGTGAACTTCTGACCACCGTACACCTGAGCAACGGTGGGCACTTGAGTGACAGAGCCGTTGCCGAATGCCACGGTGAATTCTGCGCTGCCAGGCCACCGGCCGTTGTTAGAGGTCCAGGCACCGTACTCGACACCAAGAGCCACATCACGAGCCGCCGACGGGAACATCTCATTATAGCTGTGATATTGGCCGTTAGAATGGTGATAGATTGATTGATAGTGGCAGGCATACCGTGCATCGGGGTCCTGAAATCCCAGAGTGGATGCGAGTTGGGTCAGGTATGTCACTGCATCGTAGCCATTAATGGTGGCAATGGGAGATACACGTGTTGAGTGGTTGGCAACAAGGCCCGCATCGTCTGAAGCTGTTAGTTTCGTCAATATGGGATCAATGCGAAGGTTCCATACGTCTTGTGTAAAGCCTCGGGAGCTGCAGTCCGTCGGCAGAGATCGACACAATTGGAAAGTTGACGTAGAACTCAAAGACCTCCTGGGAGCATAATGTCGTGCTCAGGTGGCCGTCGTTGGCAGATTGAAATACGCGCGTAATGTCATTGTCAAACTCGTACTGGCTCGTGTATTTCCCGGCCACAGCCTTGATACGGATGTCTTCCATGCCACCCAGGATGTCTGTGGGGTGAGAGAGGTACCCATTTGGAGGGTCTGGGGGACATTAGTCTAGAGTCAATGGGTTGATGGTGATAAGACACACTTTTAAGAACATCGCTCGTTGATTGCCATTGCAGATATTCCACCAATGATTCCACAAACGAGACACCCTTCTCGGGCTCAAAGGGCATTGTCAGAAGACATTGGTGTGCCAGCTCCCCGGGAACGACAAAGGGTCTGGTTGCTATTGTCTGTTAGTCTTCTGGGATGCTTGCTGAAGCTAGATCGACGCACTATTCGCATTGGTCGCCTGCTGGTACCGACGGGCGATCTGCTGGCATGGGTCCTCGGACTGCCTACTACCGCTGGATGCGGCAGAGACAGACAACGCCCAAGTGACAACTGATAGTGTGGTTAAGTGAGAGAACATTGTTATTCTTGTTGACCACTGGTGAAAAGATGCGGTGTTCTGGGTCGGGCATGGGGACTCTTTATCTTTTTCTGTCAACCGCACCAAAGCGGATCACCACAAAGAACTCCACAAGTGGGGTGCATCATGGCTATCAGGAGTTAACAGGCAATGTGTTATGTAAAAAGGTATTGCTATTGTTGACTGCGTAGCGTGCTTGGTAGGATTATGGCCCCAAATCCTTACAGTGCCTCGTTCACAGCCGCAAGTCCGCTCCACCAGCAAGTGGAAGCTAACAAGATCCTCCTCACCACTCCACATAGTAGACTCGACTATTATAAGACGGTAATTGGCTGAAAATGAGATGACAGGATCCGCTTGATTTCTGGCGATGAGTTGCCCGGTGGGCTCGGCTGAGGCTGTGACAAGTGAAGACTAGCAGGGGACCATGGATCGTCATTCGGTTCCCGTTCCGGGAAGTCCGCAAGGCTCATCTTCCCCACATCATGGAGAACATGACTGGTCGGATTTGTGAGAACCATTTAGGTGGAAATAACGCCCATCGTGCTCCCCGAATAGCACATCAATTCAGCGTCAAGCCACCGTACCAGCAGGGCCATGACTCTGCATCTCCACACAGCATCAAAGGTGGAACCCGTGGATATGAAATCCAGCCGAGCCTATATTCTTGGTAGATACAAATGAGATAGCTTGATATTCTTCTGTCTGGCGGTGCTTTTATTGTGCGATCCGCATGGGAAACCCTTGACTGTTGAGGTAAACGCGCTCGTAGGGATTCGTGGTGATGCCGCAGACTGGAGCCCGACGAGATGATCCACCGGCTACGCTAAACCTGTTACGTTTGAGCATTGGGGGGGTCTCATTGGTCCGCTCGGCATTGACGTCACAGTGCTACTGCGCTAGTACAGTTCAGAATTAGTGCGATATCTACAGTCAGTCGAGGGATGCGGACCAAGTCGGAGGATTGTCTCTTAGATTATCCTACCGATACTCTTTATTTGATTTATGTTGGAGTGGCTACTAAGGCGATTCAACCGTGTAGAATGAGATGGATGATGATCTAGCTAGGGGCCTCGTAGGCCATCTATATGGAGTAACTAGCGGTGTAGGGAGGAGTGTCACGTGACCCTACGTTGCCTACCGGCGTGGGAGCCCATCGGGGATCCCAACAATTTATAATCCGCTTATGATGCGGGAGTGTTTGATTTGCTATATATACGGGTTCAGGTTACTGCTCATGGTTGTGCCGGTCTAAAGTCTGCGGCTGGGTAGACTCATTTCAATGATTTGGCAGGGCCTATCTGCTACCAATGTTATTAATATGATGTGCATGAGATATTGAGTTGATTTCATACGGTATATTTTTATGATTTGTTCGAGCACGGCAGTGCGGTAAGCTGCACCTTACACTGGTTATGCGTAATATAAATTGTTGAATTTCTTGGAACTGGTAATTAATCTATATCATACAGGCTAATATATTCAGGGAAGAGCAAGAGAGTTCATGTTTGAATAATGTGGGGACGGAAAAGTCTCGTGTTATAAATCTAGTAACAGTGGACTTTCCCAGACATATAAAGCAACTGGCAAATCCAAGGATAACGATGAGATATCCATGGAAGCCAACCATAGATTGGACTCAAGAGTACCCAGCGAAGCTCATATGATCGGAAATCTTGAGACGATAGTTAAGAGAAAATGTTGGGTATTTGTCCGTCTTCCTTTGCCAATGGGGCAATTGTCCGTATGTGGAGAAATGAACTACCAAGTCGTAATGAATTTCTAACAGCCGTTGAGCAAGAAAGATTCTCTTGGAGGGTTGTAGATGATGAAGTTTGTTTATGATCATCTCTTCCCAATAAGGTTTCTACCTGGAGGCTAATATGCTTTCGTTGCCCGATGGTCATTATAGCCAGATTGCCCGATGGCCGCTATAGTCCGTATACAAAACCCGCAGTTCTGATATACACCAAAGTTCAACCATAGGAGTGAGCCTTCATTTATAAATAACTGTTGGCTCTGAGCAGTCAATAGAGTAACCTGAAGTGCAGTCTTGAACATCAATATAGCTCCAGCCAATCCCTGCTGACAGACAACAAAAACGCCCCTGAAAAACAGGAGGTTCGTGTCAGATACTCCCATGTAAGCGAGTATCTGGATTGTTTTGGCTGAGTGGTTAGTACATCCGTGTTTAATATCAGCCCTGTCTAGAAATCAAACCAGATTAATTTAATCTGGAAAATGTGATGGGACTAGATTTTCTATATGATGCACCCTGCCTTTAAGAAACGGAGAGAAATTCTACTTGTCAACAAAAACAGATGTTGTTCGGGACATATATATCATCTGACCATGGGGTCATTCCTGAGACACGCATTTATATGGCATATCTCGATGGCTTATAAAGAGCTAGTAGAGTATTCGAATTACAGGGTACACGTTTATGGTATAATAAAAGAACGATGTTTTATTCTTGAAAATTACGATCTGTACGAAAGCCAACTATGACGGGAATTCCATACAGCTGCTACTAAGACTAGTCGTCAGACTCGATAAAATGACATGTACTAAGCTTACAAAGAAACGATCAGGGCAGGTTACCAAATGATGTCTGCAATCAAAATTGGGCATCAGAAATCCTTTTAACATGTAACTGGAACCAGAAAAGCCAAGCGATATCATGGTCAGCGCGGGCTCTTCTGAGGATATACCCATGATGCTCATAAAGCATAAAGGTAGTTATACAATGAGTGAATGGTCTGGAAATAAAAAATCCGCTCAGATGTGCTCCCAGGCCAAGGGAGTACAATGCTTCCCGTGGATGTGTGTCTTCAATCGATTATAAAAAGGTTGAGGCATTCAGCACTGAATGATATACCTTTCCCCAGCCTGAATGAATTTTCAGCTACTATATCGAGTTAGACTTCAGGCATGGGGTATTTCAGGGCCCATGGGCCACATCCCGACGGTCAGTCGCATTACAGGTTGGTTCTAAAACAAAGGCGATATGAGATCATTAATTCCATCTTCTTGCTGTTGATAACAGATGTCTCTCTGGATAAATTAGCCCCGCTTATCATTTCACTACACCACTACTCATATATGCGTATAGAACACATCCTTATATCCGGCAGTACCTGCCCGCCCACTCAATAAGGCCATAGTGGACCCCGCCTAAACTCTTCACTTAAAGTTAGTTACAGTTGCTTGGGTGTAGCAATCCCTCTTTTTAAAAATTGTGTACTTGCTCAAAGTACCAACACGAGGCAGGACGTACCCGACTCCAACAGGGCTCTGTGCATTCCATGATCATGAGCTACTTAGGATATTCAAAAACCGCCCTCCTCCAGGGAGCTAGCTGGGAAAACAAAACCTCACATCTGGGGTAATATTCACTAGATACTGATCAGACTCGTTTTCGCGTCTCATGAAATAGAGGCCACCTAACTATTCATTTTGCGTATGGTTATATGGCTTCCGGACAGAATCCAAGAAACGAAGCCACCGGATCCCCTTAATCCACTGTTTACCAGACTAATGTACCCCAACCCCTTATTGCTGTTTTAATAATTCACGGGAAATTATCCTTTGTATCTGAACCAATGTCCGTTTGTGAGAAATACGTGACGGTGGCTGAAGCTGAGTATGAAAGGTACAGTGACGTGTAAAGACTGATCGCTTCCCGGATAATAGATTTGTTTCGATAGAAAGCCTTGAGACTATTTGACTCTAGGCTTAATGGCCTTCTTAACTCTTTATATTCTAAGTGTTTCTAGGATCATCTTTAATAGAACTTTGTGCCAACAATTGAGCAAATACAGCTATTAAACAGTGTCAAAACGCCTGCCTCTTGTAAAAGATAATATGCGTTGCGAAAATACTGCTTACGAAGAATGAATAGAGAAGGCATTGTTGAACATTTGTCAGACAGGGGATTGTGTTATTTGTAAATCACTGGTGCTGTGTACAGACGGGTACCTTCCTGCCCAAGGTAACAAACAGCCGGGTGAGTTCCATCGCCTAAATGTTTTGCCGGCTTCGGTTCAGCGCAGCAAGCAGGTAGATTACAAGTGCTCGTTTGCTGCACGCGACAAGCAGCGAACCCACGGGTTTTCCAGCTTCCCCTAGTTCTGCAAAGTTGAATCAAACTAGATGATATTGGATGGAACTTGATGGAATTGGTAACTGCAGATCAAATTAATCATTCTAGTAATAGCCAAGCTGCATCGTGAAACAGGGCAGTGGAAACACGATGACTGCTCGAGCCACCTCTAAGCTCTAGAAAACGAAAGGAGAAGAATGTTAGGAAAGTGACAGTAACATCCTTGTTGCTACTAGTTACAAGAGAGGAAAGGGAATCCTGCAGGGTTGGTGGTTACAGCATGTGTGGAACAACTGCCTGAACAGGCAAGTGCCAGGGAGAGGCTGCGATACATACACAGTACGCACGATCATTGTTCGCTGCGGTACGTATAATTAACTAGCAGGCGCTAGATGTTCTCTGAAAGGTATCATCCCTACAGGATATATTATTACGGCTGGTTGCAATCATGATTTACCACCGAATGCCGGAATCATGACTTGAGCGAAGAGTGTAGTTCGTCAAACTATCTACAACCAGCTCACGTATTGTACCGTCATCCCAAACTGGTTCATTAACCAGGTATTGTATTTGGGGCGACGGGGAGTTCAAGGTACATGGTATTGAATGACTGTATTGAAGTTCTAACTGTTAGCTTACTAACGTGGCTTGTTACAGACGCCAATCCGTATGTGGAAAAAAAAAAAGGGGGAACAGAAAAAAATCGATAAATGCAAGCCCAGGCGGACCTAACCAATCAGTAAAAAGCTCCATTTTACTGAGGAATTGTGAGAAAACTTTGACCACTTGGCGGAGACCATCGACGAGCTGACGTCAATCCCGATGCGGAAAGGGGTCGTAGAGGCCCGGTCAGCTAAATTACAACCACACGGCGTCAAATGATGGCTAGCCGTGGGAAACCGATGGTTGACTGCATGAAAGAAAAGAAATAATAGATAATATCATGTCATATTAACTCACCAGACTGCGCGTTGATACACTCTTGTGGCATTGGATCGTGGGCCAGGCAAAGGAGGAGGTCCGGCCGGGCATGCCAACCGGAGCCGGGTCGACTGTAGAGCCGAGCCCGAAGCCACTCCGAAGTTGGGAACAGACAGATCGATTTCCACCATAAAGTTAAATACGACCGAGGGGAGCGGCAAGGGAAGAAACCTTAAACTCACCACTGTTGATCAACGTCACGGGCTCGGAAATTGGTGACAGGGTCACGGACCAATCGGATATAACCCCAATGAATTTGAGAAGCCGCGGCGTTTGTGATCGATGTAAAGTACGATATTCATGGCAGGCAGACTGTCATTCCATCTACTCAGCTGGCTTGCTTCGCTGGGCGCGGAAACTACAACTTCACCGCCAGATTCAAATCAGAGAAAAGTATCTAGTGATGTGCAGAAATTCGACTGTCTACCAAGTTGAATTCCACCCGCCTGGATTCTACGAAGCTGTAATGACTCACTTCTTGATGGGGGGGGGGAGGAAATCAATATCGAGAAAAAGAATTATTTCCGGTGAGGACTACTGGCATCAGGCTGCGTCATTCGCGACCAGATGATGGCTGTGAATAGAATCCGATCTATCAACTCCAGCCGCAACTACTAGCAGGAGGCGATCCCCTAACCGGAAGCATTACGCGAACCCCAGTGTAACCTAGTAGGCTTACGGCAGCGACTAGGCCTGTTCGGGAAGAGCTACAGCCAATAAAACTATAATGATACGAGCGGCCTATAATGTGCTATATCGATTCATAGGTCACCAAATCTCGCTAAAATACCTTGACTACACTGTAAGGATGTATGAGGAGTACGGAGGAATCTGGATGGTAAGGTCCAACGTCCGCGGGGTGCAGGTGCAGGTCGGATAGGGCCGAAGCCACACCGTACTCCACCTCAGTATCAAGCGAGCCCTCCAATGTGATAAGACTAAGAAATCGCGCGTCCATCGTGAAATACAGACGGCGGAGGAAGGAGGAGAATTGATGAAAGAAGCCAAGGACGGTGAGATGGCCACCGCAGTCTGTAAGTAATGGGTCACTCCGGGCATTAGTAATTTGTCCCCGTTGGAGAAGGAAGGCTCGGGGTCAAACTGGCAGAAACCCCACCGCCTTCGGACTGCAGACTGCTGCCTGAGGAGTGGTGCCTGATGCCTTACTAATGCCTGAGGCCAACATCCGTTCCTGAAATAACTGATTAAGGCTCGGTATCAAGATTGTGGCTAAACAGTAATATAGAGGCATCTGTAGGGATCGTACAAGAGTTAGTACATGGTCCTGTGCGATGTCCTCGAACATGAGCGGGAGTGCAACTGAATCAAGCACTAATTGCTCTTCGGTCCCAGTCCTGATTGACTAATATATATAGTTGGCATAGAGAATAGTTCGAGTTGTAAGATTTTTGAGGGAGCCTTTGGCTGCAGGCCTGAGACATTCTATCAGATAACAGTTGCTCTAGAGGATCGGTATTTATCAATGTCTACTGTAAAAGAGGTTCGATGCCGATTGTCAATCTCTGGGGTGAGTAGTACATTGAGAAAGTGACAGGATTGTATCTACATATCTAGTACTACGAGTGTGTTATTCGACAGTTGTTGGGCCAGGAGTGCTTCTCAACCCATGCTTGGATGGCGAGAGGAATGAGACCGCCGGTGGTACGCCGAGAGGGCATTGCTCTGAAGACTGCCAAACATGAAGATGATAGGTGGAAGAAATATCTACTCGATTGTGGTTTGGGTAATATGGCATTCATTACTAGCTTCCTACAAAGCCATGGCTAGACGATCGGCATAGAGACCAAACGAACAGCCGACCGCAAAGGAACAGGAGTGAAAACATCCCGACCAAGTCAGCACAAGCGCTGCCAGGGCCTGATATCCTCCTCCTTTGGAATATTCAATTCCGACAGCACACTCCCCTCAACTGACTAACCCAACCCAGAGCGTCCTGGTAGACACCGACGCCCCAGTATGCTCCCCCCTCAGTACACGAGGCAGCTCTTGTGGAGCAATGTAACTGGGATTCGCCAGGGGCTGGCCCAGATCATTGGGACTCCACTGCACCGTGTTCATCTTCATGACGGATGACCCCACACCCCCAAGCCCCATCCACCATGCCTGCCAGGTATATTGTCCATTAAGGTACTAGACATGCGACCATATTCCGGGACCGACGATGTTGTGGTAGGGAGCGAGTATGCTGGTCGCGAGGGATCCTGTCCATGGCCTCATCGCTAAGACCCACATGATCCGGCTGTTGATCTGCAAAGGAGCACGACGATATGACACTGGGTAGTGTTTAGCACCACGGGGCGAGAGGAACGGGGGCTAGGGATCGGCGGGCTTGAGTCGTCATTGCTGGACGATCGGGAGGTACAGGCACAGACGCGGTATGCTTCGATGCGGTCGCGGAGGAGACTTTTCGCGCATGGGACAACGGCAACAACACAGTAAATGATGGAGGAGCAAAGTTTGGACGGGGAAATGTGCTAGAGATGACATGTAAGGTGAATGATGTTATCCACGTTCAGGAGACGATGGTTAAGGGCAGACTGGTTTGGAATCAGACCCCGTCGCGGGTGTTGCATTCATTCGGGGTTGGTAATGGGATAATCGAAACCAGACAGCTGTCTTTCCTTTCCTTCCTTCTTTTTTTTGGCTACGATTCTACCCTAGGAAATGATTTAATGGGTTGTGATAATGTTTCGATGGCGCTGTTCACCTAAAACAGTGGTGGGTTACACTAAACAGACCAAGACTCATTACCCTGCCCCAGGCCAATTTCTGTACGTGAACAGGTATTATTACGAGCCCGGGATGGCTTTAAGCTATAACAGGCCTTGTAATGTTTCATCATCGCTGAGATATTGATAGAGCAAGTGGACGTATCTGACTTCCGGGGCGCTGTCACGGCATCCGTATTGCACGGGACGGGGCACTTGTCCCGATCTAAAACTGGATAGTCCAGAATTATAGTTCAAGCCCCAGGTCGACTGGGCTCTTCCAGCCACCAGGTCGGTCCCTTTTTCTCAGACCGTGAAAAAAAATTATCCAGGATGGACCAGGACCGCGGCTCGACTGCGATGCAGTGTAGGATGCGCAATCCGGTGTTTTGTTATGGAGATAGCCAGGCGTGTAGGGAGGTGTGCACCCTCCGAATCCTATTGAAAAAAAAAAAAAAAAAAAAAAAAAAAAAAAATCAAAAGAGTGTCTCAAGGCCAAGTCGGATTGGCAGGGTTTCGATTGATTGATCTCACGGGCCTGGACCACCACCGGGGCAGCCATCATCCTCATGCCGGTTATTGGAGATGGATGGTATGCAACGTAGTCCGGAAATACCACTAGTTTCTGATACCGTATGTCCATCCAACGTGCGCCCGGTACGTCGGTGGTGAACGGCTTTTATGTAGAATCGGGAGACCATGAGCCATGGGGTACGAGTAGACGTGATGTGACCGTACCTATGGTTCCCAAACCCCACACGTGGAACGAACCAGTAGATCGAATGCATTGCTAGTAAGTATCAGGATGAAAACCCATGGTCACCTGTTTTAAGCAGGAGATCGGCGCTATTCCACAAGCCGTTGAGAAGAAGTGTTGCTAGAGGGCTTGGCCAACCACAGACTTAGCAAAGTTACTAGATGTGTTTACCATGACGGTCGCTGTACCTGACTGTTGGTGGTGCCAGTGAGTATTCTGCGTTGATAGTCCGCAGTTTGTCCGCAGTTTGAGGCGACGGGACGCTCGATGATGATCATCGTCAATTCTCAAGCCAGTGCCGGCTCTTTGCAGCATCTACCACACATGAGGATTGCTAGAGAGGCTATTGCTGAGCCGACAACCGTGCATCTTCAAAGCAGTGATGTTGGAGCCCCCTAGCTGTAATTTATTGGCTGAAGATCAGCCAGCCAGGCAGCTGGGCCCGAGCTGCTACAGTCAAAGGTTAACATTCGCGATGAACGTCAGCCAATGGCTCCATGCCGAGTGGAGACTAGAATTAGCCTGTCCTTATCCGGCACTCACATCTGATTGCCGACGATTAAAAGACCGAACAGTCGGGCTCAGTCTGCAGCTGAGTGGCACGATCAGCGGTGGGCACCGCATCCCGTGGGACCCCGAATAACCATGCCGGGTCGAATCTTAAATTTAGCTCCCAGACAGGCAAGGCTCTCTGATTGGAAGGTCTGATAGCCTCTGTTCAAGCCATAGGCTAGTCAGAAAAGCGTAGTGTAGTACCCATGTTGCCAGGGGTGGAGGGCCACGATCAAGAGGGTATTCCACATCTCATCTGGATTTCAGCTCTTCGATCCCCGAAATCTGTCTCTTTGACACTATAACGACCTGTGGGATCGAATTACGTTGGCATCTTGATTTGAAAGTCCTGTATTTCGTCAAATCTCTCTGCTCGGTGTAATCGTTCGCCATGAATATGGAAGCCACTGCTACCGAAAACGTTGCCACGCCAGGCCTGGATAACGGTCATGCCTGTTCCCTCTGTGAGGACATCGAGGTTATACGACACCCAAATGTGTCACTCAATGATCCTGTGGCTATTCGTACCTTCAAACATGACCTATTTCATTATGTTTGTTCTTCCTGCCCCTCGAAGAAATGTCGGGGGCACACTGACCTGTGCCCTATCTGCACCCATCTTCGCATCCACCATTTAGCTGCCTGCATCCCTTCCCCCCCTGACAAGCTCAGAATCTCGGGATGGAAGCCGCTAGAGGTAGGGAGTTTACGAATCAAATTCGCAACCACAGGGGAAGTGCTGGAGCGGCAATCAGGGTGTGCGATGTGCAAGGTGATTGTCGACACTGCTAGGGTACACTACCCGCCAGGGCTTACTGGTTCTAGCCCTGAAGAGCCCATTCACATTTTTCTCGAGGGCTACAGAATAGCAGTGGTATATGGACACCGTCAGCTGCTTCAGCTTCCCTTATACAAGCGAACCCACGATCATAGCCCTCATTATCAGGTAGGAATGGGATGTCCCGGCCAACCTGGTAAATTGACCCCGGTGGATGAAAAAATCAACTGGAAAACGCCACTTCGCTGGATCGCCCAAGACAGACTTCATCGGGAGAAAAAAAGCCGCAAGACTGAGTGGCCGGAGCACCTCAAGCTGATTGACGTCGACCAGGATCAAATAATCGATGCACCCAATCCATGTGAGTTCATGGCACTGAGCTATGTTTGGGGAGCAGTGAAGGAAGTCGACTTGCCCGATTGGCCTTCGTTCAACCGAGCTGTACTGCCTGCGACGATCAAAGATGTCCTTGTTGCATGTAATCATCTAGAGCAGCGATATCTGTGGGTCGACCAACTATGCATCGACCAACGGGATGAGAAAGAAAAGAGAGCCCGGTACGATCAGACAGGCTGCATTTACAGCAATGCCGTTTGCACCTTGGTTGCGCTCGCGGGGGAGGACTCGAATTACGGACTCCCGGGAGTCACCCAGCCACGCCTTTGGAGTATTGTCCAGCAAGGGAATGTGGCGATTACCATCCCGCAGCTGTATCCCTACCAATCCATCGAGAGAAGCCAGTGGAACACCAGAGGATGGACCTTCCAGGAGGGTCAACTTTCCCAAAGGCTCCTCTATTTTGCAGAATATGAGGTTCTCTTTTTCTCGCCCATGCTTGACAATCGCCAGTATAAACGGGAATGCGGAAGTCTAGGGTGTTATAACCCTATTGGCTTTTGTCCGATTGACGGCTACTCAAGAGCCTTGAAGTCATACAAATACCGGCATCTGTCAAACCCAGCCGACATATTGCGTGCCTGGGAAGCGGTGAGCCGACTGTATTTCGGTTGTGAGACGTATTACGGACTGCGACTTGGATGGATGGATGAGGAGATCCTCTGGTATATCTACTACGATAAGTGCCCTCGGCCTGGGGAAGTCTTCCCATCCTGGTCATGGGCATCTCAGATGCCACGGGCTCTGTACGAGGGATGCATAGTTGGCCTCGCAGTGTGGGCGGTACCTAAGGAAGGGGGATCATCATCCGACATCACTCTCTGCCAACCTGCTTCTGACCGTCCGTTGCCGCTGCACAGCGGAGTACTTGAATGGTACGAGGCGATCTTGGTAGCCTGGTCAAAAGGCTGCATGCGGCGACCATTCCCTCTCGACCTGACACGACCATCCCCCCTGGGGCTGGGATACAACAATGAGACAGCCGAGGAGGTTGCGAGGTTGTGGAATAGCTACGCCGAGTACTGGCAATATTTCTTTGGAGACCTTGATAACGACACCACATTCACGTCAGAGGATCGCAAGGTGGCTTCGTCTGGTCATGGACGCATTCTTGTTCACAGCCAAACCGCGAAATTCAATATCGAGCACATTCTCGGTTCGTGCAAATTCGACATCTATTCAAAGAACGGACGATGGATAACTATGACGGAACTCGATAAATACATGGAACCATACCTGCCGTCCGGGCAAGGGGAGTTTATAGCGTTGTCAATTGCCAATGACTTATACTATTCCATTGATCACGAACGGGCGAGAACACTCGATGGCCGTTTGCGTCTACACAGACTAGAAAACATACTCGGCGAACCATTCCTCCTGAATGCCATGTGGATCGGAAGAAACCTAGCAAATCCCGATGTCGCGCGCCGCTTGACGGTGGTGAGAATCCCCCTGAAACATTGGGTGGAGGCCAGGCCACGGTTTGAGACAATCGTGCTGGAATGAGTTTCCGACTACCTGCGGATATTTTGTACATCTAGCAAATGTCAAATAAACCTGTTTCTCTGGGAATTCCGTCGCGGTACTCTAGGAACCGTTGTTCCTATTGTATGCTGGGGTCGGATTTTCGGCCTCTAAAAATCTATTTTTACGTAGAGGTCCGGTGGTCGATTATGGAAGCCATCTGAGGGTCATAATTCTTCTCATCAATTGCATCATCTCATCAACAGGTTATCTGCTTTACCAAACCAGTCGTCTCCGAAATCGCGCATTCGTATGTAAATAATAAATCACCACCAGGTGGCTATGACCTCAATCCCCCGACGAGAGAGCTCCCAGTCTTCAACAGTCTTCATCACAACACGGACTTGCCGTTCCGTAGCTAAAAGAAAATCCCATGTCGCCACTCGATGCGCCTTGCATATCCATTGTCCCTCAATGCACCCACTCGCTGACTCCGGGTTTGCGCTTGCCTGAGGGCATCCATTTTCTTCGATCTCTATTACCTTTTCCACAATGTAAGAGGCCAACATGCCCTCACAGATTCCCTCCCGCCGCGGATACCGTCGCATAAGATCGAGAGCCCTCCGCCGGAGCAACGGCTCCCGACATCGTGTACCGACCCAGAATAGAGGTTCCACAATACCAGTCTCCAGGCTGAAGGTTGGATGCTTCTGCTGCTCTTTGACCGAGCGGTGGTCGTCTCGTGTATCCATCTGACCACTACCCAGTATCCGAGCCACAGTATCAACCATGATCACGTAGTCCGAGAGTAACACGTCATGAGCCAGTTCTCCCCGGCTTCGGTCCAGGGCTAGCAGGACTTCGATAAATTTCCGCCGGATACTCAATAGGTCCATGGCCGTTTCTTGTAGGTATTCCGGGCTCATGCGAAGAAGTGTTGCTAGTCGAGCATCCCATTCTCGGACCTGGCGGAGGTACACCTCTTTAGCATCAGGTGAGACAGGACCCACATTTGGAGCCTGCGTCTTATAGTAATCCAGGTAGAAGCGCATGACGTCGTTGAATACTTCCTCCAGGGAAATGTACGCATCGAGAAGCGTGGCAAAGGGGCGTTCGCTGGATGAGGCAACTAGCCGGTTTTCTATCCACCCAGAAGACAGATCCTGCATGGCTAGGTACGGGCGGACCTGGGAGTCAAGTCTCATGAAAATTAGCAAAAGCATCTCAGCTCCGAGCCAATCTTCTGGAGACCTAACAAGGCTCGATTGCAGGCCCCACTGGTGAAATAGCTTTAATCCGTTCTGGATGTGCATGAATGCCTGTGGCTGGCGGCCTTGGAGACATGAGATGCAGATATATAAGACGCACGTAGCCAACACCGCAATCTTATCGCGAATGGTTAAAGTCTCTCCAGAGAGCTGATTCAGGAGGGATTGAATAGATTTATTGAACTGCTTCAGAGCGAATTGGACATTCCGTGTGTCCCCCATCCTGGGTCGAGTGAGGGACGCACTGGGGTCAACATACTCGCGATGAACACCGGCAAGTGCCGTCATCCCGTGCCAGAGGGCCGGGTAGCGATGGGAATCCTGCAATAGTCGGTAGGACCAAAAACCAAAGTCGAAAAACCCGGCTAGGGTCGATGTGGTGATGGATCGAAAGAAGTAAAAGTTCTCCTTCTCTCCGGAATCTAAGGTCACGAAATCCCACGTGGACGGCAGCTTCGACGGGATGAGGGAATGATATTTCTCATTTGCGATGGAGTTATCATCGTATCCCTCACAAAATCGACCAGTGGAATGGCAGTTTCGACAGCTGGTTGATTGGTTAGTATGCAGATGAAGGGCTGATCTTCATTACTGCCACGCACCTTGGCCTCGCCTCGTCGCATTTGATTCGGCGGATTCTGGGGAAGTCAGTCCATCTGGTGCTTTGGCCAACAGTGTCGTCCGTACTTGCAAGTCACACAGCCTGTTCTTACTCGCGCTGCCCACCGTTTCTTTCGTCCCCGACCCGGACCCCTGGCCGGTGTCTTTTCTAGGGTTGACTCCATTTCAGTTTCGGTCTCTATCGGCCCACCAGGGATGCTGTTGGAGCTTTTTGCAGTCTCCTTCAATTTTAATCCGATGCACGAGTAGAGAACGGAGAGGGTCTGAGGAATTTCGAGGGGGCGTCACGTGGATGTGAGGCCTCTAACGACTGGTCCAAGTTAGTGAGCCTTTAGCGGTACTGCAGTCATCCGCTAAAACATCACGGGAGCAGCCGTCATCCGGGGGCCCGACCGTGAATTAATTCATGGCAACTGCAAGGCTCTAGAACAACAACAAATAAATAACTATACCCCAGCCTTGGAAATTGGGATGGCAAGATATGCTTATGGCCTTGATGAGGTGAGGATCAGCGAGTGTTCTCCATCGGCAAACACTTCCTCGCATTTCCGGCCCACCAGAGCTTCCGTATCCATTCTCTCCCAGCTCACGGCGAACTCCTCGTCCGTCTCATTTGCCAACATATCAATTACGTTCCCCTCGGTGCACAACCCAAACTGTCGGAGACCGATCCCTAACTGGCCTTGAAGGCCTTCCCCGACAGACCACAGTGATCCATTTACTGCAAGGACAATGATGTGGTTGCGCCCTGCAGCGGCACTTTTAATTTTCAAGGCCGTATCCGCGGTCGGAATGAAAGCCTCCTTGAATTCCGCACTGTCCCGATCGTTGGCATCCTCGATCTCGGGCCACTTGTTCGTCCTATATCCCCACACGAATAATTGTCCAGATCGAGAGACCGCAACATCATTTACCCCGCCTGTAGACAGTGTCCTAATCGGCGGAAGGGGTTGCCTCCTAGGCTCATAGTCAAGCAATTTTGGTTCCCATGAAGGCCACTTTTCAATAGGCTTATGACGAAAGTCATGTTCAAAAAGCGCATCCATCCACTCGTCCTCATCATAGTCAGATGGGGTGGGGGGTTGCTCTGGAAGGTCGTCCCCCCACATGAAGACCTCACCACTTTCTGTAAGAGCAGCAAATCTACTAGTCAATTTGACGATAGGCGAGGAGAAGGTTGCGGTATAGGTAGGAGCTTGGTTCGGTTCCGATGATTCAAGAAAGGAGCAAAATGGCTTCCAGGAGTCGAAGGATAGAACTGTTTGAGGGTCTTGCTTGAGGACGATGGCGACCGCTCCCGAAATCAGGTTTGGATTGTGATAGTCAACACGTCGGGTTGCAATGTGCTGGATCGGGATGCGACTGAAGCTCTGTACTCCAACAGTGTCTCTGACAGTCGAGAGTGTCCCATCCTCGGTGAGAAATATGAATCCATCAGCCAGGCGAGCAGCACTGACCAGAGCATTAATGTTCCATGACTGTGTTGCCTCTGCCAGTGAGTGATGTTTCAAGGGATCATCACCACGGTGCTTCAACTCCCCATCGATGTCGAAGAAATCCGCATCATTTTCGCAGTAAATGACCCGGATCTTTCGCACGGCTCGAAAAACCTGCCTGGGCTTCAAGACCCAAAGAGGGCAGTAGGGGCTGTCCTTGCCATCGTTGTTGTGTTGGCATCTGTGCGGCTCGTTGACGTATCGTCTAACACAGCAGGCTGGTTCTCCGAGATCGCCCGCACTATTGTCTCCACAGCCAAAAAGTTCCATTTGTGTCAGACGGGCCAACTAAATCGTCGGTAAACTCGGAAATAATGCTTCTGAAGTATTGAGAATTGTAAGGGCGCGACGACGGCAAAGGGAGAAAGTCAAGTGTTGCTAGAAGGTGGGGGGGGGGGGGGGGGCGGCGCCGATAAAGTCGGGGAGGAGACAGGAGAGAGGAAAGAGGAAAGAAGAAAGAAGAAAGAGGAGAGAGGGCCAGTAGACGAGGGGAGAGACCCCGTGGTACCCCGTGATCTGGCATGCCGCTGCCTAACCCTGCAACAACTTGCCAATCACAAGTAGTACTCTCTTCCCTAAATATTCTTCCACCACATCATTTACATGTCAAGACATCGTGACGAAGATGGAACCTTGGTACGTGACTTTCATTCTAGTGGAAACTAGAACGGCTGATGCAGACTCATACAGTTAATTAAATCATCAATTGGGATTTTCCCTCCAGGGGAAACTAACACGATCCGGTGGTGATCAAGGTACTCCAGACTCTAATAATAGCCTGAACAGCGTCCGCCTCATTTCCCCCGTCCTTGAACGAAACTGTCAGCGTTCTCTGCTCCTCTAACGTTCTTTGCCCCCAGGGCTTGATCTTCGTCGCCGTATTGAGTTTGGTGACATTGTCCACCAATGCGCTCCATCCGATCGAATCTCCGCCATTCTCATCGGGGTGAAACTTGTACGCTACCTTGACCCGACCCGGGCCTTTACCCCAGACCCCATTGACATGAACTCCCTTGACTGGATCTTTATCCCACCGGATCATCCACGGTATCTTGCCAGTTAGGTGGACTCCTTCGATCGTGACCCCGCCTCGGGGAAGTTCATAGGTGCCACCCACACCCATGGCCCATGTGTTAATAATCCTTTTTTGTCGCGTACCCTCCTGTTTGTTGCTGACAAACAAACTGGCACTTTGAAGCCCCTCGACTCCGAGGTAACTCAGCGCTGTCCCAAGCGGATCATCAAGTTCCACGGTGAGCTCAGTTCTGCGACTCAGAGGTTGCCCCGAATACGGTCGCTTCGATGACGGGCTCGCATCACATGAATCCGAAGCGGTGCTGGTCGCAGTTGATAGTGTCTCAGTGGATTGCGAACTGAAACTGGTTGATTGGGTCGCCGTTTCAGTCGTGGAAGGACTTTCCATCGATGAATGTGTCGAGGAAGATGTACTACTACTAGCAGTGGTCTTGTCATCGGTGTCACTGCTTGGGTCGGGCGTGGGAATCAGATTCTCCCCAATGGTGATCGTTGGCCATGCAGGAAGGGGTGGTTTGACTGGTGGAGGATAAATCCCTGGCAGTGACATGCCCCAGAGCAGAATGCCTTCATGAATGCTTGGGCAGAACCAACAACCAACCAGCAGTGGAACGATGGCGGTAGCATGGCTGGAATCTCCGGTCCGTGTATGCGTGTTGGTTGTTACTGTACCACTTACACTCACAGTGGACGCGTCTACTGTGTATGCAGTAATTATCGCTAGCGTTGTGGTTTCGGACTCTGAGCTTGTGAAAGCTGTAGGCTCTTGGGAAGTACTGGATTTAATATTTGGAGACACTGTTGTCGTCAAATGAACAGTCCCCGACGCATCGGGCCTTCCACTTGACCCCAAGCCTGAGATTGTCCCACTCGTCCATACCGCAGCTGGAGTAATGGAGTGTCCAGATAATCCGACCAAGGTAGTGCCTAATGCTGGGCTTGATGCTGGGCTGGGGGATTGGTCTTGTGGTTGAATACTGGTGAACGATATAGGCGTTGAACTTGGAGGTGGAACCAAAATCGAAGGAGAACCAGGGATAGAGTCGGAAGGTGAATACCGCAGCGTAGCCACAGAGCTTTGAATAAGGAATGATTGCTTTTGGGTGTATGGGACACTAGACTTCGTGCGTTGGAAGCTCTTATATTGAGATTGTGCTGATAGCGACAATGGCCAGGGACCAACCCTGGGAACGCTGGTCGGAGAATTGACCGGCGAGCTTTGATTTGAATTAGTATGACCACAACGGCCTTGGTAGGTTGCCATACCTTTCACTTCCTATCGATAGTGTCACAAGGCTTATGAATATGAGTAAAAGGATACTCGTCCGTATGTGGGCCATCTTGCCAGTGTTCAGTGGTGTTCCTGCGGTTCGTGGATGCGAAACCAATTTCAGGACGACAGGATCAATTTTAATGTCCAACACAATACACTATGCTCTACCCCTGAACCACAAGGCTAGATAGAAAATCTATAATCGGAAAGCGCCGTTGACGTGGCGCATGGCATTTTGACCCCATGGAGTGCCTTGTCTACGCGCCGGCTCCTGGTACTTCGTGCCACCACCAACGATGTGGTCAAATAGGGGTTGGACAAGAAAGAATAACTGGTTTTCTCCTCTGAGGCTGTCCGGTTGTCATTTACTGGATGCGTTAAAAACAATTGTATTACGCTGTACCCAAGATGCGTATGTTGGCCCCGTATAGAGGAAGGTGAGGTGATAACCTAAAGCAAGGGTCAGCTGATCGACTAGCCCTGCCTACAGAATTGAAGCCTCGGCATGCCTACAGAACCCGAAATCTATGACAGCCAACATATTGAGGCCTCATGCGATATATTCAGTGCTATTTATAAGTGTAAACCTGCCTGGAGGAGATGGTGGGAGTCTAGGAAACGCCAGCCTGGTGGTGGCTTGGTCAGTCGGACTGTGCCATCTGGGTAGCACGACCTTCACATCCCTGATTCAATCAATGACTGGCTCCCGTAGAGAACACTAAGCATGCTAATCTCTCCAGCTACTAGGATACAGATCCCTCTAAAATCAATATCACATGCGTCGGACATGAAGACCGATAAGGCTGGCGCCAACGACACCGGCGCTTACATAAACTCTATTTGATTAAACGAAGTTATCAGGCCAGCCTCCGACCTATATTCATGGGCCTGACCACGGTGCCCAGCGCTGGTACCAAGTAACTCATTCGTCTACTCTGCGACTTCTTTCTTCTGTGTTCTCAATCGATTCATGACAGTGAATTTGTAATTCACAGCAGCCTATATTGTGATGTCACTCCAGGGATCTTTTGGCCATGGCTCGTGGAGACTGTGCCATTTTCTTATTCTTTCCACTAGCTACCTGGCTGCATCCATGCCATGGTCTCACCAGCCTCATTCACTTCAATTACGAGCCTCACCAGATTGTCTTGACTTTCCTAATTGTACTTGTCTCGGCGGAATTCTTTCATGCATAATTGAGTTCTCCATGGACCTCTATTGCGCCATCGAGTACGGTGCTGCCAATTCAACATCCTGTTTACTTCCAGATCCCAGCTCCTCCATAGCCATCATGAGCACGATTCCATCCATGACTGAGACATCAACCGCGTCAACCGCATCAACCGCTCTATCAGAACAGAGTACGAGAGCCTCCCTAACAATGGCTTCATCCGCGATCCATACGGACTCTACAACACCATCACCATCCCCTACCCAGTTATCAACAACCACAACATCACGAACACATCCAGCTACGGTTTCCCTTCCATCAGCGTCTCATACGGCTTCCAGCGGGACCCTTTCCTGCACGCAGCCAAGACCAACCGATGCTCCTTCCGTCACTGACCTGATCGAAGATATCACCTGGAACAACACGGGTGGCTATCCTGCGTTTGTGAACAAGCTCTGTGGAATAGTAAGCGATTTATCCCGTAATCCACACACAGATAACTAAACAACACTCAACAGCCTATGAGCGTCCTATTCTATAACTCGTCGGACCCATACGCCTGGTGGGTTGGAGAGAATTGGTCACATTACATGGGCACAATTCGACGAACCGATATTAAAAAACCATTGGAGAATTGTCACACCGCAATGACGGCTTTGTTCAGCGACTGTATTGTTAATGCAAATTATTACGGGGGGACATGGACCTCGGTTCAGGAGATGTATAATATCTCAGACCTGGTATTTCATTTCTCCCCTTGTATGTGAGGTAATGTGGTTAAGCTAACTATGTGTGAATGTTAGATATATCCTCAAAGTCCTTCGGGGTCGTTCTTCCCTTCGCTTGATATCAAATCGTCGTTTAGCTTATAGTGTTGTCACAGCGGGCCATCCATCCTTCGGGGCCTATTATCTCTGTTTACGTTTCGTCCTTCTACCTTATTTCGATAAATTTTGAAGCTACCTGTAGTTAAACGTAGTCGACCATCCAAGCTGACCCTGCCTTAATAGAAATAGTCTATCTATCGGGTTGAAACACTCACAAGATGGTTCTACTACAGCCCGGAATAACCAGATTCTATAACCAGGAGATGCTCGCGAGTTCGCTTTGGACTGTATTCCTGCAGACTTGGGCCATATTTTGAGTGATAAAAGGAATAGTGTTTCTTAATGGTGATTATTTCTAAGCGGAAATTACATCTATCGTATTGTTATAATCCTCTTGAATATATTTCACGCTTTCTGCGAGCCAGAAGTCGTGGGGTAGGAAGTCCATGACCTGGCCTGGCTGGTAGATCTCTCCTCTTTCTCTCTTCTACCTACTTTGTTAAACTCCATATTCATAGCAGTAGTAGGTTTATTCAACATGCAGCAGAAAGAAAAACGGAACCACTCTGCAATCCTTATACTGAGTGACATCTAGTATTCATTCTTCTCCGGCGTCTCCCATGGAACGTAGCCACATGTTAAGCTGAGATTATTATACACATGAAAGATGTAGAAGATAACTTCCAATACAAGTATAATTTCAATCTTAATTGAATACCTTTTATCCCCGACATTTAAGACTAGATTATGATGTTCATTTTCACAGAATCTTGTATATTAACTTATATACATAAGCTTAAATCCAGTTTAAAAATAAGCTTGATACAGACTAAGTACGATAAAAGAGTTTTCTCTTGGATAAAGTTATAACAGTGGCAGGATTCAACCCTGCAGCTTTCTGAATATGATCCTCCAATCATACTCCCTTAATTCAGTGCCACCAGTGGTGCCCTTCTACCATTGCACCACCGTCACCACAGACTAGATATTTATATATCCTCTGAAATAATGTTTTGGATACTTAGAATCCCAGCCAATCAGGACGCTATCCATCAATAATATCAATATCACTTCAACGAAGCAAGGACCCAGCTCTTTTGTAATTAAGCATCAATCTCGCTCTTGCCTTTTATAAAGTATTGCTGAATAAGCAATATTATATGGAGTAGTTAAGGAAGATAGATATAGCTAGCAAGTATATCAAGCTCAAATTTGAATTGCGTCGTTAATCAACACCAACTACAATGTATAAAGGCAATAAATGACTACAACATACATGGCTATTCTAGAAACACTGCACGATGCCTCACCACATCCTTTTGGGCTTGCCTTATATACAATACACTCCTGATAAAATAGACTAGATGTTTGCTTAACGTCCTCAGCTTTTCTCCAACACCGGTCTACAAAGTAATCCATATGCAACGGTTTGGAACTCACTTGAAATGAGATGATTGTACGGGCATATATGACAATATTGAATATAGTATGCTGCTTGCGTGAAGGAGAAGTACAGATGAAACCGAAACCAGGCCCACAAGAAAGATTGAAGAACGTCTGATGAATCGAAGGAGTCAAAAATGGACACAGGACTTGAAGCTAGCACATGAATGTCAAACCCATAATCGTCAAGAAATCTTGAATCTTCGTTGTCGGACATTTAGTGCTGGGCAGTCTTCCTCTCTCCACTTTCACCTTCACAGTCTAGAACCGTCGCCAGTAATAGCTCCAAGCCTGATGTGCGGCAGAGGACGCAGGTTCCAAAGTTGCTTCCGGAGTTCGGTGATTCCTGATGTGTTTGTATGTCAGCACTCACTTTTCGCTCCACCATGTCAGTGATGCTGGTTATCTCGTGGTTCCTTCAGATGGCGGATCCTCGCTCTGTAGAACCTAATCCCCCTATTTGGCGGTTTGATTCCACCAACAGAGCTATGGTGGATACATACCTCGGGCAATGTCATGCTTAATATCTTCTGCTCGTCTCTTACACCAATCCCGGCTGTCCTGGAGTTCCGAACAGTCATTTTGGAGATGATCAAGGCCAGTATCCATCCTGGGGCGTGTTTCCTGCATGCATTCGGATCGTCTGTAGCCACTCAGCAGACCTCTCTCCGGGCGTGGGAGTTCATTCAGCCTTTTCATAGCCCTATATATATCGTATAGCCAGCGATCCTTAGCATTCTGAGTAATCGCTCGGCTCAACTCTGCATCGTAAAAGTGGAAAGGAGACAAGATGTTATCGATTCTCATATAAGGGCGGTTTTGCCGGTGTAGGACGTCCCGAACCAAACGATGGGCTGCCTTTTGCCAGAAGGACTGCGTGAGTGGTGCTTCATACTCTCGAACACATAGTGACACCAATGCCTCAAAAAATGGTTCTGGTCCTGGCATTTTCACTGGCCAATCCTTCTCCGAGGGCCGATCCGAGAGTTGGATAGTCTCATGTCGAAATTTCTGATCCGAGGTGAGGCAGTAGAAGTAGGAGTCTTCCCACCCAAGACGTCCAACCGGAGGATCGGGGAAAGTCCAGCTAATGCGAGACTTTCGAAACAGGTGAATTGTCTGCTTGACGTTCAGTTGCGATGGGGGGAGATAGACATAGTCGCCCATAGACCATCCGGCACGATTATCTCCATCGCGCGATAACTTGGCCTTGTCCAGTATTTGGGCAGCTTGGTCGATATAGCGATCTGGGATCACCCAAAGGAGGAACCGTCGGTGACCAGTGAATGGTTGATCCACTGAACATTTTGACCCACCGAAATAAATAGGGCACTAATCAGGTGAGTCGGTCGGTTTTTCCAATCGGGCCAAATGTTCATCATTGATTACATCAAATACGGATGTTCCGAGGATGTTCAAGACTCGTTCACCCCATATGCAGTTAGGGATTCCTGCCTCATCCAGGAGGCGCGATATATAAGACTCGAGCTTGGAGATCGGATTGCTGACTTCAGACATGTTGCTGTGAATGTATAGAAGTTGTTGAACATAACTGAGCGGAGACTTCTGCTGGTCTGGTCTTATATATGCTTTGCGGGCCTGGAGTGAGCATTGTCACAAGGCAAGCCATGAATGCAGACATGCAGGTCAGGGACCCCCCATTTATTCGATTTAGACCGGGCTATGCATGGCAATGAGAACAAAGCGCCAACATATGCTATACCCAGTCCAATCCTAGTAGTAGGTGGAAACCTCCTATTTCAAACCTATCACTCCCCAGAACACAAAGAATATATCCACAACTTGAAGCCGGATAAATGCTACACCCCTCTGAAAGGTTGTGGCATGTGATGGTGAGCAATTCAGGCGAAGTGCAATATGACAAGCGCAGGGTCCAGTATATACAGCCTCGTTATTCTTTTCCATGATCCTTTGATCCATTTCCTTTTTTCTTTTCCCTCTTTATTTCTATTTCCGGGAACCCTCCTTCTCATTACATTCTTTGTCTCTTTTTTTTCTTTTTCTTTTTTTTTTTCTTCAATTCCCCATTGGCTTCCCGGGAATCCGCGGCGCGAATATCCATCAATCAAAACTTTCCCCATCTTTCTTTGTCTGTCGTTTCACTTTCGAAACCAACAATTCCAATTACTCAACGACCAGAGAAGGTACACACCTTTTCCAACTGTAAGCCATAAGGGTACTCCCTGCCCAACTTCAGGGTCTAGTCGTATATATAGTATATGATGGAGTTATTCCGTTTGAGCTCCATCTATATTCCAGATTGTATTCTTCTTGTATGCTTTCCCCTCTAGATTCAATTTGATTTGATTCAAGTGTCCATTAATTTAATGAAGCCACCCACATGATATGCGCGTAGTGACTACATAAGTGATACATTCTATCTAATACGAAAACTTCCCAACATCCTAATCCAGAGCTAAGCAAACAACAGTAAACACGCATCCAGAGACATATACTGACAGATAGATGATTTCTTGATATTCTTTAATGATTCAACATGGAATCACTATCATGAAAATCTACATCCATATTCAAACTCTCTACCATACAGATACTTACAGATAGAATAAATGCTAATAACAGGAATTAGCTATGTGGCTCCTAAATACATAGAAGAGCACCCCCCCCCCCCCACCTGTTCTTTACATCTAGGGACTTTCTCATGGTGTTCTACCATTACACTTGCAGACATACTAGTAGACCCAAGATGACAAAGACAGTCCCGGAGACAGATACTCTTTAAGCTGATATACTCCTGGGTTTTTTTAAACTGCTGCATGCCCAAGATTCCACTGTAGTAAGTGTTGTCGTAGCCAAAGACTAGAGCCCCGATCGCGGAGATGGAGCAGTAGATCAAGGCCCATAGAGTCCATCGACGAGAGGTACGCGAAACACGGAATGATGAAAGCCGCCCCCCACGTCGTCCTACATGCAGCGAAGGAAACCATTCGCTCGCTTGGTTCTGATGTCTTCCCCTCCCGGATGGCACCCCCACGGAATGTGCCTTGGATTGCGGGGGAACCAATGGGCGGACCAGGCTTGCGTAGTGAAGCGCCCTAACCTTCCGGATTCGATTGTTTATAGGCAAGCGGACTGGAACAGAGCGTATCGTCCTGGCCCAAGGTCATCTATCTGATCGTGACCGAAGATTTGTCCGCACCGCGAGTCATTGATGTCGATTGAGAGTCTCTCGTTGGCAGAATACGGGAAGGTTTATTGATGTTCTGGTTATATAAGTATCGTGGAGCTTATGTCGGAGTGAGACGACTGCGAAATGATTGTGTTTCTTTCATCATACATGCGGAATGAAATCAGTCCACTCGACATTTACAAACGAACTCCATGGTAACCGTCTCAGACTAATAAAGGCCTCGATGATTATATACATGCGGGCCGGCACCAGGCACGCACTAATAAGGGACATGGTGACGTCCAGCACCCAGGCCCGCCACCCGCGTTCTTCCTTGCCGCTGGGTTGAACCCAGATCCACGTCAAGGACTGGTGGCCGTGGAAGCCACATGCTGTGAGTGTTACCCGCAGCATGCTTGACAAGGGGAGACCGGAGGCTAGGAATACACTCATGACGCGCCACATCGTCTGTTCGGTGGTCGTCGGAAACACGTGGTTCCACCCTAACAGATGGACGGCCGGGTGCACCATGGCCTGGAGGGACACCAGCAGCCAAGCCCGTTGGCTCAGGCCGCTGAACACAATCTTATCATCTGGCATGCGCTGTAGGGGCTGGTCCTGTGGACGAAATTGCTCGAGTGTGGGCCGGCGATGCCACCGCTGTAGTGGTTTCTCAACAAAATCCAGCGGCGTCTCACGAAAGGGCTCGACTCCGATCTCTCCAGCACTGTTGATGAGGCTGGTAACAGACCCGCTCTTGAGCTCAATGATAGTAGGCACACCCACATTCTGTGGCTTGTGCAGCCAGAAGTAGTAGGTGGTGATGGTGGAGAGCACAAAGGCAATGGTAAAGAGCTCTAGCGGGGAGACGGCGAGGCCCTGCGCCGCCCGAGCGATGGATTGGACGACTAGCCAGACCCCCTGCACCAAGGCCACGCATTTGGCAAACGTATCCGCCTTGCTCTTGTCCCAGATCTCCGCCTCGGTAATGGTGGGGCAGTCGATGTGCTGTGTCTCGACGAGGTAATGGATGGAGGCGGCGGTAATGGGGAAGGGAGGGTAGTCAGTCGAATGAAGGACAAAGCCACCGCTGTTGGCGTAGAAGGCGTGTTTAAGAGACCAGTCCTTGTAGCCGAGGCCGTGCATCTTAGCCACCGATTCCTGTGCTGACTGCCACTGCATGGCCGAGAAACCGACGAGCATGTCGGGTGCGAGAATGGCAAATGTGCCCCAGCGAAGCTTGCGCCCGAGAACCGTCCATGTACTATCATCGGGAGCCGGGATGTTCAGGTGAAGAACCGTCCAGAGAGCGGTCGAGAGCACCAAGCAGCAGCCCCAGAGGATATCAATAGTACCCCGATCGTTGGGGCCGTCTACCCAGCCGCTCATTTCTTTCTCCGGTAGGGGGGCCATGATCAGCGAAGTCAAAGGCTTCCCTTCTCCTTCCTTCGAGGATGGTAGTCACCGCGAATCACGATATGAGAGTCAGACGGGTACAAATAAGAGCACCCCCTTGCGAGATGCTCGGCAGGGAGATGATTAATGAACCCCTCCCAGTGTTGTGTCATGACGGATCGCCTTTCGGCCAGTGGTGCACTAGCGCACATGCAGGGGATGCAGATACGGAGTAAAAAGTCAGAGGACAAACCTAGGGGCGAGGTTAGCCGATGATGGCGTAGATGCCTGTTGCAGACTAACGTCCCAAAGGGTACAAGTGTGCGGTAATAATATGAGGATTGGCATGCTGCAGGAGCTGCCAGGCCTAGACACAGGGTCCTTCTCAAGCGAAAACAAATCAACTCTCATAATCAGGTGCATCATCAAAGCCAAGAAAAAAGTCCGGATTGCAACACGACACTAATGGCCTGACCATGTAGAATCCGAGGCATAGTGCGTGCGCCAGTGAGCAAGCCCTGAGGATGGAGATTGGGAGGCTTCCTCTTGGGCCTGCAGTAAGCCTACACCTACAACCGAGACGGTGGATGGCTGAAGCGGAGGAGCGGTAGACTCGTCTGCAGGAGCGAGGAGAAACGTGGGTTCTGGATCAATTAACTTGGCTTTTAGTGGCACCAGGGCCCGTCCGCGATAGGCCGAGAGGGGCCGCGGTGGGGGGGGGACCGGACTGTGAAGATGAGTGCTGAGTGCTGACAGGTGCTGAAGCGAGGAGTTGCTGGTGGAGATCGGCAAACCCTTGCGGGCCCCGACTAACGGGATGGAGGTGTCATTCCGCCGGTGCATCCCTGAAGAGCAGCGATTGTCGCGGGTTTTCATTTGAAGCAGACCCATGGCCGCCAATGAGACCTCCTGAGCACTTTGGGGGCCAAAAAGACCGATGCAACATCTCGGCGATTTGACTCGGAAGGGAAGACTCGTCGGATTGTACAGCAGGGCACTCTCTGCAGTCTGACTCTGCACACCCATGCCTCGTGGCTGGCCACCACGTGAGCCCCTGGTCCTGGATGCATGTTGACAGTGGGTCAAGAATGACCCTGTACAACATTCCCAGGCAGATTGTACCCTGTCCAGCCGACTCCCAAGTCCACTGTATTATCCTGAAAGCTGTCGACCTTATTCGATCAGTGGATCAACCTGAATCTGGTGGGACACACCGAGCACTCCGCGGCCGGGAAAAGTCCGGTCGCTCATTTCCAGTGGAGCATTGTAGCTCTTTCCGTTTATCGATCTCCCCCACCACAAAGGTTCGGTCGCAGAGAATATAGGTAATCTCTTCCTCATGCAATTCGTTGTAGGCATGTAGATCGCAGCGATCAAGGAGGTTGTTCTGGATGGTATCGGGTATGCCCCGGCCATTTCTTTTTGAACTCCATCTCACATCTGCACGCAATCTCAAAATATTAATGTGATCCTAGCATCATCTTAGTAGACAGCCAAATTCACACAGGACTTTCAGTGATCTTCCTGCCAGCATCTCAGTGTCGTGGACCACGCATCATGGGACCTCCAGTGACTCACTATATGAGACTGCCGGCTGCGATAAGCCACTGGTTCCGATCTGCAAATCCTCGAGCCGTCTGGCGTACAAGGTAATGCTCCAGTGATTGCCACATATGCAGTGTAGGAAGTCAATCGTCGCATTCGGAATGGATCGTCGGGATGCACGCGACGCTCCACCCGAGAGATAACATCGGAGATAGATCAGACAGGGATGGCTGTTTAGTTTTGCAGGAACACAGGCTCTGACAACATACCTACCTATCCTATGATCGACATCCCCCCCAACTGGTATCCCTTCGGACGATATCACGGCTGAATTCAAAAGACCCAATGGTCAAAGACAGCCCCCAGGTCGGCGGGGGTGAAAGGCATCATATCATCCGCAATCTCATAACCATCAAGTGAAATCTCCGGAAAGTCATCAAACTCGGGCGGAATAGAAGTAATCGCCTTCTGGGGCTCTAGCACTTCATCCACCATTTTCAAGAAATGGTCTCCAAGCGAGAGGTAAACACACTCACGTCCCGGATGAGTGCGCCCCGCGCCCCTTTGTATGGAAGGGTCTTGCCATTGCGAGTGTGCTCTTGCAAAGACGTGATGAACAAACACACTGGCACTCGGAAAGCCGTACAGCAGTAACTGCCCCGTCATTACCAATTTCTTTGGGAATTATGACGAGGATGTTCCCACCGCCGAGATAAATCACGCTGGATGTTCACTGTATGCTCGCGATGTTGAGCCACAGTCAATACGGTCGACAGTATCTTCATACTGACATCGAGCAGCTGATTACCACTGTGCGGATCGTGTCGAACAAGAAGCCGTTCCATCAGAAACTCATTGTAGAGATACGTTAGGTACGCCAGGGTAAGCATGAGGCAGACGCTGACCGGTAGGCCTTGCATCCAGCAGGTGGGGGAGAAGTGCAAGTGGCCCGGAAGCGACTCCCATGTTGGCTGACACCGACGAGAAATATCTCTATTGCAAGTGCGTCGGAGTATCAGCATCCCAAACACCGTGATTATGGCGTGGGGACGCTGTCCGCATGGCTTACCTCAGTTGATCCGCTGTCTTAGAACTTGGATAATCCAGCGATAACTCTAGGATCTCCTCCCAGAAAGTGCTCATTAAGAATCGGACTCTATTCCAAGACGAGCGCCGGTGAACCTGATCTGACTGCGACCATCAATTGTCATCTAAAGAGCTCAGAGCGAGCGAGAGGCGGAGGTTATCCGCCAGGGAATCGTCATCAAGAGCAAGGGGCAGTTTGCAGTCCGAATGCCTGCGAGAAATTATTGGCGGCCTCCCAAGAAAGGTTGCGATATTCTTATCCAGTTGATACGCCGCAGCAAAAGATCTACGCCGCGATTCTCGTAAGAAAATGGGAGGGTTTCCAAAATCACGGTGCAAGCCCATCTCGAAAATACTGGTCGATAGCCCTCCCAGCCTATGCCATGTCACTGAACCTGCATATCTATTAGCGATGAAGTGGATAAGGTAGAGTTGCACAGAGGGAATTATGAAACACGAGCCATATCCACATTTACTAGGATAGCTATGAACCAAGCTGGAAATTAGCACGCTCTCGTGCAATGTCCAGATTGTCAGATCGTTAGTCAGTGTGACCATTCTGCATATAGTGGTTACTAGATCATTGATTACCATCATCCTCTTTGGAAATTCTGCTCGGCGTGCCGCTCCAGTCGGTCCGCGAAACTTATCCTGGCCTAGAGCAAAACAACAGGCCTGGCCGGCGATAGCACAAAGGACGCCAATAATATCCAGCCGAAGCTGTTTTCCAGTGGATAGCTCATGAAAGGCGTTCCCCTCCAGCCGATTAGGAATGACAAGTGACTGGGAAGCGTTTCAAAGGACGGATAACGTGGTGATCTGTGGATGTTGTATATCCTCAATATACATCTGCTCAAGAGCATTGAGGATTAGTGGGGCTGGAACCGCCGCTGCCTGGCTCACGTCATAGAATTCCCGGACCAGCTGATAAATTGTGGATAGATCATCGAGACACTGCAGAACCTCTCTCGTTTTGTACACCCAGTAGGGAGGCAGGGAGGCGAGTCCACTATAATCCGGTCTTTCAAAGGAGAGGGGACTAGCCGAAATGGACCCCATCTCACGGTCTTCCGCTAAGGCATCGACAAAGCTCATGGGTCCGAGATACCCTGTAGGCAGAGAGCGATCTACTCGGGGACTGTGGAACGATTTCTCAAGATATGATAAGTCGTGACTGGCACTCCGAGAGGTTGGCACCGTCACGCTCCCGGATATATCGAGACAGGATGTACTAGACCGGATATCATCCTTCTTAGAAGGCGCCACATGAGGTGAGCTTGTGGTATCAACCAGATTAACTGCAGTTCGAGTCAATGGCGCCGGGTGGTAAAAGCAGCGCCCGGAGATGCGGCGTCTCTGGCAGCGGGTGCAGACGGGGTGCCGATGGTCGCAGCGGACCTTGTCCTTGCGACAGGGCTCGCAGGAGGCCTGCTTGCCATTCCGACGCCGGATGCGTAGATCTGCCTGAACAAATCAAACACGATCCAAGATTCATGGATGGATGTGGATGATGGAAACTGATATCGGGAGGGAAGCAACGTGAGCCATCGGCGTTGGCCCCATCGGGGTTCGGAGTTCGGGGCTCTGAATCAGAAGAACCAGTGGTAATTTATAACACTGGAATATGACCAATATAACAAATCCCCTTGGATAAACACGGCTGATATGTATGCAACTGGTACTCTACTAAACAACATGACTCATAGTAGGGCGCTAGAAGACTAGGGCTCGGGATGGGCTGCTCTCGGGGACTCCAATGAAAGCGACCTTTGGGATCGAGGAAGTCCTTTGATGGTTCTGAATGATGTGATAACGCAGCAGCAAGAGATTCACCTTTTGTACACTGCCGATGGGTGCAGGAAAATAGCGCTTGTTTCGGTATGTCTGGATATGGCCTCTTCTCCGGCTGTCCACGGGGATGACGCAAGGCATGCTGATTAGATGCAGAGCTGTGGGAAAGGCTACGACCCGGTGATGCTGGCACTGCATGGCTTGACACATCTTCTCAGAGGCCAGGAAGTGTGCTTGACTAGACGACGGTGCCCCGTAGTACTCCGCAGGTTTGCGCGAGATGGGGAGAGTCTTTTTTTGATGGGGTACGGGAAGTGGGGCGGCAGATCACAGGGCGGTCAGTGGATCAGCGAATATGAACGCGAGATTGCAAGAGGAAGATGACATGATCTTCATGTAGATTGGCCTTCGATATTCAAAACAGTGACTTTCTATTTGTTTGAACACCAAGCTATTCCTGACCATGGCAAGGAGAAAGTAAAGAAGGCGTATGGTGGGCACTGGTTGGCGTCCCTTTCGCGCCTCCATAGAAGTCCAGTAGTGACCCGACCCGTGGACATCAATGCAGTCAGAGATTAGATATTTTTTCCATCAATCGGTGGTTTTTTGCTCCAATGCCAGAATTAGGAATCCTGCTATAGACTGTGGTACATGAGACGCGATCTTAATACGCTGAGTCAGCAAGGCGCATTCAAACGGCTGTTCAACAACACCAGGGATTCTATGAGAGAGACCCTGGCGCGCAGAGACATGCTACCGAGGTGAATATAGCTACAACAGCACAAGAAGATCTGGGGAAACTACTTGATCAAAGGGAATTGTCGCCCGCCGCATTCTGCCATTGGCTCAATGGTGGTCTGATGGTCCCCGCATGGTTGTTGCATCATGTGGCTTCCTAGTTGCTGGTTCTCACAGTGTGCTCGCAACTGTGATTCAAGTACTGAGTTGTGTTCCAAGAGGCGATGCCAGGCGAGGCGTCACAAGACTTTGCTTGATAAGGTACTCAACAAGTCTTGGAGCATGTTTGTCCCCGCCTTCCATATTGACGGGAGGCTCAACACCAGTACAAGAGTCCTTCAGGGGATACAATTCTCCGCAAGGGACACGGAACATGCTACACATGAGGCCCAGGGAACCTCGTGGCTACTTAGGAGTCTGCGGGACACAGGGGCCGCACAGAATTGGTCGCCGCGTGGCTGTATACTGCCGTTACGTACCGCTTCGGCGAGAACAGGGGTAAGGCAAGGCATCCCCAGCCATGTACTGGTAGTTCAGGGCCGCCGGTCTGCGCCAATTGCTAGGACACAGGTGTCCTCGTGAACATTCTCTCTGGGATGAGCTTTCTCTATCTCTGCACTATCACTCTTAATCCCTCGCTGCGGATCCAAGAACCACCACCAAGACCCCCAAGGCCACATCTGCCGCCCCAGCGCTATAACTACGCGAATCTGCCTTCTGCCCGTGCGACTCGACCGGGGGGTAGAACACCCACAATCTTGATGAAAGGACATTCCAAAGCAGGCATTACGGATATTGCAGGCGCAACTACAAAAGCTACAACATGAGTGCACGCCAACGACCCAAAATCGCTACCCGGCTTCTGTGCCGACCGGAAAGGAAGCCGTCACAAGCAGGTAGTCCTTCTGAGCAGCCACCCTGATTTCCTCATACGATTACCTCGAACTACAAATACAAGTCCTCCACACCGTTGTCCCAGGACCGTCGAGAGCTTTACCGAATGAAGGGATCCCTCACCTACGGCAAGCTTCACCAAGTACGAAGCGGTGCTACTGGAAAGTGCGTTGAACCAGGTGACCCCCCAGACAAGAGCACTAACCAATATCACCGTCTACTAGTCTCCTACATATCGTGGTCAGAAAGCCGTTCTACTTCCCCCGAATGTGCTCCATGTGTTTGATAATTGGCTTTGTCGGGATGCCTCCTGGCCCGCTGCGACAGAATCCCGAATGCCCAAAAAGCAACGACTGGAGCTGTATACAATCCCGCGTCTGAGCCCCCGCATCTCGCCCATATTCCAACTTCCTCTGTGTGCTTGCCAAGCTCTGACTCTCAGTGTGTCCACATACAGGAACATCTCCCATCCCCTGCATAACGGCCGCCTCGAATTAGTCTCCATCCGACACAGGCTTCTCCGTCTCCCTTGCCTAGACCGCCTCAGATCCCTCATAATCCTTGTCCGAATCGTGAACTTTCCGCCCGGTAGTTTGAGATTTGCAGCTCAAGGTGATCTGGAGTATGCTGAGAGAACAGCTGGGAAAGCCGCTGGGGGTCGTTTGGCGAGACATGTAGAGGGCCATGTGGAGAGATGTTTCGAGAGCCGTTTAGATGAACACTTGGAGAGCACTGGGAAAGCCGTTGGGATGGACATTTGGCGACCCGCTGGGAGAGCCATTTGGAAAGCTGCTAGGATAGACATTTGGCGACCCGCTTGGGTGACCGCACGTCGCCCGTAGGACAGGAACTAGTAGTAGCACATCCTGTCTGCAAGCATGACGTGCTTAGCTTGAACAAATGGCGCCGAATTACTAGATTCATACGACGCCAATACCACTTACCTCCACAATCCTGCTCCACTATCCAAGCTCTGCCGTCGGGCTGGTCGTCGCCATTACTCCATGCGTAAACTTGCGGTTCAAAGGCCTCACGATCGGTGTTTTTTGACTTTAACCTGCTACCTCAAGCTCTACCCAGCGGGATTCGGTCATATTGATGGACAGCGGCTTCCACCGGACAACAAGATATTTTGTGCCTGGGGGGACTGGGTCCACAGCACGCTGATGACAGACCCACTCAGTCTCCCGAACGTCTTTGCATAACTCGACCACAGACGACTTGCTTCCATCTGCGCTGGACCAGGCCCAGGCTGGTGAAAAGCCGAGTGACTTGACAACGTCAGTGGCCGGTCGGCATGGACGATCTTCGGTTACTTTATTCATAGCGGACTTTTTTCTTGGTCCGAGAATTTAATCAAAATGAATAAGGTAGGCTTGAGACGCAAGGTAGGCAGGCTCAGGACGCAAGGTACGCTCAAAATCCAAGGTACGCTCGGAATGCGAGACACAGTCGGCTTTTTGGACCCGTTCGTGGGTACCATGGCGGGTGTTATATAGCCAGCGCTGGTAAATAGAGTTTGAGGCGGAGCCTAGCTTATTGGAGGACAAATGGCATCTTGGTGATTTAACTGCTATGAACATTGAGGCAAGTTCCGATATCTTCTCCAGGAACAAAGAACTTGATGGCAAGATATGCATCCAAAGTGAATACCAGTCCACGAGCATCCAATCACATCGTGGGGCGGTTGTGGACGTAATCCTATTGGCCGAACCCGCAAGCCGCACCCCACCAGAACTAACGGTTCACATGGGCTGTGTCATCAGTTCACTCAGGCTGTTTCTCATGTGATTGGGTCACTTGCCTGCAGGCATTCCCTGTTCGGTTCCTGGTTCCTGCAGTCATCACTATGATTTTTGATCAAAGCTGTACATTAAGCCTACGCGCAGTGCGTCAGAAGATTGTATCAAGCCACAGATAGATTGTATTGGCCTGCAACCCTTTATTGGCAGAATAATCAATGAGAATATCGCCAGAATCATGCGGCAGGAAGCAACCTGGCATGCCGGTACCTAGTCATGATAGCAAGGCTCAGTCACTGTTGATGGGGTGCCAAGAAGACACCACCCTTTGAACAAAGAAAACTACCTTTTTGCACCGCGATGGCAACAACCACTAAGAAATAAAATCGCGGTCGGCAACAGATTAATTTTTCCCTATACGGGTTCTGGGTCGCTTATTGCGCCTGTTATATGCATCATGGCACACTACACTACGATTAACGATTAGATCCTAGGAGCGATGGTTCCCCCCGGTATTAACCAGTATAGTACTGAAAGATCATGAGTCAAGCAAATGAACATGAGTTGGGATGATTTAGGAATGCTTATGGGGTAAAAGATCGAATCATTGGCGCCTTACTGCGGGGTACATTAGTAGTTATCGGTCAGCCAGACATGAGATCGCAGGTAGGTACCGGAAGATCGTACTTGATTGGACCACGGCTTTACCAGGTTCCATGGTTCAGCACTTCAATAGTTGCAATCCACAGAGTCCCTGAAAGGGAAACGGTTTAGGATTTGCGCTATTGAGCGCTTAATGGTCTGTACTTACTACTTAGATTACTAGTGTATCAGTCGTTTTCTTTGGCTCTGAACCTTGTGCTTGCTGTAATCTAGATTGTTACATACAGTACTCTGTATTGTGATTGGGAGTCCAGTACAGGCCAGAGACTACGGCTTGACGATGCATACTGGCGGGAATCCCCCTTTCTTGATCGCACTGGAAACAGAAATACGTAGTGCTAGCGCTCTTCGCAGACAAGCTCTTCGGATGGTTTCAAAGACATTGTAAAGACATGTAGAGGGCCCCTGTCTAGATGCTGAAGCAGCTCTTCGATCAGCCCCTCGATGAGCTTCTTTACAGGTGCTCCGTAAGGAGCTTGGCAAGCAACCCCAGATCGTCCGCTGGCCGTAGAGGGAGGGGTTCGTTGTTTTTCCCGGCTATCGAATGGTTTCACTGAATACCTGATCCATCATGCTGTTCGCAACAACTACGCATCGGTATCATACCAGTCAATGACAGTTGACTACTGTGACTCGGTGAGTAGGTAGAGCTTAACAGAAGTTGGTGGGTAAAGACGGTTCAACCTCACAATTTGGGAGGCGTTAACGGCCCCCGCGAAAAACCAATATTCTGTATAAAAGTGGTGAGTTATGTATGTATCCAATCCTGGGCAGTGTGATCCAGGGATTGTGGCTGTACTTAGAATGAGGCAAGCGTGTCCAGGCGGGCCTCTTATGAAGGACGGAGTGCAGTTTGTCTACAGTGTTCCGTTAGGTTGCAGCTTTGGGGTCCTGCAACACCAGTCATATCCATCACCTTCTGCTCTGGTTGTCCTATGGTTTAGCTTAGAGGGATGGGAACCATGCTCATCTCCTTGTGCGTCTTGTCGCTGCGCAATTCTTCCATCTACAGGGGCTGGGGTGCGACCGGACAGGCGCCCGATAAGATAACAGGCGACAAGATAAGACCGCCCCTCCACGTGACTTGTGGCCCACCGCTCCGGGCGCGCGCCGACTTTTTTTTTTTGCCTTCCTTTCCTCTTCGCTCGCAGAATTGCTTCTCCCCCTCCCCCGTCATCATTCCTTCTTCGGTCGGTCGCAGCAAAGATGAAATACGTTCTGGTTTCTGGAGGTAAGCCCAGTTGTCTGCTTTGGCCGGAGTCTGGCGGGACGGCGATGGTCACTAGTGTCTTGCCCACTTGCTAACCAACGCGTTCCCCCAGGTGTCATCTCCGGCGTGGGCAAGGGTATTATTGCCTCCAGCACCGGCCTGCTGCTCAAGACCACTGGTCTTGCCGTCACCAGCATCAAGATCGACCCATACATCAACATCGATGCCGGCACAATGGCACCTACTGAGTCAGTATCTGTGGTTCGGCGTCGCGGGGACCATTATTGACATCACCCCACTATGCTAGGCACGGTGAGGTCTATGTCACCGACGACGGTGGTGAAATGGACCTCGACCTGGGCAACTACGAGCGCTATCTCCTCTCCTCCCTCACCCGGGACCACAACATCACCACCGGCAAGGTCTACCAGCACGTCATCAACCGCGAGCGCATCGGCCATTATCTCGGAAAAACCGTTCAGGTCGTGCCCCACGTCACCGACGCGATACAGGAGTGGATTCAGAGGGTGGCTAAGATCCCCGTGGATGATTCCAAGGCGGAGCCGGATGTCTGCATCATTGAGCTGGGTGGCACGGTCGGTGACATCGAGAGTGCACCCTTCATCCACGCTCTGAGCCAGCTCCAGAGAAAGGCTGGCAAGGGCAACTTCATCCAGATCCACGTGTCCTACGTGCCGGTCATTCCCCCGGGACCTGGCGGCGAGCAGAAGACGAAACCCACGCAGAGAGCCATCAGTGATTCGCGGAGTGCTGGTCTCAACCCCGATCTGATCGCTTGTCGCTGCGAGCAGCCATTGGAGGAGAGCACCATCCAGAAGATTGCCAACATGTGCTCCGTCGAGCAGCGCCAGGTCATCGCCGTGCACAACGTTACTACCACCTACCACGTCCCACTGCTTCTCGAGAAGCAGAAGCTGATCGACACCATCACCGACATGCTTGACTTGAAGTCTATCCAGCAGAGCCCGGAGCGGAGCGAGAAGGGCAGCCGGATGTGGAACGACTGGGTTTCTCTGGCCCGCGGGCAGGATTTCCTCCACGACTCGGTATCAATTGCCCTGGTTGGCAAATACACCTCCCTTCACGACGCGTACATCAGTGTTTCCAAGGCTCTGGAGCATGCCGCGATGTACTGCCACAAGAAGGTGAATATCATCTGGGTGGACTCGTCTCATTTGGAGGACGACACGGCTTCCCCCGCCGATTACCACAAGGCATGGCACGCCGTGTGCACCGCCGATGGTGTCCTGGTGCCCGGTGGCTTCGGTAACCGTGGTACCGAGGGTATGATGAAGGCCATTACCTGGGCGCGTACCAACAACAAGCCGTTCCTGGGAGTGTGCCTCGGTATGCAGCTGGCAGTGCTGGAGTTCTGCCGCAACGTGGCTGGCATCAACGATGTTGGCAGCGAGGAGCTTCACCCCAAGGCCGAGAACCACGCGATTGTCTACATGCCCGAGGTTGACAAGGGCAAGCTCGGCGGTACTATGCGACTTGGCAAACACCCCTGTATCTTCCAGGAGAACACCGAGTGGTCTCGTCTGCGCGGACTATACGGATCCGTGTCGCAGATTGAGGAGCGCCATCGCCATCGGTACGAGGTGAACCCGGCTATGATCGAGCAGATCGAGGAGGCCGGTCTGTCGTTCATTGGCAAGGACGTCAAGGGCGAGCGGATGGAGATTGTCGAGATCAAGGACCACCCCTGGTTTGTGGGTGTGCAGTTCCACCCGGAGTACCTCAGTCGGGTGCTGAGCCCCAGCCGAGCCTTCCTGGGATTCTTTGCTGCGGCTGCCGGGTGCTTGGATGAAGTGACCAAAGCTGTCAACCAGGGCCAACGGAGCATTGGGAGAAAGCAATAGATTTGTTTGGGGGAAGACGGGGATGGAGTTTTGGTGAGAAGGATTCTATTGACGGTGCAAGCCGTCTGGGTGTTTTGGTTTTCCTGGTGGCCTCGCAGCCGTGACTCAGCATCATGACGCTGCACCGGGGATATATTCAATAATTATCGTCAAGAAGGTGTCTTGCTTGGATTTGCTTGTTAAGATTGGCACTTCAGGACATGTGAACTCACGTTAATAAAAGTATTGGTCATGGCTGGCCCTCCTTAGATTATAGACAATACATTGGTTTAGCAGTCAACTGCTCGCGTGCTATTTTCCCTCCATGACATTGGGTATTAGTAAGCATATGCATTGCTGATTATGCACACAAACCTTCTCCCATGAATAATTGGAGTCATCATTTACACAGTATCTGGGGAACCCCCTAACATTTGACGTAGTCTCAACCCCAATAATCCAACCCCACTCACAGATCCCTACTCTCAATCAATGGATCATTGACTCGACAAACCTCTGCATTAATTCCGAGAGTAGATCACTCCGAATCATCCAACCTACATTGGCATTTCTCGTTAACCGCATCCGGTCGTGGCAACATCCAATCCCAATATCCAAAAATCCATCCCTCCAATAAACATCCAATAAATGTATATCCTCATCTCCCCATGCCAACCAACCAAAAAATCCTTTCACCCAACGTAGATCAATCGATACACTCCTTCCCAGGGTCCAATTCAATCCACTCGCCTCCCGGATCCGACCAAACCCCGACATTTTCCCCTGAACGTGATAACCGCTGTGGAAATTATAGTTCAACTTCGCCCCCCCTGCCCCCTCCTCCCCGCAACTCGACTCGCCAAGTAAGTACGTGCATGCAGATCGGGGGGTTTCCCGGACTGTCGGGAGGCGATCACGATGAGCTTGGCCGAAGTGGCAATAGCTTTGTCGATCAGAGAGTGCTGTGCTCCGGTTCTTCTCATCCAGAATCCAAGCCGCCAGGAGACTTGTTAATTGAGTAAGTAATTACTCAGTGTTTTAGATTTCCCTTATCTATCTACCTACCTACCTACCTACCTACCTACCTACATATCTATCATTCGTATAAGCACCGAATCCCAGTAAAGAACTGGCTTTCCATCATACAAACCAAATCCCAATCACCATCATAAAACATAGAATATAGAATAGTATATTAAATTCATAATCCATCTAAACGTCCCATCTGCCCCTTCTAATAGAAAAAAGAAACCGAAAAAAAAAAAAATAATCTAAACAGTACTCACAACCCTAACCTCCCTCCTAACACTTATCCCCGCCCCTTTCCCATCCCCATCCCCATCCTTCCCCAAAATCGGCATATGATCTTCCAACACCATCTGACTATCCCTCTGCTCCCCCGTCTCAATACTATACATCGTCGTCCCATACAACCGATCCACGGGCGTTCGTCTCGCATCCGAATCCCCATGCGGCGTTTCAAGCGAATGTAACGGCATCGATCGACTGCGTTTATTGTTTCGGGAGGACGGCCACCCAGACGAATCGTTCGTGGAGGGGTTGAATGTGCGAAGGAGAGGACGGAGAGTTGCCAGACTGCCGGCGAAGATTCCCAAGCCGGTTTCGATGTTCGACCAGATTGCGATGGGGGTTGTTGCCCCTGATTCCTTTTGGTTAATTTCGGGGGTTGGATTGGGGTGGAACGAGGGAACATACAAAGATAATCCATACTATACAAAGTATTAATATACGGAATTCGAATGATCACCGCAATCGAAGCCCTACACCACACCACACCACACACCACCAGATTAGCCATCACCAAAATTAAACCATGAAGCAGAGGGTGGGGGAACCATACACACAAGCCATACCCAACAACCCCGCCACAGCAATCTTCACATCCCTCCTCATCTTCAACTTCCTGACCAAAAGAATCGGCAACACCGCAATGGTGAGATCAAACAGCGCCGAAGAAGCACTAAACGCATACAACCCCCCGATGATAATACTCATGTTCATGCAATGGCCCGTCCCCGCGTATTCGGTCGACAGCTGCATCCAGAAATACGACATCGGGTGACATTGAACCAGAACCATGATGAAGAAGATGAGTCCCGCGGCGACGACTATCCCGCCCACGAGACAGATCACGAAGCGGTGGGTTTTGTCAATGGTGATGCGGAGGATGAAGATGCTGACGGAGACTTTGCAGAGGATGGACCCGAGGGCGTAGCCGATGTCGCAGTAGTACCAGTACTAATTTGACATTTGGTGAGTTTGGGGGGAGGATATGGGGGGGATGGGATGCATACATGCATGGCTGTCGTTCTCTGGTCATTGGATAAATCGGTGAGATGTTTCCCTGTGCCGTAGAGACTGCCTCCTATCATGCACCCGGATAACATGGTGTAAAAGACCTAGTACATATCAATCATTGCAGTCAATTAGCCAACCGCTTATAGATACCTCCCTCGAGAGAGCAGGAAGCCCTACCATAGCCAACAACATAATGGCATCATCCCAACCAAATGCCTTCACAATGGCCAATCTGACATAACATCTGAGAATAATCGTCACCGAAGCCAAAGAGAAAAACACCGCGGCGACGGCTCTCACAGCGAGCGTTCGATCCACCGCCATGATGGGTGTGGGAATGAGAGGTCAAATCATCAATCAACACATCAAACAATCCCAGTCACGAAGCCAGCGCAGCAACAACAGCGGAAATCATAAAAGATATGAAACAGAACCCGTGTCCGGGGGGCGTAAGCGAACATGACGTACCAGACTCTCGATGCGCTCCGCGATGGCGTTAGGGTTTCCGGGGATTCCATGGATGTGCGACGGTCGGGTCGGATGTTGATTCGAGGAGCCGGAAAGCACGGAAGAATACGGTCCACTGCAGAGGGGAAAAGTTAAAACAAGCGATAATTTCCTGCAGTCGGACCAGCGGGTTCAGATCTGGTGCTAACAGACTAACAGTACCCTAAGAAGTAAGAACTATTGATGTGAGATCTGAACGGAGGGGGGACACGGGCAAGCATGGATGGGTGGGTGGGGCACAAATGCCCACAGAGGGGGAAATTTTTCAGCTGTCCACGTGTGGTGAGGTTCGCTAATAGTGGACGGTCGCTACCGTTGGTTTGATTGCCTCTTATTGATCAGGGGAGGGGGTGTCCACTTACTTGCTTGTTGCCCGCGGTGCTCAGGCCTCAGCGTGGGTTATGGTCCCGGGAGTTGCGGCAAGTTGGGGTACGAGCAAGTCCCGGGGGGCAATAATTGGGGATTACTGTTCTTGGGAAGACTTTAGATATCGTGATGGTGATGGACAGACAGGGTTGATCGACAGATCAGACGAGGACCCTTTTCTAAAAAGAGCTCTGGATCTGAGGATGATCATTCATAGATTGAAAATCATTCAATAGATGCAAACTAGCTGGGATACTGAAACTAAGGGATAATAGCAGTAGCTCACTCACACACATTGAACAAAGCAACGGTGGGATCGTGATCTGATTTTTCATCCGCAGTCGACACCCAGGTGTTGACATGGATATGCTCCATCTTTGCTCCCGATGTCAACGCCGAACTCACAAACATGTGATCCAGTGCTCCGCAGTTCTGGTTATACAGGTAGGTATATCTCTCCGTGGTAGGAATACCAGTCACCTCCTCCAGATCATGCAGTGTCGATTCGGAGACAAAAACCTCCAAGGGCTCCACAAAAGCATACTCATTAAAGTCGCCGGCTGTCAGAATCTTCGCGTCGGAATCCTCAGCCAGAATAGACGTGACAAAATTCTACCAGTGTTAGAATCGGCTGGTCTAGATGCGCGGGAGAACTCACAGCAACCACTTTAGCCTGCTCCACGCGATTCTCCACCCATCCGTTGACCGGTGGTCGCGCATCTCCCTCGAGCGAAGTGCTATCATATTTCGACGTGAAGTGGACGTTGATGGTATAGAAACTGTTCTTGCCATCCAATGTCTCCCACTCGGCTGCCAATGGCTTGCGACTGTCATTCCATGCCTGGTTGGAAGGATCAATCAGGCCTGGATTATAGCTCAAACCGCCGCCCGCGAGCACTTTGGTAGCGTCGGTGCTGGACCCAGGGTTGTAATTTCGCAGCCGCACCACTGATGGGTCATACAGGTAGGCCACGCGGATATTACCGCCGCGTTCTCCGCCATTCGTGTCGTTGATCGGGTCGATGTCCGTGTAGTTATATTCGACTCCGCCTTGCTCCTTGATGGCGCTAGCCAGGTTCGAAAGAGTCTCGCTGGCCGAAACCACTACCATCGTCAGTCATGATCCTACAGGAGTTGGGTTTAAATACCTCCATCATCAGTCGACCCGCTATTATCCTGGATCTCCTGCAGGAACACAATGGTCGGGCTGTTCAGGTAATTGGCAATGTGGTCGGCAACTCCGCTCATCCGACTGTTGTCCGGCGAGAAATTATCAACATTGTAATCAGCGATGGTGATTGCGCTACAGGTCCCATCAGAACTGAGGGTCGTTGCAGCCGCCTGTGTCGATTTGGATCCCGTCTTCTTCAACGCAGTCAGTGGAAGCAGAGTATAAAAGCCATATGCTTGGGTGATAATGCCCGTGATATCCTCGAGACTGTCTCCCATTTTGATATCAGTTGGGTTGTCGCTTCCGTCCAGAGGTGATCCGATCACAATGGCTTCGGGATTGGAGTCTGCAGTCCATGTCAGCTTCCACCATGACCAGAGGAAGGTAGTCAAACCATTTGCGCTCATTGTCAATCCTCCCCGGTCATTTTTTCCTGTCACCGGCCAATCGCCAGTCACCCAAGTGTCTCCATATTTACTGGCCTTGCTGACTGCCGTGAGCCCGGTCAAGGTAGCCAATTCACCACTCAGGCTCTGCCAAAAATCCATGCCATACTTGGTCGGCTTCAAGACGGGATTCGCGGTAGAAAGCAGGCTGGAACCGCCCGGCAGACTAAACACATCGCCATTGTCCAGAGAGGAAAACTGCTCCGTCGGAGGGTCCAAATCGTTCTGTCCGATCACAGTGGGGTCGACGTCATTGCCGCTGGAGATGACGGTGATGTCCGAAGGAGATTCAATCTCCGTCATGTAGACATACGATGAGGATGATCGGTATTCGGCCACTGTGCCACTCAAGCTGACAATATCGCCGACCTCGACCTGGGAAACTCCATCGCTGCTATAGATGTACACGGAGTAGGACCGACCGTTGGTATAGGTGGTAGTCGAGCGCAGGTAAAACCCACTTGAACCTTTGGCCGTCACGAGGCCCTTGACACCCGAGACGGTTTCGCCTTTGTACGAAGAGATATACTTGTTGCCGTTGATTTCACGGATGGTCGCTGCCAACGCGGTCTGGAGTAGCAGCGCCGCTGCGTAAAGAGAAGGGAACGCGCGCATGGTGGCTGTTGTTCTGATGAATTGGACTATCGAAGGGCCATGATCTTATATCCTCGCACCCGTGTCGGTCGGGTAGAGCTATGTCTCACCTGTACCTGTCCAGGGTCCGGCAGGGTCCGGCCGATCCGGGTCGGGGGAAATTACGGCGGTGCAAGAGAGACAAGATAAGGAGTGAATGATACTCGGCGGCCAGTGAGATCACGCAGGATTGCCCACGTTGAGGCCGAACTGCAGCCGATATGCAGCCAAGACATCGGCTTCAGGCCCGATGTCACGTCGATCGGAGCTGACCGGCTGAAGAACCGGAATGGTATCAGATTATATTGCAGAATCCTATCGTCGGTCTATCCGGCGGGTCGGACCGCCAATTTATCCACACCACATGACATCAACTACCCTGCCAGCTATGCAATCAATTGGTCTGCGCGTCTATGCCGAGGTGAAACTGCTTCACTATCACGCGCAGAAATCGAGGCTAATCATTCGCCAATGGCTTCAGCGCCCTAGTTGCCCTTGCTAACATCCTGTTTCAGCGACACAATCCGGTTCAACACAACCCGGTCATCCGTCGAGTCCGAATCCACCGCCTAATCAATGTTAGCCAGATACTCTAATAACAACTGGAGAGAAACTCACGAAGTAAGCCACACGCATCGCCTGGAACCGAACACTTTCCGGTCCGCTCTTCCCAGCCTCCTTCTCTCCCGCAGCTTCGGGCCAGGGAGCCCGGCGGCGCACTTCATCGAAGCCTGCCTCAATCAAGGCATCCGTGTGAATGGTCTCGCTGTTCGAGTTGACATCGTTCAGGAAGCCGCCCTCCACCGAGTTCGGGTCATCCGACTTAAACAGTGGGTCGTGGATGCGAACCTCCACCTTCCGCGAGTTGTCCGGAACCCAGTGGATGTACGTCTTGGGCTTCGCTCCAGATCTGTCAAGAACGGCGCGGATTTCCGTGACCTTTCCGTCGGCGTCCTTGGTGAATGTGGTGGCCTTGATGGGATAAGGCACTCTCCACAGACCCACGCTCTTACCCGGGGCAAGGCGGAAGTATCCCTTGCTATCCTCCTCGCGGAAATCAGACCGATCGATATAGACCGTCTTGGTGAATTTGAGCTGGTGGGATCCCATGGCGGGGTCCTTAGGTGAGAAGGGAACGTCCAGATCAAGCTCCGAGGCTTCCAGGGATTCGAAATCCTCAACAACAACCGGGACAGGGTCAAGGACCAGCATCAAACGGGGAACCCGGGTCTCCAAGTATGTCCGCACCGACTGCTCAAAGCGAGCGATCTGGATGACAGACTGGGAGGTGGTCACACCCAGTTCATTGATGAAAGAAAGGATGGCCTCCGGAGGGACACCACGACGACGCAGTGCAATAAGGGTGTATAGACGAGGATCATCCCAGCCCCGCACGTAACCTTCATCGACGAGCTTCTTCAACTTTCTCTTGCTCATGACCGTTCCGCTAACCTCCATGCGACTATACTCGCGCTGCATGGGCTCGTAGACACCAAGCGTCGAGTTGAGCCATTCGTAACTCTCACGCGACAACACAAATTCGGTCGTGCAAAGACTGTGGGTAATCCCCTCGAAGCTATCACAGAGGCAGTGCGCAAAGTCGTAGGTTGGGTAGATCTTCCACTGGTCCTTGGTACGATGGTGCTCCTTCTTCAGGACACGATAGGCGGCCAAATCCGAGTACATCTGCGGGTTGGGGTTATCGAGTTCCTGCTTCATGCGCAGGAACGCCGTCTGGGGTTCGTATTTACCATCCCTCATGTCGCGGAACTTTTGCAAGTTTGTCTCCACATCCTGCTCGGCGTCCTTGCAGCGGAATCTCGGTCCGTTCTTCTCTCCACCGCGCTGCAGCTTGATCTCGGCGTCGCTACAGTGACAGACATAGGCCCGTCCCAACTTGATAAGCTTCTCAGCCAGCTCGTACAGCTTATCAAAGTGGTCACTCGAGTGGGTGATCGCATGAGGTTTGAATCCTAATGCCTGTAAGCGACCCTCCATGATTATATCCACATCTACCTACCAAGCCACTGAATGATCTCCTCGATCGCCACAAAGTATTTCTCCTCCTCGGCCTCGGGGTTGGTGTCATCGAATCGCAGGATTGTCTTTCCGCCATGGTGTCTCGCGAATCCGAAGTTGATGGCGATCGCCTTCGAGTGACCCAGGTGCAGGTATCCGTTGGGCTCGGGCGGGAATCGGGTCAAAGGCGTGACGGGACGCTCGTTGTAGACGGCAGCGCAGAAACCCTGCTTGAACATGGCATCGGGATCGATGGGGGCCTCCTCCTGCTTGGCGGCGACCGGGCCCTGGGGCTTGGGGGTCGCAGCAGGCTTGGGAGCATTGGCTTTGGCGGCTTTTTTGGCGCGCTTCTGCAACCGCTTCTTCAGCTCGCCCTTGGAGACCATTTCCCCGGTCTCCGGGTCGAGCTGAAGCTTAGCAGTGGCCTCGGTGATTGCGTCAGCCATGTTGACACTGGGCCTGATGGAGTGAGAGATGTGTGGTGTGAGGTGCGTGTGAGTCAGGATGAATAGCACCAGAAAGTGTTATCGCGATCGGCGGGGGAGGGGAAATTGTCGCGCTTATGTCATCTTGGGCACGATCACGTGTTGCATGCTTGCAGCCACCACCACGACCACTGGCTTTAGCTGATCCCACCTTCGAATTGGATGTCCATTCCTCGATAGGGCTAAGAAATCTTTGAGATGAAAGCAAAACTGATCAAATATTTCCTTGCTTATTGTTTGGTGCGAACATAGGCAACCTGCAGAAATATATATCTCGGGCCAATTTACGCACTGACATGAACACCTTATTTATATTGTACACTATGTAAGAAGTACTCGTTCCTGAAAGGAGTATTCAGTCCAAACAGAACCAATGCAGGATTGTTGAAGACAGAACAATATAGACGATGCACGGCAAAGTTCACTGTAACAGATGTGAGCACCTGACTTTGGAATAGTCGCCTCAGGACGCTATCACACCTCTTGTTTGATTTGGTCGGAAGAAGTATATTGTTTCATATAAGAGGCCACTTCAGACAATTGGAACTTTCTCAGGTATGTAAAACTTATCTAGACCTATATCTACTTGGTCTCTGTTTGTTTGGTTCCTAATTATAGTATTTTCTGAACCCACAAGTCTCTCCTTATCCAAGATCTATCAGAAGACAACCTGTATGGAATTCGTTGTCCGACTCCAATAACCTTTTGAGTTTTGTCGCAACGCAACTGGACTTACTTTCCATCAGTATCCATCTCACCGAAATAGGTACCGATCTCCAAACATAAGATGAGCCTCCTTGGACCAGACGCGAGCGAATAGCCCGGCGACCGATAGCCTGCCCAGCCGGGTAGTAACAAGCCGTAGCGTTGAGTATCATGGCAACACGACTGCCTACAAAGCGAAATACAGCCAGGTACCCCCCAGCTCGGTGTTTATAAGTCCATCTCCGTGTAAAAGATACCCCACCGCGAGCTATGCTGGTCATTTATACCGTGAAATACAATACTGATGGTAATAAGGCGAAAAGGGCTCCTGTATTGTTATGCCCAAGCGGTAAAAGATTGGAATCATGACTGGGCCTGGGACGAGTGATGATGTGTGTTGTGAGACCATGGCGACTTGGCGCCATGGCGAGAGACTTCGGAGGGGGATTTCTGATTGGGAGTTCAGTTAGAACAGGTGGCATGGGACAACCGGTGCATGTCCCACAATAAGTGAGATATTGTTCCTTGATTCTCTGCGGAGGAGAAATTAGTAAGGAGCGATAAGCTTGCGCCGAGAATCAACTCAATCAGGTAGAAAGTTGCCATCAGGATAAGATACGGAGTGACTGCTTCAGCCTTCCAGATCATTCCTCAGGCAGTGGAGTTATTCCACCGCGCGAGTAAGACAGGGATTAGCCAGGGCTGCAAACGTCAGATCGACGCATAATTGTCGTTAATATCACTGTCAATCCAGGGTTGCTCCACAGGGTCTGATTGATCAACTTATCCGTTCTTTAGACTCTTAGCAATTTGGGGGCGGTTAAGACATGAACTCGTGGCATTAGCATTGGCCCAGGTAGCGATTAAGCTTCTTCAGGGGCCGGCAGAAAGCACAGCCGGCACATGTGAGTGTTTGCCAGGCTAATCCTAATTGGGACTCATACTTGATGAGTCATCACTGCACATTTTATCCCCTTCCAATGCCAGATACATCTGCATGCCACCATGCGGCGCACCGAAAAGAGCTATCATTTGTCTAGCTAGCTATCCAGCTGTCTAGCTTTCCAGTCCTGCCTTTGGCCAAGAATGGGAGACAGGCTGTAGTCAAACTCAAAGCAGCTATACGAACTCAATACGGAGGACTCCGTACCAGACTTGTTTGAAGGGTGGGGATCAATTTGATGAAAGGAACTGTACCAGCCTTCCATCATCATTGGGCGCCACGCTAAGCTGTTCCTGTACAGTGCAGACAGCTGAACGCCCCACCCATTTGCCACTGCGCCGCCTGAGGTTGCATTGCATCAGGTCCAGATCGTTTCATATGTCAGGCTGGCTCCGAAACCTGATTGTTCTGAAGGGACTTTGCTGGTTGTGTCACGCGTGATATGACATGTGTCCTGCACAAAATGCGGTACAACTTACAACAGTATCCCAGGTGATTCCAAGAATCATGTTTGTCCTTCCTAGTTCTCAGTCTTCGATGCATCTAGCCGTCTGGGAGGCTCATCGATAGGCAACCTACTTTGCCGTCGGATTATTTCCACGGAGTGTAGTAATAATGATTTGTTTAGTGTTTGCCTAGTATTCGCTACAGTTCCTTCGTATGGAGTCCACAGTACCTGTTAGGATTCAAGGTGCTTATGACAGTATTTTCCTAAACAGGAGGAGTGCCGGCCGCTAATCCGCTCTAAGGGTAGTGCATGATTTGCTGCGTCTCAGATTCTCAGCAGCTGCGCCATCTGACTTTAGAGGTGACGCATCACGATCTATATGACAGAATGGAGCCCACACCTTAGAGGTCAGGTAGACGCAACAGCCAATGACTCCAACAGCAAATGGCGGATCCATTGTATCACCGGTGTGAGAATCTCATTATTGAGAACTGGATCTAAGTCACCGGGAAGCTAGGCAAATCCTGTGGGTAGCACATGTCTACGGAGTAAGAAGTAACCGGTCCTGATGTCTGCCTCGGGTGATGCCACCAAGGCTGGCTAGGATTGCCATCCCTGTCACGGAGACCCTCCATCCGTCTAGTTCTTGGGCTATCTATAGGAACACCCAATTTCGATGATACCCGGGAACTCGGGTTTAGCGTATTTTACTCCGTATCCGTATGGCTGCAGCGTATTCCGTACGTGGCGGTACCGCCGAAGCGACGCAAAGTGGGGCGCCTGGTCAATTACCCGCGCTCAATCGTGATTTATTGGCTTTGACGATGGATCATAGTTCTCCTAGCACAGGAGCACTACTAGTACTAGGTGCGATCCAGAGCGCAACGACCACGCCCTCAATGGGTTCCCTTCATGCCATTGCGATTGGTAATGACTACCACAGGACCGGAAGTGGCCGTACGACTCTGACGCCATGGTGGTGCGGGCCTTGGTTTATATGGCACGCACATGCAGGACCACTAGGGTACCATGTGGCTAGTCTCCGATGTCCACGATTGGTGTGCCTGGCAGCGGTGGATCTTGCATTGTGGATAGGGGATGGATGCGATGTGTACACGTTCAGTATCCCAAACTTATTATTAATGACCGAGTCTCCGAGAAAACTCGGCGGGACTCCACCAGGGAGATGAACTTGCACACGGCCATACTACTTATTATTGATGCTTGCTATCGTTGATGCATTCTGGTTGCTCTTGTTCCTCTCCTGATTCCATAACCCCTGGTTGCCGCCATGGTGTTGCAAGGCACCCTTCCGTGGGTATCGGCCGAACCTTTCCTCACCTTCAAAATCATCGCCACCGTCACGCTGATCACCGTTGCCGTGCTTGCCATTTCATACCTGATCTTGACCTCTCGAAATACCCCATTACTCTCCAAGAAACATCATCTCGCTCCGCCCCAGCTCCTCTGGCCGGTCCACAAAATCGCGCAGTCCTTCTTTGACACGCAGTTTGACTTTCTGGCCGAGGGGTTCCGAACCACCGCATCGCGAGTTTTCCGGTTCCGCCTGTTCCAAAATGAAGTCATTGCGGTCTCGGGCGAGGACGCGCGCCGCACCTTTTTTCGCGAAAAGGCCCTCAATCTATATGAAGGGTTCCAGGTGTTGATCGGCACGGTATACCTTGTCTGCGGCTGATTCTTCCGACAAAACGATACTAATTACCTTTGCAGATCCCGACTGGTCTCGATCCGCATGCGCTTAGTTTTATCTATAAGCGATTGAGCGTTTTGCAACGCCCGGATAACCTCCAATTCCGTAAGTTTAGCCGCCAGTAGAGAGACGAGTACTGACAAGTGCAGTACTTCCTCGGTTGTTATCAGATTGCCATCGCAAGATGGACTTGTGGGGGAAGGAAGGTCTATTAGACCCTACGTCTACCGTACATGAAGTATGTATCGTAATCTTGAACGTTTTGGATAGTATCTCATGCTGGCAGGTTACTTTCCAAATGATTATCCGCGCAGTTACGTCGTTTGATGTTGCCGAAAATCCCGCGCTGGTATCACGACTCAAGTACTTTTACGACATTATTGACGCCTCCGTCAAGCCCATGGCCTCTCGATTTTCCTGGGTGCCTGGACTCGCCATGTTGCGCAAACTATGGGCTTCCATGAGTGTGTATCGCATTTTTGCCAGCGCCCTGGATGAGAGGAAGCGCAGTGGAGTCAGCAGGCCGGATGCACTACAGCAGCTGTTGGACTCGGGCGAGAGCTCCAATTGTATTGTCGGGGTGAGTATCATTTATCATTATCTAGATCGATTTGCTAAATGTCACCAGTTCATGATGGGGCTCCCAATCGCTGGAGCGCGTTCCACTGGGACAATCGGTATGCCACCCTCCTCCATTCACTAATCATCACTAACAAATCGACAGGAACCTGGCTTCTCCTCTTCCTCTCCCACGAACAAGAATGGTTCGCCGCCGTCCGCAAAGAAATTCAAACTCTCATCACCACCTACATCTCCGACCCACCATCTTCAATCTCCGGACAATCCATCGTGGACCTCCTTTCCCGCATCCCTCTATCAGCCTGGGAATCCTCCACCCCAACCCTCGACCTCTGCATCCGCGAAACCCTGCGCCGCGCACAACCCCACACTGCCGTGCGCAAGAACACCGGCCCAGACCTCACCATTGGCTCCTACACCATCCCCTCGGGCTCCTTCGTCCTGTACCCCTTCTCCGACACTCTCCTCAACCCCTCGATCTACTCCGACCCCTTCCGATGGAACCCCGCCCGCAGTCTCGCCAAAGAAGACCAATTCATCGGCTGGGGCGGCGGCACACACATGTGCAAGGGGCAACGCCTCGCCAACCTAACCATGAAGCTAGTGGTAGCGTACGCCTCAATACGCTACGACATGGACCTCGTCGACCAGCGGGGCCAACCCATATCCGGACCCCCAGTTCCCGACTGGAACGATTTCCTCACCTGTCGCCCCAAGAACGATTGTACGATCAAGTTCTCGGAACGACCGGAATGGACATTATGATGATGTTGTAGTGGTTGGTTGGTTGGATCTAATTTAATTTAATGTGAAGTACGGATACGAGTTGAATAATACCCGGGCCACTCCCTTAGTTCCATGACAGGTCTTTCTTTATATTAATTCTCCCTTAGCGTACCTGAGCACAAACCCTTTCCGGATAATGCGAGGGGGTTGGCCCGTGCGGGTCTATTTTCCGCTGCGGTTTGGCACGGGCCTGCTGCCCATTGCCACAAAGGATGCCGCGGACGATGCTCCGTTATTTCGGATGCCATTTCACCTTCACCCTCACCCTCTGCAAATCCTCATCGCTGCACGTTGGCTATACTTAGGCGGACACACCAACAAGTACCAATCCCAATCCCAATCCCAATCCCAATCCCAATCCCAATCCCAATCCCTCCATCCATTCCGCCCAAGTCCGTCCCACCACCGAACCCACCACCCTTTACTACAGTCACGGTGTGTCTTTATCCCCCCTATCTATCAACTCAACCACTTACCTTAGCTTACCGACAAGCGACTCCAATCGAATAGAGACTCGCCACCATAGCGTAAACCTTATCCTCTACCTACCTACCCAAGACTTAGTCAAAGACCCAAGTTAACCTAAGTATCCAGTTCTGATAGTTCGCACTAATCCTCAAACTCAAATAAATTAAATTAACCCCCACCTCCTATCTATCGTTTCTCCCCGATCCCCTACCTACCTAATGGGTACATAGTAGTATTACACATGTCAGATCCTAAAATCCTCCGTCGGGGGTAGGTAGCCTAGTTTCAAAAAAAAAAAAAAAAAAAAATCGGAAAAAGATTTCCTAGCTGGTGGTTTAGTGCGGAGTTTAAAATAGCCTAAGTGGAAGGAAAAGTAGATTGCCCGGGGCGGAGACGGAGACGGAGAACCGGGGGTGGGTGAATTATCCGAATTGGATTGAGGTGGGGCTACATACATACTTACAAGGTGGCTGGGATCGATCTGGGTGGAGGGTCTAGGGGTCTGGTTTAATTTAGGACAAAGAGATGGAGGATCGATAGTGGTTGTATCTCCCTAATCTATGTAGGTTTCTTAGTATGTTTTGGGATTTGGGATGGTTGGTGTCGGTGTAGGTGTATTTGTTCAGTGGGGGTTCTTTGGACTTGGGTAGACTTTCCTGGAGGTAAAGAACGTTGATGGATCTTTTTGTGATATATTTTTTGATGTTTTGGGTTTTATTGACTATTGTTGAACCTAGGTATGGTATATGATTGCGTGCGGAAACACGCGTCTGGGAATGTCATCTTAGCCGCGGATAAGCGCGGGCATGCGCGTTTGAAGGCCGAGGTAATATGGGGTGGTACTATCTCGTGGTGGTGTAGATTTGATTCGATATGAGCACGGAGTAGTAGTACCTGGACGAGATTAGCGTGGGGGGACGGAGGGAATGGTGTGTCTTGTGTGGTGTGGTGTGGTGTGGTGTATATGAGATGACTAGTTTAGGGATTTTGGGATGGTGGTCGTTTTGTATGTTGTTAGAGGAGGGGGCAGGTTCTTAGTTCTAGACGAGTGATTTGCTGAGTCTCTTCACTGCGCTGTAGTGGTTTTGTATTGGGTAGGTGGTATCATTTGAGATTCTATTTTCTTTCATGGAGGTGGTTTCTTGCAAATGTCTGTTGTATTTAGATTAGGGTGTTGAGATGTTACATGTCATAAACTATTTTTCGATTCTAATTTGTGAAGTTGGGCTGGACGATACGGATATGCTGATATTTCTCACCGGTAAGATACAAGTGTGCGTGAGGGCATGCTGGGAGTAGTGTTGTAAGGTGCTGTTACGAAGATGGTGTAGTTGCTGGTATATTATGCTTTGATGGTCTAGACATATTTTTACCTAGAAGATGAGGGACGGATCTCAAAATAGACTGGATTCAATGTGATCTTGAACAGAGCTATGTGTCATAGTGTCCAAGTAGTATCAAGATGGTTAACTATGTTAATATCATTAGAGAGAAAGAGCTAGATCTCACCTAGGATTTGCCAATGTCATAACCGCACATTGCCTTGTTACTAAACAGTTCATAACTTCCCTCGGTGGAATGTGTCTATATACATTCAGAACATGTCGACACATTGGATTGAATGACAGCGGAACTGACCGTTGGTGAATGAAGATCTCTGTCATGGACAAGGGTACAGTCTATGCCTGGAGATGGATAAACTGGGTTATGCTTGGCATGCTGCTTCATCGTTGTCCCATCGGGCGATAAAGCCGAGGGGCGTCGATCCACCGGCTACAGCCCCACTTAGGGCCAGAGTAAGCGAACTAGTTGATACCGGTATCGGAAGATTCTGACCGTACCAGGGGATTGGTACCAACCCAGGGTACACCCAGGGGCTGGATGACGCGGCCCTAGTCTTTCTCTCTGCTGCACAGTCTGCAGGGCAGCTGCAAGTCTCCCATGGTAGACTATTCGGTCTGTACGGACAAGTATGCTGTAGGTAGGCGTTCCGTGAATCCGACTTAAGCCACCAACGCCACATCTAATTGGTCTTCTTGTGAATCTCTACAAGTCCATCAACACAGTGCTTACCGGGTGGAATAATCCCCATTGTCTTCCTGGTGGATACAAACTACTGGCACTACCCTGACTAGGGCCACACCATCCCTTTTGTCTAATTTCTCCATCTTCTGGGCCATGCATCCCCACATTGCCTTGTCTGGTCAACTAGCCAACTAGCAATCCCTGTACATTTACTGTTTCTGGTTTATTAATCTCAGTTAACAAGCACTACTTTTCCAGCAGCCCTGCCGAGGACAGATGCTTGACATTCATCTCGATTCCTGGCGGTGGCCGTACTTATATTGGACTGGTAGCGGTGGGATCAATCACCCCTCGTCGTCGGCACATTTCAATTGATTTTGTCCAGCACCCGACTCGGTTGTTGATCGTTCATCACTCGTTTAAGTGCGATCACAGCTGCAGCGGAGCCCATCATCACAATCCGACTACGCCGACATGTTGAACCTATTGGAGAGCCAGGAAATGGTACCAAGTGCCTACCAGCCATGTTTCCCAGAGGACAGCCAGGTATGCTGCCCTCCATTGGTGCTGTGGGCCAATCTGACCATTTCCCCATGCAAGTAGAAGCCGGACCATAAGCTGGTTCCCCCGTGTCCAACCTCCTTCGTGCCAGAACACTACCCCCCAAGCTACCAGTCGAAAACTCCCCCGTCATTATCCATCTCTCCGTCGTCCCCCTCAACGGTCTCGGAACCATGCGACGATGCAGCCCCGATCCGCCCAGCCAGAAATCATAATCCCCGCATCCGCGAGGACACCTGCACTCTCAGCCCCGATGATTTGACACTCTTGGCGCACTGGTGTTCCACGACGTATCGATCACTCACCCCCGACGGCAAAAATGAGCAGTTTTGGAGAAGTGCGATTGTCCGGGAGGCAATGCACCATGCTGCATTGCTGCAGGGTATTTTTGCCTTGTCAGCCCTTCAATTAGCCCACCGCGGAAAGGATAGCCTGCAGCGACAGGAATTGCAGAGTGTAGCACACCTTCATTGGGCCCGGGCTCGTGCTGGCCTGGACGACGCGCTCTGCCAGCATGCTCTGGACATCCCTCACAACTGTCACGCATTGTTTGCGCTCTGCAGCATCCTGGTGGTGCTTGCATTTGGCCATACTCGGCTGGTCCGATCGGTGTCAACCCACTCCGCCCTGGATGATCTGGGTCATAGCTTCAGTCAGCTGCGAGGGTCGCCGGAGGTCCTGATTGTCCTCATCGATCGACTCCGCGAGGGAGAAATGGATTCGCTGGTCAGCCAGGAAGAACCAGGGCCCATCATGCCTAACACATCCTCATTAGCCATTCTTACGCTGAGACAGCTCAATGCGCAGCACGAGGAGGACGACCCGGGACTGCACGCGATATATGCCCAAGCGATCGACGACTTGGTGTGCTGCCTGCGCTATGTCGCATGGGGTAGCAATCCCGGAATTGTTGGCCTTTCCTGGATCCTGGAGATCCCCGAGGAATTCTTGGACCTGGTCGCCGATCGGCAGCCACTAGCATTGAGCATCCTAGCCCATTACTGCGTGGTGCTGTACCATCTGCGGAAACAGTGGTGGATGGGCAACCGGGGCATTCTGGCCCTGCAAGAAATCTGCGAGTTACTGGGTCGCGACCAGCTATTCACCATTCATTGGGCGTTGGATTCGACGGGGATTGGTCTCACCGGAGGATTCATCTGAGCTGCTCTCTAGATATTCATGAGTGCATCACTCGGAATGACCCCCCAGCCAGCCAGTTCCTTGTGGACTGGTTCTCCTTGACGAGGACAGCAACACGCCGGCTCAAGCTCGATCACCAGAGGCAATGAAACCCCGCGTGGCTATAGGTCTGGGCCAATGCGACCACTTAAATCCGATCCAGACATCTGGGTCTATGGGGATGATCTTCCTGTCACTTGGTCGACGACTTATTCCCACCTACTGTAAATAAATGGTTCTATTTACGATTGCCCAGCGGGTATGACTGTGTCGGAGAGACAACCGACCTACTTCTCGGTACTTCCCCCTGCTATATATTCTCGCCCGCAGCCTCTGATAATTCTCCGGGTATCGCAACATCCGAGATCCGTCTCGTCAGAAAAGAAACGGGTCCGGCGGTTATCTTACCGCTGAGTCAGCTCTCGACCGGACGGCTTACGAAAAGGGGAAGGATTGCCGGGCTCATCGATGGGATTGAGATCTACTGCCATCTATGTACCCCTGTCGTGTATACGAGAAGACTAGCCAATCCATGATCTCAAGCACATCCCCTCCCATGTCATGCCGGAGCGCCATCGCAAGAAGCGATTAGAAAATATACCAGATAAAAGTCGGACCTGGAAACATGTGGCCTACCGACAATGGCCAAAAACATTCGTTTCCAATGACTTTGCATATGAGGTTATCCTTCCGGAATTAACAGTAGCATCGATACCATATCAATCTCAGGCTATGTTGGCCACTCCATGGTTAGGAGGACTAGAAAGCGTCGATCCAGTTGGTATGTTGCATACCCCGCTTACAAATCGGCTGATGCGGCACCGACATTACAAGTCAGCTTCGATTATGAACAGCCCCCGCTATGCAGAGGGTAAGGTTGCCTCTCTAGTTCTGGTAGGAATTTAATGTAATGAATGTATTGTATCAAGGTATTTGTTTGCTTCACGTAGACTTTGGTGTGTTGTAGTCATGTTGACTAATTGGAATGCAATTCGGCACTTTCTTTTTATTCTGATCTATCACCTACGAAGACCTCCGATGCCGATGTGGTCGTCGCGTATCTAAGCCCATATTGGAAGAGCGAGCCTTGCTAGAGCGTGCCCGTCTGCCTCTCGAGACACCAAACAACAGTCTTCTAGTCTCCTGGTTGCGTGCATGCTACGGCCATCCACTGAGGATGCCTTCACGGCCATAGCGGCCCACCTTGAGGGACGGTGGGGTAGCGAGATACCAATTCTTGATGATCCTACAAGCTACGATTTTGGGGGACACTGGGAGAAGATAATTCTTTATATTCCACAACTTCTGGAGAGCTCGGGGTCGGAGAATGAATACCATGAGGTTTTACAGGAAGTGACTGATTATGATGATGATGAATTATTTTGGCGGGTATGAGTCTGGACATGACCATACCGTATATCACTGGGCCCGGGTCATCGGTAGGATACATATCCTCGATAGCAAGGCATTGTGTCCGGACGGGAAGGTACTTATAGTGTTTTATGATGAGTGGGGATGTGTGGTGCGCTCGTTTCAGGCGGCGGATATTACGGGGATGGATCATGCGGATTTAGATGATCATTCGTGCTGGGTTAATGGGAAGATTGGAAAGCATTATCTGTGGGGTAAATATCAAGAATGTTAATGATATGAAATGCGATGAGGGTGTTACACCCTGATGATTATGTCTGCAAGGGGCAGCGAGCGGTTCCACTCACCCACACGGCGAGCTCGGTCGTCGAGGCCTGCTTGGATAGACAATTCTGTGAAGAGCCTGAGGGATATGCGCTTTTGTGCCGAGTAGTCTGCGGTGCATGTAGGATGGAATATGTTATTTCCTATCAACCATATCAGCAAATTGAGAATCCCTTCCACCTTGATTAGCTGCTTTGGCTACACTCTCGAGGGGAGGAATGATCCTTCGACTGATCAACCAAGTGCACGGTGCTCTCCTCTTATGATCCCAGCTTTGATCTCAGCCCTAATCGCTTCAGTCATATTCGGAAATAAGTTCCGTTATCGTGGATAACAACGACCTCCTCATCTCTTTCACATGCCTACTCATCGTCCAGAACAGCCCTCATCGAACCCCCTGACATACTATCTCGGGTAGGACAGCATCTTCCCCAAAGTAAGGACATCATATCATTATCTATTGCGGGCAGGTGTCACGATGTCCTTAGTGTTCTCCAATGAACACCACATGAGATTCTCACAAATCATGAACATGATGGGTATTGGCAATTACAGCTTCGAACGTGCTCTGGGTTGATACACAACATTCTGGCCGATCATCTGCTGTCCTACAGCTATTAATGTAGCGCCTCCCGGATAATCATCAGGTAAGATACTAGTCCACGCTGCACAAGACCATCCCTTCCTTGCCGAATGTTTCACTTTCCCTCCACTTATCTGACAGCGGGATATATTTCCCGTCAGCGATCCCTCAGGCATGTATGACATGGGTTTCTGACTGCCGGTTATCTTGCTGTTTCGGAACGCATACTCGACGGGAGATGGACACAGCATGAAAGGCCATGCATGTGCATGATGCTTCCGTCAGCCAGCCTCTTTCGATGAAAGTGACACAGAACTATAGCTGGAGATGCGCTATTGCGATCGGGCCTTCTTGAGGTCATACTATCTTGTTGAATTCAATACCAGCCCATGATAGGACCTCTGACTGGGCTAATGATCGACGAAGTGCCATATAAAACGCATCAAGCTGTGTGAATAATTAGCTATGGTGGGTTTATCTTGACAGGCTCGTCCTTGTGTTCTACAAAGTTGATAAGACCCACTCCTTACCGACTTGACCGAGCAACATGCTGTACACAACGTCATTCTAATTGCCAAATTTGTAGCGCTACATGCATAGAGAGGGGTGATGTTGCGTTGTGCTACGTACTAAATATCCCTCAGATGTGTGCGTGAAGAGATCGGCTATCGAGCTCAATGTCAACAATGCCTGGTGTGTGACAGTCTACAGTCCTTGCGGAGATGATCAACGGTGTCGAAGATTACACTACTTTCTTGTATGCTTCAATGAAATGCAGTGATGTCTTTCAGCTGTAGAGAATGGAATAATAATAATTTTCCTTTGACCATATTGACCAACGTCTTGTACGAGGTCATCCTGTAAGGTGGAAACAGACGGAGAAGAAATCAAGGCCATCATATATCACACTACTAAGATGCTTAAGCAAACAAATTTCCCCGCAAGGGATTACTTGCAGGTAGCTGTAGATGCACGTAGCTCGAGTTGGTAATTACGTGCCTCAGAACAGGGGGCTCGAGATCCGAGTGACATGCCTCTAGACAACTTGATATATAATCTCTGGTTTTCTCGAACCGGTAGATTCATATCCCTGACAGGATCCAAGAACTTTGTCTTTTTTTCATGATCACGATTTCCTAGAAATCCATCTCAACATGACCCTCCTAACAAACGGCCAAGCGCTCCCACCCACGCAATGGGCCCACGTTTTCAAAACCCGGGGTCAGAGTATGGACTCCGCCACCTATTACTTAAGCAATGCTAAAAAGATAAGCTATCGAGCTCAAACAAATCCCCGTTGGCACCCCAGGGCCAGATGAGGTGCTGGTTCAGATGGAGTACTCCGGTGTTTGCCATACCGATCTGCATGCATGGAAGGGTCAGATACCTTCTCCCCTATGATCGAACCTAGATACTTATAATCTTAGGCGACTTCCCTCCGACACCCAAACAGGATCTCGTTGGTATGGCTCCCTTCCAAACCATCAAATATCCCAAACTAATTATGATAGGTGGACATGAGGGCGTCGGCTTAGTTGCCGCAATTGGAACCCAAGTGAATGGCCTCCGAATTGGAGATACGGTCGGAATACAGGTGAGTTAATGTTCTCCCGCTAGTCACTCGAGTGCATAAGTGTCAACACGAACGTTATAGTGGATCAATCGAACCTGCGGAGTATGCGAGTTCTGCTCCACTGGCAACCAACCACTCTGCCCTAAACTCCAACTCTCGGGGTATATGGTCGATGGAACCTTCCAGCAATACTGTATCTGCAAAGCTGATAATGCAGTGCGAATTCCACCGGGGATTTCCCTGGAGGCTGCTGCTCCGGTATGCCAACCCTCATTAATCCATTTAGCAGTGGTGCAACTGACTGTGATAGGTTCTCTGTGCCGGGATCACGGTATACAAGGCCCTGAAGGAGAGTAACGTCCAGCCAGGGCAGGTTATTGGTAAGTTAGCCCAAGCCATATGCTCCTGGTCTCCTCACCAATCGACCACATAGCTATCGTCGGTGCCGCCGGCGGCTTGGGGTCATTGGCCGTTCAGTATGCGAAAGCATGCGGACACAAGGTCCTCGCTTTATCCAGCGGGTCAGACAAAAGGCAAATGTGTCTGTATGACCTCAGGGCGGATTACTTCGTCGACTATAAATCGCCCGATGTTGCTGAAGAAGCGAGGCGCGTTACAGGTGGTGGGCCTCATGCTGCGATGATAGTTTCTTCTGTCGAGGAACCGTTCCATCAGGCTACGCAGGTTACTTCCCCCATTCGAAGAGCGTTGATAAGATACTGACAATTGTCAAGTACATTCGTCCCGGAGGCACGATCGTTGCCGTCGGCCTTCCACCGGGCAAGATCTCAACGGATGTTTTCTCCATGGTAACCCAGAAGATAAGTATCAAGGGTTCGTATGTGGGTAATAGAGAGGAGACAGAGGAAGCACTGGCCATTTTGATTAGGGCTGGGTTTAGCGTTCAGTATGATGTGGTTGATTTTGCGGAGCTGCCGAATATATATGATCTTATGGAGAGGGGTATGGTTCAGTATGTACTATTGATCATTTACTGACGGTTCCCAGGGCAAATTAAAGGTCGAAAGGTGCTCAAAATTGGAAAGTCTCTCACGAGAAGTTCCGAGAACGTATCTACATTTTGCAGGGATCTCCACTTCCTTCCAAAGCAGAATGGCATATCCGGGAATGTTGTTTCAGGGGAGCTTGAACGAGCCATTGAGCGAGCCGGTGGAGACTTCCGGTCAGATACTGTGACTGTGCCCACTGAGCCAGTCATGCAGGTACGTTCCGACTTGAGTGGTTTAGCCAGCTTCTGATAAGTACTCTTACAGGCCATTATCAACGTATCCACCTTCGGAGACGACATCTACGACGATGGCGGCGATCCAGCAGTGAATGCATTCCAAGACAAGATCAAAGCACTAACAGGCAAAGAAGCCGCGCTCTTCGTCTTATCCGGAACCCAAGGAAACCAGATCTGTCTGCGGACGCATCTCCACCAACCCCCTCATACGATCCTCCTCGACTACCGCGCACACGTTCAAGTCTGGGAAACAGGAGCCATACCTCTTCTCTCCCAGGCGACAGTAACAAGCATCGAACCAAAGAACGGCATCCACCTTACCCTCGACGACGTGAAAGATAGAATAGTCGAGGAAGGAAACAGTAACCCGAACCCCGTCCAACCCAACCCACTCCCTCATAGCTAACACACAAATAATGCAGTCCACTTCCCACCCACCCGAGTTGTCTCCCTCGAAAACACCCTCTCTGGGTCAATTCTGCCCCTTGAACACGCAAAACAAATCTCCAACTACGTCCGCAACATTCGTGTTCCGCCCGGCCGCACCCGAATAGCCATGCATCTCGACGGCGCGCGTCTCCTCGAAGCCACCACCGCCGAGAACGTCAGCGTCAGAGAATACCTCGACTGCTTTGACAGCGCGAGCATCTGTATCTCGAAAGGCTGTGGCGCCCCAATGGGAAGTGTCATCGTGGGAAGCAAAGAATTCATCGATCGCGCCGTTTGGTTCCGGAAGATGTTTGGCGGCGCAACTCGTCAGGTATCTGGCCCTAGTCTATCCATTCCTCTCACTGGCCACTGATAAACCGGTTACAGACTGGTATGATGGCTGCTGCTGCCTCTGCCGCATTGGACCATTGTCTCCCACTGCTTCCCAAAGTGCATGCTCTGACTCGTCGAGTGGCGGAATATCTTCGGAGAATTGGGTATGAGTTCCTCTTGCCGGTGGATACGAATATGATTGTTTTGGATTTGAAAAAGACGGGGGTAGATGGTGAGAGCGTTGTTCGGTATTGTGATAGGTATGGGTTGCGGACGTTCCCGAATGGTCGATTGGCGTTTCATCATCAGATTTCGGAGGATGGGGTTGCGCGTCTGCAGAGGGCGTTGTTGGAGTTGATTACGGATCTGAAGACGGTTTAGGGTCTTTTTGTCTGGTGACCATTAAGGGGTTGGGGGTGGGATGGTGAGTGCATTGTGATGGGAGGGTTTGGGGTCATTGAGCGATTATCACGGACTCTACAATATTGACATAATCAAGCTCTCGGCATTCATAGGTGAACAAACTTCAAATCAAAGATTTTATCTATTTACGATGAATGCAGGAGTGGGACAACAGATATCCGAAAGAAGTGGGTTCTCAAGGAACCTTGGCCTTTGTCCCAGTCCATTCCTGTTTTTCTCCATGAGAGATAGATAGGGTTCAGTCTTCTTTGGGTCAAGAATATACATAAAGTTTATGCATTAAATTGAATATCTTGTTTGCGAAGCGCAACAGCGGTGAGCAAGTTCTTTCTGAGATAGATAGGGTCTGCTCTAAGGCTTCTCATTGGACCATTGGTGTCAGGTGATCTGTATGTTGCCCATTCTCACCGCTTCGGCCTCTTCGGGGCTAAGGCAACGCCTTGAACTGTGGACCAAGTATTTCCATCATAGCAGGCGAAAATGAATAATAAGTGTGATTAGTTAGCTGGTGGGCGTGTAACGCCTCCGGACAAAGAACGGAACGCCCATATGCCCCATAAACGAGCAGGCCAACCAGGTTGAAGTTGGCAGACCCGTGTGGGTACCAACAGCCCCGTCAGCACTAAACCTTGGCAGCCTTCCCAATGCCTAGTAATTACATATATTATACCAAGGTGGGACGATCCTCCTGTCAGCCGCATATTAACTTTGATCTAGGATTTTAAATCTGGGTCTTGTTTTCTTCTGCCTTTTTCCATCTCAAACTTCCCTTCGTCTCTGGATAGTACTCACTCTCCCCATTCCGTCGGTACATTCCCTGAAATTAAGCACAGCCCCAGAAAAAGGGGGAGGAGAAACAGAAGAACGGCAGAACCTCAACATGGGACAAAAAGCATCGGACCCCCAACCAGGGACGAAACTTCAAGTGATCGGAGCGGGTCTCTCTCGCACCGGAACAGCGTCCTTCAGCGCCGCTTTGAACATCCTTCTCGACGGACCCGTCTATCACGGCGGTACACAAGTGACAATGGGCCAACCTATCGAGATCAAGACCTGGATTACAGCTCTCCGAGACTGGCTCGTAGGCCAAGACCAGCAGCGCGTCCTGGCCCTCATCAAAGACCGCACCGACGGCTACGCAGCCATCACCGATGCCCCCGCCACCCAGTTTGTCCCGGAACTGTTGGAGCTCTACCCAGACAGCAAGGTTATCTGTACAGTACGCGATCCTGTTGCGTGGGCTAAGAGCATAGAGCAGATCAGTGGACTGGCGACACTCTGGTTTCTTCGTGCAGTGCTTCTCCCGCTTCCTGGAATGAGACATTTCGTGGAGTATATCTCGCTCTTGCAGTTGCAGTGGGATCGAGTCTATAATGGTCAGCGTGCGCAGGTGGAGATATATCATCAGCATATAGCATGGTTGAAAGAGATTGTGCCCGCGGATCGACTGGTGTTCTTTGATGTCAAAGACGGATGGGAGCCGTTGTGCGAGGCGTTGGGGAAGGATGTTCCGGATGTTCCATTCCCTCGCATTAATGATTCCAAGGCCGTTGATCAGGTTGCTGAGTATCATATCAAGCGGGGTCTCAAGAGATGGGCTGGGGGTTTTGCGGTGGTGGGAGTTGTTACTGCTTGGTTTATGTATGGGTGAATGTTGGAATTATGTTTGTTTGATATTGAAGCAACACTAGATAGGCACTGTTCTTACTAGGTGTCGAATATATATTTCGATAGAAGACTTACCGGGAGTCTACATGGTTGGTATCCAATGGTAGTAGCGATAAGGGTGGTCATCCTCCAATACTTCGTTGATAAGACAGTTTCAAATGATGTGTTTGGAAGACATTATGCAAACTGTCAAGCTATGCCACTTCAAATAATGGCGTAACCACGATCAACTGACATTCAATCACTTCCACTGCGAGCTTTTGGGGTCAGCTGCGCTATATCCATGAGTATACATACTCAGCCCGAGACAACAATCGAACTTTCACTGCACTTAGTCCGAGGGGGGTATGTTGGAACCTATTCACCTTGGAACTGTTCCACTAGCTGAGAGGTATCTCTTTTGGTCTAGTTGGGAGATTCCACTCTGCTTAAAGCTATCCTAGGCGAGGCTTGTTGCACGAGTGGAAGTGTTCAAACCAACTGCACAAATATGTCATATTGCAGCCAGGCTGCCTGGTTACAGAATACAATTGTCCGGAAAGCAATATGCAGAGTTGCGTCTGAAGATGAGTTTGACGGCGATTGGTACAGAACAGGGATTGAAGCCTGTGCTCTGGACGAAGACATCAAGCTCCTACCACTTGGAGATGACACTATGTTAGGGAGTAGGGAGGTCACTTTGAGTGGCGGACAGAAACAACGCATGGTATGGATGTCAGCTTGGAATGAATAAAGCTGACCATTATGGCAGGCGCTAGCTCGAGCACTCTACAGCCGATGATAGGTTGTGTGGCTTAATGGCGTACTAAGTTCTATTTATGCGAAGGCAGAGTCAAGGGTGGTTACAAATCTATTCGGGCCAACAGGATTGCTTCGTCGAACAGGATCGACGGTCATTATGGTTACTCACGCAGGCATGTCCTTCACATGAGACAGTATATAGCAACTAATAAGCGGGTACACAGTTCATCAGTTGCACCTTGCGGATCAAATTATCGCGCTAGATTCATCCGGGCGTATTATCCAGAAGGGTCCCTGGGAGGAATTCAGAAAAGTCATGATCAAAGGTTTGCAGAGTGACACCATGACAGATATCAGCGTGGTAAAAACGGCCGTAGAACCCGAGCAAAAGAAGCCACTGCCCAAATCTGTCATAGGACCAACAGCAAATGACTTTGCCGACTTGAGTCAACGTACGGGTGATCTGTCTGTATACAAGTTCTATGTCAACTCGTTTGGATGGAAACTTTCTCTAGCTATGTTGGCAACGGTCATCATGGTTGCAATCACCACGTATTTTCCGCGTAAGTCCCCTTTCCATGGTGCGACAGTATTGATTAACCAGGTATAGATGTTTGGTTGCAGCTGTATACAGCTGGTGCGGTAAGACATGTCTCATTGTTCTGTTCCGTGTATTCCGTTGTAGCGCTATCTGGTCTTACCCTGTTCTATCTTTCAATGAGATGAGGGCCAGACCCAGTATGTGATACAGAATCTAACAAGCTAGGATTGTATTCATACATCTAATCCCTAAATCAGGGGGAAGCCTTCATAAGACACTGCTTCAGACTGTGATACGGGCACCTCAGTCTTATTTCGACAAGACAGACAGTGGTACAATACTAAACCTCTTTAGCCAGGACATGACCCTGGTCGACTCAGCATTGCCCATTTCCATGATAATAACTCTCCAAGGTTAATAGTCTCATGGACAAAAGTACGACCACTGACTATGATTAGGTCTCGCAAATGGACTAGCCCAGATAGGACTGATTGCATCCGGATCCAGCTACATGGCTTTAACTATTCCAGTCCTTCTTTGTCTGCTTAACCTTCTACAGAACGTATACCTACGAACATCTCGACAGATGCGACTTCTTGATTTGGAGGCTAAAAGTCCGCTTTACACCCATTTCATGGAGACACTCGAGGGACTAGTTACAATCCGCGCATTTGGCTGGCAACAGGAGTTTAACGAGATCAGCAATGCCCTCCTGAACAATTCTCAAAGACCATACTATCTGCTGTATTGCATTCAACGCTGGCTTAACCTGGAACTTCGGCTTCTTATCGGCTCTCTGGCCATCATCATGGTTACGTTGGCAGTAACTCTTCGGGGCTCCACATCGGGAGGCCAGATTGGTATAGCACTGAACGGGATGCTTGGGTTCAACGCGACGCTGGAGATGTTGTTCATGTTCTGGACATCCCTCGAGACTTCACTTGGAGCAATTGCAAGGCTTAAGAATACCGCGCAATATACACAGACAGAAGCAGAAGGTGACCAATACCCACGTGCAGAATGGCCGGAATCTGGCGAGGTTGTCTTTCGAGGTGTATGTGCCTCTTATGGGTGAGTAGCAAAGCTTAAGCCTGGATTGTTGAACGCTGAGCTGACAGTATCAGACCAGATGCTCCTGCCTTGACAGACGTCACACTCACAGTACCACCTGGTATGAAAGTCGGCATCTGTGGCCGGACAGGCAGGTTAGTTGGGCTTCACAACATGCTACTTGAGCTAATACCAGGCAGTGGGAAAAGCTCTCTGCTCTCCACTTTACTTTGCATTCTTGACCTAGATGCAGGAGAGATCCTCATAGATGGGTATAACATACACCAGCTTCCCCGAAACACCGTACGTTCTCGTATGATCTCAATTACGCAAGAAGCATTCTTCCTGAGTGCTTCTGTACGCGAAAATGCAGACCTCAGCCAGTCCTCAACAGACGACGTCATCCGTTCAGCACTGATTCAGACTGGTCTATGGACCACAATCAACAACAAGGGCGGCCTTGACGCCGATATGAAGAATATGTCCCTGTCCCAAGGTCAGCAGCAACTGTTTTGCCTGGCGCGAGTCATCATAAAAAAGAATAAATCACGGATTCTAGTCCTGGACAAAGCGACTAGTGGCATGGACAATGAAACTGATAAGCTAATGCAAGAGGTTCTAGGGACGGAATTTACAGATCATATGGTTATTACAGTGGCTCATCGCTTGGATGCTATTTTGGACTCGGATTTGATTGCTGTGTTGGACCAGGGACGCGTGGTGGAATATGGTCCGCCAAGTCAGCTTTTGTCGCGTCAGTCACTGTTTCAGGAGCTTTGCAATCAGTGATCCTTTCTTGGATTTGATGTACTTTGGTTTATCTTTAGTCTCAAAGTTTGCTAAGTACCACTTTCGACCCCATACGAACTTTAAAAGTGGGGAGAAATTGAGAACTGGGCGATGATTGAATATTAATTTCGAACGGCGGCTGGGATCATAATCGGATGACATAGTTCGTCAAATGCAAATGCCACGCTGGGCCATAATAATACTTAAATATTTCCAGAACTGGAACCGAAAATAAGCAAAATTAAAAGGAAAGAGCATGTTACCCCATGTACATATTCCTAATAATTCGTGCAATCAGCCCACAACACACAACAGTGCACCACTCGTTAGTCACACCTGCAGCCGCAGTAGTGAAGAACAACCAGCCGATCCTCATCTATGGACCAGATAGATTTTGTGTTTTGGGGTGGGGGCATAAATTGTGTGGTTCGGTTGGGTGGTTGGTGGGTTATATCCAAGATGATTGTATTGGATTGGGTTATGATGATAGAGATATAGTGTATTTGAATTTCTAGTTTTCCTCCCTCTGCAATCCTTCAACTATATATCCAATCTAATACAACACATATCCACAGTAACCACCCCCACCATCCGACATATACAAACAAACAAAAGAAAACAATATATACTCCACACAACACAACACAACAACAGCATATGACACGGGTATCTAACAAACAGGCTCCATATACACCAAACAAGCAGCACAAACCACAAACCATAACAACAGGAATAAATCTCCTACTGAGAATTCCCTCTGACCCTCATCGCCTTCTCAATAGCACAATGCCCAAGTCTCGTCAACTCGGCCACAAAATTCGTCACCATTTGCATATGCGCGCGTTCATTATCAGCGGTTCTCCTCCTCTTGACATTCTTAATCAAGGTTGGGACGACAGTGAGAAGATTCAAATCGTCTTCGACGCATGGATCCAGCGGGTTCATGAGAACGCTGCAGAAGATGGTGAGGATTGCGGACATGGGGTAGAATATTATCATCCTGTTTTAATTAGTCTTATGTTGGGATGAGGGTAAGGGGAAGGTATGGGAGGATAGGTACCAAAAAGCCTCCGGACGAACCGAACCAATCACCGACCGAAGATAATGCAACGAGGACCGACTCGCCTCCACAGCAAGCAACATACTCGAATTGACTCCCTCCATCATTCCATTCTGAGAATTCCCCCACGCTTGACATCGTCCGCTTGCTCGATGGATCGTACACATCATGTAATGGTATTCCAAGCGGATGACAACGGCTTGCATCGGCAATACAGGGGCGGACTGATGCTCCAAGGCCGAGCCTAATGTTGGTCTGTGGGCCGGAGGAACGCTCATTCGCCACTGTTCTAGCTCGTCGTCTAGCTCACGAATGTCCTGCAGCAGCTGGGTATCGGATTTGTGTAACGCCTTGGCGGAGTACAAGGTACGGTAGGTTTTCGATTTCAGCATCGTAAGTCGTAAATCACCCGGGAAGATAGGAATGGTCATGTCTTCGTAGAGTGTCACGTGGTGTTGTTGGCTTGGGTATTGCAGTTCGGTGTAGTTTGGTGGAAGGCTCAAATCGCAGTGTTCGTCGTCGATGACTGGTGGTTGTCCGGATCGGAAGCACAGTTCCTTGTCGAAGCCGTAGCAGAGCCAGAACATCCGTCGCAGCATCCGCTGGTATCGCCAGATGCGGTCTCCTGGCCCTGAGTTGTCTCGTGGTCGGTTGTCTTTGGTCTCGCCGCCGAGCATGAACATGACTCGACAGGCCATGGAGTGGAATTGGTTGGCGAGTTGTAGTTCGCCGGTGAAGGTCCGGTACATTGTCTATTGATATTAGCAGGGTAGAGGATGTGGTGGTGTACTTACCTGCATGACCATGTTCTGTAGCGTGGGCAAGCTGACATCGTGCAGCATATACGGGAGCAGGTTCTGCGCCTTGGCGGCATAGATAGCAGAGTCGACGTACGGGAGATTAGGAGCCGGATCGAGTTCAGCGATAAAGGCTAAAAAGGCCAACACGCACGCCCTGGAACTGGTGATTCCCACCGGGAGCGGCCCCTGACACGGTTGATAGGCGATATCGATGGTATCCCGGAACAGCACCTCATCCACCACCGGAAAGACCAAGCATTCGTAAGACGAGAAGAAGTGGCGCGCCCACTGTTCCACCAACGACCGGTCTGGGAGATCCGGTGTGACCGAGTTGTAACCGTTTTGCGGGGGTGCTGTCAAATGTGGAACATGGTGCGGGAACTTGTGCGACCAGAGGTCGTCGAAAGTGCCAGACTCCCCGGTACAAGACCGCACCCATTCGTAGCCGTCATGCGAGAAGCAGGGGATCCCTGAGTAAGTGCGGATGTCACCTACGTAGTGTCCGGCGAAATGGATCTTACCAAAGCACAAGCCACTACTGGGATGGGGTTCCGGCACCATTCCTTCGATGTCAAGATGGCCTTTGTCCAACAAAGATAGACAGTGTTTTGGATGCTCATTGGTGGCGATGGACCGGGTGAGAAGCTGTTTGAGCCGACGCACCCGATCCTCCAATTCTTCCTGGGGCTGTGGGGGATGAGGTCTGGAGGGTTAGTCAAGCCAGGTGAGACAGACTAATGCCTACCTTGGATTGGCGGGCTGACTGGTCTTCTTCCGTTTGCCGCCGATGGGTCTATCAAAGGTGCACTCGAGATTATGATGCCGACACCAATTACAAGGGACAGAGGAGTCACATTGGATCTGACGATTAGCTAGGCAGCTGTATCGGAGAGGAGCATACCTTTCGGCGATGGCACGAGTCACAGGCACGGGCGGTGCGACGCAACGGGATGTAGCCCCCCTCGGAAGTCGGGGTAGGGCTGGACTTGAAGTGACCCTGCATGGTAGGGCCAATCGGATGGGGAAGGACTAGCTACAATGTAGCGTGGTGGGCTGTGGCTCTGGATTCAGCTCACCGCGACATCGAGTGAGGTTGACGCGGATCACCTGCCGCTTAGTCATCGGCGCGCGGCGGATCCTTCCGAGCTGAGATTCATACAAGTACAAACATTATTCTGTAGAAGTGCCGTAGAAGGATGCTACTACTTTCAGTGTCGTTCTTAAAACTATATAAATTGAAGAACGAACACAAGTCCATTACCCAATCAGGTATTCGGCTCCGACCGCGGAATGCCGCATCCACAGCAGTTAGCCTATGCCTAAAGGGGATAATGAGAGCGATCCGCACCGGAGGAATATTACTCCGGATGTCTCAGAAGCCATCATGTCTCAGTTGGAAGCGGTGGGCCTGTGCATGTGATTTCACAGCTATCAAGATTCCTGCACATCCAACATCAACAACACAATGCCAAGTAACGCAAATGATAACCCTGAATTCCCAATCCCTTGCGATCACCACCTTGGACAATTGCTCCACCGATCAGCAAATCCTAAACAATGACATAAACCATTTTGAACCGTCTTCCACAGCCCTATTATTCCAGTTGACATCAGACCGGCTAAACCCGGGTTTGTTGAATTTAATTGGCGGTGATGCGGGTGGAGCAGTTCCAGCGATATTATTCTCAGACATTATGGTTCAGTGGGACTGTCACTACATTATTTCATAGAACCAATTCCAGTGTATTCATCACAACTATATCTCTCTCAATAAATTTAACAACAATCCCCCCAAGTGGTAACAATCCATACTAACAAGTAAGCATCAGCACTAACCCCAACCAATCACATCCCCGATGCGGTGAGCATTCCCGATCCCGACCCCTCACATGACCGGCCCCTCGATCGCTCCGATCCCTTCAACTCACCCCAACTCTCACCATCTTCCTCCCACAACCGGAGTATTTTTATCCCCTGCACCCTCTATAACCAAGTCCACCCCCTCCCCTCCACCAGCACTCCCCTCAACCCAGACCCCTACCGAAAGAACCATGTCACTCCCCCGAATCGCCTGTTTCCACGGCGGCGGCTCCAACTCAACCATCTACTCAATCCAATGCGCCCAACTCTCCAACCTCCTCTCACACGACTTCCAACTCGTATTCTTCGACGGTCCCTTCACCCGCGACGCCGGCCCAGGCGTCCTCCCCGCATTCAGCAACCACGCGCCCTTCAAATCCTGGTTCACGGCCGACACCACCGGCACCGAGATCCCCGACGGCAGCGGCTATGATGCCTCAGGCCGGGACGGTATCGAACGGGTATGGAAATTGATGAGGGAGAATGATTGGGCGCAGGAGGGGGCTGTTGGGCCGTGGGTGGGCGCCATTGGATTTAGTTTAGGGACGAGAGTGGTGGGGGGGTTGTTGTTGGATCAGCAGAGGAGAGAGGAGGGGTGGGGTGAGGGTGTGAGTGCGGGAGAGGGGATAAAGTTGAAGTTTGGGGTTTGTTGTATGGGGGCGGGGAGGCCGATGGGGTCGGAGGTTGGGAAACGTATGTTCTCTTTCTCCCTCGTTCCTAATCTTTGGGTTTTGGTTTGGGGGTAAGGTATGCTGACGATGACATGACAGACTTTAATTTCGACACGGATGTGGTTAGTATTCCTACGCTGCATGTCCACGGACTCAAGGACTGGGTGTTGCCGTTGAGTCGTCAGCAGTATGAGACGTATTATGACTCGAAATCGAAACGGTTGTATGAGGTTGATTATCATCATGCTATGCCGTGGGTGAAAGAGGAGGTGGAGCAGTTGGCGCACCGGATACGGCAGATTTATAAGGAGAGTGTTTAGCTGATTGTCACTGTGTTTATGATGATGACGGTATATGATATTATAGACTATAGATCAATAACCATGATCCAGCCTAATACAAAGACCCCAAAGAATGACACCAATGTTATTTCAACCACCCCAACTCCCAAACAAATCAATTAATCACTCCAACATAAACCCCTTCCCATCCCCCTCAACACTCCTGACCCTCTCTACAGCCCTCCTATACCCCTCCTCCCGCTGCAACCTCTCCACATACCCATTTAACAACGGAAATTCTCCCCTCGGCACAACCCCCAACCCCAACGCCACCGCCAACGGAACACTAAGTTGTATATCCGCCGTCGTCAGCTCCCTCCCACAGATGTACCCTCCTCCGCCGGGTGGCGTGGCAAGTTGATTCTCCAGAAACCCGAAATGTGTTCGAAACTCCCCATCCAGAAACTCCGCGTTCACCTTCGACGTGATGAGATTTGTAACCGGCTTGATGAAGAATGGCAGGGGGGCGTTTTTCACAGCTATAAACACTTAGCATACCATACACACACCCATTCCCACCCGGGGAAGTGAAAAGAAAGAAGGGCATACCATCAAAAACCAACCTAACCTGCGTCGTACCCATCAAACTCCCCTCCACGTAACTATCAAAATACCTCCACCGCATCCATTCCTCTGTTTCTCCGCCTAGCATACCTTCTTTCCCCGGGATCCATTTCTCTGGAACGAGTGTGTTCCTTTTTTCCTCGTTGGCGAAATGCTCAATTAGGTATGCCATGATAGGACTTGTTTCCGCGAGAATAATAGGGTTCAGGGATGTATCGGGTGCTTGGATGGATATGGTGGGTGATTTTCCTAACGGATGGATTTGTTTCATTTCCGCGGGCGCGGTGCCATTGGCGTTGCGTTTGAAGGGTTGGATGGTGTAGCTTAGGTTGAGTTCTTCGAGGAGCCAGGCGATGCGTTGCGCGCGGGAACGGGAGAGCCTGGGTGGGTTTGTGGTTAGGGGGGTTCAGAGGGGGATGGTAAAGGGGGGTGGGGGTACCAGTTTAGGACGATTGTGGCGCCGCGGTTTGGGTTCATTTTGGGTTGTTTGTTGTTGTTTGTGCTTTCGTCTTTTGGGTGGTGGGATGGGATGAGATGTGGTGTGAGAATTGAGGGCTGGTAGGTAGATTGTTGGTGATGAGTTTATATATGATCTTCGTGGATGTAAGCAACGGGGTATATCGGAATAAAGGCTGATTCTCGTATTGACTACAGAGATATAGTCTAATTATTTACGAAATCTTCCGAGTTCTTCATGACAATGTCGATGGAAGCTGTTGCATCGGACATGTCCGGCCCGATAAAGTCAGCACTAGCTTCTGTTCCGTGTCGGGGATTGGCTGGTTTCAACAAGGATCAGCTGACGGTTACAGGCTGTGAGGTAGGTATGTCAGTGAGTCATTTCAGCCTCTATTTTATGGGTGATGTCGTTGTTTGAGGGAAATAGTATTCAGATAGGTGTGGGTTGTAATTGAGTTTAGGTATGTGATTGTGCTGAATAATCCCCACATGTATAGTGCTAGTTGTAAAATACGTAATTCTGCTATTGATAGCATCACATTTCATGATTCATTGGACATTAGTTACTGGTAATACAATTTTATTAGCCTATGATTGAGAAAGAATGTATGGAATAGTGCGAGATTACTTTGAGGTAAGCAAGGGAAGCCATCTCTTCTAGCAAAGTTGCATGGTTGCTCTCAAACGGGCATTAGTTGATTGAACAATCATATCTATATCTCCCTTATACCTTCTAGGTCAGTTGGACGACTGCAAAGTATCAAGAGTGCTGGGGAATCTCAGCTCTCAACCTTTGTCTCCGCAGACTACCTCTTTCATCCGGACTCTCTCCCAGTGTTTAGTCACTGCCCTTGTGGCCCTCTAATCATCGAAGCCTTGCTGGAGTCGCTTTTCAGCTCATCAAAGCCCCTCCTTTGTATAGTTACTATCATTCTCTTGACTTCGGGTAAGCTGTTTATTACCTTAAGCTTAAATGTGGACAGAAGTTGAATGAGCTACCATATGAGGGGATTATTCCTAGCCCTTCAATAGGCAGTATAGGCAGCATAGGCAACAATTATCTTTCCTGGTTGGTACAAAACAATATGAATGGGAGCTTAGCTTACTCACAAGGTCAGACTACTAGTCAATCACAGATCATCGTTTGGCTGATGTTGTGGTCTACATGGATAAGAGCACGTGACATCTGGCCACAACGCCGTCCTACCTTTGTTTCTGCCTAAATGGTCTCCATGCTGTTGGTGGAAGAATCAATACTGTCAAGGCGAAAATTGGAAACCTTTGTGCAATTGAGGTATTTACTTTGGCTACAACGATGCTGATAGACATGATGTTTATTACTTTTGATATTTTTGCAAGTAGAGATTCCACTACACCTCCAAGCCGGAGACTTGCAATCATACAAGACTGATGCAAGGCTTCCTGACTTCATTCATACATTTCACGCTTGTATCCAATCGTGGTATAAACTCACTCTACAGTTCGCTGTTCGGGGTCTAGACGAGGTGGCTGGATCAATTGAAATAACATGCATTTTTTAACCGACAGTTATCTCTCGAACAAACATATCTGATTATCTGTAGCCTATACTTCACCTAAACTAATCACATTGCTAGCTACCAAGCCAACCTTCTTGCGGCTATGAATCAACACGATATGAAGGGATTGGAACTCCTAATGATACTATACAATCAGCACTAAGTAGAGGACACTGGAAGATGGTATACACTTACCTCTTGACACCATACTTCATCTGTGCGATCCAGTCCAAGACAATCAGCCCTTAAAACATCCATCTAGGCAAGTAACGACGATAGTCAAATGCACCAGGGGTTGAGAGGTATCCCAGGGGATGTTCTCTGCACTTGCGGACATCCGCAAGAGTGACTCCCTCCGGAAGGTCGGCAGGATCAACTCTCATCAAACCCAAGGACCCGCACTCAGCCTCGGCCTGGGCCTCAGCCTCAGCATTTGGGTAAACGATAGCGAGAGCGGTGGTCGCGTAGGCGCCGACCAGGAGGTAGGGGAGAACCTTCATGTTGGAGTGGTGGACTTGTAGAGTGATGATCGGGGTAAGTGGGAAGATATCTGAGAGGGACCTGGGGGAGGCTCTGTAGGTGCTAATCTTGCGGGAGAGGGAAGAGGAGTGGTGGACGTTGCCAACAGGCGAGACCCCGCCTCTTATCCACCCTGGGTGAATCACTGGACTTCACATCAGGTGAACGGACGACGTGGTCGGAAATGTCAAAAGACCTCGTGATTGGTTGAGTGTCCTACTGTGCTTGGGAATGGGAGAATCCGCCCAGGAATAAGACAACAAAGGGTCCAACCTATTAATGTTAGTATAGTTTGATTAGACTAGGGTCCAGACAGTCCTAGCCTATCACAGTCTGATAAGCACTGCCCTGCTCCTAGACGGTTCCACCTCCGCCCCATAATGAAGTCGATCTTCACTACTCTGGTATCACTCTGACAGCATTGCTTTGAAGGAGCTTCCATCGCCTTAGGAGTGGGTCGAATAAAGGCTCACGATTCCTCCTGCCTGTGTTGGTTTAGTGCTTATTGTTTCATTTGGTATGTCTCAGTTCATAACTCTGCTAGTATCTGCAGCGGTTTATTGATTAGAAGAAATCACGCAACAAAATTATGTTACTATGTTGACAGCCATTAATAGCAAAGTCGAAAGTATTTGTAGAAACTCAAATACCCTATACCTACCATGATCAAAAGCCTCGGGTGAGTGTCTAAATAGCATGGTACATCCTGGTGGAAGGCATAATCCGACTAGAACAAACAATAATTCGCCCCCAACCTAGAACGAGTCCGGACCCAAATAAAGATGTATCTCCGATACAAGAGCCGCGCCAATATTTTCTAGTTACATCGCGTCGCCCCCATTTACATGGATTCTCCGTAGTGGAGCTGGGTAGATGCAACCACGACCCTACACCGGATACAGCCTCAATATCGCTATCCCTCATGATATGTTCCTGTGCCTGTAGGACCCAACGAGAGTCCCGCTATAGGATCAACCGAAGGAATTCTAGTGTAAAGGATAACGAAAAGGCTCTTCATTCTCTTGGCAAGCAAAGTATAGTAAGCGGAACAATCCCATCCAACAGGTCCATTCATTCCCAGGTTCAAGCAGTCTTCGACAGAACATTCCCTCTCCTATTCTATCTCCATCTCCAATCAGTACGCAAATCCATCGCTCCCTCTGCCACTTCCACTGACACCTCACCCAGAAGAAACCATCATGAAGTTCACAATCGCCCTCTTCAGCATGCTGGCCCTTACCTCCGCCATATCCTCCCCCACCGCCGAAGGCGCAGAATGCGGCGACCTAGACATCATGGCCGTCTCCAAAGCGGACCTCCCCGAAGGCGTCTCTCCTAGCGATGTCCGCAAGTGCAAGGACCACCCGCTCGGCCGCAACAGGTCCCTCGAGGGTGCATCTCTGGCACCCCAGGACGACATTGATCCCTCCCTCTCTATCAACACCACGGCTACTAGCGAGGTGGAAGCACGTTCCGACCTCAACACCCTCGGAGAACGGTCCTGCTACAGCGCTGCGCCGTATGGTTGCTCTAAAGGGTATTGTTGGAAGGCCTGCGGAGAGAATGGCGAGTGGTGTTGGACGGCCAGGAAGGCTGGAGTGGGGGCTTGGTACACCTGTAGTACTTATAAGGATTGTGGGACGACGACTTATGCGTGTGGAGTAGGGTGTCCGAGTTGTGGGTGCGGTTGTTAGGGTTAGTATTTAGCCCGGTGGGTTGGATGGTATTGCGTTGGCCTTGATGTCTGGCAACTGGAAAGGGGTACGGAAAGTGTATAGTGTATAGTGCAGCGGACGGGCATAAATCAGGTCATTGTATAAGGACGAACTAGTCAATCTTGTATAGCAATACCATGTACAATGAATGTTGGTGCCCTCTTACGGGTAGATGCTCTCTGGGCTGGCGAAACCAGTCCCCGCAACTATTGCATATCGCCTTATACACACTCGATACATAGCACCACAAGTAAGTTATTAGCATGGCACTCGGAAAGACGTAGACTCGGAGAAATATTGCAGGAGGAATATAGCGGTACCTTATCGGTTCAAACCCCTATCAGAGGTCTAGTATTGAAGATCGACTAGACATGTAAGTATAATATTATTATGCGTCGAGCGAGTGTTCGCGATGAGGAGGGTCAAAGTACCAATTTAGTAAGCTGTGGAATCCTGGTATTCATCTGTTGGCTCGCTTGGATGCCTGCATATGAAGATGAGGTTATTCATAGTACGGTATGCAGGGAGCTCAGGGCCAAGATTGAGGTCTGTGCGGTGTGGCCTCAGGCAGGCAGAAGCGAACAAAAGGGCATAACTGTGGCAGTGTAATACACAGCCACTCTGGCTGATACATGATCTGCACATGGCCGTTTACCAAAGTTTCCCCTTCCTTCCCTCCACCCCACCCATCAACAAATATCCCAATTGGTAGCTTGGTTTTGAGCATGAACTTGTCGGTGCTTTAGGGTGTGTCTTAAGCAAGTAACTGGAATAACCTGAAAAGACCGTACAGCGTCACATTTAACGCCAATCTTGACTTTACTTTGCACGTGGGATCAAGTCTGTTCAGATGCTTCGGTGTGCACGACCACTCGCAAAGGCAAGGTTAGAAGCCAGCCACTGACATATATTGAGCTAGGATGCTTCCACAAAGTACATTGATTATTACTAGATCAATATCAATTACTAGGCCTTTCTTACAACTTCGAGCTAGGGATTATTCCACAACCACCAACAACCAGAACAACAATAACGACTTTTTCCGCTTCACTCGTGGGCGATTTCTTTCCGATGAAGCTCATCATCTTTCATAGACTTATGTTCAATTCGAAATCAATGAAATTACACGATTGGCTGTCCATGCCGCTGAAATCGCAAGCAACGGGTCCCGACAATGCATAAACATCGAGAAACTCCCCGACGGAATGCACAACAAAGCCGTTCGCTTTACAATGGGCAACGGCTTCCAGGTTGTGGGCAAGGTACCTAATCCGAATTCTGGACGAGTTCATTTTACAACAGCCTCTGAAGTCGCTTCTATCGATTTTGTATGGTCATTCAGTACCCCAAACCACCTTTTTGCGGCTAGATGCTGATTCCGGGCAGCTTCGAAATGTTATGAAGATACCCACACCGAATGTGTTGAGTTGGAGCTCGACGTCTGAAAACTCAGTGGGAGCTGAATACATTCTCATGGAGAACGTGCGCGGTGTTCAACTAAGCAAGTTATGGGATAAACTCGAGGTTGATGTGAAGTTCAAGGTTCTTCGGAATATCGCCCTCTACCAAGATATATGGTTGAATACTACTTTCTCGCGCTATGGCAGCATATATTACAAGAATGATGTCGGACTGTCAACACCAAGCCTCGAATAATACCGATAAAGCTGGAACAACCATCGTGGATGATCGTTTCACAATTGGTCCATCGGTGAGCAGACAAAACAATGATGATGGTAGGCTCGGAATGGAGTTTGACAGGGGATCATGTAAGTTTGTTCTGTCAGAACTTATTTATTTTATATTCTGACTTGCGGCGTGCAGGGACTACCGCAGCAGACTACGAACGTGCTACAGGGTCGCGGGAGCTACATTGCACTAGAAATATACCTCAACTCCCTAAATCTCCTATTGCTCTCCACTATTCCGGGACGTACCAGCCTTCTCGCGAGACCAAGATTATGGCAATAGAATGCTATCTCAAACTATTAAAATGACTCCTACCTGATGCACCTATCCAGACATCCCATATCTGGCACTCTGACTTACATTCAGTGAACATCTTTGTCGATCCGAAAACCCCGTCGGAAATCCTCGGAATCATCGATTGGCAATCTACCGGATTGGCACCGTTATACGATCATACTATCCAACCGTACCTTCTTGACTACGACGGTCCGCCTCTTGATCTGCTTGAACGCCCGGACCTCACCGACATTCGTTCCCTATATCAAGACTATCCCGCGCCGCTAGGTGAACGCAAAGCCACCTCACTCTACACCAAAATGTCATTGGTGTCATTGTACCGGCATCTAGTGCACAAGAAAATGCCGCTTTTGTTCAAAGCTCTCGAGTTTCGTGAAACGGTGTGCTTCCAGTTACTTCTTTTCGCTCGAAACCTTCTTGTTGATGGTGAGGCGACGTATTTGGCACTATCGGTCGATCAACAGCGGAAGAATTGGCAGGATATCCCCAGATTCAATCATACTGATGAGAAGTTGCCACTTTGCTTCTCGGAAGAGATGCTTCATCAAATTGAAAAGGATCATGAAGGGGCTACAGCTTCGATTGAACTAATGAGAGAGATTCAGGAGATGATCGGTCCTAGATACTTCTATACAGACGGCATGGTGACACATGACGAATATGATGAGGTTAGTAGGATTATACCGCGAGTTAAAGAGGAATTCATCTGCAAGTATGCACGTGATGAAGATGAAATTACAGAATTGGAGGGTGTTTGGTCATTCGATTGATTGCCGAAATGTTTTTACTTTCCTTTCGTAATGTGTGCCCTAGTTTGGCTTCGATTATATATGTTAGCGCCTCTAATATGGCGATTTCCCTATCAGATTTCTGTTACCCTTGGCGTATTGATTTCAAACTGGGTCTCAGGTATTGCGATAGTGTATCTTGAGTAAAATTCATATGATTGTCAAGGTGCATTCCTGGGACACCGTGCACATATGCAAATCCTAACATACTGATTAGTAGTATTTTTGCGCGGTACGTTAAAATATCCGCTGCCCTACGTGGCACCCAACGGGTATAGCCAACTACTTATTATCTATTGAAGATGGATTCAACTCACTCGCTCCCAATATGTACTAGCGGGTTTACTCTCAATTAATCTTGCGATCATCTGTATTCCAGGAAGATTTGACGCACTTCCAAGAAACCATGGGATATGCTAGTCTAGTAACAGGGGCTATCATTCATACTGGAAGACGTCAACGGTCACATATTGCATACACTGTCTTTTCAGGTAGTAGGGGGAGCCTCGATATTGTCGACCTGTCTAGGTATTGTGATACCAGTAAGTGTTTATTGCAGTAGCTGATGTAGGGTTAGGTATGTCATAAGTGGCCAATGATGAGTGATAACACATGCAATGAGCTCTGTATGGTTGAGACAGTAGCCAGGATGTGGGTTACAAGTTGTACATCTATCGTGCAGATGTTCATAAGACTTTTGCTAGTCGTAGCATTGTTTAAAATTAGAAATCCAGGGGTAAGTTAAACAAGTAGCCAATCAGGGGATATGTTTTAGACAGCTCTACAAGAGCTGCGAAGGATGTGGGAGAATATTCTTCCACGCGCCTTCATTAGACTGAAACAGTCTTCACTGTCTGACATCATCCGAATGGCCCCAGTAGTACGCCTAATGTTAGCGCCAGGATCAGTGGCAGCAGACGACGAAGTCAGCCGCCTCGTGCGTTGAATCGAATAGGACATAGAAAGCACGCTGAAAATCTATAGTATAACAAAAGTGGCAGCTGAGTACAAAGAATATACAGTAGAAACACTATGTTGAGATCAGATCAATCCAGCAAGTAGCCCGGCACCAACCAACACCATCAATGACCCGACCGAAAGACCAGTCGCACCGCTGCTGGATGTAGACGTAGTGCTTGAGGAAGAAGAGGCGGAGCTGGAGTTGGAGCTGGAACTTGATCCCGAGGCCGACTTGGACGAGGTCGAGTTGGACGACGTGGTGTTGTAGGCATGGATGCTCGTGTAGTCGCCCGTCTTATCCGTGTAGTTGTAGTACTCGGCCGGGTTGTAGTTGATGACCTTGACTGATTCCAGGTACATGATGAAGGGACCATCATCGTAGTCGGTCTCGCCACCGGCCCATTCAATCGTTCCCGCAGCGTTGTCAGGATCGCCACCAGCCCAGATACCAACGCGGATTGTCATTGGGGTCTGGGGGTAGTTCTTGCCATCGACGGCATCCGCATATTCCAGTGTACGGACGACAGTGCCATCCAGAATCCACTCCGTCTTAGTAGACGTCCAGTTGACTCCGTAGGTGTGGTAGGTTTCCTCAGGGGTGGTGACGTTCACGGTGGTGGCACGATCGTAGGAGGTGGTGTTTCCTTTGCCAAAGTAGTTGGTCTGGATTTCGTCGTCAAACGTACTGACTTGTTCCTGTAGGGGTCAGCATTGTGATCAGCCCACGGCATAAGGACTTACCCAATCAATCTCGTCCAGGTCATTGGATTCCAGCACACTGGTGCTGATGATACCGGTGCCGTTGGCCGCGCGAAAGGTCACTTCGACGTAGCCGAAGAAGATGTAAAAGTTCGACTCAATGGTAGGTGCATCGCCCTCCTGGCTGATCTTGAATTCGGCACCCTTCGAGGTGCTGTTCACGGTTCCGGCGGTCACATTCCACCTGTCAAAGGCGGATTCTCCAACGGTGAAATTAGTGCTCAGAGACCACTGGTTGAGGCCTTTGTCAGCTGGGCAGGTTTCTACAAGAATCAGTAGCTGTCAATCCACATGGTAACAGACATACTGTTCAACGGGTTGCAGCTGCTGTATGTCTGGGCTGCGCAGAGCGGAACTGCAAGGGCAGCCACTGCCCACTGCATGTAAGACTTCATTATTAACGAGTGACGATGAACGAATGTATGGCAAGATGAGCAGGTGGGATGAAGCAAGATGAACGAATGTACAGGAGATAAACCACGGTTCAGTCAGGGGCATAAGGCAGCAACGATAGAGATGGCTATGAATTCTTCATCCACCGAAGGATGCATGTCTTGGGCTGATGACTCCGCACCCTATTGGATGGAGCAGTGGAGCTGTTGGTTGGGATGACGGTGTGTTATCAAGCGGTTGGCCATGATGGACGCATGCGCACGAGGATGGGGCCATTGGTGGCCACAAAGCTTGACGGGGATGGAGGCTTGCGCGTCCGCCCAGCACACGGTTCCTGAATGCTTATCCGGCGCAGACACTTTGCCCAAAGGGGGTAAGTGTTGTCGTGGACAGTGGGTTGCCGGTGAGCAACGTGATATGGATACCCATTTTCCATATATCCCAAGATTTCCAAGATTGACTATCCTCATTTGTCGATGATAAGGAAGTCATGATGGTTTCTCAGGATGGTGTTCGATGTTGCAAGTTGCACTGCAACGGGAGGATCCGAGCGCAATGAAGCGAAACCAATGGGATTGTCTCCGCCCGTCCCGCTGCAACTCCAGAACCAGTAACAATGTCCGATGGAGTGAACGGCGGGTCGGGCAAAGATTTCACGCGGATCAGCTTGACTCATGTCATGCGACCGATCTGAACCTCGGAATAGATCAGACATGGTGATCATGTCTTCATTATGACTAGCCTGTAGCTTGTACTAGACAGCTTCTATTGATAGACCTGCACGCGGCGGTTAGACACATTTCCTCATTACACTGCCAAACTCACTTCCCCCAAACTCACTTCCCTCAAACTCACTTCCTGTTGGTTGGCTCACCATGGCTCGTGGAGCTTCAAGGCTCGATCGCTTGACAGTGAAATGCTGGATATTGCAGCAGGACACGACCAATCGCTTGGAAGTTACGACGCGGACGACTGATCATGTCCTAATGATATGACAGTTGGAAGTGAGGGAAACCAGGGTCTGAATGGTCACCTGACTGTCTGGAGGGTTGTTGACCCATGCCTGTTTTCAAGCATCGCCAGTCGTGAGATCAGTGGCTTGAATGCTACCTGAGCCGTATAAATATGATTACTCGATGTAATTAACCTTCTGCCAAACTTTAGCCAGCTGTCCGGTACGCTCCTTACTTTCGATCCGATCTCTCGAGTGCTTCCCGGCGTAACTCATAAACCGGGAAAGCCTATGTCATATCACGCCGTTGACATCATCAGCAATGTCCGCGTCAGTTGAGCTGAAGATGTCAATCGGTTCTGAAAGATATCCTGCTATTCCATCATAAACAGCAGTGTTATCGCCCGATTCAACATGCGTGTGACTCTCCTCCTCCCCCTGCTCGGTCTATGCACCCTAGGCAATGATGATGCAAAACAACAGCGGCGTGACAACTTCAAAGAGATTTGCGGCCGGCCACCAAAAGAAACAAAAGACTACGGCAATGGCTACACCGTTCGTTACTTTTGCAACAAGGCTGCTGCTCCCGAGCATCTCACCCACCAAATCGATGCAGCCACACCGGATGAGTGTGCCATACACTGCAAAGGAAACCCCGACTGTAAAGGCGTCGTCTGGTCATGGGCAGACGGGGTCTGCAGACCCTTTGGTTATAACGTTGGCCCGTATGTAACAAGGATCGGGGCGGTGGTCCTCCAGAAGGAATCCGACGATAGTGCAACCGAGCAACCCCAGAAACCAGCAGGAGATTGTTCGGCCATCCAGGCCGAGCTTGACCAGTGCCGGCAGAACTACGAGACCTTGGACGGGCAGTTGCAGCAGTGCTCGATGACGATCCTTCACAAGGAACTAGAGTGCCAGGAGAAACTGGAGAACAAGCAGAAGGAGCTAGATGAATGCCTAGCGAAGCAATCCTCGGGAGGCGATTGTGCTGCCCAGCTCGAGGCGCAGGGAGAAGCGTGTGCCGCGGAGTTGGAAGATCTCGAAGATGCGCTGCGCAAGTGTCAGGAGGAGAAAGAACAGGAGGTTGGCGCGTGTCAGGACAAGTGCAAGGAGGATCTTGACAAGGAGAAAGACAAGTGCAAAGACCAACTTGCCGAAAAAGACAAGGAGATTGAAGAATGCAAAGGGGGCACCAGTATCTCAGACAGTGATCTCCAGGAGATTCTCGAGGAGATGCAAGGCTGTCCCAGTATGCAGGGCACCTCGCGGACCATTCAGGGAGTTACCTACCAGCTCTACTGCAACCAGAAGCCGGCGGGGAGTGTGTACCGCAAGGAAGAGCTCTTCTGGCGGGCTTGTTTGGCTGCATGCTCTCGCGATAAGAAATGTCAAGGCGTGACCTATCTTCCTGTTGAGCGTGAGCGGTGCCAGATGACCGACTACTACACGCCGAGCCCAGGTCCCTTGGGGACAACGTTCCTCTTTGGGGCTATTCCTACCTCGAAGAGGTAGTCCCATGAACATACGAGATTGACACAGTGGTGGTAGTTCTTTTGCCAATTTGTTACAGCCGAACTGACAATGCAAATCTACTCTTGACATACATGAAGTTATGAACGTCGTGTAGATCAATCAAGGGCATAAACCGGCGCTATCTTGACCAGATCAGGAGCCACTGTCCCCTCGAATCCCAGCAAGACGCCATTCCCAACAGACAGCAACGGTGGTATCCCTCCTTCAAAACCACCCGCAAGGACCTCATTGCCTTTGGTAGTCTTTAGCCAAACTTGATCCAATCTCCAGCCTTGTCGGAAGGCTAGTTTGGCCACCCTTTCGTCATTCTTGACATCAAACGTGATAGATCTATGTTGCTGATTATCGTCTGTGTTTCCAAATGTCGTTGACTCTCCGTTCTCCCAGGTGAGACCCATTCTTTTCACGACAAAATGCTTGCCCCATGTGCCAGCCCAGAAATCGATGCGAGTCACTCGGGCATCGGTGCGGACGGCGCTGAAGTAAGACCCTTCCTCCCTTCCTTTCGGCTCGTAATCAGTTCTCTTCACCACATAGGGCTCGATGAAGAGGGCCTGTAGCTTCAAAATTTGATTGCTGTCAGCGGATCCTTTGAACCCAGCCAGGAATCCACTTCCAACTGCCATTTCGAATTCATCTTCTTCCTCTTCTTCCTGTTCTCCTCCACTCTCTCCTTCTCCACCCTCTTCACCCTCCTCCTCTTTCTTAGACCCAATCTCCAACATCTGCCCCTTATCAGTCTCAGCTGTAATCCTGCGCACCCATTTACTAGTCCGAATCACGAAAGACGTAAACCGTTCCTTGTCGGCTAATTCAAGCGAAACCATTTCTGCCCCTTCTGCCTGAACATTGCCAATTGTTTTCTGCTTTGGTGCATCGCTTCGCCAGGTGATGCGAATACCGTGGATTGTGCCGACAGTCCCCCACACCTGGATCTTCTTGACTGGGTATTCCACGTTCTTTTCGTTGAAAAGCGTGCCTCCTTGGCCTCCGGCGGTGAGGTTGAAGATCAGGGTGTTGCCCATTAGGGGCGGCCAGCTGAGGTCGGTCATTTTGAATGGGTTGGTATAGGATTACTTGATGGTGTTGTTCGATAGGGGCGATGGGAGTGTGTCATGGGGGATGAAGTCCAAAGATGGTATTGTTGACATTGGGTTAACTAGCAGGATGTTTCCCGTCACGGTTAAACAGACTCTTCTAGATGATGCTGCTAGGAACAAGGTTGATGAGTCTTGATGTCATCAGACGACATGTGAAGGGTTCCTGTTTGGGGGGAATATATAGCGTAAGTGGCGTTTAAGGTCGGTCTAGCGAGGGTGAGTAGGATATGTGGCTGAAGTGAGAAGTATATCATCCTGGTTCTTGATTAGATTCCACCGGTCATGAGTGACTTTAAATTCTATGTCCCGATCAATTGTACCAAGTTTAAAAATGATATCTGGTTCATTCCACTATGTCGTGTTCTTACCGGTACGCCAAAACGATATACCGCTTGCCATCTGGAGAACAGACGGAACGAAGACTATATCCCAACACACTATGATAGCACTATTCCTTGATGATGTTTTTATTGGCTGGGACACTGGATGTGAATAGTTCTACTAGATTTCGGACGGGAATTGATTGAAATGTAGTTATGTTGTCCGACTCTTTGTGAGAGTGTTTCTGATATCCCAATGATATAAAGATCATTAACGAAAACATGATAACAAATGCTCCGGAGAAATATATTTGTGGGGTGTGGAGCACTAAAAATTAATGGATTGGGCCACCAATGTAACTTTGTGGCTTGCAGCACAAGGTAGAAAAGTATAGATTTAGGGCTCATATAACATTAATTTGCCAAGGAATATATCAAAGCATCATTGGTCTAGTGGTAGAATTCATCGTTGCCATCGATGAGGCCCGTGTTCGATTCACGGATGATGCACTCTTTTTTCTTTTTCTTCGCCTCGTCGAGGCTTCACCCCGCTTTTTGTTCCTGGTCAGTACCTAGCAACCAGTCTATTCTCTCTCAATCCGACCATCCGATTTCGTCACACAGAATTGACGAACCTCGGAACTTCCATAACCTGCACAAACCTGGCGGTCAATTGCAGCAACGATCGCCGCAGCGGGATTTGGCCGTCGCAGCCCCGCCGACTAGTGGTGCTTATCGCCAACTGCAGCGGAGGTTGGACCAATGGAGCATGCAGCCCTGGCACCGAAGTGTCGGACTGCGCCCGGAACAATTAATTAATCTGCAGGTTATGTTCTGAATATTGGATCGACTCTGCAAAGCGGATAAGCCGATAGCACCCGCCCCGCATGGACTTGCCCAATCGGTAGCTCTTATCGCCCCGACTCCGGAGCTCATCCGGGGTATTTATTGCCCTGCCAGTCCGGTTGACTGGTGCTGCACACATCATGCAGATTCCACGCTTGGCTATCCTCGGGGCATTGGCCCTGCCCAGTGCTGCCCATGTTGCTCACCGCGATGAGGGACAATGCAAGCAGACTACTGTTGCGATTCTGTAGGTGCCTGGCTGTCTGGTTATGACGTAGCTAACAGCAACAGGGGTGGAGGAATGGCTGGTATTGCGGCAGCGGTAGGATCCCTCTTTATCGTTTTTTATTCAAGATGACTCATTGTGTAGCAAACTTTGCACAATGCCTCCATGGACGACTTTATGATTCTCGAGTACCGCGACACGATTGGCGGTCGCGCCTGGCACGTGCCGTTTGGCCAGAAGGAGGATGGCTCGCCCTATATTATTGAGATGGGGTGCAATTGGGTATGATACCCTAGGTCATGTGGTATACAATACTGACCACCGCAGGTCCAAGGATTGGGTGTCCCTGGGGGTCCGCAGAACCCTGTCTGGACATTGGTAAGCTACCTGCCTACTTCTTGGACCACGACAGTTAACCTCCATAGGCCCAAGTCTACAACCTCTCCACTGTCTACTCCAACTACAGCAACGTGTCCACCTACAACGAAAACGGCTACAAAGACTACTCCTACCTGATGGACATTTACGACGACGCATACGACACCGCCGCTGCCCAAGCAGGCATGATCCTGCTCGACAATCTGCAAGACCAGACAGCCAAGACCGGCCTGGCACTGGCTGGTTGGAGACCAAAAGAGCACGACATGGAAGCCCAAGCAGTCGACTGGTGGGAATGGGGTACGTCCGTCTATCCAATCCACTCCAATCACTAACAAGATAGACTTCGAGGACGCCTACACCCCCCTGGAAAGTTCCTTCGTGTTCGGCATCGCAGGCAACAACCTCACCTCCAACGGCTTCAGCGACGAAGACAACTTCGTAATCGACCAACGCGGTTTCAGCACCATCATCCACGGCATGGCCTCCACCTTCCTCCGTCCCAACGACACCCGTCTGTCGCTCAACACCCAAATCACCAACATCAGCTACAGCGACTCCGGCGTGACCGTCCACAACTCCGACGGCTCCTGCGTCCGCGCCGCCTACGCCATCTGCACCTTCAGTCTAGGCGTTCTCCAGAACGACGCCGTCACCTTCTCCCCGTCCCTCCCGCAATGGAAACAAGAATCCATCCAGGGGTTCACAATGGCCACCTACACCAAGATCTTCCTCCAATTCAACGAAACCTTCTGGCCCACAGACACTCAATACTTCCTCTACGCTGACCCCTACACCCGCGGCTACTACCCGCTCTTCCAATCCCTCAGCACAGAGGGCTTCTTCCCGGGCTCCAACATCATCTTCGTCACCGTGACGGAGCAATACGCCTGGCGCGCGGAACGCCAATCCGACGAACAAACCAAGTCGGAGATTATGGCCGTGTTGCGCAAGATGTTCCCGGAGAAAAACATCCCAGATCCAATCCACTTCCTCTATCCCCGGTGGACAACTGAACCCTGGGCATACGGCACATACTCGAACTGGCCACCTAGCACGACGCTAGAAATGCACGAGAACCTGCGTGCTAACACGGGTAGACTCTGGTTCGCAGGTGAAGCCACCAGTCCAACCTACTTTGGATTCCTGCACGGAGCGTGGTTCGAGGGACAGGCAGCGGGGAGAGAAATCAGTGGGATTCTAAATGGTACGTGTGTGGGTAATTCCACCTGCGGACGGAAACATTATTCCAAGTTACATGGAACGACCCCGTTGGCGGATTATAGCCTGGTGGATGGATGGAACGGTAACAGTTTTTATGATTTTAATACTGATTAGCCCCCCCCCCCCCCCCCTCCCCCCTCTACCTCTCAACAGAGGTAGATGATATGGATGTATAGTGGTACATAGTGTATGTTAGACAAAATATATCATTCAAACAATGATAGATACCCTATCTTATCTACCCCCAGAAGAACAACCCCTAAACCAAACACACCCAGACAACAAATCATAACTCATAAACCCATAACACATCCCATCAAATCCCACCCTCTAACCCCATACCCCATACCCTATACCCCTATCCTCCAACCCCCCCACTTCGTGGGAGGAACCCATTTACCAATCACAAAAATGCACATCCAAACTAACATTCCCGCCCACCAGCACCCCGCCCACAAATTCCCCATGACACGTCTCCACCACATCCTGAAACCCATCCAAACAGTCCTCAATACTATCAAACGTGCCGGTTTTGCCCACGCTGGCACGTACCACACTACTCACATTATCTGATGTGAAGTGGTCCCAGTCCCCGTAGAGGACGTTCCACCGGTAATTGCAGTATTGGAGTGAGTAGAAGTTCTTGATGCTGAGGAGGGAGGCGCAGTTTTTGCCGGTGGAGAAGGCGTCGGGGTAGCAGATTGCGGATAGGGCGGGGGGATTAGGGATAGGGTTGTTAGGGTTGTGGTGAGGAGGGGGAGGGTGGGGAGGTGCATTGTGTTTTGTATTTCGGTGGTAGATTAGGTAGAGTAAGGATGTAGACTAGGGAGGGTAGGGTTGTTAGCTATAGTACTAGGGTATAATTGGTGACGAGGGAGTAGGTACCTGTTTATGTCTGGCAGTTTGATTGTCAAGGTGAGGTGAGGTGAGATGAGATGAGGGGTGATATAGAAAGGAACAGGGTGGAGGGGGGTTATATACCCTAGTTACCTATCAGCTACTAGGTATAGAATAGGTAAGAAAGAAACTCCCCGCATCCCGCAGGGATGCGGTTTGAGTTCTAAAACTACCTACTGAGTATGCATGTCTAACCAATGTCAGGGGTATGTACCTGCATCGCTCCTTGTCTTTCCTCTTTTCTTGCTACCTACCTACTTTGATACTTTACGGTGTACGAATATAGTTTACTATTAAGTATCTCCGCCAGCTAAGAATGTGCATGTCTATCAAATCAACTCAAGTCTATCTATCGATAACAGTAACTCCAGCAAACGCCCCCTTGCTCGCGCAAGGGATAACCCTAACAAATCACTCACTCCCATGCTAAGTACTCAGAAATCCCACTGCTCCAACCAATTCCCCATCAACTGTTCCGTCACCGCCCCCAATCCCTCCATAGTCCTACTCCCCCCGCGCGTCCGCTCCACACTAATCTCCGCGGAGAGCACCTCACCCGCCAACCCACGATAGAAATCCAATAACTTGAGGGCTGGTTTCTCGTGGACTTCGCTCTCTGATGGATTCTTGATCGCCTCTAGCTCATTCAACCAGGTATCCAACGGGATTGCTTCAATACCCGGGTATCTAGCCTCAATGGCAGGGACCAGTGTCGACCAGGCAGTTTTGCTTGGGTTGACGAGGTGATATACTGCATGTGAGGTGTGGGATTGGTTCTGCCGACGGGTGTGCATGAGTTCAGTGGTAATGGTTGCGAGTGTGTCCTATCTTTCTATTAGCATTCTCTTTGAATGGGAGCAGGGGGTGGGGAGGACTTACAACAGGAACCCAATCGACCAAATACCCTCCCAAATCACTCGGAACCTTTCCCACGGCCTTGGACGTCTTGACCAGCGTCGGGACCCACTCGTCCAGATTCCACAGTCCCTGGACGGTAGTCGGCCCCGAGATCTGACCCACTCGGAAGACCGTCGTGGGGACGTTTGCCTGGCGGGATGCAGCGAGACACATTCTCTCTGCGACGTGCTTGGACTCGCCGTAGCCTTGTTCTAGCACGGCGTCGACGGTTTCGAGAGGTGCTTCGGGCACGACCGGGCCCAAAGACGCGGTCCATCCGCCGATGGTGCTCACCGAGGAGACAAACGATAGGTGTGCGTTGTGGGTGCTTTGGGTGCTGAAGCGGATGAATTGGTACACTCCCTTTAGGTGGGGATCCTCGAAGGATTCCAGCGGGTGGTTGAAGTTGACTTTCCAGGCGTTGTGGATGATAAAGTCGACGCTTTGGAGCAGTTCGCTGTATTTGGCGGCTGGGAGGCCGAAGTGCTCTGCGCCGAAAGAGACTTGTAGGAATTCGACCCGAGGTGATTCTAGAAGACTCACGCCGAGGCCTTTTTCGGCGAAGCCGCGCTTTTGACGCTCTGCTGCTGATGATCGGTTGAAGCAGTAGACCTTTGCAGTGGTGGGGTCGGAGAGGAGCCTGTGCAGGAGGTAGGTGCCTAGGGAGCCGGTCGAGCCGGTGAGAATGACGGTGGACTTGTCGGAGAGGGGAGCTGCTGAGGTGGTCCGTTGGGGCAGCTGGTTGGTGTATTTCTCCAGCATGGTGGTGATGCGCTCGGCGCGAGAGATAGTAGCTCCCACGGTGCCGGTCACCAGGTCGAGCAGGTACTGGGCCAGCTGGGCTACCGAGGGATGCGAGTATATTTGCTGCTGGGAAATGTCGCGGCCGGCTTCGCAGCGGGCTGACACGGCCTTGTTGAGCGTCTTGGCCAGCTGGATCGTCTGTAGCGAGTCCATGCCAGCAGCGTAGAGATCCTCCTCCTCGCGGATATCCTCGCGCTCCAACAAACCAGCCACAAGATCATGCACGAATACCCTTAGACTCTCCGCGTCAAGGGTGTCGGGCATCTCCACGGCAGCCTCCTCCTCCGCAGCCGCATAAATCGCCTCAATCTCCTCCTTATACTCCTTATTCACAGCATGTCTCTGCGTCGTGCCCTTCGCCGTCGTCTTAAACGGCTTCTTCCGATGCGCCAGACGAATCCTGCTCTTCACAATGCGACCATACTTCGGCACGGCCTCATTCGCCCGTTCGACCGTCTCCCAAATACTCTCAACAAACTCCTTCTCATCGATATCTCCCTCAACCGCCCAATTCGGCTCCACCAACAACGCGGTATCAAACCGCGCCTGTCCAATCAGCAGCGCTCTCTGCACGCGCGGATGTCCCTCGACAATCTTCTCCAGCGTGACAGGGTTCAATTTCTCTCCGTTACTAAGCACAATCACATCGTCCAGTCGACCATGGTACTTCCATAGCTCGGGACGTTCCGGGTGCTGCACGAATAGATCGTTCGATCGGTACTCGGTTCTCTCGGGGAAGGTGTGGAAGATTCCATGCACTTGACGACTATCTGCTCGACGGGGAATCACCAGCTCGTATAACCCGTCGTTGACGTGCTGCATGTCCACGCCATAGGCGGGGTTCCATTCAAAGTACCCCCATACCCCGGTTCCCTGGGGCACGAACGACGAGATGAGGCCCATTTCGCTGGATCCGAGAACGGTGATGATCTTGGTGAGTTGGGACAGGTCGTCGCCGACTTCCGGGGAGAGGGGGGCGCCGGCGAAGTAGACGTATTGGAGGGTGCTGAGGGCGGTGCGTGCGGAGGGGACATGAGAGATGTCTTCGAGGATGGAGGGGGGGAGGAGAGCGGCGGTTGGACGGGTGGTGGTGATGACGGAGGAGATGAGGTCCACGGAGAGGGGCTTGTCGGGGAGGACGATGAAGGGGGTATGGTGGAAGAGGGACTCAGTGAAAGCGAGTAGACCCATGAGGTGGAAGAAAGGGGTGGTGGATAGGACAAGAGTGTCTGGGGGGAGGTCGTTGAACATGGTACATTGGCGGGACTGAGGGCGTGACAGATATGCCCCGTAGTCGAGGGTGGCGAGGAATCCGTGTGTCAGGGGAACGGGTTTGGGCATGCCTATCATCACCTTGTTAGCTTCGTCAGTTATCATGATTAACTGGGAGGCTACCTGTTGTGCCCGAGCTGTGGATGATGATAGCAACATCATCTTCCGCTTCACGGTAAGTCTTGGTATACGGGTAATGCTCGACCTTGGCATCAAGTAATTCCGCAATGGACGGCACCTCAAAAAACGCAGTATCCTGTCGGAAAGCCTGGATCTCAGCCACGCGGCGCTGCTTCTCAGGGGTGGAGAGGAAGGTGTGGCAGTCGGTTGCGTTGAGGATGTGCTGGTAGGCGTCGTCGGAGAGGCGAGTAGAAGGTAGAAGAGGCTATTCACGTTAACATCACCATCGAATGCCTGCTGATTGTATAGATCGTACCTTGTATCCCGTCTTATGGGCGGCGAGCAGAAAAATCAAATACCGCACATCATTGCTCGCCATATAGGCAATGGTTTGTGGTTCCGTGGCCCGGCCAACCTGCTTCTCGATCCAAAAGGCAAAGGCGTCTACCGCGCGGGCGAGACGCTGCATGGTGATAGTCTCGAAGCCATCGGACACATCAGCACCTTTGGGAATTAGACCGACACGTTGGGTTGGATTGGAGGTGGCGAGGTGGTCGACGAGGACGGGGAAGAGGCGCTGACCGGGGGTCATGGTGGTAGTAGTGGTGGTAGTCATGGTGATTGGGTTGTAGTATTAATTTGGTTGCAAGTAATATAAATCAGTGTCTATAGCTTAATGAAGAACGAACAAACAATGAATAGAATGCGATGAAGTATACCACCAGCACACAGCGCCAACCCAGGTATTTATATCCAGCTGATGCAAAGCGGGATTTGAAGTCCAGGTGGTGGTGGTGGTGGCCATCCATCCGACAGGGAGCCGGAATGCGGCAGCGGCACTAGGGTTAGGTTACGTCGGTGGATGATCGGCACGGGTGGCTTCCTTGGTTCGGTTCCAGAATCTACTTACTTCCATCTGGCCACTTTGGTATTTCCGTACAGCCATTTTTCTTTTCGTGTTCTTCAGGAACAAGACTCCTTGGCGTTCCGTTCAAGGCTCGTTCCGAAAGCTTAACCCTCTTCTTTCAAAGTATGTGTCGTGGATGGGAACTATGGCGGCTGTGGTGGCGGGATATCCGGCTCGGCTTTTTTCTTTTTTTCTTTTCTTTACTATTACACATAGGTTGTATGTTCCTGACTCGTAGCATTTTGTCTCATCCACTATGAAATGTAAACAGTAAACTGTAGCATGTATCAGCCAGGGAAGGTCCTCGAAGATAATTGCCTCTTTCGTCACCCATACCCCTACCCCTACCCCTACCCCTATAGGACACCAATCATCCCGACACGGCAAACCGATAGTAATTCCCGCAGAATGAAACGGGTGGGGCAGAAGTTATCCCCAACATCAACTAGATAAGAATCAGGATCCAATTGCAGACAGGGTCGGATGTCGGCATGGCTGGAAGAGGGAATATGCTGCGAGAAGAATGTGATTGGGTGGAAGTGGGCGGGTGGACTAGCCTGTTTGGGTAATATGCTGAGAGAATGCTGATAAGGATGCCTGATAACGGGCCATCGGGTACCGTTTGGGTAATATGTCGCGATCGGGGATGGAGGTGATGAAGAGTGGGTGACGTAGGATGGCATGAGTGTATCATGTCAGGGATGTAAGTGGATTGGGTCTACTGTCTAGTTGTCCTGTATTGATGGGGGAGTTATGTTTGTGGTTGTTTGTTTGATTGGTGGGTTTGTATGCAACTACATATATCTGCCGGGTTTCCTTGGTAGCGATGAAGTGAATGGTTGGAGTGTATTCCATGGTTGATGTCGTCGGATGTATGTTCAATGATGGTGGATATCCTGAAGCAATCTGGTAGAGGCGTCATGTCAATCCTGAGTATGTCGACGACTGTGCATGGGCCTGGCCATGACTATCATACGCAACTAGATATACAGAATACTAGCCGAGGCAGCTGGGCTAATAGCTGGACTATTATTATGAAGAATACCCTTCAGTCATGTCACATACAGAATACTAACTAGAAAACACCTTCCACTCCACCAATCGCACCATCTCCCCCGTCTTCGGCGTAAACACCAACCGCACCGCCGCCGTGCTGACCACCTCCCACGACGCCGTTGTAATCCCATTCGCCACGGCCGTACTATAATTCCCACGACTTACATCCGTCCACCCCCCCGTGGCATTACTCTGCACCCGATAACTCTCCGGCACATCATATCCCTGGGTACTGTTGGTAAAAAAAGCAATCTCCGCGCGCGCCGTCTGCGTCACGTTGCCGAAATCCACCTGGTACCACACTTCCGTACCATTGCCGACGGGACTGTCCCACCCATTGGCGACCTCAACCTGTGGATAGAACCAGATCCGTCCGTCGATGGCCCCGTGCACTGCGTCCGTGTCGGCATCTGCTACCGACACGCTGCCTCGGGGGTACTCGCTATCCGACGCGAGTTGGACTGACACTGCGATAGGACTGGAGAATGCTGGGGCCGACGCGGCGGCAATATCGACAGTGAGTCGGGTGAGCTTGGAGCTGGTGGCGACGGTGGTACCGTCCACTTCGACGACCAGGCCCGCCGTCCCGTACTGATCCCCAGTCGCGTCCCATTGCACGACCACCTCGTGTCCATGGTAGAGGATCCTTTCGGCCCGGAAATAGCTGACCGTGGATGCGTCCGCCTGCGGATTGACTTCCAGCACATCGTCGGCGCGCGGCCGGATCCCCACGTAGCCCGTCAGGATGAGGTCTACGAACCCCGAGTGGAAGTAGTGCGGCGAGCGTGGAAGACCTACGATGGGGCTGCCCGTGTCCGAGTAGTAGTCTTCTTCGATGTCGAGGATACCCCCACGAGCAGGGTTGTAATGCAGCTTGGCGTATTGCAGGAGGATGTTGGTGTAGTCAGCGGTGGTGATGACGCCTGTCGCAGCGGAGAGAGGGTAGTGATCGAAGAGGTTGGCCAGGCCGGTCAACGCCTGCGTGGTCTGGTACGGCCAGGCCGGCCCGTTCCATTGGCATTCCGGATGGGTGCCGTCGTAGCGATACTGCACCATGTAGTACTGGTAGCTGGGTTCGTTGGTGCGGAGTCCGTGCACGCCTGCCAGCTCGCTTGTGTTGAGGAGGTGGCTCCATGATGCTGCATAGGTCGTGTTGTCGTCGAGGACGTCATACGCCCAGGGCACATAGCCAACCAGTTCACGGCCTCGGATAAAGTCCCAGTAAGTGACGTAGTTGTTGTCCTCCTTGTAGCGGTCGATAAAGTGCTCAAAAGTACTGTTCCAGAGGTCGTCCTGTAGACGTGTTTTTAGGGCACTCGCCAGCTGGGTGTATTCTTCGCGGACAGCAGTGTCCCCGGTGAGATTGGCAATATGGGCGATGGCCAATGCATTGGCGTACTGGTAGCTGTTGATGCTGGGACGGAAGGCATATCCCCCGGTAAAGCCGTCCTCGCCGCCCGATGCGTCGATACTGGCGATGGTGTACTCCGTCGCGTCGGTCAACGGCTGGATCCAATAGAGACCTTTGGAAGTGTCGTAGCCACCCACCCCGAGGGTGGTGGAATTCCACCCGGCGTAGACGGTTTGCATTGAGGCCAACAGCGGTGTGGCGTCGTCGGCAGCGCCATTGACAAGGTAGGCCTGCCAGACACCGTCGGCCATGGACTCGGAGAATTGATAAGGGTCGCCATTAGGGCCAAAGAGAAAGGAAGAATAGTCACTGGTGAAGCGACGATCACGACACCAGCGGCCTTCGCGTAGGTGAAAGTTGGAGGCATCAATCAGAAGCGCCCAGGGTTCTTCCTGCCAGCTCACGTCGTTGAGAAACTCGGTCGTGATGTAGCCGTAAGAACCGAGGTCCCGCTGGTGAGCCCGGAAGACACCCCAGCGGTAGTAGTAAACATCTTGGATGTCGGAGAGATCGGTCTCAAAGAGAGGAATACGATCACTATACCATGGCGCATCGTTGCCAAAATACTGGGTCAAGATGGAGTCGGCATCCAGGGCAGAAGCCCCGAGAAAGCCAGCGAGGGCGACAAGTAGTGACCGCATATTGTCTGACTGCATGGGGCCGTCGTATTGAGAAAGTGCCGTTTAATATACAGGGGCAGCCAGGATGTCAATTCTCCGGTGGAGAGATATTAACCGCAATGTCTTAGCATGGATTTCACCGATTGGCGGGTTCCGACGATCAGGGGAACTCAACACCACAATTAAGCTTCAACTCTCCTGCGGGGGCTCCGAGCTCTTCAGGGGCCCCGTGTTCTGCAGAGGGATGCATCCTGCAGGTCATCAGACCACTGTCTCCCCACTTACCACGGCATGTTCATGGCATTTTCAATGCTGATAAGAGAAAGACGACGGTAGAGTAGACTGAATGATGTCAGTACTTGATCCATCCGTAGATTCAACTGCATAGCAGTCAGGATATCATCTCACCAGCCTGCTGCTCCAGTTGATCGGTTATTGAGCATCTTGAGTCCGGACTGAAGAACGAGGTCGGCTATCCGCTGGACGGGTCAGCCGGCTGCACTCGGCGCTAAGGTGCGGGGTTCCGTGGAGGAATCAGGAGACAACTGTGATGATTCCAATGGTAGTTGGGATAGTACGCAGAAGGAGCCGAAGGTGATACCCTCGCATTAGTGGCCCCACTGGCTGGTCCGTCCGCGGTCAAAAAGAAGAAAAGAAAAAAGAGGAGTGCATCATCCGTGAATCGAACACGGGCCTCATCGATGGCAACGATGAATTCTACCACTAGACCAATGATGCTTGTATAAATATTTTCAGCCAAATATTGGTTATTGAGGGAAAGTAATGGCATCAGTCTCACGAAACTTTTCCCCTCGAAGAACTGGTGATAACCTCACATATTGCACGAAACATCTGCCCATCAGCTCTAAAATTCAATCAATACAGCTATTGACCATAGATCACTTGGAACCCCCCAAGTAAGTCCAATGCTCTCATTGATTTCAGCATTTATACCCACCACTCATGGACCAGACACCCATACCTAGGACAAGATACAGGCCAATTAAAACCCCGGAAACTAAAAGTCGCCCTGTCACAGTTTATCCCCTTTTGAATTGTAATCCTGGAAGAACTGGGTTAGCCTACGTCCAGTCCTCTTTGGTGGCATTCACAGAACTCCGGCCAACAAGCACCCCCTTCATCGCTGGCAGTCCCAAGGCAGGGCCCATCACAGCAGGTCGCGCAGCCAGAGTCTATACAACATTTGGCACCAAGTGGTAGACAAGAGTCTGCACTCATGTCGGGGAGGCTAGCCGCGGCGGCTGATCCGAGGAAGAGGATAAGAGCGATGTTGGCAAACTTCATCTGAACTTGGTTATAGAAGGAGGTTGAGGGGTTGGAATATGTGTGATGGAAATGTTTGGAAGTTGGATGTTGTCAGATTTATACTCGAGGCCTTCAGGTACTCCTCTAGGACAGGGTGTGACGGTGGTGTCCGCGCCTACATTATGAAACTATACAGCGAAGGCATCAAGCCCTCCGATATCGCCCGCCAGTTGAAACGCTCTCCGCAGACAATCCACACCACTATAAGGAGATGCAAAGCACGAAGTGACTACGCTTCTCAACCTCGGTCAGGTCGACCTAAAGTGACAAGTGATAGAATCAAATGGCGGATCATCCGCTATATGCGAACGCATCTTTTGGAAAAGTACGAGAAGATGATGGAGGACCTTAATCTGCAGATTAGCAGACGGACAGTCGCTAATATTATCAAGGAGTCGGGATATGATAAGGAGGGGGCGAGGAAACGGGCTGTTTTTGAGGATGCGCCTGATGTTGAGGAGGCTCAACTCTGCCACTTAGTATTCTGCCTATTATGTTGTGAATCGCACCTGCATGTTGGATAAGAACATCACGACGCTATTTATATGGTTAAACTCATTCCGACTTATCACTGCCTTGCGCCAACCGTTCCGGCGTCGACTTGAATAGGACAGGCAGGCCCGTATCTTCATACTCTACCCCATCAACCATTTTCGCGATGGCCTGTGTTACCGTGAAGATCGTCAACATTCCAGCGCCATTGAATCCCGCCAGAATCCACTGGCTCTTTGAACCCGGAACCCGGCCCACATGGGGCAATGTATCTGGGGTATAGCCCATGACTGCAAATCAGCTCAAGCACTTGAACAATCAATGAGAACTTACTCCCACTCCAAACCATATCATGATACGCGCTTGCATTCTCCCATCCACGGAAATGTTTAGCCATGACACTATCAAAATGTGCGGTAGCGGCATCAGTAATCAACGTTCTGTCATCCACTGTGTTCCACCAACTGTCTCGATCGGTGTCGTACGTCCACTTGGCACCACCGAGAATGATTGTCCCGTCTGGTCGTGGGATCAGATAGTCCGCGTACTGTGCGTTGAAGCGTAAGTTGTAGGTGTTGTCAAGCGGAATTGGGGGTTTGAAAGATGGCAGTGGAGCCAGGTGCGAGTTCTGTCCTTTGAATGGAGGAATGACTCCTTCGTATTGGGGTAGCAGAGCGGCCGTGTATGCATTTGTTGCGAAGATGGTCTTCTCAGCTGTCAGTGTTCCCCGAGACGTTGTTATTGTGGTTTGGTTGGATCCCTCTTCCACCCTCGTGACTCGAGTCTCGGTATAGAGCTGGCCACCCAGTTCCAGCACTCTGGAGAGTAGAGCAGTGACGAGCTTATACGGCCACAGAGAGATTGCAGGGACAATGAGAGCTCCCTTGCCGTTCATGACGCCACTGATCTGCTGGTGTCAGTAGGTGAATCAACAGGACACAAACGGCAGGTATCCCAGTGTGTGATCACTAGTTGGGGTCTTATCAACAAACCTACCTTGTCCACATCCGACCCCTCAATCCACTCAACCTCCTTCGCCCACAAAACACCTTCTGACTTCTTCTCATCGATAAACTCACGAATCTCTCTGGCGTGGTCCTCCTCAAAAAACACATCAAACGACCGAGTCACCTTCAAGTCGCAATCGATGCTCTCTTTATCGACTACCTCCTTCAAAGCGGAAAGTTGCTCGAGCTGGTGATTGATTACCTGCGTAGCGACATCACCATAATCATCATAAAGTGGTTTAGCAATAGCTGCTGCCAGCTTCGTATGGCCACCTATAGCAGTTAGACCATGCCATTGTATCTGACGCATACCCACCATTGCGACCGGTTGCACCAGAACAAACTTGGCGCGCCTCGAGGAGGACAACGCTTGGTTTCTCGGCATGCGAGGTTGACAGGATGTGATATGCGGTGGCTACACCCGCCAAGCCGGTGCCGATGATTGCAATGTCGCAGTGCTGTGGAACGGTGGGCGAGGAGCGGTACGATGCCAAGGGATGGGGGTCTTTGAGCCAGTATGAAGTGATAGGGTTATCGACGGGGAGTCCTGGATGTGTGGTTGGAGACATGATGGGGGTTGAATATTCCTTGGAGAGGATAGGAGTCATGAGGGGTGTTATATAAGTCATGTGCTGATGCCGACTCCGAGTCCCGAACCCCGATTGAGAGTTCCGACATCAGCGGGTGTATACTCCGATCAATGTATGCATAAGCTCATTCTTCAGATAACTAATCGGTTTGATTATGTACATGCCATTCTTGTCATGTTCAATCCGCACAATAGGTTGGTTCAACTCTGATGCATATGCTTACAAGCCCTAACTTCCACTGGCTCAGCTACCACATCAGGCAGTACCCAGACAGCCCTGATCTAGAACATTTCCAGATCTCAAATCCGGTCGATGATCCTGTTTCCCCGGCCAACACTGTTCCATGGTCTAGGCATGCGCAGCTAGCAGATTAAAGCTAAATGACACATCTCCAAACAAACTTCCCGTAACATCCTGTATAGTAAATGCAAGCATACCACACCCATCTACATCAACCATCAACCCTACACCCAACACCACCAACCCAAACAAACCATACACTCCGAAAACCACATCCAAGCTTACATTACCCCCTCAGTACCTTTACTAAAACAGACACCATCCACTACGGAATCCCCAGCATCAGCTCTCCTCTTCTCCTTCTCTGCCAGAGCCTCTCGCTCCTAATCAACCAGACCCCCAGAATAAGCATTAAAATCAAATCCTGAAATCTATACAAAGTCCTTGTACTCCCTATATATCTCCCCTACATTCACCGCCTAATAAAAGCCTACTATCACCCCTGCTTCTCAACTATAAACCGACATCTGGCATATCTGCTATAGAAAAACCCCGGGTGGGAGGACTTCAGACGCAGCGAGACCTATGCGCAGTTGGAGACACTTCTACCAGTAGATGATAATTTGGGTATTATGGGGTTGTGTTGCTTGATGTGGTGGGATGGGAAATGAGGTTGTGAGGGTTGAGGATGCTAGTGGTGCTGCTTTCCCAAGAGACAGAAATAAGCTTCAATTCAATATCATCTATCAATGGCAATGCATCATCCAAAGTTCATCCGTAACTCGTTATATCGTATACATCACATCGTACCTTATCATATCCAACATGTCCACAAAGTATATACTATGGCTCGAATGTCTCCGTCCTTTTCGAGTTCGGGTCGAGGTTCGACTTCTTCCTCGGATAATAATGCCAACATGCCCAAATTAGCATCGTCAGCAGAGTCAGTGGGATAGTAATAACCCAGTAAATCCAGAAGGACTCTGTCATGACTTCTTTTCCATCAGAGTAGTTGAAGAAGTTGGTTCCAAACAACCCCTGCATGCATTAGCATTTCTTGCAACTCTGGAATACGAACATACCGAGACAAAGGTCCCCGGAAGGTAGACCATACTGACGATGGCAACCGTCTTCATCATGGCATTGTCCGACTTGGCATCACTACCGAACCGTTGCGACACAAGATTGAATCCCTACCACGGTTAGTCTCGTCCGAAAGCAAGCGATGAGACGCACCAGATTGATCTCGTTGTGCAACCGCTCCGCCAGAGACCGACTCCTCGTCTTCAACGAATGCAACTGCTTCGCCCGGAAAAGCAGCTGCCGTTCATTTTGGAGCCATTCGCCCTTGGGGATACTGGAATACAACTCGCGGGAGCGAACGTATTCGTTCACTAGGCTCTGCAGCGTATGCTCGGCTATGTCGAGGGTCTCATTCGAGTGGAAGACGTGCCGGGCAATATCGTGCAAATGAGGGAAGAACTCCGGGTGGAGGTCGTTGGGGTTATCTCTCGCCTTCTCATGTCAGCACATATAGCTTAACGGAAAAAGGAGGTACCTTTTCAGTCTTCCGAACTAGATTTCGCAGTCCCCAGAAAGACTTATCATATAAACCCATCATGGTGCCTGCAAAGATGGCATGCCACACATAGGGATTGCCGGTCGCTTGCTTTGTAGGTAGCACCTGAAGGAGCTCGCTCGGTGGGAGCGGGTGGTCGATAATGAAAACAACCTGTTTTAGAGCATCCGGATACCAGGTCATAAAGATAGCAGGTTGGACCCATTGGTAAAGATGAGGGTCGTCAACAAATTTAATTTTGAAGCAGGACCAGGAAACTGTCTTGATCAGCTGTCTTCCTAGACGGTAGATCTTTGGAGGACCCACCGTGCTTGACGAGATTATCGTTCTCGTCGAGGACATCATCGCAGAAGAAAGAGCCGTTGATGTCCGTGCAGATGACGGGCCAAAATGCCTCCGGGAAGAGTGGGCGAAATTGCTGGGAATTGAGACTCCCGGGTTTTGCGAAGCTAGCCTCATTAACAATGCTCTTCGAGCGGCGAGGAAGCATACATAATGAGCGACTTTTCCGGGCGCTACTCTCATCAATATATGCCACGAGCCCGAAGAACAAACATACCTCGAGATCCAGATCTACCAAGGACACCCTCTGCTCGAGCCACTGACCGGTTCCTAGCTGATCAGCCATATCCACAATCAGCAACCCTACAATCAGCAAACACACCTTCCTGGTAGATCGTAATGTCGTCGGACATATCACTGGCACTAGTGGAAAGCTTCTCCATTCACGGAATAAGGGACCATAAAATACCCCATGAATGACGAGCAGATCGGAAGGCAGGCTGAGGGGAACAGCGGCGGCGTGGATTTATAGGCCGACCGAGCAAGTCGCGAGGCTGGAGGTTAGCCGCCCGGTCGGCGCTTAGTTGCATACAACCAACCATGATGCCCAACGATGCTGCGTGCTGTGTTGCAATGCTGTCAGGCAAGTCGGAACTTGTTGAGCAGTACAGCTTGGCAGCTGCAGTCATCCCAGGCATAGATATTTGACAGACGAGGCTGTGGAGAGTCTGGCCAAGAGCCATCCATCCGTCCCCACGTGACCCGCCTCTGTTGCACTACACCAGACGAAAAACTCGGTTGCCATTGTCGGGCATCCACCGTCATCATCATATTACACCTCACAGGCATTACCTGCAGGCTCTGTATCATTATCTATTGTAAGAATATTGTAAAAAGAACAACGCCGTCGCCAGTCCGGTCCTCGCCCAGCATCATCAGGCTAGCGACAGGGATGTCATCTAAGCCACTGCAAGCACTGCAGGTGGTGCCAATAAGGGTCATCATCGTTGCCACAGGGGTGGTACTTGTGCCAGATCACACATCCATCCGTACTGGCCATCAACCACTCTGATCAAGAGGCAGTGCCGTTGGCGGTGTTCTGCTGCCTACTGTCCTACTCCTCGCTGTCATCGAACGAATCAACGCTGTCCCGCATGCCCACCAGCCGTGGTGTAACATGTATGGTAAATAGCGATTCCGTTTCAATCGGCAGTGTCACCCCCCGTTCTTGCGCCGTGGTGCGAAGTGTCGCTAAGACCGCCCGGGTCGACTCCCACCGTCGTGAGAAGGACTTGGCGGCGATGCTCAGCGTGATAAATGCCTCACGGTTGTTGGGTTCCCCCACATCATCCAGCAGTGTGAATAACGCCGCCGTGATACACTGAATGTTGCTCACGGGCATGCGGTCTACACCCCAGCAGGCGCGGTGGCTCCGCATCAGGCGGGCGATGTTGCGTGCCGACGAGAAACGCATCTGACGAGCGTTCGCCGGCGAGATCGTTGGATGAGGATCGACGGTGGTGGAAGTGTCCTTCAAGGGCTCGTACATCGCCATGATGATCGAGTCGTGGTACATACTAGTCCAGTTAGTGGGATTCAGTGGACTGTCAAACTAGACCTACTGTAGACAGAGGATGTGCGGGGCCTCGAGATTGGTCTTCAAACACGTGGGCCAGCTATCGGAGCACTGACGGAGACGTTCACGAAGATGTGTCACCTTGCTTTCTATCTCCGCCCGCGGTCGCGGCAGAGCTTCTCCGTGGGATAATGTGGCAACCTCGTGAGCAATCAGGCTCAAGGACGAGAGCGTGTTGAACAGGCAGGTGGAATGGCCTTCGGTTCCTTCAGCGTTTTCCGGATATGGTCTCCATTCCTCCGACCCGCCCTCATGACCGACAGGCGGCAGGCTGTGACGTTGTGGTGGTTTAATTAGAGGGCGGCTCTTATCCGCCAAGGCATGGCACCTAGCCTAATCAGTTGCAGATTTGCCTAAAAGAAGTGCTTTACACGTACGTGGAGAAATTGAATAATCCCCAGATAGTCCGGCTGATTACCCGGGCCATCAGGGGATTGTCCTGATCGGCATCAGAGTCCGGCGTGGAATTCTTCTGCGACAGCTCGTCGATAGCGTAGGCGAGTTGACCCCTGTGGATCCAGTCTTGTCGGTCCCGACCGGTCATGGACGCACTGTGTTGTCAGTATCAAACCCCCGTTTCAAGTGACTGGAACCATACCATGCCCACAAAACTCCCAGTCCTTGGACGGTCGGGATTGTGATCCGCCCCTCTTCCTTATCGAGTAGTCGTATGGCCTCGTCGTAAAAACGGGCTCCTTTCGACGCCGGATCTCCTGGAATAGCGTATATCTCAGGATAATCGGAGTAAGCCTAACTCTGTTAGATGGGCCGGCATAGGCAGCGAGAAACGTACGCAAGCATCCGCCAGAATGATGTTGACCAGAAAAGGCGAGCAAAATTGAGCCGACAATGACCCCTCCTGCATGTCCCGCACAAACAAATCCTTATCAACCCAGTTTCGGAACGGGTGCGACCATGTGAACCATAGCGAGAGGAGGTGCGAGACAAAATCGTCATCGGAGACGACGGTCGTCCAGGGTTCAGCAGGGACCTGAAACCCCGGCAGGTCGGATAGCCGTCTAGCATCCAAAATCCGCCGCATCGACCGGGACTGCGACGGCTGCAGCTGCTTTACTTCTTCGCATACTTCGACTAGTTCCGGGGTCTGGGCTAGGTCTAAGCGGGGCAACTGGTAGTTGATGTAGTAGCGGATCTCGTCGAGGGAGGCGTCACTGCGGATGAGGTTGATCAAAGGGACGGCACGACGGTTGCCGCTCTCGCGGAGGACACTGACGAGGCGGACCAAGAGCTCTTCCTGGTCTGCAAGTTGGTCGATTTTGCGTTTGAGGGCGCCACGACGGCGTTTATCGGCAGTGCGGTCGAGGGTGCATTCGACGCTGTTCTTGACGCAGTTGGCACATGGGACGGAACCTGTGCACTAGGGACGTCAGTTTTCCAACAAAGAATCTCTAGCGAGGGGAGATACCTTGAGTTTGCGCGATTTGCAGGCTGCACAAGCGGTGCCTACATTTCGCCTGCGTTGATGGGCATCGAAAGGGGAGCTGGAACCCGGCGGGGCGGGAGCCAAAGGGCGCGACTTAGTATCGGACATGGTGGTCGGCCATGGTGAAGGAGCAGGGATGGGAAGGACGGGAAATGAGAGAAGGGAGAGAAAAGGGAGGGAAGGGAGGGAAGGAAAGGAAAAAAGAGGAAAGAAGCGAAGGGGCGAGGAAGAAAAGCTAACAGATGAACAAGCATCGGAACCATCCAGATGGAGTGAGCTGAACTATTAGTTGAGGGGGGGCGCAGAGGCAGCATGGGCAGGGGAAGGCGAAACGACATCGCGTGAGTGGATGGAAGAGAGTTCCTGTCCCCGAGAGCCTGCCCGTGATTCGTGCTGCCCCTTCCTGATTGGCTGTGGGACCTGTACCAGCCTTCCCCGCTCGGAATTACCGTACCAGACATTGATTGGCGGCCTGCATCAGGCACCGCCCGTCGTTTCGCGGTAACCAGTGGTATTGCAGCGGTCGACCGCCCAGCCCGCCTTTCGCCTTTCTCCAGGCTTGCCATTCCCGCATCACTCTCGATCGCAACATCTACGATCCGCACGGTGGCTTGGATTCATCCGGCCGGAAGCTATTCGAGCACAGACTGTTCCCCGGATCGCTTCCGTCATCCTGTGCAACCGGAATTCAATTCCTTCGGGTAAGCCGTGCAACCTGGCCGATATTATCCTCCCAACTAAGCTCAGCTTACATGGATCCTGTCTGGTTCCAACACCACTAGTGAGGTTGCCCAACACCAACAGACCAACACCGTGCCGTCACGTCACCCGAGCACGGGCAACACGCTAGCCCCCTACGATTGGCGCAAGTCGCAACACTTGCCTCTCACTGTGTCACTTCACCAATTCATTCCGGACACATTCCGGACTGTAAATGAACATGTAACGAGTCATTTCGAATCTACAAAAAGTACACATGATTTTCACCCCTCCTTCCCAGCCACATCCACGCCCTTCTCCGCTGACCCCTGAGACTCGACCGAGCCCTCATCCAACCCCTGACGCTCTTCATCCTCCCGCCAGAAGTCCCTTTTCCCCCGAGCGGCCCGGCGCAACCATGGCGGGAAGAATCCTCCGGGGATCCTCCACGTCCACGGTTCTTTCTCGTCCTTGTTAGGCGGTACTACCCTTCCGGAAGTCGCTTTCTCGATGAGCCAGACGATGCCGTTCAAGGTGATATAACTGAGAATACCGGCGATCAACCCGTAGGCGATACTGTACGTGAACGGCATGATGGCGATGGTCAGGAAGGCCGGAATTGCGTCGCCATAGTACCGCCAATTGATTTCGGCCGCGGCTTTGGCCATCAGAGCCCCCACGATGACAAGGGTACAGCCGGTCGCCCACGGTGGAATGGACGCGAAGATTGGCGCGAAAAACACGGAAATGAAAAAGCAGATACCCGTCATGCACGAAGTAAGTCCGGTTTTACCACCTTCAGAGATTCCGGCGCCGCTTTCAACAAATGCTGTGACGGGCGATGCGCCGAACAGGGACCCAATGGAGATGGAGATGGCATCAACCATCTTTTCAGTCAGCCAAGGCTGTGCAGTGGGGTATTTATTGACTTACATATGCCAAAGCGCTTCCCTCGAAATCTTGCGTCCGAGGATCGATCGTTCCTGCGAACCGGGCCATGGAGTACAACGTGCCGGTGGTATCAAGGATATCCACATACTGTATCGGTTAGCTGCATCATGCGCGGTGACATCATAGGACATACCAAGAACGTGATAAAGGCCAGCCCAAACTGCGATCCGTGTCCCGAGATATCCCACTCTTGTGCAACAAGAGTATGCGTGATCGGATGGAACGTGACCACTTGTTTGAAGAAATCAAACATGCTATCTCCCAGCTCGGTATGCGGGAAGTACGTCACCGGCGTCGGTCGTGGCCACGAGATGATGGATACCAGGAGTATACCAATGATAATGGCGCCCTTGACCCGATAAAGCATCAGCACAGCCGTGAGAATTCCACCGCAGAAAATGCCAATCCACATCGTCGGACTGCGCATCTTTGCATCAGATGGACACAGGCCAGTGGTCGCGTCGCGGAGACCGTCGACGCAACCGGCCAGTTCAATAGGCGAGTCTGTGGCTCCCGTCACTAACCCAATTCCCGCACTGTAAGTCAGTCCGATCAACGTAAGATACAGCCCAATGCCAGTTCCGGTGGCCAGCTTGATCGACGCCGGCAGCGCACGGGCCAGCCATTGGCGAATGCCCAACAGCGTCAAAGCCAGGAAGACAAACCCCTCGACAAAGACGGCCGTCAGAGCCACCTTGTACGGGATCATGCCAAACCCGTGGTATCCGACCACAGTGTACGCGAAATATGCGTTCAGCCCCATGCCTGGCGCAAGGGCCACCGGCAAGTTGGAAAAGAGGCCCATGCAGAAGGTAGATAGCGCCGCGATTGCTGCGGTGGCGGTGACGATATCGCGTTTGATCTCCTGCACGCACAGCAGATACTCGGTATTGGTGTTACACTGATCAGCATAACTTTCAGGCGGACAGACGCAGGTTCCGCCAGTGTCGGAGGTGATGGTCGCATTAACGCTGATAATATAGGCCATGGCGAAGAAGGTAGCCAAGCCAGCGCGGAGCTCGGTAAAGAAAAAACTGCCTTTGCGTTCTTTGGGCTACGCACAATTAGTCCAGTGATCTGCGAATCCAAAAACCAAACATACATGACCCGAATTTTCCAGACGAAACCATCTCCCGACAGGGCTGCGAGCCACCGCCAGGTTAACCCGGTGTACCCAGTCTGTATAGCGCATGACGGTTTCAAGGTGGGTTGACAACAGAAGATGTCTCCCCGCGGGCCCCCGGTTTTTATGAGGCAGGGTCTACGGCATGTCGGGAAAATTTCTGGACGAGAAAAGCCCATTAAATGACCAGACCAGTCCTGGCCAGAATCCTTATCGCGGGCAGCTTGGCAGCTTGGCAAAGCCAGTTCTGGGGGTCATACCGTGGATGGCGCCCTTGGCAGCAACACCACGAGGCAACCACGAGTCCCCAGTTACAATTTGCTTATCAGCGGGATTTGTTCGAGGCCTTGGCGGCCTTGGCGGTCATCAGGCGTCCAGTCAGCTACAATTAGATATGCGCGACTTGATGATTAGTTACATTGCTCGCAGAAATTGATAACTAGGACGACTTTTCCTGGAACACAGCCGGCGACGGCGCAAACTTGCTCTTCCGCCGCAACGCAGGTCCAAATATAATGAACCCCAGCGGAATCGGAATCATAATGGCCGCCAGACACCCCAGCAAGGTGCCCGCCCACTGTACCCCCAGGTTGACAAACATCTGTTTTGCAAAGAGCGGAAAGCAGGCTCCGACGGCGGACCGAAGGATCGTGTTGGCGGCGAAGACCGAGGCGGCGCTGGCCGGTCAGATAGGTCAGATAAATAAGCCCTGGAACACTCACAATTGCAGATACGAATCTATCAGATAGTTGAAACACTGCAGGAAGATGCAGTATATACCGAATCCTGTGAACACCCCGGATGCAGTCGGGGCCATCCAATGGATCGATCGTGTCCACCCGGTCCAGCCATACCTAACTTGTCAGCCGGATGCGCATCTGGAGAGAATGGGATGGTACCAGAACAGTCCGATCGTGAAGGCAAGGCCTCCTACAATAGCCGGGGGAAGTCGCCACTCTGGAATCGGAATATCGTTATTCGCCTTCAGCTTCTTGGTGTAGGAACCCTGGCTTGTCAGGACATATACTCCCCCCAGGAGCTCCCCAATGATCAGCCCAATAAATGGCAGACTGCCCACCCCTAGATTCATCCCATGGATGTTCTGGAAGACGACTGGATAGGCGGCTAATAAGGCATACATGAGCCCATAGATGAAGGACATGTACAGGGTCACCAAGAACACAATCGGTTCTGTGAAAAGCATACGGAATGGCCGACCGAAGTTTACTGTGATCAATTGGTTGAAGTCGATTTCGACCTCGTCCTGCTTCGCATGGATACCCCAGTTGCGCGTCTGGCGGCGCACAGTGGCTGCCTTCGTCATCAGCAACGCCGGGGCGTACGTCTCCTTATAGAAGAGTAGCAACAAAACCGAACCGAAGAATCCCATAATGGCCACTATGTACATGGTCCATCGCCAGCCAAGATAGCTCATCACGATAAAGCCACCGGTGAAGGGGGAGGCGAACGGCCCGACAAAGACGGCCATGGCGAACATGGCAATGGCAATACCGCGCGTGCGGTTAGTGAAGATATCAGAAAATGCTGCCGGTACGATGGATAGTGGGCTGGCAGCAAATAGGCCTGCAAAGAACCGCGTTAACATGATAGTCTGAACGTCTTTGGCCGTGGCCGTTGCGATCGTGAAAATGCTGTACCCAAAGACCCCTGCTGTGATCGGCCATCGTCGACCGGACAGCTCCGAGGCTGGGGCCCAGAACGTTGGACCGGCGGCGAACCCTAGGACGTATAGTGTGACACCTAAGGTTGCGACTTCGGTGCTGATCCCATAATGAAGACTGATCGCACCGACAGTGGAGGAGAAGATGGCGCTAGCAAATGAGGCAACGAATGTCACATAAGCCAGGATGGCCGACAATAAGATCCTGTGGGTCAGCTTGACACATGCGAGAGTTTGACAGTCTGGCTCACTTGGTTCGAGTTGGCCAGTTGTGCGGATGCATCGGATCATGTTCTTCGGTGAACTCGACAACATAGCGATTTGGATCTGGCAACAACGGGGGGAACTCCTTTCCCCCGCCCATTGGCAGCCATTCTTCCCGAGGAGTCTGAGGAACTTTGGATGCGACTGTGGATTCGTGAGTCAGCCGCAGGGTCTCGATCCGGGAGATCTCAACGTTGGTCTGAGGTCGACTGAGGGTCGAGGTACGGACGGACTCGAGGCTCCCATGAGCCATCGGGGTGTTAGACAAGGAGCTACTCGAACTTGACGAGGGCATTTTGACGCTGCCTTTGTCTGGCATCGTGCGGGTGGTTGGTTATATTTAATGACGGGGTTCAGGTCCGGGCGGGGGAGTGATGGTGTCATTGGGGGTGTGACCCATGGTTACCTCGTCGCGGCTCGGTGGTCAGCGGAAGCTCAATGGATTGCTTGTACGAGTCCGGATAGAGCGGAGCAGGGTGAACGCAGGGGACATCAAATGAGGTTATTATTTACATCCAGCTTACTTTGTGTGGGGCGGGTTTGAGTCTCGCCCCTATCCAATTGGGGAGCATTGGTCTCACAGGATATATAACGCTGACAAGGATCCATTCACGACACGGGCTGATCAGATGGCTTTGAGAATTCTATTACGCATACAAGTGTTCAACATTGATTGAGCATTGCATCTGGATCAATATACAACATGTGAAGGAACCCCGGATTCGAGTTCCGATGGAAGCCTCGGTAGATGCAGATCAACGGGCGATCGGCTCGCAAGGGATGCCATTTCAGTCCAGGATCTGCCACTCCGCTTATTTCTCCGACAGAACATAGGAACTATTTAAGAGCAATTTAGTCCTCTTATCTCTCTAACCAGATTAATTTTCATACACCACTATGCCTGCCAACTTCATCCTTCCCCTCTTCAGCCTCTTCACTCTCTATGCTATCTGGTACTACGCCGATGTGAACGGCCTCCTCTCCCTTGCAAAGCAGAGCATCGCGCACAACACCCTCCCTGGCAGTGATGCACCACTCCGAACCACTTACACGGGTCTCGCTCATTTAGACCATCTACTTACCACTCTGACCACCTTTTTCTGGCCCACGACCGATGGGAGCCACCCGGCCTTGACCCTCCACACTCTTGGCTTTGCCGGAACTTTCGGGTCCGCCTGGATCTTGATAACCCTCGAATCCTGGCGAAGGGGTAACGCCTGGACACTTGCTGCATAGTGAGCCAATTAATGTTATCTTCAGTCTAAAGGACTTCCCACTGACATCTGCAGCCCCCTGGTGTTTGGCCTCTCCGCTCAAACCCTCACCTTTGCCTTCGCAGCGCCACTCTACTGCGCCCTGCAGCTCTCTACATCTATCACGTCCCAAGCCCCTACAGCAGTGAATGTCTACATTCCCCGCTCCGTCCTCCATGCGCTGCCATGTGTCTTTGCTGTATCCTACATGCTCCCCAGCACGCTTATGATCCTCCCCATCTCCGGAACTATTTCCACCGACCTGAAACAGATCTTCATCGCCCTCTGGCAGCCTTTTCCAGCCTACATCTCAATTCTTCTGGCAGTTACAAATACCGTCTTCTCACCCCTCACCAGTGTGGATCAAACCGGGCGGAAAGATTTACGTGCCCTTCGTTTTGTCTACGCGTTCGCGTTTGCGAACACAGCCGTCACGCATCTTGTCACCTGGACAATATCATTGACCACGGTTTTTGCCCCAGCGATCATTGATGAACGCTTTCGGGGTGAGCTGTACCCGAGTATTGTGTTTGGGATTCCGACGCCGTGGACATCACCTGTGGTGCAGGTGCAGAGCATTGCGGACGGGGTTCATGCTTTCCTACGGTGGGATTACCTGATTGGGTCAATGGGAATGGTTGTTTGGGCGGGAGCGTTGAATGCAGGAGCGCAGAGGGTGGTATATGGGGCGGTTGGATGGTGGCGGTTGATTGTCAAGGTGGTCTTGTTGGCTGTGGTTGCTGGGCCGGTGGGTGCAGCAGTAGAGTTGGTTTGGGAGAGGGATGAGCTGGTAATAGCTGAGACGGACACTGTCACAAGGGTATCTGAGAAGGCTAAGGCCTCTTATTGAAGAGTATGTCTCATGTATATGGTAGGAATGCGTCGAAATGGCTGGCAGATATAGTAGTCGGGTTATTGCTTCGATGAAGGAGGCAACTACAAACTCTAGCCTTGACTAACCAGCATGAAAGGGTGTGGATAGTAATAGTCACTTTTCCTGATGCCTAAGGCGGGGCTCTCTCCAAAATACTTCTACCAGACAGTCTTTGAAGCTTATTCACAAACTTTCCCTTGCATTGTGGGGTTTTTATTCCCTTGCCATCTGTTAATCCTCTCACCCAAGACGTGGTTCTGGGGAATATCAGAAATAACATTAAATAGGCCCATGTAATTCCACAATCGCAGCCGAGCTGTTGCACAGAAATCTCTGTCTTGGCCATCTGCTCTGCTTACTCATTGTGAGATGTCTCTGAATAGTGCCACGCAAGCACCGCAGTGGATCCCTACATGGTGACTGCAGGTGCAGAAATATAGCTACTCACCAACCAGCATGTTACTCAGAAAGTTCCGGCTATATGAAGAGCAGCAATCGGAGTGAGCCTGACAAAATGCGGAGCCTAAGGCCTTATGCCGCGCATAGGTTACATCATAGGGTGGTTGTCACCGAAAGAGAGCTCTTGGGCCTCCTCAGAGGCATTGTGCTGGGCTACAAAGTGATGGGACTGAATTGACCCTTTATCTCTGTACCTCAAATGGAATGAGTATATCACTCTGGCTCATCGATGTTCATTTGACCAGTCAGTTGTCTTGGAGAACAGGAGTATTTTGTAGATGGTCACGTGCGCATAAGCCCCGCAATCCAAATCCTGTGCACCAACCCGAAGTGGTTAGATCGGGATGCCCGGCGCCAGCACATCGGCCGACCGCCTGCCGGACTAAGAATTCCGGCTTATCGATAAGCCAATGAGCAGCAGTAAGCGACCGCCAACACAACCCAAGCAAACTAGTTTCCAACTAGCGCGGGCGCCGTGTTCTTTCTTCTCTTCTCCTCCCCGTCATTCCTCCTCCTTCTCCCCACCATTCCATCCTTCATTCCATCATCCCACCCCACCTCCTCCTTTGCTGTGTTTGAATGCGGTTGAGCCATCTCATTCTTACCATTAGGGACACGCGGCCACCCACCCATGGTGGTCTTAGCAGATCCCTTCTCGATATCCTTCCAAACACACTATCGTTAAACTAACAAGGCGTATACCAAGCCACCAATATGTTAGGCGACGCCGAAATCCACGCCCTCGATGGCAATCTAGGCACGATCATCCAGCAGAATCAGCAGCATCATGCCGATCTACAAAACCTTCTGGACAAGTTCCGCCTGCTTCTAGACAGCTATAACAACCTCAAAAGTGACTACGAGGAGGAAAAAGAAGCCAGGGAGAAATATAAGCGGATGGTAAGGGGACAGGTATGGAACATGGTCGTCAGCTCCGTCTTCCAGGTCTGACTGGTGCTTAGGAGCGTAATCCCTTCGTCTTGGTTCTGGTCGACGGGGATGGTTATCTGGTAGGTGCATTGGCCCTTGAATGAGATCACGGTTGACTAGGCATAGTTTAAAGAACACCTCGTAAAAGCCGGCAGCGAAGGCGGCATTACAGCAGCTCGGTTGCTCAATGATTCAATTCGAGAACTCATCCATGATCGCCTAGGCAGCCAGGCCGATCAATGTCGGATCATGGTACGCATCTACGCTAATGTCCTAGGTCTTTCGAAATCCCTTGCACGTTCAGGATTCGTGGGTCATGAAGCCCGCTCCCTGGCCCCATTTGCGGCCAGCTTCACTCGGGCTCAAGACTTATTCGACTTTGTTGATGCGGGTGATAAGAAAGAGGGGGCGGATTATAAGATTAGGGGTAGGTCACACCGGTTTCTAGGGAGCCTTCTGCTGACATCACTAGAAATGTTCCGTCTATTTGCCGATAATAACCAGTGCAAGCATATCTTTTTCGCTGGCTGCCATGATTCGGGTTATTCAAACCTCCTTACGCCTTATCGTGGCCGGACTGATCGTATCACTCTACTAAAAGGCGCCGGGTTCCATAGCGAATACGAAAGGCTGGACTTACCAGTGCGAGAGATCCCATCAGTCTTCATGTCTACCTCCCTAGGCAGCAATGGGAGCATGATGCCCAACCATACGACTTCCCCGTCCAACGCATCCAGGCCGATCTGCAAACACTTTCAGAAGGTTGGCTCAAGTCCTTCCGGCCTTCTATCCTAATTAACTCGGGTCCACAGGGCATTTGTCGGTATGGCACCGCTTGCATCAAGGTCCACATACCCCAAGGCCAACAACTTACCAAATCGGATGATCATCCCTCGTCTCCACCCGGGAGAGTATCTCCCACCCCAACGCGGAACCAAGAATATTATGCCACAAACCTTGTCCCCAATATAAATCCAGTATGGTACGACTGTATTCCCACTAACTCGGCCGGCGATCGCATCGATACATACTGCCCGATGCCCTCGCATGACGCCTGGGATACGTATACCCGCCGAGCCAAGATTCATAAGCCCTGCAACAAGTACCATCTAGGCGGCGATTGCGGCAATGTGGGCTGTGAATATGACCACACCCGCCTCGACCCCAGCTCACTAGATGTTATGAAGTACATACTCAGGCAACACCCATGCCAGACAGGTTCGTCCTGCCGGTCCCTGAAGTGCTACCTTGGCCATTTCTGTCAGAAGGACGGATGCCGGGGCACTAAGCCATGCAAGTTTAACCGCTATGCGCATACGCTCGACTTGCATATCGCAGGTTACATCCCAGCTCTTGAAAGAAGGGACACTGGTCCCTCCCCGTCAAGCGAGAGCTCTGGGGAGGTGTACTCAGCCGATCTCAATGAAGAAGTCCCAGCTATGATAGAGACATATGTATTTTGAACAGCTATACGGTCCAGTAGGACTGTACCCATGAGGACACTGCGTACTATTAAGCTGTCTTCTACCAAAACAGGCCCGGTAGGTTTATGGTCTAGGTGGGTGGATGGGATTATGGTCTGGATAGTGATGGTCGAGGGTGAAGCCACGCAATTTGTATTGATTTGGATATCGCATATGGTTAAGGCTACTTAACCTCATGGAGTACTCCCGAGCTAGCTATTCACGAGAATGAAAATTTGGCATTTTGTTCATAGCTTACCAGCCATCTCCAATTGTCCTCCCACTATTGCTCCGTTTGTATTCTACTGGCTGTCTGCTTCATTTTCAAAGCTCGATAACTTTTCGTGTTCCTAGGTAAGTCTACGCTTCCACCGCAAGCCTGATCAATTTTGACCCATGTTCTGAATGCTGGTAGTTGTGGGTACCTCTTCACCCAACTGCAAGCCTGGTTGACATGTCCAACAACCAATGATCTGCATACTTTTCTTCCGAATTATTCCTCGTTGCATACACGTGACGTGGATGGTCTGGCAGCAAGCAAGCCGCAGTGGCTAGAGCGGCTCCCTATCCATAATCACTATCGCATAGAGATTATGGTGATGGATTATACACCCCCCGCTCCAGGCCTATACCGATGGGAATGATGATGAAGTAGAGTCGGTACCACAGATGTCATCGAACCTTGAGGTATGACTTGGTAGTCGTGTGAGTTTGAATAAGTCACCCGGAAGCTGCCACCGAGACAATATCAAGCTCACCCTTCTTCCCATCGGAGTTCACAGAATCCCCATCATCAAGGAAGATTCAGCACATGGCCCCGGGTTCTAAAACTCTCTGGCCCGTCCCGACACAGAGCCGTCAGCTTCATTCCGACTGTCTTCTCCGGAGGGATCAGGTCCCAACATCATGGCTTCCTTTTTTAAAGAGAAAGAAGCCGGCTGGGAGATTCCAGAACTGTCCTGGAAGAAGTATAAAAGGCCCCATGATCTGCCCTCTGACCTACTTCATCTCATAGTCAACAGGCTTCTCATTGCACTACTATCTTCAGTAACTTGGATTGACCAGGATTCGTTGGAGGTCAAGCACCATGAGTGATCCTACAGCCCAACCCAGATGCCGCTACTGCAGAAAGTCTCACGTCGAACTGGAAGGGATTAATCTCGCTTGGCATATAGATCAGTACGCCTTCCCGCACGGCGTGCAGAGTTGGAACAATGAAGTCTTTGAGATTAAACGGGTCGACATAGGCTTAGGAGACACGGAGATCGGGCAAGCTATCCTCGGCAATGACGCCGATGCACTCTTTGGCAAGCTGACTCGTGGTGGCGACAATGATGGCAGATTGCCGGACTCCTGGACCATTCTGGGCGCCGTGGTTTATGCCTGCAACTGGAACATCCTGCAAAAGGTTCTCGGGAAGAAGGGAACTGCCCGGGCTTACAACCTCCATGTCTCCATGTTGAATTTCACTGAGTTGGAAGTCCATCCCATGTTCCAGGCCCTTCAAATGAACAAGATGAATATATTTAAGAAATTCATCCAATTCAACGACGGGACGATTCCGACCGCGATTTTAAACTACCTCATCGCCACACAGAGTGTCGAGCTTATACAGTCAATAATTACAGATGACGGAAAACTCCCGGGTCGTCACTCACTTCTCGTCAAGGATCAATATGGCCAGACGCCTCTACACAGCAGTATGATCAACACTCACAAATCGAACAAAGACCACGAGGTCTTCCAAACCGTCTTTCAGGTTTTTCTGAACGAGGTTGAACGAACTGCAGCTAACGGACAAGAAGTCCCGGACAAGGAAGCCCTCTTCCAGGAGTGGCTCAGTGTGGAAGCTTCCTTCCCCAACCGACCCCCATATCTCACACCCTTTACCTGCGCAATCGTTCACAAGGTTTCCCCAGCAGTAGAGCAATTGCCCGACTGCCAGGACCGTCAACTCCACGCCCCGAACTGGTGGGGCTTCACCCCCCTCTACTTCGCCGCCCGCTATGTCAACCATGACGCCTTCGAGCGAATCATCAAGAAAGTCGGCAAGCTTTCCGCCGAAACCTCCTGCCAATTAGGCGGCACGCCAAAGTTTGCCGTCGTCCGGGCGTTTCGAGAAATGGACGTCGTAGTCAAATCGAACGCGGCTGAGTATGAACGGAAGATAGAAACTGGAGAGATTCCGAGCGGAAAGGTCGAATACTCGCCTCTCAATGAACAAGTGCAAGAGATCTACAGGGATATGTTGAGAATGGCGTTCCAGCTGGCCGAGTCGAACAATATGTTGCAGCACGTTCCTCATAAACATCCCATCACGGGACAGACGGCAGAGGAGGAGGCTGACGCTCTTCAATATGATGATCTTGTGGAGGCTTTTCAGAGAGGGTGGCAGGAGTTCTATTGGCGTGATGCTACGTTTCATGTTGCAAAGTTTCAGGATGTACAATTGCTCTATAGTAGAAAAGCCAGGGCGGATATGGAAAAGGAACTGGCGAAGTGAGTTGGGAAGATTCGGTTCTTTGGAGGGTATATGATCTTGCGTGTGTTTTGGAGAGTTTGAATGTGTTTGATTTGTTTTATGTAGAAATTAAGTGATCACTTTCGTTAGTAATGAGAATGGCTATCCTGTTATCTTCGTTGTGTTGCAAGCTTGTTGGAATCATATTCTTAGTATCCTATTTCCTCTATCTTTTGTTTTAATACATTTTGTCATCATCCATTTCGATCCACTAGTGTCCCGATGTTTACTTCTAGCAAGCATTTAGAGTTAATCATGTATTATTGCTGTCTAACTTTCCTTACCCGGTGCGAGTGCAAGTGACTCCTAGTTGAAGCCCTACATACATCCTACACACGACCCTATATTCTCTTCAACCCCCCCCCTCCCCCCCCGGTTTCTTTTTTCTTTTCCCCACTTAAGATCTTCTCTCTCCCTCCATTGGATTTAAATTTAGATAGGGTCAGCCTGGAAGGATTGAGGGTTGCGTCAAGGCAACTTAAGCGATCTTTTAAAACTATTTTAGATGTTTGCAAATATCCATACATCATAGTACCCAACGACTGCGCCAAAAATGCTGCCAACGCCAACTGCTCGCTAGATATACCCACTAACTCCAAATTGCAGATCAGATTAATCCTGGTTCTCCTCGACCGCGCGCTCAAGATCCCCGATCTTGCGACGTCCCATGCGTAGCTTGCTGCGGAGGTTCTTCTCTTTGATCAACAATGCTCGCTTACGTCGGCGAGGCGGGTAGTTAATTGGACTTTCGCCACCGGTAAAGACGACCAGATCGTAAACGAAAGCACCGAATAAGCCGCCGAAGATATCGGCGACCCAGGGTCCCCAGATCCACCAGGCGTGGTATTCGGTGAATAGGTGGCCGCCCCAGCCGGCCATGACGGCGACGAGGCGAGGGCCGAAGTCGCGGGGTCCGTTGAAGGCTCTGTTGTTGGTTAGTTGTGGGTTGTTGAGGAAGGGATTGGGTGGGGACGTACCCTCCGGTGTTGTAGCCCAGGGCGAGGATCAGGACGGTGATGAGAATCCCGATGATAAAGGCTTGCATGCCGGCTCCTGGTGGGGCGTTGGAGTCGTCTCCGAGTGCCATGATGGTTCCGACGAGAATTGCGGTGCCGAGGAATTCGTTGAAAAATGCTGTGGCGGGGCTGACGAATTGTTTGGGGAGAGTAAGCATCGCTTGACTGGCTGTGGATTGGCTTTGCGGCACTTTGCTCTCAGCGGCCAGGTTCATGATAGCGTCATGGTAGATGGCGTAAGCGAGACCACCAGCTGTGATGGCGCCGATGAGCTGAGCCAATATGTAGATTGCACACTTGCGGGCGGGAAATCCTCGCCACAGAGACATGGAGATTGTAATAGCGGGATTGAGATGACCACCGGAGATTCCACCGACTATATACACGCCGATCATGAAGCTGAACCCCCAACAGGCGCTCAAGGACACGAATGAACCAGCTTGCTCTTGAGACGTGTAGGTGGCCAAGCCGCCGCAGAGACCGAGTGTGATGGCAATGGTTGTCTGTTAGACGTCAGTGGGTTGCTGTATGCCTAGAGAATAGTTGTATGATACTCACCCCTAGCCACTCGCCCAATGGCTCCTTGAGATGCCACCGAATCTTGGCCCATGTATTGAAAAATCCTACTTCATTCGGAGGTGTTTCGTTTTGGGGCATGTCTGTCGGTGGTTCATCCGCCGCAGGAGGAGGTCGGTCTCGTCCTTCTTCTCGACCTTCCTCGCGCCCTTCGCCTCCTTCCTCTTCTCCTCGTCCCTCTCGCTCCTCCATTCGATCCTCCGGCAAGGCTCCATAGCGCATTCCGTCCCGAACAACATGAGGAAGTGGTTGCGCCAAGCTCCAGATGGGCCCATCCCCTTGATTCCCATATTGAGGGTTCAAGGCCTCATATTCAGGGTGCATATAGGCACCACGTTGAGCGATCGGGGCATGATATGCATTGGGCCCAGCCACAGAAAACTGGGCCTGAGTGTCATAACTTAGGTTTCGGTTAATGTCAGGTTGCTGACTGCGATAGCTTCTATTCTGAGACGGCGTGGTTCGCTGGGTACCGTGACTTTTTTTGCGCGAAAAATCGGTGCGCTGAGTACCATAGCTTTTATTTCGCGATACACCGTGCCCGGGCTCCAGTTCGGAGGGCTCCTCGTCGTGTTCTGGGTTGGAGGGCGCTCCCTCTGTCGTATCGGATGAACGATACCCTCTGGACTCGGTGTCGACCTCTGTCATCTGTTAGTAGCAGATTCTCGCTGGGGTAGGGTATGCATACGATCGAGTTCTTTGTTGAGTGACCTCATTGGGTGCACCATCGCCGATGGGTAAATTGCTTGAAGATAGACCAGGACTCAGGATGACTCGGGCAAGGGTAAAGATTCTGTACTGCAAGTGAATGGTCTTGCGTGTGTGGGGTTTTTTGTCGGGCACACGGAATTTATATAGTTGGTCAAGATTGCGTCACAGCTGGAGGTCGGGAATGACCCGCTGCAACCATTGGCGGCTTCACTCCCAACCCTCAACGCCACTGCTGGCCCTTTCGGCTCCTGTCCGTAGTGCAGCTCCCAGGGTCGGGTTCCCCTGTTGCTTTCTACCGGGTATCATTCCTCGGGCCGTCCACAGTGGTGAGGTGAGGCTGAGGATGATGGAAGCAATCCGTCATTGGTCAAGACATCTGAAACGGGGTACTTGCCAGCCAGTAATAGAGAGACTACACCGGCGTGGGTTGGTGGAAACAGACCTGTTCCTTGTACCGACGAGATATCTTTTCACTTTCCAGTCACCGATGGTGTCCATGATCGGCGTTTCGGATCCACCCGTGACAAGCTGATCCAACAATTTGCACGGTGTGCATGGACCCAGCTCTTCCTCTGATGAGTGAGTTCGAAACTGACACTAGTACTGCCGCTGGAAGCTTCGGAGCCCAGTTGGTGCCCTGTGGACGCCAAGACTCAAACTCGAGCCTTGATCTGGAACCATTTGCCTGCAGACGTCATCGCGTCCATGGCATTGTCAGTGGTTCCTTATCTCACCACTGAGTCTTAGATCGAGACAATTGAGTAATAATTCTAAGCAATCATTGTCCTGGTACGGAGTACAGGCCGACTGGATCCATTTTAATGGAATGAATTAAGGTTGTTGACAGCTCTTCCCAAATTGATCGAGATCGCGTCGCGGGAATGCCCGATCGGGAAGTCCGTGTCAATGACGTCATTACAAGGTGTTGCCGGATTGGGACAGTCCTGCACGTGATGGAGGGGCTCTTTTCCAGACCGGAAGCCATTCGCATCCAGTTCTTCTTCCTGCTTTGACATACAATGTCCACCAGTACCTGGTCAGATTTGTGCTGAAAAGTGGTCTTGGGCTATTGCAAAGACTGCCATCCACTATATCGCTGCCACCCCCGTGATTCGCTTGAACTGACTTTCCGTATACCTCCAGACAACCTCCCCGATCCCTTGCTCTCGCAACCCATCCAGAACTTCACTTGTATGCTCCGGACTCTCCCCATCCCATTTCACAGAATATACTCCACTTCCCGCCTTCCCATCCACCCCCCGCGCAACCGGGACACCCTCCGCCACTGGAACTCCAGCATCGCCATGTCGAGCCGGGTATTTCGCACTCGTGGTGAGGAAGAGGTGTCTTTCCCCGCTCTCCGCAAGAGGGATACAGATCCAACGACCAAAAAAGAGCAGGACGAGCCATACTATCCACATACGCAGATTGTCTACCTCTCTCAGCAGACCAGTCTTGACAGGCCCAGGATGTTCGTTAACGAATGAGACCTTTGGCGCCTGTTTGGCGAGTATCTCCAATGCCAGCGTGGTCATGGAAGTGATATGCCCGCGATAGAAAGCCACAGGTGCTGTCCTGGCGTCGAAGTCGGCCGTGTCGATAGGGCCTTCGAATCCGCCTCCCCCAACACTGATGACCCGACGAAGACCCGTAGCTTGTTGCAGTAGGGGTAGGAGATTGACGATAAATCTCATGCGAGTATGATATACCAATGCTGTGATGGTGCGGAGACCTTCGGTTGTTTCTGCAATAACTTAGCCATACCTATACCTTCATGGTAAGATATATATCTCTGTGAACTTACCTGAGTGTATACAAGCGGCTCCAGGGGAAAGAAATAAAACATTGAGAAAGCTTTCCCTGTCTATGATTTCCCGACAGACATCGTCGACTCGGTTAAGCAAGCTAATATCTGCGGGAATGAAGATGTATTCTCCCGCTGGGTTCAAGGCAGTGCATTCGGCTGCGATGCGCCTACCCGCATCCTGACTGCGACCCACGAAATAGACGCGGGGATATTGGCTGTGCTGAGCGAATTGTTTCAAAGTCGCCTCGCCGATGCCACTGGTAGCTCCGACAAAAAGAGCTACAATGTCCTTTGGAAGCGATGTAGTGATTTGGGCGTTGGACGATTGCACTTGGGCTAGGACTACCATCATGCGAACGAGTACCAGACACTGGGTAAAAGATTGAGTGGGCGACTGGCATAGATCTTCATGGGTTTATACACTCCATCCTAAGATGGCAACTACCAATGATGCCAAATACACCTTTATCACAGTATACTGACCCCGGCATTGGTAATCCAGCCTGGATGCTTATGCGATAGGCTCTCGGGTTGTCCCGTATCCGACACGGATCATTCTTGCCGAGATCCGGCCGTGGGATTTTGACCCCGGATCGATAAGATGTCGTAGCCGTTCATACAGTGCTTCTCAACACAAAGACCGAAGGTTGTGACTTGCCAGTTGGCAGATAGTCGGGGGCTGCAATCCCGATGCGCCACCGTCTTGCCCGTTGCAGTAGCGAAGACCGATCCTCGGATTCTCGGGCCTACCCACGTGCTGATCCACCTTAGGTTTTTATCGCCGACCAGAAGCTCAGCAGGATCAGCAGCCTACGGTGTACTATGAATACATTGGTTATGTAGTCCTGAAGGGAAGCTTTGCTCGTAAGTCACGTGTGTCTTGCCGGTTTGCCAGGTTTGCTTGCCTGGGCCAGTTTCGTCTGGAGGTGTCTGGCCGTCGTCATCAGTTTCCTCATCATCACAAACCCGAGAGCAATCCTCACCACCACCACGCAACTACATGCAGCGCTAGTCCCAGCCTTAGTCCAACATCGTGGGAATCGCAAAGTCCCTCCAAATCAGACACCCGCACCCACCAACCATGGTCGCAGCAGAAGCCCGAGTGGGGGCGATTGCGCCGAGGAGTACGTCAGCCGGGCAGAGAATCGAACCCGACCTCCGACTCGAGATCCACTCCAGCGTCTCCCCCGACGAGACGAGTCCGCATCCTATTATAATCTGGCAGCCTACCAACACCACACGCAAGGCGCTTTGGCGTCCTATCTTCGACTTTCAACGATGCTCGTGCGGGACACTGCTACCGAGTTCTTCTCGGTAGTCTATCAGCAGGAAGATGGCTTCCCAGACGACAGTCGAGGGGCTCACAACCACAGCCACTTTTATCGGATTCGCTCTTATCGCGCTAATTGGAGGGAAGGCTTCCGTCACCATAGCCAACCGACTACGGCATCGACAATTGACTATCGATACAACAATACAACTGGATGGGTATGAAGATCGGGATGGAATCGCTACGGAACAATCGATCAAGGCCTTTTCCGACAAGCCGTCACGCGTCGCACTGGCAATCGGCATCGTCATCGGTGTTTGGCTGTCCCTAGCGGAAGTCGTTGTACTCGCCATAGTCTCTTCATCTATCAACGGTCTCACACGATGGATGCGGCTGGGGGGTTGGGGTATGCTGGCCGCCAGTACATTCGCACTATGGACGGAAGAGAAATGCACGCTTCGGTTCAAACAGGGTCTACAAACAAGCATAGTATGCCTTGCTATGATGTTCATTCTAGCCGCAGACCAGTATGAATGCTACAAGGGATTGGAGTTCTCCTTCCTGCCATGGTTCTTTCTGCTTGGTCAGTCATGCGCTGCTTTGGGTGCTTGCGTGGCCGGAATCTCGCTACCTCGTCGACCGGATGTGTTCCACAATGGTGCAGTGGTGGATCGCAAAGCATCCACATCGTTCTTAAACCAACTGTTCTTTGGATGGGTGGGCCAATTGCTTTCTGCAGGCCAGAAAGATCAGCTTGAAATCGGCCATCTCCCTGAGCTTGAGCACAGCAGTCGCTCGCCGTATTTGTTCGCCGCGTTCAGCAAGGCACGAATGATTTCATCGACATTGAGCCTCTGGAGGGCTCTCATTCTTAGTCATCGGAGAACTTTGCTTATTCAACTCATGGTGACCATTTTGAACGCATCCATGGCATTTGCACCTCAATTCTGTGTCTTGGCCATTTTGCAGTGTCTTGAAAACGACCCTAGTGACCCACGATTGTGGCTCTTTGTTCCTGGACTCGGCGCATCGACTATAGCCTCGGCTCTTCTGGAGAACTGGAACCTCTACCTTTCATCTAATATGATTGCTGTAAGACTGCAAGAACAGCTTTCTACAGCCATATACGATAAGGCATTACGTTGTCGCGCGGTTGGAAATGCCGAAACTGATCCTCAAAGAGCTAACGGTGGAACCGCTCCATCTAGTCAGAGTGCTATGAACTTGGTAGCAGTGGATGCAAAAAAGGTGGCAGACTTTTCGGCGGTGGGGTTCCATCTCTACGAGGCACCGTTGAAACTCTGCATTGCAGCTATCTCGATTGGTCGGCTACTCGGACCTAAGTCCCTTCTAGTTGGAGGCTTGGTGCTTCTTCTCGTCTCTGCTGGGAATGTATACTCGGTGAGAAAGTTTGCTACAGAGCAGAAGAGCCTACTGAGGTCTCGGGATAGTAAAATGTCTATTATCAATGAGGTCTTACAGGGAATCCGCCAGGTGAAACTGTCCGCTCTGGAGGAAAAATGGCAAGGGCGCATTAACGACTCACGGAGGACGGAGCTGCGAAACCAATGGCAGGTATACAAGTGGGAGCTTCTCATGTTCGTCGCTTATAATATCACCCCGGTTGTGGTATCCGCCGCTTGTCTAGGCACGTACGCACTCTTGCATGACGACATGCCGGCATCCCTCGTCTTCACCTCTGTGTCGTTGCTTGGTGCACTTGAAACGCCTCTTGCCATTCTTCCGCAAATACTATTGAATGCAACAGGGGCGCAGATCAGCCTGCGACGCATCGAACGCTTCCTTCACTCTCCCGAGAATGACGTGGACCCGTCACCCGCCGATGGTGTCGTCCTCGATCAGGCGACCATTTCCTGGAATGGAGGTCAGTTCGCCAAATGCTTTATGCTGAAAGACCTCACTCTCACCTTTCCACCTGATGCTCTGAGCATTGTTACTGGTCCCTCGGGCTCTGGCAAAAGCCTCGTTCTCGCTGGCATTCTTGGCGAGTGCGACTTCCTCCATGGTTCTGTACGACGTTGTCCGATATCTGCAATTGCCTATGTTGCTCAGGAGCCGTGTCTGAAAGATGGCACGATCAGAGAAAACGTACTCTATGGCCTTCACTTTGAACCGGAGCGCTATAGACGTGTTCTTTTTGCCTGTGCCTTAGACAGTGATATCGAATGTCTGGTATTGAAGGACGAAACCCAAATGGACATTCAAGGAAGCAACTTCAGTGGTGGCCAGAAATGGCGAATTTCGCTAGCGCGTGCACTATATTCCGATGCCAAGATTATCGTCCTGGATGATATTTTCAGCTCTATTGATTCTCACACGGCGCAGCACTTGTACCAGTATGCGTTGACAGGGAGGCTCGCCGAGGGGCGTACTCGTATTCTGGCAACGTATCATCTGGAGCTATGTTTACCAAGAGCCGAATACGTGGTCGCTCTTGATGCAAGCGGGTTGTGTTACGCTGGACCCCGAAAGAATCTCCGGGAGATGGGCATATTCAAGGATATGCCTCATGCTGCGGCAGGATTGGAGAGGATTCCATCCCATCTCAGGAAAGGATCTCTAGTGTCTAACGTCCACACATCGGAGAATTGGATTAGCACCCTCCTTCCTAGTGAACAAGAGCAATTAGACGATGCACTTGGGCAAGCTGGCTTGCCGGAGGATATTAGAGCACGAGACCGGAAATGGCGGAACCGCCAGCGGATATTCCGTCTCACTGACGCCAAATATCGCTGCCTATTTCTCGTGCTTCTGCACCTGAGTTACAGTGGGCTCGCGGTTGGTCGAGGTCTCTGGATGATGATGTGGAGCAGCAGCAAAAATGACAGCGGATATTCCGAAGCAGTGCATACGTCAGACAATGCCCAGCCTACCGGAGGGAACGTCAAACTGTTCTTACTCATCTACTTGTTTTTGTCAGTCAGTTCGTGCATCGTCGCAGTAACCCGGAGCTTCCTGGCTGTGCGCATAACTCTGAAGATGTCGCGAAGACTGTTTGAGAAATTCCTCTCGTCCATATTGCGAGCCCCCCTTCAGTGGCTCGACAAGCTGCCAGCGGGCAACGTGTTGAACAATTTCTCGGCCGACTTTAGTCTGATCGATTCGCGTCTTGGGTATGACCTCAACTATGCACTTGGTGTTGTAGTTGACCTTCTCGCTATCGTGCTGGCAGCATCACTGGTGAATGTCTGGCTAAATCTTCTTTCTGCTTGTTCCCTCCTACTTGCCTTTTACTACGGAAGGATGTTTATTAGAAAGATCCGTGCTATCAAGGAACTCGAGAGCACCATGCGAGGTCCCGTGCTTCACCATTTGTGTGCCACAATGGATGGCATCATGACGGTGCGCGCCTACCAGCAACAAGAAACCTACCGGGAGGAAATGTACGGCAAAATTGACCGGCATTGTCGTGCGTCTTGGAGCCTTTGGCTTCTTACGCGTTGGATTGGCGTACGCGCAAGTGCTATCGGCGCCATGTTCACCACGGCGGGGTCCTTCCTCATCCTGTCCTCTAACAGCGTCACTGCCTCAACAGCCGGGTTTGCTATCACCTTCATCATGCGATACAGTGGGGTCATGTCGCAGGTTATTAGGCAGTATGCAAACCTCGAGATATCTCTCAACAGTGTTGAGCGCGTCTCATGGTCACTCGACGTTCCGGAGGAAAAGTACGACTCTTGTGATGCGATCCCAGAGTCTTGGCCTACGGAGGGTCAGTTGGACGTGTCCGACCTGGTTGTCTGCTACTCGCCTGATTTGCCGCCCGTTCTTTCGAATCTCTCGTTCTCCGTCCCGCAGAACACCAGAGTCGGAGTCGTCGGGCGTACAGGCGCGGGCAAGTCGTCACTGGCAATGGCTCTGTTCCGATTCTTGGAAGCCCAACAGGGAAGTATCCATATCGCGGGGGTGGACATTTCAACAGTCCCGCTGCATCAGCTGCGCACCCGACTTACAATTGTCCCGCAAGATCCGATCCTGTTTACGGGAACAGTGCGATCCAACCTGGACCCATTTGACGAGCATTCAGACCAGGAGCTTCTCGCATCATTGAAACGGGTCCATTGGGCTGTCTTGGACATGGAGGACCGCGACGATCACCCCAGCTCTCCTTTGATAAAGCTAGACGACAATGACCGCGACAACAGCCAAGACCGCGTCGATGATGTGGAATTGGAGTATCAGCACCCACCCAGCGTCCTCAACGCCGAAGTCACAGAACGGGGATCTAATTTCTCCCAAGGCCAGAGACAATGTCTCTCCCTCGCCCGAGCCATACTACGACGTCCCAAAATCCTAATCCTGGACGAAGCCACCTCGGCCATCGACAAGTCGACAGACGCAGTGATTCAGAAGTCCATCCGGGCTGAATTTGGCCGGAATCACTCTTCTCTGCTAGTGATCGCCCATCGGATCAGCACCATCGTTGACTTTGACCGGGTCCTCGTGCTTGACGCTGGCCGCGTAGTCGAGTACGGCACCCCGCGCGAGCTGGCATCTAACCGAAACGGGATATTCCGCAGCTTAGTTGAGAGCAGCGTCGGAAGCGACTCGTTATTGCAGACAATGGAAGCCGCTTCTACATAAGTCCGTCCAGCCTATTCCACAGGGGCTCGGAATATCCTCCACCTCCTCTCAACCAGGCAATCAAACCCGACACTGAGGCCAATAGCTCCATAACGAGCCACAAGACCCCGTCCGAGTTACCTACGCATCTCGGAGGACTCAGCTTGCGACTCCGACCCCAACCCCGACCCCGACCCGAACCCGAGCAATGCATATCGCCGAACACAGCCTCGGGAATCCCCATACTTCCGATCACAACATAAGTATTCCACTATATATGTTCCACTATATATATCTCACCAAAAGCCCACCGAGATAAAAATCCCCTTTCAATCCCAACCCACCACCCCCATCCTCCCCAACTCCAGTCGTGTGCGCTGAGTAAGCGGAATCCTCTTCCCCATCGGGCCTAGTCTCCGCCACGATGTCTCGCCAAGGGTGGGACCACATCGGGCTTAGTCTCCGCTCGCTGCTGGGGAATAGCCGAGCTGATGTATCTACTACTTCGCTACTCAGCCTCCTTACTTTCTCTCTTTCTCTTTTAAAGCCAGCCTCGAGATAAATGGGTTATTTAAGGAGTTGATACTTCCCGGCGCGTGGTTCATGTTTCGTTTCTTCAATTTTTACTATCTTGTTATTCTGGTTTCGTTTGTACGATATCATACTATACACTCGCTCGGTTTAATACACATAAATACATATTCAATCCACCAAGTCATTTCCATACAAGTAAGTTCTCATCATCGGCGCCACATCTAGTATTGGCAGAGCCCTGATGATGAATTTCGTTGAGAATGGTGCGAATGTGGTGATGGCGGGGAGAAAGGAGAATTTGGATGAGTTTGTGCGGAAGGAAATATGGGAGTGAGATGGTTTGAATCGAGAGTTTTTGAAGGAATGCGGTTGGAATAGGTTCGTCTCCCCCCTTCTTTTCCATACCCATAATCAGAAAGAATAAATGAGATTAATTATGAGACAAAATATACAGACCCTTCATTTGCCACAGAGATAACCACTCACCCGGATCTCGACTTCCTCTTCATCAACTCGGGCGTTCAACGAATGTTCGATCTCTCGAAACCCCCCTCTATCGATCTGGATATTCTCGACACGGAACTTCTCATGAACTATACCTCCAACGTGCATCTGACGCACGCAATACTTCCTCATCTGTGGAATAAATTCACCCAGACGGCAATCGCATACACGACATCCCAGATGCCGCTGGTGCCTATGATAGGTTGTCCCAAATATCGGGTGTCCAAGGCTGGATTGTATCAGTTTATTCTGGGTTTGCGGACGCGGGTTGCGGCTGGGTCGGAACGTGTGAAGGTGGTGGAGGTTTATCCCCCGGCTGTACAGAGGGAGTTGCGTGGTGCGCAACATCACGCGGATTTGAAGGATGGGCACTTGGTTGGGATGCCGTTGGGGGAATTTGTCGATAAGGTCTGGGAGAGGTTGAGGAGTGGGGAGGAGCAGATTGCTGTGGGTTCGGCGGGTGGGATTTATAATGTGTTTGAGGTGAAGATGCAGGAGTTGTATAGGGATATGACGGAGGTGTCGACGGGGTTGTTGAAGGTGTTTTTAAGGTGATGTGAGGGGGGTGAGGAGGAGCTAGAGAGTGTGGGTTAGATTGAGGATGGACTGGATTAATGACGGGTTTGTTTTGGGGGTCTTACTTGTTCCTGATGGCAGGGATGTGGTAAGACACAAGCTAGTATACCTTGTATCCGCGGGCAGGCGGATAAGGTAGCCCAGCTACCGCCCGTCCCTTACAAGCCGCGAGGATCAAGCCCCCAAAGTCTGAAATCCCATGGATCATGCCCTGCTCCATCATACTCGAGTACTGATGCAACGAGACCATGAAATCCAAGGATTCTCCAACTCCGGTGTTCCAGCCCTGAGTATCCTGATCCCACAGCGAGGTCCGGACATCAAACGGCAAGGAGTCCACGAACGGGGTGCGGACGGAGTAATTTCGCTTCTTGAGGGAATACACACTGCGGAGAATAAACCCCACAATGATGGTCCGGCGAACACTCTCGGCAAACAGCCACGCTCGTCGCGGACTCAAACTACCCGGTAACTGTACAGGAGCCTGCTGCCAGAGCTTCTGCCCGAGGTTGAACAGCATGGTGCTAATTGATTCCGAGTACCGGGCAGTGGCGGGATCGTCCTCTGCGAGGATGAGCATGCACTGCGCTAGGAGAAGAGCTTGAGCAGTTGCAAGCATCTCCTCGAAGCTGGTGGTGTGGTTAATCTGGCGAAGGAGAGAAGAGGACTTCTGTTTGATAAGGGGGAGGAGAGTGGCGGAGTTGGTTGTGGTGTGTAGTTTACAGAGGGCGTGGATGTCCCGGATTTGAGACGGTGGGGAGGAAGGATGAGGCCAGAGGTCTGGATGGATGAAGTGGGTTTTCATGTTGCTTGCGAACGAGGATGGGTATGAGCGCATCCCTGAGACCAGGAAGGCGATGATGTTTTGGGAGTAGCCTTTGGTGATTTCTAATGGTAGAGGGAGGTGAATGGATGGTGTGGAGGGCCGCTTGCGAGTCAGTTGGAGCGTTGGGGCGGTGGTTCTCTCTGGACTGGAGGATCTGTCTGAGCCCACGGTGAGAGGAATATTGACGTATTCGCAGTCGATTCTCCGCGTTTGGCAGCGAGTGCAGCGTGGCCAGCGCTGGTCACAGCGGCGTTTGCCGCGGGCGCAGGCTTGGCATGATCTGCGCAGCGTAGGAGGTCTGGGGATGTCAGGGGCCATTAGATCTGATAAGAGGTGCAGTAAGGGATGAGGGAGAGATGATAGGCGGGTCAGATACGCATTAGTTGGTTGACGATGGGATGGTTAGTCGGAGCCGTTGGGATGGGGATCGCTGGAGGCGAGTCACGTGGAGTATTTGTCGGACATAATTTCCCCTTCCGGTCTACGCCAGGGTCTTTATCTCCGAAGCTGGAAGGGTTTCACACTTGTTTCATTGCTAGTAAGAACCAGAGATGCAACTAATGTGCCTAGGCGAAGGTTAGATCTTGGGGCTGCCCGAACGGAGGCCTTCTTGCAGCTTTCTCCACGATTCTCTTGCCCTCCTGCCGGCCTCCTCTGGCTTGAACTCCTCGCTACGCATTCGTCGGTCAAACACTTCCATGGATATCCAACCAGTGTACCCCTTCTCGACCACCCATGCCTTGACAATTTCCAACACAGGTAAGTAACCTCCGAGCTCGATCTCGAACGGGAAGGGTCTCGCATGCTTTGACCAGGTGAACTGCGGTGCTTCACCCTCCAGATACCACGGATGGGTCGTTGAGAATGGTGGATCGAAGAGCTCGCCGTCCGACAACTGGACGTAAGAGATCTTCTCCAGCGGGCATCGTGTAAGAAACCGCTGAAGAGACCCACTCAAATCCCGATCCCCAGTTGGATACTTCCCCGATGATTCAAAGGGACTGCCCCAAAGCTTAGTGGCTTCATGGAAGGTATCAAGACACAGGCCTAAGTTCTTGCGATCAATAGCCTCCACAAGATCCAACGCTGTTTCCCAAGTCGAACAGTATATACTCCAAGACATCGGCTCATATGCGATCGAGACAACCGGTTCCTCGGCACTCGCCAAATCCGCCAATTGTTGGAGTTCAGAGACTAGAACGGTCTTGTCCGTGCTAGCATCCTGGCCATACTGGGCCGGGACTTGCATGTATGAAGCGTTAAGCTTCCGTGCAATGTCTATCCAGTGTTTAGCGACGGCCAGCCGTTCATTCAATGGCGAGCGGGTGCCTTCGAAATTCTCAAACGGGGCCAACGAAAGGATTCCAACGCTGTTATCAGCACACAGTTTCTTTGTTCTTTCCGCTGCTTCGAGCATAGATATCCCCAGGCGGTCTGAACATCTCTGCAAGTCGGAATAAACGAGTTCGATGGCACTAAAGCCGTGGTGTGAGGCGACGCGGATCTTTTGCTCGAGGGTATGGGAGGGGTGCTGTCCCAAGGAGAGGGTGCCTATTGCTTGCTTGTTCGAAAGCATTGTGCGTGAAGGAAAGAGGGAGTGTGTATGTGGTTTGAGGTAAATTGCAAGCGTAGTGTTGTGTCTTTCGAATGCCTCGGAGGGCTGGTCCCTCTTAAAGGGTCCCGATCCCCGCACCGGGATTCGTTTTCCGGACGGAAATTCATTATGTATCTTCGAAAAAAGAAATGGTCAGCACATGTTCTCTTATTGCGTAAAGCAGCATTTTAGTGGGTATGAAGCTTTACTTAGGTCCTCCGCATCCTTACTCTTCTAGATGAGATCAATGTCGAAGAGTGATCCCGGGTATTAGATCCCGGAACTCAATGGTTATCGCTAGCGGTAGATGTTTCCCGTAGAGATCCTTCTAGAGCACAGCACCTCTTAGAGGACCTCATATTTCCCCGGGTGCTCGAAATAGGATGGTATGGGAGAGTTTGTGATCCTCAGCTCCTTATTGTTCTATTCATGATAGGGGTGGCTCGGAATAATCCGATGCGCCAGGTACAGGTACCGGAGGGATATGCTAGAGCCAGGTACTTGAATTGACAGTCACATGTACCCCGCCTCTCTCTTAGTAACACATATCGCCCTTTTCTTTCACCCCAACCTGTTCTGTCATCATCCATCAAAAGTCTTCATATTTATCGTCGGAATCTTCCAACTAGACAAATGAGATACCTCTTGGCTAGTGGACCAATTCCAAGGCTAATAGGTGCCAACATTTATCTCTCTTCTATCAAGTCAATGACTCATCTTTCTGTCTCTTAACTTTGTTTTCATCCTCCATCATACGAACAAAAACACGGGATGGAAACTCACATTTCCAACACTAGCAACTCTGCTATTATTACTTATCCCCAAAGGCCTAAGAGCCCATGACTTTGCGCACTGGATGTGAGCCTACAGATCCTCTTCCTTCACCAGGTCTCGATTAAGAATCCCTGTTAACAGCTGTGGACATTAGATGCCTCGAATCATCCAGCTACTTTTTCCGCCGCTGTCCAGGCCCATACATCATACAACAAAGTGATGGTAGCCCACTCGGGCAAAAGGACATATTCCGGACCAGGTCAACTACCTCATGGGCTGGTCTAACACAAAAGCCACATTAACACGGTGAAACAGAGGCGTGGATGTAAGTTCTCGGGCCCCTGTGTCTGCAGCATCTCCTGATCAGGCATCGTTAACATGATTCAAAATCTAGATGCCTCGAATCAACCAGCTAGATTGCCTGCTGGCGCTCACAATCATACGACGGTCGTGCTAGAAACACTGCAGTTTTATTTAATCATATGGTGAAAATTTGTCATCGAGGATATCCAACCGAACTACTTGCGTCTTCACTCTGCATTCACATCTGCCACAGTGGAATAACAACCATGCTTCGTCGTGTCACATCATCATGTCACATTTGTTGCTGGGCTTCGCTTTTATGTTATCCGGGGATCTCCTTCCAGCCCAAGCAAGAGGTGCAAGGAAGGGGATAAATGAAGGGAGGGAAGGCTGATACTAGAGTTATACAAGGAAGAAAGGAGACTGAAGAGGACCGGGAAGTCAAGATTTGTGAACTGGAAAGACTTGGGGACGACACGACAAAACCTTGATGATAATTTCCTCGAACTACGCAGGTAGGCTTTCTAAGCCACTGGCAGCTGAACACCGACCAAGGGATCATTTAGTCTAACGGGTGATCAAGCCTATGGCCACTGTTATCAGGAGTCGTGTATATTTGAATTGTATTGCCTTGAATCACATCACATTATCAGTTCAAGTCCTAGAATGCGATAGAAGCCCCCCCCCATTAGTCCCTTGTTGATGATCCTGAGATCGCCTGACCTGACTTTCATCCCGCTGTTCTCTCATTAAGATAATATGGGTGGTGGTTTATGGCACACGTAGCTCAAGCGCACTCGCCTCACTCAGTTGTATGAGAATGAGTTGGGTGACAGCCTCACTGGGTGGCTACTGCACTATCATTAATACCATACTGGCATCGCCTCGTGCAACCTGTCCAATTTGAATCTACCGGTTTGAGAGGCCTCTCAGGCGAAATCCCAGTGACGAGGCTTGAAAATATATGGAAGCCTTCATAAAAACTTCATTGATCTGCTAAAGAATACCTCCTTGACCACTTCCTGAAGATAATCATATAGCCTGTCGAGAGTCATTCACATACCAAAGGACCTCTTGAAAAACATCGTTAAAGGCGCCATGAAGAGAGCCGAAACATCTCGATGAAGACCACAGAACTGCTCACAGTCTCGCAGCCTGAGGCATTAGTTTAGGGCCTCGGGCAGAAACACGCCAAAGCGGTGAGAGTTCTGCAAGTCATAAAGTAAGAGTTCTTAAGGTGGTAGGCGGAGTATGAGTTTGGCGGTGGCGCCGAATTTACGAAAGGGTCATGTGACCAGGCCGCTCTCCTCGAACTGCAACATCCAAGACCGGATGAACATGGTGGCACCATTTACTGTCTGGATTCGATAAGGTCATGTGGCCGGAGATATCTCTTCTAGCTTCCTGCTTCACTAGCTTGACAGAAGTACGAAGTACGAACTGAAGTCTTTGTCGGAAAATGCCCGGGAATCCGGCAGCCGAGGAGGTTGGGATTGGCTGGACCCGGCTGGGCCATCGGGGTGGCGAGGTGGTGGTCACGGGGCGGTCCCAAAACCCCATCCATGTTCCTGAACCAACAGAATTGTCGGCCCGACCATCGAAAATTCTGTCTCGTGTTCCTGGATTTGCCAGATTGGGGTATCCCGGGGACCTCTGCTCTGACAATGCGATTGTGGCCTTACCTCCCAGTTCATCAAAAGCAGTCATGCCACTGCCTTTGGACATGTCGAAGGTCAGGGAAGATCGCTGCAGCCGGATGCGGCCATGGATAAGAAAATCACCTGTTGGCTGCGTTCAAGAACACCGCCTTTTCAATAACCTCAGGCTAGCTAGTAATTAAGGTTAACTTTTTTCGGTAAAGTCTGTCGTACATGGTACGGGGGGCGTGGCTTGCTATCATTTACGGAGCAGATGGGATGCACGGCGCCTGTCGCCCATCCAAGGTCAAGGCAGATCCAAGGCCTCTCTATCAATTGAGAAAGACCTCAGGAGATCATCCTTGCCAACTCAGCAAGACAATGACCTGGCGTCCATGAACCCGGTCGTTGCTGAAATGTCGGTGTCATATTTTTAGGTCGCCTGATCGCCGCGAAGAGATTTCCCATTCTTAGTGTACGGGCGCGATGGAAGCCCCTGAATGGGTTGTTTCCGCCCCATCAAGTCCGCTGTGGGCCCTCGCGCCCGTTGCTTTCGGTATTTATTCTGGCACTTCCTGGGGAAGATGTCGCAACCCCCATGAGAGTCAGGACAGCCATCTCTTTCTTTGACCTCAATTCCACAGCGGCTTTATCACAATGGCGTTCGATTGTTACTGTGCAATCTGTGGTGTCGGGTTCTGTGGCATGCACATCGAGGCCCCGTCGGAGACGGCCCTCGAGCGTCGCAGACGGTGGATCGAAAAGAGATGCCGGGCCTTGCAAGCCGGAAAGGACATCGGGCAGGTGTCGCGCGAAGGAGATGAAACTGAGGATCCAGTTCGCAGTTACGATCCCCGGATTGTCGGCTGGGATAACATCTCCTGGCTGTACAAGGCACACTGTCTGGGCGTGAATGAAAATACCGAGTCCGGTGCGACAAAGTAGGTGCTGCTACTGAGTATTGCGGTCGCATAGCCTAACAATATTTCAGAGCATTCATTTCGGATGAAGGATATTATGCGGATCTTGTAGGCTTCGTCTGACTGCGAGCTGGCAACCGAAGCTAATCACACATGAACAGGGAGAGTTCGTTGTCAAGGCCAGATCTGGTACTTATTGAACAGAGAATGGTTGAAATGTGGATACTGACCTTGGCAGATGGCGATCGGCCCCGATCTCAGCAAGTCTTTTCATGGTGTGCCATACCCACTTTGTAGCCATCCGAGACCCATTCTAACTGTTCAAAGCTATGGCCATGGTTCGGAAGAAGCACCTGGACCCGTCCTACCGTTCCATTGGTGTTGTTTCGAGATCCTGACTCGCACAATCACTGGTTCGAGCGATACCAAGAATGTCAATTTGGACATCTTGTACAATGTGATGACCCCATTGTGCAACATGTCCGGCTCTGCGTTGCAGTTGACCTACGGGGATGACATTGAGCGCGCGCAGGGCCGTTACTGGGAATGCGTCCCGGGCGCAGAGGTTAGCAAACCATCCTCAGCTGGCTCGGACCGTATTAACAACTGAGCAGTACTGCGCCACGCACCCAACAGACACCCCCCAAGTCGCCGAGTATGTCCAGACCAACGCCGAAACGAATGCTGCGTTGAAGACTCCGTCCACAGAGCTGGATCTTCGCGGACGAGAGCCTACCAGTCCGTTCGGCAAGCTGCCTCTCGAGATCGTCTTCCAGATCTGCATGCTTTTGCCAGGTGATTCATTGAAAGCGCTGGCGCAGGCGTCACTCAACATCAACCTTGTCACCCAGGATAACCTGTTCTGGAAACAATTCATGCAGCGGGATATGCCATGGTTCTGGGAACTCCAGGCAGCAAAGAACCAGAAGCTCGCAAAGGATCTGAATTATAAGAAGATGTACATGTGGCTTGACAAGATGACGGCTCCGCGGTATGGGATGGACGATCTGAAGTTGATTGGTGTCGCCAACCGAAGACGCATTTGGGGGGTATGCGAGGAGCTTGCCGATCGGTATTGCAAGAGCCTGAACCAGCCAGCAGTCAGCTCGATGCAATGGGGTAGTGGCTGAGTCACCATGTTCTGTCATACCTATCGCGCGTAGCCTCGTGTGACAGTTCCACAAGCAGGCGACAGCTTCCAACGACGCTCCCAAATCTGAGCGAACGACGTGTCGTTCCAATTCTATGACCACTGCCATTCGCTTGTCGAGTCGGTGGCTGACTTGGCATTCTGGACAAGCCACGGATCGTCCCTTGACAAGCCAATTCGGATGGATGAGAAAGGTGCCCGGTCTGCTAGTCCGAAAAAGCGAGGGGCCTCGAGGTCTGGTACCGAGCCTGAGGCCTCAAATAAATCGCTGCGGAATAGACCTCACTCCATATATAGAACACTTTCATATTAAGTAGCTTTCGTTCTAGCAATCACACCAAATCACTACATAATTAATTGAATCCCGGGGGAATTCTCTTCAGCGGTAATAATGTACAGCCCAGTCATTGGTTTCTTTACAGTATCATCATCACTAGGTGTGTTACCTAGCACCAATTCACTATTATACTTCCCCAAAGTTAATGACACGCCGGAAGATTCCATCATACCATCTCATCCTTTCCCCCCGTCATCCATCATCAACACTACGTACATGAACCTCAATCTCCGTCATCATTCTCTCCTTGGCTACCATCTTCTGTCTATCTCCGTCACAATGCCCTCTGAAAAACGGAAGTGAGTACCGTATCCCTCTCGTCACCCACAACGTCAACATCAGATACTTACCACCAGCCCCTATAAATAGACGAACGCTGAATCCCTCCTCCTACTCTCCTCTCTATACCTCCTGTCATGAGACTCATGCACCAGCTACAATAACCCACTACGAACAGTCCCAAACCTCCATCACCACCAACATCCAGATTTTCTCCTCGTCCTCCTCCTCCTTCTCCACTTCGCACCCATCCAGGACAATAACCTCCGGATTCAACACCCAGTTCTCTTACAACATGACTGTATCTTCCCAATCCTTCGACGTGAATACTAGTTCTGGTTTCGTTCCAGCTGCTATGGACTTTGAGCGTGCGGGTTTGGACTTTATATCTGCTGCTGAGAGGTTCGAGCGTGCGGGGTTAGATTTTGTTTCTGCTGCAATGGACTTTGAGAGAGCTGGACCGGTTGTTGCTTCCGCTACGGAGGATTGGAGACAAGGTGCTGTGGAGTTTGCGTATCAAGCTGAGGCGTTTAGGGTCGATGCGGAGGCATTTGCGTCGGAGTCTGTGTCGGCTTCGGCGTCGGCTTGGGTCTCTAGTAGCGATGTTGGTGGTGGTGGTGGTTGCTTGGGTGTTGGGAAATGGGAAAGGGTGAGGAGAGGAGGAAGAAGGGATGCTAAAAGGGAGAGGGAAGAAGAAGAGGTTGTTGTGACGGAGGAGAGAGAGGAGAAAAGAAGGAAGATTCAGGTCGATTAGTAGGGGGAAAGATCGTTAAGAGGAACAGGTTCGATTAGACGGGTTCTTGTCATTGCTGATAGAAATGAATCGGTGGTTCTAATTTGATGTCTTAGCCAGGTCATGATTCTCTGTGGAAGGTGTAGTCTGTTTGACACGTCAATGCTGCATAATGGGGTGGATCGAAGAATGTGAAATGAAATGGTTGAATGATGCAAGCGATTTCGTAGTAGGTGGTTACAACGTCTGTGCTGTGTGATCGTGTCGTCATTCTAGAGTACCCAAGTATGGAGCTCGGCGATGACAGCTCTGATTCCTGGTACGCGGGCCATATCCTGAGGAACATTGATGATATTGAGAGAGAGAGGATAAAACCACAGAACAATAGGTTGGAGAAACCCAACCAGAAACTGATGAAAAGTGAAAACATCATGTAGTCAAAACATGACGTCCGAGACCTTTTCCCACTGTATCATATTAAACAGGGCTCAAACAATAATAGAAACCTCCTCTTACATCGGTCATACTGTGGAGCAAGTATACAACATGCCCTGAGTTTTGGAAAGCAATTCTCTCAATTCCCACGCAGATACCGTGTATTCGTACGGTTGGCCAGAAACACCTCATACAGTGGGTACTACAGAAGTACCAACAGGCGAACTAGCCCCGTATCGGACAAATAGTGACGTAGGGGCCTTATCAATATCCTCAAAGCTCATAAGAGAAGAGTATTGCAGGATCATCTTTTGTCCATCATGGTGAGACTGAATAATCCTTCCATGTTTGGGGCCCATATACCATATCGATAACAGCTACAAAGACCATTAGCATGGACTGCAGCAACACAGAAAGAGGAGAAAATCGGACGAGGAAGCAAAACTCACCGGATAGGAAAGGTGACGCCCAAATCCAGGTCGGTAATACATGCTGACCGTCCATCTCAAAATGCCCCTCAGTTCACCAAGAGTGAGAGTTTGGTCGTTTGCATCGATCTCATTCCAGAAGAAGCCTATAGTATGTGGGAACTCAGCGGAACGATGCGCGAGATTTCTCACGATCTGCCAGTTTATTATGCCTGGAACATCATTCTCCAACAAGAACAAGGCGTTGGGAGGACGGCCACAGTATGTACCTATCGGTCTTAGTGGTGTAAGATCCTCGAGGGCCTTGCCCTCGGGAATACCAGCCCGATGGCATTCCAGGTGCGAAGTAATATGGTCATCTAGTCTTCGTAGGTCGCAACCAAGCCAGGGTCCCCACTCCCGGATTGATTCATGAGCTTTGTCCAGCGCTTTCAGGGCTTTTTCCTCCGGGTGTTTCTCGTTGGGATTCTCTTCGAGGACTGCACCGAGGCAAGATTCGTAAGTGAGTCCCTCGTCGATATCATATGTCCTGCACCCGGGGAGCAGAGGGTATTTGGAGAGGGCTGAGCTATCGAGGGGCTGGAAGAAGCAGGGTTGAAAGTTGAGTTGCTCGTTCGAGTTCATCTCGGTTTTGATAGCCTGAATACCGATCTTGTGGAGTTCATCAATTTCAAGAAGAGGAGTTTTGATGCTGTTGACAGCTAGGAGAAGATCACGACATTTGCGGAAGATGGATATCTTCATGTCTTGATTAACCATACCTGCGGTAATGGGGTGTGAAAATGGGGTGTTTCTGTGGCTTTTGTGGATGGTGTATAGTGGTGCAGAGAATGAGACGGTAGAAGATAGGAAGGAAGCCTCGATACAGGCGAAAACTTCCAGTAATAACAATCATGCTTACGTAGAGTAGAGCACGGCGCCATGATGATGACATCGGAGAGCTTGGCAGTGTCAACGAAATGCTATTTTTGACTGAGGCACCAACCTGTAGGTCATATTACAATTTGTCTAATCAATCTTAGAAAAACGCCTAATACATATTCTTAAAGATGGTTGAATTTAGTAGCCATCCTGCGTATACCAGCTGTAAACCCGACGACATTTGCTACCTTACGGCTCCAGCAAATGACATGATGATCTAACCCACCACCCCCACCATTCATTCCACTTTAGATTTCTTCTCTAATTGCAATTCCAAGGCCAACAAGCCTCCCTCGTAGGTAATCAGAGCATAGAATGTAGATTCTCGCAACTACATACTACTCCTTCTCTATAGATCAGACCCCTACCCCATCCGAGCAATTCACCGTCATCCACGTTAGAGTTGCGGCATTTTCACAGACCCAATTCGATATAGGATACTTGTTCCTTTTGTCCACGATGGCGAGTATAGAAATCCCGAAGGCAGGGGCCGAGTGGAGGGAAGAGGCTTAACAATTGAATATGGAAGATATATCTGTTCACAACATGGCGAACCTTGCGACTGGTTTCGAAGTAGAGGAAGCACCATTCCTCGCGTTCAGGGTCATTTTACCCGAGAAGAAAGAAGTACGACACGAAGACGCCGAGAAGGGAGCAGAAAAGCCTAGGGTATCTGACTTCTTGAACGAATTACCACCTTTCGGAACCTATATCGACTATATACGACGCCATGAGACAACCCTCATACTGCTAGCCGATTGTCCGCTGCTGGGAGAGTTCCACCACCCAAGAAGATACCAGATTACCCCAGATTACCGGCACCGGGGTCGGACCACATTTACATTTCCCCATATGACGACATGGAAAACTGGATGAAAGATGCCGAGAAGGCTGCGCCAAATCAAGGCAACGGTGTGCCATCTCACCTCAGCCCGGCAATTGCTACAACAAGATGAACGACTTCAGTTGGCAACCAACAATGGGTACCACGAATGCGCACGATGAATGGGACCTTTGTCGTTGATGCCTTGGCTCTTTTCCTTGACGCCCCATGCCATTTCATCCCTTGAATGAGATGCTTATGGTGTCCTGAACATCAGATGTTCAAAGCCCAATTTGGGAAGGCAGAGATGGAGGCCCGTACTGATGGTGTCCTTCGCGGTCCCATCCGCAACGAGGATGACAACAGATGGAACTACTGTGGTCTTTAAGGGCAGTAGCCCTGTGGCTCTTGTCGTCAGTCATTCAATCCTTCCAGCCCGATCATCACTTTCTTCTCAAACCCCCTCTTATTATTGTCAGTTATCTACTCTTGTCTACACTATTCCATTCCTGGACTTGAGAGGTATGACCCAAAGCTGCGTGGAATAGCTCAGGCTCGGCTAATGTAAAGAATAGTCTTCCATCTCTAGACTATCTCAAAAAAACTTTTATGAAGTAGCACGAAAGGGAAATATAAATACAATGTCGGACGTGTGGATACACTCCGTCCATCTATAAATAGGGTTGTGGACAGATTGGTTCGCTATATTGAGGAAGGGGATATGCTTTCTTAGTATGAGATCTTATGTGCTAAGGTCGCTGGCATGTATATTGGTAAAGGTGCATGCCATGCCATTTCAAGTAGAATTTCTGCGCGGTAGGGGGTTTGTATAGCAACAGCTAAGTCTCTCCGGTATACAATCCTATAGGGAATTACTCAGAGCTTGTTTGTGCAAGTTTTGATTTCCTCCGAAGTGCAGGCCCATACTTCATGAAAAGAAGGGGTATCGGTAGGGCTAGGCAAGCAATGCCTCCCAGAAGACTGGCGGCAGGCCCCACACCAAGGTTGTGAAGCATTGGCTTCGCAGCTAATGGAAGTCCTGCTGCTAGCAGAGATCGCAAGATTGTGTTGGCGGAAATCGCACTCGCTGCGTATGGTCCATATGCGTCGACGAGGTAATTGAGGCATTGCTGGATGATGATGTTGAACCCGGCTCCGACGAAACCTAGAATGTGTTGGGAAATTTGGGGTTGTGGTTTGTGTTTTGGGGGAGTGGGTCTTACCACCGCGACTGTGGGCAATGCCCAGGAATATTTTGGTGCTGCTGTCCAACCGAGCCAAAAGAGGCCCGTGGGGAGAAGGACACCACCTATCAACATTGGAGGGAGTCGTGCTTCAGGGACAGCCTTCCCACCGTTTGCCCTCATCTCTCTCGCGTACCAGGCCTGGTTTGCGAAATTGATTGCCAAGGCGGACATTATCCCAACTAAAATCCCGAGGAATGGCAAACAGGAGATGATGGGACTGTATCCTCGTTCCTCTTCAAAGACAATAGGGTATAACTGTAAACAAAGATAGATCAAACTGTACGTAAATGATGCGTACAGGGCGATTGAGGCCATAATGCTCTCGGTGACCAGCATGCTAGTAGGGAATCAATCACAAGTTCAAGGAGTCGAAAGCGCTCGGGGACATAGCGGACGACCAAAATGTTTTCTAACGGCGTTATCCAGGTTAATAGTCTCATTCGCATGTGGGTGCCAGTATCTCCCATTTCCAGTTGTGCGGCGCATCTTCTCCGCCTTCTTTTTCAACAGGACCGGCGTATGGGTCTCCCGAAGCATCAGAGTAGCAAAAGCGCATAGAGCGAACGCGCAGATAGCTTCAATATACATGGTCCCTGCGAGATTTAGCGTACACACCTAACCAATAGTAAGGTTGACTAACAGCGCCAGCCAAGCTTCGAATTCGTCACCAACGCCGAGCCGATGATCGGACCAACAGTTGGCCCTCCCGAGATGCACATGGCCAAAACCGTCATGGCCGTCCCTCTATCCTTCGGAGTATAGAGATCGCTAAGAGCAGCGCCAACGTTGCTTATCGGGGCAGACCCAAAAATACCCCCAATGAATCTGGTAATGAAAATGCTGGCAGCGTTCTTGCTTGTCGCAGTTCCGATACTAAATAATCCTAGGCAGAATACTGCTGGTAGCATTCCCCAGCGTCGACCGTATACCTCGCTTATTGGACCCCATAACACAGGACCTACTGCCCAGCCTTTATAAGTCAGTAGAATTTCCTGGAGTTGGGATGTGAGTGGACGAACCGAGGACATACAACGAAGTCGCCAGCACTGTCACCTCTTGACTTATATTCGTATACTCTGCAATGGCCGACTGTCCTGGGGATAGGATAGATGACCCGAGTGCCCCCACGAGAGCAAGCATGCTCATCTGGAATGTGAGAAACGCCTTGCGCTTGCTGCGGAAATTTCGCGGGTCCTCGGGATCGCCTTCTTCAAACTTGACCATGTAGGCAGGATCTGGTGTTTTTGTATTATGGACTTTTTCTTTGAGGGTTGGGGAGGGCTCTAGATTGTACTTCGTATGGGGCGCAAGTTGTTTGTTGGACATGGTGACATGGGTCTCTGGCTCGTTTGTAGAGTTGGCTGTCCGGTGAAAAAACGTCATTGTGTGAATATATGTTTTGCCGTGAGGTCAGAGTTGGATTTATGAAAGAAAAGATAATAGTATCGATACATTGTAAGACAGTGAATGAAGAGGGTGAGGAGCGACATTATATGGTGGTGCCAACAGAGTGCTAAGCAGGCTTGCAATGATAGAAACATGGATAATTGCTGCAGTGTAGCACTGGTGAGCTGGAGTTGTTTGCATTCCCACGGCCACAAGGTCCCTTGCTTGGCTCGAAAGGGACTAGTGGCGGCCGCCGGCCCCACGAAGCAGGTGACGGCCAGCTGATCTTTTGATTACCATCTCGCTTCCCCTCCACCTCACGATCTATAGATGCGTCCATGACGAGGACTGTTAGAAAGCGCTAGTGGCGGCCGCTGGACCCAGAAGCTCGCTTGGTACTTGTGTTGGTTTGCTGCCTAAGCTTCGTCTATTAGAATTTCTCTCGCCCGAGACCCCGACAACCGACCGACCGCATTGAATGGATTGACTCCCGAACAACAAGATGACCGAGGCCGAGGAGGGAACCACCAAGGTCTCAATGCCATATCGAGCAGTACAGGTCTGCTCTACCTGTAAGCTCCGGAAAAAGCGATGCGACAAGACCTTACCAATATGTGGGTACTGCGGCAAAAGAAACCTCCTTTGCCGGTACGAAGACTTCCCCCAGCCCAAGGGCGAGTCCGATGCAGTGGCTGCCATGCTTATGCAGATGGTCTCACTCTTGGGCCCGTCGGGAAGCATGTCAACATCACATAGGATCTGGTACCAAGTTCAGCGCATCATACAATTTGCAAGCCTATCGTTGCAGGAGATCGGTCGTTGCTACTTCAACAACTTTCACAAATGGCTTCCACTCATATCATACCAGGTATACGAGGAAGAGGTTACTGCTTATAATTGGATGTCCTGCCCCCCAGCGGCGGACTTCTCCATTCTTACACTAGCTATGTGCCTCATAACGCTGCAGCCCAATCGTGAAACACCAATAACCCCACAGGGTCTATACGGAACCGTGAAGGTGCTCTTCGCAGAAACACAAGCTATGATGTGTGCGCCCGACCGCCTGCTTCAAGCCAGTTTGCTGATTGCGGCGTATGAATATGCCAATGGCCGGCCAGAGGCAGCACATATAACCATGGGGACATCCAGTAGGATTGCATTTGGTATTGGCCTACATAATACCGACTTTGAGCAGCCATTTTCAGTGGGTGACCGTGTCAGGATAGAGGAGCGTCGACGATGTAATTTGTGGTGGGGTGGGATCATTTTAGAACGGTAGGCTGGTAGGCAGAGTGGGTCATTATCGACAGAACGCTGATCAATACAGGCTCATTATATGCGAAATCAAAGATAAAGAGCAAACGCCCATTACGGAGTACCCACCTCCAGAGTTCCCACTACCAACAGACCTTGACTGCGACGGCATGGACAGTCCCGATGCAGACCAGATTGCACAGATAAGTAGCTTTGGGCGTCAGGCACAGGCGGTGTTCCTGCTAGATCAGGTGTTGGCCGCGAGACGACTACCCCTGACCGATAAATGCAAGATGCTAGAGCTTCGAAGACTGGACCGGCACCTCCAGGACTTCCTCTCAATGCTCATGAGCACAACCACTGCCAAAATAGGTCATGACTGCGGCCCTATTGCTCCTGCTGTGAGGTACGCCGGCATACCCTTTACCGCGGTTTAATACGAAACGCAAGGACATAACTGCGAGACTCCGATGCATCTTACTGACTCCGGGATAGGGCACTTTCCCTAATACACCAGGAAATTCTAGATTACTCCCCTGACACAGTCGACATGCGATGCTTGCACTACTCCCAATCGGCGCTGGAAATGATTACCAATGTGGTAGTGGACGTTGCACGCCACCACAAGGAGCAAATCGCGTGCGAAAATGCTCGTGTTGATTTGCTTCCCCTAAGCTGCTCTTATACATTGCACTTGGCCATGAAAAATACACGGGATTGCTTGGGAATTTCCTGCCCGCACAGACACCCGAGCGACCTGGAATCCCTGGATCAGCTGGACCGCGTATTTTCTAACCGATGGAAGGCGAAGGAGCAATGATGAAATTGCAGCCTGGCGAGAATCCACACTACTGCAGTCAGCATGAGCCAGTGTGGTGAGAGAACAAGGCGCTAGCGCACTTAGGCCAACTCAAAAGACGGATGGTCGACGAGGGCCCGCTGCCAAGCCACTGGCCGCAGAATCCGTCGCCAGGCAGTCCAATGGAAGCTTATGGCCGTTGGAATATAAGATTACTATGGGGACTGATGAAATCGCTCAAATCAGGAACGAGGGCCGAAGAGGATTAAAGCCCCGAATCCCCGGCTGCGTGGCCGTATTAGGCGTATCGGTCGGAACTAGGCGGAACTAGGCGTGCTAGGTCCTGGCAAAGAGCGAGACCCTCGGGGTCCAGCGTTCGTCTAAGTCGTCCCATGTTGGTTCCTGTGCTTAGCTCTGGTCCTTTCTGGGGCTGAGTTGCTTCGCCCACAATGACTGGTCATGGTCACCACAGGAGTCAGCGCCATATGCGCGCTATTGGCTTAGCCCGAGCCGACATCAGGAGGGGATGCAGAATATAAAAGCTGCCTGCCCCGGTTGCGGCCGGCCCCAGTGACATGTTCAGATGAGCACTCGTGTGCTTACCCTGATAGCTAATTTTCCGGTGCCCTGCGGATTACGAAGGTTTCTCCCAAGAGCGAAAGCAGTACCCTGGTCAAAATGAGAGGTGCATCTCTCTTTCCCGTCGTGGCGGGTATTCATTTAGCCTGCGTCGATGCCCTCTCTCTCCACAAGCGCGATGTTCCAGCCGTCGTCAATATTCCTATTCAGCGCCGACAAGCTGCTCGTTCCCTACAGAAGCGAGACTCTACGGTCGGCGTGTCTATCCAGAATATAGTAACTCTACACCGCTCGACAGTCCTATCTATGTATAGCGCTAACAATAGGCTAGGAGGACTCGTATTACTCGCTAAACCTGACGTTGGGGACGCCAGGGCAGCAGGTGATGTTGACGTTGGATACTGGCAGCAGTGATCTCTGGGTGAACCTAGCCAACTCAACCTACTGCTCGGCCGACGATGATCCGTGCAGTCCTTATGGCGTGTTCACTCCCAGCGATTCATCCACCCTCAAGATTGTTGGCACCCATCTCAACGACACGTATGCGGACGGTTCGAACCTCTACGGTCCTTATGTGACTGACAAGGTCACCGTTGGCAATACGACGATCGATGATATGCAGTTTGGCCTTGCTGATTCGACAACTGTAGCACGTGGGTAACTGACTGTGTATATTAAGTGGTCCCAGTTAACATTGATGTTTGTCTAGATGGTATCGTGGGCGTTGGTTACCAAATCTCCACCTACCAAGCCGAATACGACGACAAAGTCTATGCCAATCTCCCCCAAGCCCTGGTCGACAGCGGGGCCATCAAGTCTGCTGCCTACAGTCTCTGGCTGGATGGACTGGAGTCCACTACCGGCTCAATTCTTTTTGGAGGTGTGAACACGGCCAAGTACAAAGGCGAGCTCCAGACCTTGCCCATTGTGCCCGTCGAGGACAAGTATTACTCCCTTGCGCTTGCCCTCACCGAGGTCGGCGTGGAGACCGACTCCGACTCGACCAGCTACACCGACAGCCTTCCCCTCTCGGTGTCTCTCGACAGCGGCACTACGTTGACCGCGCTGCCGTCCGACCTCGTTGACAAGATCTACAAAGCACTGAACGCCACCTATGTTGAGAAATATGATATGGCCTACATCGACTGCGAAGCAAACTCGGAATACAACGTGACATACAGCTTCTCTGGAGCGAAGATCACCGTCGGTATGGATCAGCTCATCCTCCCCTACACAGAGGCCGACTTCCCCAAGGGAACCTGCGTTTTCGGCATCGTGCCTAGCAAGCCGGGGATCAATCTGCTAGGTGACACCTTCCTTCGCAGCGCCTACGTTGTGTACGACCTGGCCAACAACGAGATCTCCGTCGCCAACACCAACTTCAACCCTGGCGACGACCACATCCTGGAGATTGGCACGGGGACTTCTGCGGTGCCCGGTGCAACTCTGGTGCCGTCGGCCGTGTCTTCCGCCACGGGCAACGGCGTGGTCGCGACTGGGAATGCTGAGCCTAGTCTTGCGGGTGCCTCGACTGTCACTCTGACAGCTACCCACTCTACCAGCAGCTCGACCAGCACCGGGACGAGCGGCGATTCGGCCGAGGCTACAAGCACCTCGTCCAAGGGCTTTGCGGCCCTGCCGACCAGCAACCCGATCAACCTGCTGTCGGGACTGGCGGGCGCTGGCCTTCTTCTCGCCTTGTAATAACCAGGCCTCGCCATGTACATACCCGTACCATACCCATACCCATACTAATCTCACGGAGCGAATACT